TCGCCCTAGTTAGAAGATAGCTCATGCTGTAGTCAGATAATTTTCAGTGCTACCTCACTAATGCTGGTTAGGAATGCTGCATCACCCACACATCAGTCGCGCATCAGCCATGCATCATCATCTGCAATCATATAATAACCCTTATCTCCATTGCAGCCATAAACTTGGAGATGTGTCTGGTCGGGGCGCTTGTCTGGGGCCATCGGTCAACCTGTCTTCCTCATACCTAATGAAAACGTGTTGTCCGGGTGGTGGTGCGCTCAGCTCTTCCGGGTACTGATAGGTCTCTCTGTTCAACACCATTGGCTCGACCACGACCACTGCCAGGCCTGTCCCGACCTACGCTTGGTCGCCCAAAAAGGTTTGGAATGCCACCAGAACCACAGCTCCTGATGAAAGCCCGACCACAGTCCAGTATTTGGACAGCGTTGGCATCGAGCTTCCACTAGCTCCCTCTAGCTCCCTCTAGCTTCCTATCGCTCCTTGGATGCTTTTGAATTAGTACACTACGTTGTACCTATTTACTGGCTTCAGTGTTATTCTCATGTAGGGAATAGGGCCTACTTACTCGAGCAGTGGGGAGCAGTGGGGAGCCCTACTGATATGTGGATATGTTCCTGATCCGACATATCCATCACCTGACCTGTGCTTTTCACCTGTACGTTCGCAGTGTGGAAGTTGTGAATACACGGATGTTGATGGATTCTACTGATTGTGTTGTTCTGCTTCTTCGGTGTACAGAGATTGATCAGCTGCCTTTTTGGTGGGTCAGATGCTCCGTGTCACGGCGAGTGGCACCTAAGACGAGACAAAGCAGTCGTCAAGGGGGTAACCGACACTATAGACGAAAATATCGAAGATGAAGAAAGAGAGAAAGAGAGCTAGATACAGGTGGGAGACAAAGTCATCTAGATGAACCCCTATCTAGTGCTGGCCAGGGTGTGATGTGGGGCGCAGTAGATTGAAGGTCTTGAGCTTTTCGAAAGTGAGGGTGTTGATATACTTCATCAGCTCAGTTGGCTGGGTTGTGCGAATGAAGCGAAGAAGTGCTAGGAACTCAAGGGTTGGAACGAGTTTGGATAGCGCGAGGTGAAATAGAGAGGACGGAGTAGGGTGGATGCCAAGGCAGAGGAGAAATAAAAAGCAAAAGAGTCCGGTGTCCGACAAGAGCTTGCAGGGGATTGAATTGTGGTCGTGCTTAGGTGAGCGAGCTGAGCGAGACCCAAGCGGAAGTCAAAGAGGTTGCAGGTTTTCTCTCACAAAACAGTGACCAAAAGTACGCGAAAGTGACGCGTCGCGTCAAAAAGAAAAAAGACAGCTGGAGGGAGAGGGCTGAATACAGGCACACCTATGTATGTAAGGGCTTTACTAGGTATCTAAGAAGATGGCGCTACGGAATAAAGCAGTTTGGTTCGCAAACTCCACCTGTTAGAAATGGCCAACGGGCACTGGCTCTCTTTATACGAAGTTAATAAACCCAACCTTGGAAGGAGCAAGTAGGTCCGTTTGATGGTTTCAAGTATGAGTATGGTCTGCACAACCAGCGGGGTCTGGCACCTACATTAGGCTATGGACCAAGTCCAGTCGGTACGATCTCCAGCGATCTCTTGACGTTCTGAGACGATAAGTTACCGACCGGCCGTTCTGTCAGGACAATTGTTCATTGATGATTCAGAGACGTCCACAGACTTCTAGCAGCCAGGTCTGGACATGGCGACTTTGCTGGATACCACGAACGTTTCGGGCATACAGAATCGAATGACCACTGCAGCTGCGGTGAAAGGAAAACACCGCAGCATATTTTCTCTTGCGAAAGGCTTAGGAAAACCCGACTGCTGCCCAGGTACTCGCCTAGGGCAGCTTGTTTACAATACTTGGGGGAGAGGAGCGCGGAATGGGCAAGGTTCGTTGAAAAGAGCAAGTTCTTTTCATCAATCTGCCCCCGATAGATAGCTATTTTTCTTTGGAGGACCAGATGGATGACCTTAGAGTCATGCCACCGCAACAGCGGGGATGGGCTCGTGAGCGGATCTGACTGTACTTAGCTTCTGATACCTCCACAACCCTGCGATGCAGAGGCTCTGGGAGGCGAGCTTTGCACTACTGAGGAGCGATACCCCACGTTAAATACAATCAATCAATCAAAACCCTCAGCCATTCAAAGTAGCTGAGGTGGTGATGATCCAAAAACCAGGCAAGAAAGACAACTACAAATCAACCTCTGCTGATGCCTAATACTTGCGACCTCTGAGAGTTGGGCACGGATCATAGTCACGTGCCTGGTGGGCTGCGGTAACAACTATCTGGACCATGGATACGAAACGAGCGAAGCAATCCGGATCCTGGAATTGCGGTGTGGGCTCCTTTGCCGCTTCCTCTTTTGTGGCTTGAGCATGCTTTCTAGCCTCTTCGAGGGCGTTTGCAGACTGCTGCGCTTCCTCCAGTGCGTGTTAGATTTCAAAGTGTTCTATTAAGGAGAGGAATTCCAGCTAACATCTCCCACCCCCCTGCGGACCACCCCCCCGCGGACCAGCGCGTTCTGACCCACAAACGCGTAATTCACCAACCACCAGGATTATAGTGATCCACCATCTACACCATCACTTTTGTATCTTTTTTTTCACAAAGCACACTATTTGAATCCTTATCCACTGCTGAATCTCATGATGTCATTTTACGACCGTCAAATAAAAGCTGAAGCCGCCATTTTGGCCATCCAACGCGGAGCTCCAGTCCGCTCGTCAGCCCTCGAATGGCAAATCAGTCGCTCGTACGTCAACCGACGAATCTCTGGCACCCCAACGCGGAATGAGACCAGCGCTCTCCAACAGGTTCTCTCACCGTATCTCGAACATAAGCTGGCAAGCTGGGCCCTGGGGCAAGCACGGCTAGGGTATTCTCCGGCGGTCTCTAAGTTCCGTCTCATGGCCCAGCGGATGCTCTATGCCACCGGGAATGCTCGAGAATTAGGGAAAAATTGGGCATCCAAGTTCCTGTCTCGAAACCCGGAAGTCAAGATAATGAAGTCTCGTATTATCGACTACAACCGAGTGAATGGTACTACAGCGGCAAATATCAACATTTTTTTCGATTGGTGTGACGCCCCTGACGTGGTTAACCTTATGCCAGCACGCTGGTACAACGTCGACAAAATGGGAATCGCCCAGGGGGTTGGGGACTCCCATTGGGTGGTCTCCGAGGCCTCCGGCAAGATGGCTATGAAGAAAGGGGTCGAAAAGGATGAATGGATAACTGCCCTAGAGTGTGTGAGCGGATCTGGTGAGACCTTGCCGCCGCTGGTGATTCTCAAGGGGGTTAACGTACAAGCCCAGTAATTTAGCAACCAAAATGAGGGCAAATTCACCGACTGGAGGTTTATTACGTCGCCCAATGGATGGACCTCGAATCCCATTGTGTTAGAATGGCTTCAACGTATCTTTATTCCTCACATTTGGAAGGTCCACGGCAACACATGGGTGGTTTTGGTGTGTGATGGCCACGACTCCCACACGAATGACGAGTTTCTAGCCACCTGCTTAAGAAATAAAGTATGGTTGATCTTTTATGAACCTTACTGCTCCCATGTAATCCAGGTGTTAGATATGTGAGTCTTCAATTTGGTGAAGAAGAGGTTGAAGACCTTACTCCAGGAGACGCCCAGCGGCCGTCTGGGACTCAGGCCATCTAAGGAGGAGGTTTTGGAGTGCTACAAACAGGCCCGGAAGGACACAATGACGCTCCTCAACATCAGAATTGCCTGGAAAAAGACTGGGATTGTTCCTCGCAACAGAGCAGAGGCATTGAAATCGAAATATGTGATTCTAGAGGACAAGGGGGTGGCCAGGGCACGCCAGAGGGACCCTAAGGCTTCTGAGCGAGCCACAACACCAGATTTTCTCGAGATGGTAGCTAAAACCATTGTCACAACACCCTCTAGAAGCCGGGCTTTACAAGAGAGTGCTCGAAAGCTCGAAAGAAAGGACCCTTCCTTTGGGGGGCCATCTGAGCGCTTGTTGGTGCGGAAGGCTGGCAAGGCCATGGATGTTCAGGCTGCTACCATTACAAATCTACGGGCCAAATGTGAGCTGCTTGAGGCTTAAGTGGCTAAAAAGGCTAATACCACTCGAAAAGCAGTCAAACCAACACCAGGGGAACGATTCGTCACAATGGCTAACATAAGGGAGGCCAAAATGGAGCTGAGGAACAGGAGGGTCTATAGGGACTCCGCTGCAGGCGAAGAGGTCCCACAAGAGGTCCCTGGTGAAGATTTAGGGTCGGAATCGGATTCTGGGAGCTGTATTATGGTTAGAACACCACGACCTCAGTGTATTTAGCAACTGTGGTGGTTGTAGATGGCTTCATCTGAATGAGAGTGGTGTGGTGTGGAGTGGTCCGTGGGGGGGTGGTCCGCAGGGGGGGGTGAGATGTTACTCTGGAGCGGCCAGAATGGCCCTATATATATCCAAGATACTAAAGGAAAGGATACGTGGCCTTATATTGGCCACGTATGTGACAGAGTCACAAATGGGGATGGTGATCCTGAAGGATGACTATGGATGGGCTAACGTAGCCCAGAATCCAACAGTGCGGCCGCTTATCAAAATCGTTATCGCTTCCCATCGTCCCCACCGGTCTGATAGCGGGGATTGCCAAACGCGTCACCGCGTCGCGTAAAATAATTTGACAACTCATTTTCCTCCGCCTTAATTTGGGTGCAGCGAAAGCGTTAACTGCAAGGGATACTGATTACGCTAACTTTTTTTGCTGTCGAGGCGACTATATTCTCAGACAACTAAAGGCTCCACATTTAGCCATGGCTTGTAGACGAATAAAACCATTGAATATAGCTAAGCAGACATTGTTGAAATGCCTGAGGTCATTGACAACTTGCGCAAGACAAAACCAAGCAACTTTTGAAAACTCTAGTTTTCCTGCAACAACATAATGCCCCTGATCTCCCTACGCGGTGGCCTGTTGCGTTCGACTTCTCATGAAGGCTCTCAGTTGGTATATTTGCGGAGCGGGAACGAGTCGCCGGGCATGGGATCCAGATGCCATACCTTGCAATTGACCGACTCGAACGCCTCGGCCCATTCCCGTGCGAGGCCCTCTGGAATGGGCCATCCGAGCTGCGAGCTGCGCAGTCTCATGCGGACGAGGTGTCGCTTCTCCCCGGCGGCAGCCCCATTGACAAAGCCCTCACGTCGGTGAAGTTGTTGATAAAGTGCATATCATCGCCTGAGTCTGCACCTCCAACTGAATCGCCTGCGCAATCGCCTCCACCGTGTCGAGAGCCTCATGTTGACGCTCGTTGAGCTTGGGGAGATGCTCTGGACGGGGGTGAGTAGAGTTTCCCAGCAACGAAGTGCGACCAAAGTTCATCATCAGCTTTGAGTCTTGATAGAAAAGTAATGGTCGGCACTGGAAGTGTGGCCTGGCAGAAATTGATCAAGATTAGCTCCATTCGGCGAGAAGACGAGTCCGCAAAAAGCTTACAGCGCCACGGGCCAATCAATCTGCGGCCAGTTGCGGCTTGAGACGAGCCACTTAGCGCATGTTGCTTGCGAGGTTTCGACAATCAACTCGAGCAGCTGCGGTAGGCCACCTATACACTCGTCCAGTGCGTCGACAACGAGGCAGACGCCCTGCAGCTTCGGGTCGCGGAGTATGTCCGTGAAGATCTCGGATAACGCATACCAAGCATTATCGCCCTGGAACAGCCCCTCGCCAGCGACATCGTACTTCTTCTTCATATGCGATACGAGGAAGGCGTCTTGGTCAAGAAGCATGAAGATGAGACCGCGCAGGACGGCCGTCGCGGTGTTGATGCGCTCAATGGTGGCTTGGCAGAAGAAGTACGCTAGGCGGCTTCCTTGGGCGAGCCTCGTTTTGAGATGATCGACAATGCCACACAGGAGCATGGTCTTGCCCTTTCCCGGGTTGCCCTTGACCCAGAGCAGCCGCTGGTCCTCGTGGTCGCGCCATTGGTGGAAGTCAGGGTTGTCGAGCACCCAGACGTACGAGTCCGCGAGCAGGCCGCCCTTGGTGTCCTGGACGCGCTTCTTGTCATGGCGCGGGTCGGTGACGCGGAGGTCGATGAGGCATCGGTTGGCCGTCTGCTGGATGTTGACGATATTGCCTTGGTGGAAGGGTCCTCCATGCACGGTGACATTCCCGCTATAGAACGATCCGCCTTGGTCTATGGATGGATCTAGGCTGTCATTCGCCATTGTGGAAGACCTGACGTTTGCTTTTGGAAAACACGAGTCTGGGGTTTGCGCGCCCGAGAGAGGCTACGTGAGCTGTGCTGGCTTCCTTCAGAGTTGCGCAGCCGAGAGGCACAGGCACGCTCCAGAAGCGGGCTGGCCTGCAGGCTAGGCTGGAATGCGTCCGACTTCTGAGCAGATAGCCTTGTGACCTCTTGGAGATACCCTGTTGTATGGACGAATATTCGCTGCGGAAAAGCCGGTGTGGTAAGCCGCAAGCGGCGGGCTGTGCCGATGACGGTTCTGCGAGGCGTCCGGGACCCAGCTCAACCGGCTCGTTATGGGCCTCGAAACGAGAAAGATATCATACTGGGCTGCTGCCAGTCTTTTAGAAATCGCACCAGGAACTGCCTTGGATGGTAAAAAGGTCGCCGTGTGATCCCAAAGCAGCATGGTGGGATAGCGTAACAAGCAGCGATTTCCGAGCAGAGCCTCTGGTTCTGGCGTGGCCAGCCGCTCTAAAACCCGTTACAGCTTGGTTGCGGAGGCTTTAAAGTACTAAAAAAATATTTTATAAAGGATAATTTTAAATAGCAACGCTAAACTTGCTAATGCAAAAAATCCAATTGTAAGTTTGGTTTTAATCGATAAACAGTTTAAAGTACGCTTTAAAAAGCTCAACGCTTAAAGCGCAAGACCTATTTACATAAAATATTAAAGTGTGCATAATTACGTCGTATAATTAAATAACGCAAAAAGGTTCTTAACCACTTTTTTTTGCTATGCAATGGCTCTGGGAGGCATGGTTTGCCCTATCAATCAATCCGTCAATTTTGATTATCTTGATCAAACGGAGTATCAGGCGTATGACCGTTCGCTGTTCACAAAATACAATTCGTTCATAAAGCAGAATCAAGGTCTATAGGCCCAGCAGTCGCACCTTTCCAGCAAGTAGTTGCGTCTGTAAGTGTACTTGTCACAGCGAGCGTACTGAGGAGCTGGGACATGGCCGGCAGCAAGCAGCTATTACTCTATTGACGAGAATATCAAGACTAGAGAGGAAAGGAAGAGAGAGAGAGAGATAGGTACAGTGGGAGGTTGCCCCTTTAAGGGGATCCTCTGGTCAGATCCTTCCCCTATTGGGAGGTATCCACTTGTCATATGGGAAGGTCTGTGCAGGCCGCCACAGCCGTCACAAGGGGCTTCTTGGGACAATAGATGCTGTACTAGGCCGTATGGCGCAATGGTCAAATGCGCCTGGTTGTGTTCTCGTTTGTGCGGTGGGCGACGAGAACAAGTGGGTTCGAATCCTGCTATGGCCCCCTTTCTGACCCGGCTTGTGCGAGTCAATAACCAGCACACGACAGTGGAGAGGCCCCATTTTATCGCAGAGCCCGATAGCCAAGCAGCTTGTCTCCACAATACCCACTCCTGCGAGGTTTTCCCCCTTGTGGTTTCCCTCGCCAGCAGATAACAAACACCTACTCCACCCACCAATGCGACATATATCGAACGGCTACTGGAACGATATGTACACCAGAGAACTGAGGTTCACTGGGTCGCTTTATCACTAGATAGGAGGTTTTTCTGACGGAATTGTGCTTGGGTATTGACTAAAACCATCTGAACACTCCAGATTGGTACCGCTACAGTGAGGATAGGCTCGTGCGCGGATCTGAATGTATCTAATTTGACACCTCTACAACCTTGCGATGCAATGGCTCTGGGAGGTGTGGTTTGCACTACTGAGGAGCTACCCCCCACGTTAAATACAAAACAAACAAACAAACAAACAAACAGATGCTGTACTACGAACGGCGATCAGGGCTATCTTGCCAGTCTGGAAAACACACCCTGGGCATATCCTACATTTTGAATCGCAGATTCCCCCAGCTGGAGTTCTTGCAGAGTCAATACGACGACGTCACGGCCTTCGACTAGGACGAATAGACCAGAGACACCCTCTTGTTGGCAGGCTCCAAATACAAGCCCGCAAGGATCCAATAAGGCTACAAAGGAGCTTCCAGCTAGTCCCTGACTTTCAGAGACCAACACTTACCAGGCCATCATGGAAGAAGCCCCCAGTCCGCAAAAACAAAGACAAAGAAACAGAGCTCTTCAAGCAATGGCTACAGGAGAGAAATGTGAACACTGACCTTGTCATCTACTCAGATGGATCACAATTGGTTAACCAAGGTACAACCCGCACTGGATGGGGTTACACCATCAGGAAAGGCAACACTACTCAAGAAGTATACCGGGGAAAGGGTAGACTTCTGCAAGCAGAAGTAGTAGATGCTAAAGTCTATGGTGCTCTCCAAGGTCTTGCAGCAGACAGGGCAATTGGACACGGAAAACAGCTATATGTCTGCCTGGACAACACGTCAGTGGTTGATGGGCTCAATGGGACTCCACCCGAGACATCACAGAATATTTTTCTATGATTTCAAGAACTTGCCACAGCACACACTCCTGGAGTGACCGTCAAGTGGATTCCTGGACACAGAGATATTGATGGCAATGAAGCTGCCAACACATTAGCAAAAGAGGGTACCATGCTGGAAACAGACACAATAAGCCTTCCTATAATCTCTTGGATCAAGAGAGATCTCAAAAAAAAGAGCAGAAAGGAGTTCAACCAATGGTAAAAAGACCAATCAGAATCTAAATATCAAGAAATATACTCACACGCAGTAACTAAAAGAGACCTTATATCTTTTAAGAGGAGTACTTTACACAGACTTCTAGCGGCCAGATCTGGACATGGCGACTTTGCCAACTACTATGAACGCTTTGGGCACACAGACTCGAATAATCACTGCAACTGTGGTGAGAAGAAAACACCACAACACATTTTCTTTTGTAAGAGGCTAGGGAAAAATCGGCTACTGCCTAGGCATTCGCCTAGGACAGCTTGTTTACAATACTTAGGGGAGAGGAGCACAGAATGGGCAAAATTCGTGGAGAAGAGCAAGTTCTTTTCAACAATCTGCCCCCGATAGATAGCCTTCCTTGAAGGACCAGATGGATGACCCCAAGGTCATACCGCCGCAACAACGGGGATGGGCCCGTGAGCGGGACTGACTGTACTTATTATCTTGAGACCTCCACAACCCTGCGATGCAGAGGCTCTGGGAGGCGTGGTTTGCACTACTGAGGAGCTACCCCCCACGTTAAAAACAAAACAAACAAACAAACAATGAGGTCCACTGGGTCACTTTGTCACTGGACAGGAGGTTTTTCTGACAGAATCGTGCTTGGGTATTGATTAAAACCATCTGGACACTCCAGGTTGGTACCGCTACAGCGAGGATGGGCTCGTGCGCGGATCTGAATGTATCTAGACTGACACCTCTACAACCTTGGGATGCAATGGCTCTGGGAGGCGTGGTTTGCCCTGTTGAGGGACTGCACCCACGATAAATAAATAAAATCAATCAATCAATCTCATCTTGACACGCCCCGTGCTAACATGTGCAGCCAAGATACTCGGTGAGGTCTGGCTGAAGGAGAAGGCGGCAAAGAAAACGGGGTTGTGCTTCAACTAATGGGAGGCTCAGGCGGCCGAGACTGCTCGCCTACACAAACTCATGTTTCCAGATTATACGTACGAGCCCGGAAAGGGCAAGAACAAGGACGATGAAGATGAAGAGGGGCCCAAGAAGGCTAACAATCCCACGAAGACAACCAAGAAGAAGGCTGGGGTCTACGCTCATCTTCCCCTCGATCAACCCATTGTCATGCCCCCCTACGATCACGATGACATACTCAACAAGTGCGTTGCCGAGTTTCACCTGTTCGCTTTGGAACAAGAGAACGCTGCCGAGCAGGGTGACGAGCAGGGTGACGAGTAGGTTGGCGGGCTGATTGTATCGCTGACGGTCGCACACTCGCCGATGGTCGCGCCGTACGAAGAGGTGGACATGAACGTGGACATGAACGACGGATGGATGCAGTTCGAGCAGGCTCTCCCGGAGCAAGACCAGGTGGAATGGCCCCAATTTGAGGAGGACTTCAATCAGCTCTACCCTGTGGAGGAGCTCATGTCGCCAGATGAGTTGCGAGCGCTCATGGACGATCTTGACATAGAGTAGGCGAACGAGTGGCACATCACGATCCTGGTTTAGCAATTCACAGTGCCAAGGAAGGACATTATCCTGTGCTAGTATCTAACAGCACTAAATGCCGTTATAGGTCATCCGTTATATACAGGACTAGATTTCTAGTGGCTTGGTGCGAACTACTGGTCAAGGGGATACAATGGGATCTCGGCAGACCATTTGGTCAGATCACACTTAGACAATACATCACCATTCCAGCCCTTTTTAAACTCCAGCAGCATCCAGGTCAGTAAACGCGACAACATCCAATATATCTAGCTGCCCCATCTTGTCCGGATGTAGGTACCTTGTAAAGCCTTACAAGGCCATGTTAAGCTACGAGGAGGGGTCTTATACTATGGTTCCTGCCGATCAGGGCATTAGGCTAATGTCCCCGCGGCCTCCCACCGGGCGTGAAGCCACGGTAATATAAGGTGGCGCTTTCCTATGCCACCTTGGCAATCTTATTCGGCGTCGACCATCTAATGAGCTCCGATAGCCAGAAGGGTATCCATCCATACTTCATTCTTCCACGGGCCACTACGAATCGTCCGGCAGGCACCCCGCAGGCTCACGGGGGGTATATAATGGCCTCTATACTCTACTTACGGTACGCGTTAATCTATGGATGGAATAACTCTGCCAGCTCAGATGGCGACCAGGTGGGCCACGCAGTGGGCGATCCGGCCCCTGCCATGTCCAGGCCTGGGGCAAGGTGTACGGTGCCTTGTGTGCCGCGTTGCGTCTATATAACATGACAGCCCCTTCGCCAGGGCATACTGCTTGGAGCCACCCAGGCCCGATCTCTCCCTTCCCATATACCTGTGCTAACAAGGAGACAACGTGACGATGAGACTACTCAAGGCCACCGGCATCGCGCTGCTCGCATCGGCGGGCGTTGTGGAGGCGCAGACGTGCACCCTCCCGTCAACGTACAAATGGACGTCGTCTAGCGCGCTGGCAACCCCCAAGTCGGGCTGGGCCTCGCTCAAGGACTTCACCACCGTCGTCTACAACGGCCAGCATCTCGTCTATGCCTCGTACCACGACACGGGGTCGAACTGGGGCTCCATGAACTTCGGCCTCTTCAGCGACTGGTCTGCCATGTCCTCAGCGAGCCAGAACGCCATGAGCGCCGGCACCGTTGCGCCCACCCTGTTCTACTTCACGCCCAAGAGCATCTGGGTCCTGGCCTATCAATGGGGGCCTACCACGTTTTCCTACAAAACATCAAGCGATCCCACCAACGCGAATGGGTGGTCCGCGTCGCAGCCGCTCTTCTCAGGCACGATATCGGGGTCCAGCACGGGCGCCATCGACCAGACGGTCATCGGTGACAGCACCAACATGTACCTGTTCTTTGCAGGGGACAACGGCAGCATCTACCGGGCCAGCATGCCCATCGGAAACTTCCCCGGCAACTTTGGCACGGCATCGACAGTGGTCATGAGCGACTCGACCAACAGCCTGTTCGAGGCCGTCCAAGTCTACACCGTCCAGGGCCAGAGCCAGTACCTCATGATCGTCGAGGCTATCGGATCCAACGGTCGCTACTTCCGCTCCTTCACGGCCACTAGTCTGAGCGGTTCGTGGACAGCGCAGGCCGCCACCGAGAGCAATCCGTTCGCCGGCAAGGCCAACAGTGGCGCCACCTGGACCAACGACATCAGCCATGGCGATATCATCCGCAGCAATTCGGACCAGACCATGACGATTGATCCGTGCAACCTGCAGCTGCTCTACCAGGGACGGGCCACCAGCTCGAGTGGCAGCTACGACCTGCTGCCCTACCGGCCTGGTTTTCTCACACTATCGCAGTAGTGGGCTGTGCATGTCCCCCATACTCGTGGACCAATCTGGGCGCGAGATGTGGTGGTTGGCCCGGTACAAGAGGGAGTCGAACTCGAGGATATACGGCTGCAGAACCAACCAAGAAGCTTGATAGTCTGGGTAGGGAACTGTATATAGTGTGAAACACAATGTCTATCTGTGAATACATTCGCTGGGGAGTCGTTTTGCGTCGAATGTGCGTGTACGCCAATAGACGTTGCCCCCTTTTACATACTGGTAGGGACATACTGGTGCCTTGTTCTTCCCCGTTAGAATGAAACGGGAACAGGTGGACCTCCAGCAAGCGCTTGTTACCAGCGGCAATGATCATGGAATGATACTATGCCTCAAACGCATGTTTTGACTGGTAATCCCGCTCTGGTTAGGGGAGAAATAAAGGAACAGGGAGAGGACGGAGCGGTATCACCTGCAGGTGGTGCAGGACACTTCTGGAGTAGTTGCCAGGTATCTAGATCTGTTAGAACCGATTTCACCTATCAGATATGGGTATTTGGTACTACAAGTAGAGTTGCGGTAGTCTATTGAAGTGCTCGATTGCAGCCTATGGCTATCGTGCATAGTTCTTGGCCCTCCCGGTGGTGAACAAAACCTCGACACTCTTGGAGCCTATATGCCGGCAAGATTTTCAGAAGCTGCTGTTATTACTGCACTTCATCGGCCACGAGCTACACTCTGGCCTTGTGGAGACATGGCCGACGTGCCCTGGCTTCAACAGCAGCTCACACGACATGCACACCGACGATCAGAAACGAACTGGGGTGTCAAATAGAGTCGATTGGTAGAGCCAACCAACAGCCTCCCTTGTTCTATCGTAGCTAGTTACTTCTTGCCACTTTCCATTGTGCAGGGATCAATGCTCCCGAAGAACACGTTCCAGTTGTCTGGCGAAAATGCCTGACCCTTGTTGATCTCAGCGCCCGAGGGCTCTTGCTTGGGGCACTGGCTGTAGATCTTGGCGGCGAGCACGCCCATGTCCACAAACAAAACAATGATGGGGTCGGGATTGTCGTTGCAGAAGTAAATGGCACCTCCGCTGCTCTTTTCGCATGCTACCGGCTGACAGGCCGAGGGACCACCCGTCGAGTTGAACAGCAGGTCCTCGCCGGCCAGGAGTATATCTACCGGGAACTCGTAGTCGAGAATCGGCATCCAAACATTAGGGCCTGGCGGAGCATTGCAGATGACTTCGACATCTTTCTGTTGGGCGATTGTCTTAGTCCGTGTCGTGGGTATATAGCAGTGCCTAGGAGTAGATGGAAGGGCTGTGGGATAGGGTAGAGTAGAGGGGCAACCGACCTCGGCGAGGTTCTTCAACTTGGCATATTCGGGGCCTTCCACAACGTCGTTCTCCATCGAGTACTGGGCCAGAATTTCCACTGGCGACATAGCACCACGATCTGAGCTCAGATAGAAACGTCAACACTGTCGTCAGCCTTTCGACGAGTTTCGGGGAGGGCCTACTGCTGTGGTCGCGTCAGCCAGAGCCAGGAGCGAGAGGACGACAAGCATGAGGAACGACATATTCGTTGTTTTGAGGGTGGTCCGCCGATTTTCCGCTCGGTTGCTGGAAGGAGCGTGAGTTGGCTGCAATCAAGTGGAGTGTGCCACATCTCCTGCTGGCTTTATAGACACGGGCTCGGGTTGGTCTCGGGCCATGTTGCGTTAAGCGAAGCAACCTCCGACGCAACGGTGAGCAGGTCTTGATGTTTGCTTCGCGGTCCTGCGGAGTTGCAGTCATGCAAACACATCGGCCGAGTACACAAACTCGCGAAGGACGTCCGCGTGGAAGATGCCTTGTGCTAAGAAAGGTGTGGCCCTCTTGCGACATCGGACAGCCTGGTCCGCAGGCAGTCACCGCTGTCGCCTTGGCTGGACTGGAATGGTGTAAGACACGTCCTTCCATCCAAGCTAGCTCCTATGCTGGCTCGGGGTCTCGGTGTGGCCTACGCTGCTCAGTATCGTCACGCCGGTGCTCCAATGGCATTTTCGATGGCGGTATACCCCCCTTCCGGCAACTGGGACGCTAGGTGGGCACCATAGCCCGACACAAACAAAACGCGGTGTAGGCACCGTCCAGAGTGCAGGTTCATCTCGCAAACAGATACAAGTGACCACAACCGCCAATGAGCGACCGTGACGTCGTGTAAGTCGCCAGGAGAGTCGATTGCTCGAACAGAGCACCCCACCTCTCCTCGAGTAGTATTGCTGCGTCTCCTGTGCATGTCTTCTCCGATGCCTTCCTGTTGGCATCCGCCATTCTATTCCCGACGAATCTAGCTGGGGAATATCCAGGGGAGTTGGTAGTGGTTGCACTTACATCCCTACGTGGAGCCAAACACCCGCCCGCGACCTCCAGACACCCTCATCGACTGCAGGTGAGGACCTCATATACAGCGTTGCTCATGTCCGTGTCGTGTCTCGTCTCGAAAGGTCATGATCTGCATGAGGATTGCGAAGCAGCACCCGAACACCGTCGTTGGGTCTCAGAACAGCTCGATCAAGTCCGAGATGAACATGCCTAGGCTGCTGACGGGAAATGAGAACCCGGCAGATCATCAATGATCGGTACGGTATCGGCCTGGTCGATCACGGGATAGTACTTGCACAGTCTTGCAGGTCGTGCTGGTCGGCACTGGGCAGTCCAAGTCCTCGGAGATGAACCGGAAGCGCAGCGACATGAAGATCCGAGCTGACGAAACCTCACCAGGATTGGACCCGCCGTACTTGCCCTACTCCTTCATCCTGCAGTCGCCCGTCAACACATTTTTGTCCAGCTAAGGCTCGTTCGCATGCAGCTGGTAGAATGGCAGATCGTCAAGAACGACGGAAAGGCATTACACTTTGAAGCTACGCGAGGCTCTTCGCTGCATACGGGGTAAGCAATACGCGGAGAGCAATCAACAAGCCCCAACCGAGTGGTGTTGGCTCCCTGTCCGGATGGGACATGAGGACTTCTCTATAGAGTGTACCTCCCCTAGCGAGATACCTAGCCCTCTTTGGTGGAAACATGTCGGACTGGGACTACTACGCGTGACGCCTGGTACCGTCAATCAGCTGTTCCAACGTAGAAGGTTGACTGAATGGTGGCCACGGACCGAGGGGGCGATGCACAGAAGTGAAGAGAGCAATGCCCACCAACTTTACTATTGTACCGAGTTGTGTCCCATGGAAGTCGTCATCCTAATGCTAGCTCTGGATTGCAGAACGCCCGGCAGCTTTCCCCCCCGAGAGTCCCGGTGATATTACTGGCACACCGATAGAGCGCGGTGAGATGCTCCGACCGAGTCAGCCGAGGATCAGCGCCGCACCCTCGGCTTCATCGGCTCGGCACGAGAAGATCATCCTCTACCGAGAAGTACATCGATGTCGATTGCAGCGATGAAGTTGAAGGTCATCAGGATATATTCGCATGAGCGAAGCGAGGGTGGCAGAACAGAGTTATCCATATGTGCGCTGAATAGCCTTGTGCAAATCCGGCGCCTCAAGAAAGCAAGGGCGTAGTCATGCGGTAGATTTATATGTCCCAAAGCACGGCTATTTCCCGATCAAATCGAGCAGGCTGTCCAAGATGCTATCTAAGCTGTCGCTCGCCTGTTCTCCAGCCCCGTCTCTGGGTCCTCCAGTAACCGGCTGGTTGGTGGCGACTGGTGTCCCTGCGCTGCCCGTGACGACCGTGGCATATAGCGTGGTAGTGCTGGCTGCTGCATCACCGCCGTCTCCCTTGTCGTCGCCGCCCCCTTAGGGTGTATCGTTCGCGCCGGTGGCGCCAGGAGAAACTGCAACAGTGAATGACGGGAAGAAATTCTAGTGGACAAGAACCCGCGTTAGGCACCCATAAGTTTCTGTCATCGAGTTGTTTTGTTTTGTGACCACAGGTCATCCAGATATGGTGGGACCAGAGGTACAGTAACAAGAAAGAAGATTAAGGGTTCTGTCATGTGCAGGATACAGAGTAGCCGGTAAAAGTAATAACAAAATTCAACTCACTGCCGAAACGTTAGCAACAAGCGGAGAGCAGGGGCTTAGCATAGGGCATTTCATACGCACCGAAAGCCGGGATGGTACCGGTATCAGATGCGGGATCAGTCGGAGCTACAGCCGTTGATGAAGCGACAGGATTCGACGAGGCGGCAGGCTTCGACGAGGCTGCGGCTGACGTTGTGCCAGCCACGGGAACCGTCGATCCGGGATGGAAGTCAAAAACAGGGATGGTCGCCTTGTCGACTTGGGTTTGTCTCTTCGCCGGCAGAACTGGGAATCGCCCGTTGCCTCGCCGTATGGCGCTTGCCGAGATGGTGACGGCCAGAACGGGCAAAAGGAAGAGGGAGGGGACACGCATGATGCCGGCTGAACTGGACATATGAATACAACAACAAACACAGTGAATGCAAAGGGATCAACTAAAGAACGGCAGCTCACTGAGCTGAGCAAGAGTGTAATGGAATGGACTCGGGCGACAGGAGAGCCTCACCAGAAAAACGGGAATCAAGTCGGGCACCCATCGATGATTATAACGAGATGCAAGCCGGGGTCGAGACTCGGCCTCGCAACCAGAGACAGGTGTGCGCACACCGACTGCGAGCCAGCGAGCCTGCGAAACAAGACAAGCACTCGGCGCCCAGTGCTGTGGGTTCGGCGCCGCGGTCGACAGTATGAAAAGAGTGAATCCTCCCCAGAGAGGACCCCAATAGATTGAGCAAGTGCTACAGGATGAAACGGGTTGCGTGGTCAACCTTGGGCCTCCCCCTGTTTTATCCCTGTATAGCCCTGGTTTCGCCTGGCGCCCAGACTTGCGGGACCCTCAATACGCAGATTGGACCCAGGGAGCCTATGCCAGGCAGCTGTCAGGTTGCTCGACACAACATGTCTGCATGTAGGGGGCGTCGGCAATGTTTGTAGCCTTTCCAAGTATACAATAGTCATACAGCCTCGACAGCGCAATACTCGCAGCAGCTATGTCCGACCTCCGCCATCACGCAGTCTGACGGTTGCGGTGCAAGTGGACGAAGCTATAATGTGACATTTCTTACCGAATCCTTCACGATGGCCATACTGCCATGCCGGCTCCAATGCTTCAAGCCGGTATACTTGCCTACGGTGCGCCTTGATACATCTCCAATCCTTCGAGTCGTCCAAGTCAAATTGTGAGGACCCCCAATGCTAAAGGCAAGCGAATGAGCCCTACGCTGTTGACCGCGATGGTCTGGTTCCCTCGGTTTCGTACTTCTGACATGGGACGATCGAGTGAATGGCGATGCCTAGGTAGAGGCCAGGCTAGGATATACCGCATTCTGCCATCTCTCGCGATGATTGGTGGGGGCAGTAAACACTTTCGTATGCGCACCATGACGGCGCGGCAACCCGGATTGCTCTCGTCCCGCGGGAGATGTCGTGTCGATGTCCTCGCCAGATGCCGTGGCGTTGTCCTCGCCCACGGGCAGGCTGGATGGATACAACAGACCGCCATGGCCGCCCCACGGCCGCCTTCTTGGGATACGAGGCATTCGTACGTCTCGAGGCCCAACGTCCCTGGGGCGCCTTCTCACGTCTCCCATCTTATCCGGGTCAACGCCTTGCTCGATGATGCTGCTTACCAAAGCCGCAAATTGAGGACCTCCTGACACCCGTCCCTGCCGCCCCCTCTGCTGAGCTCCGGGTGTACGAAGTCGATGCCCTGGAATGCGTGTTCAGACTCGACGCGGCTGAATATATGTGCACGCCACACTTCCTGCAGGCCTTGCCCTGGATGGCTGCGTTGGCAGTCGACCGAGACGAATGGCGACAAGGCCAATCCCACTTCTGATGGGAAAGCCTAGTCGGTCTGCATCGTCAGGGTGATGATATGGCGCATACGAGCAGTCAGTCACCGAGTTCCGTCCTACACCCAACATGGCGCGTGTATTGTGAACCTCGGGGTGGGGTGGTGGCCAGCGATGGCTTACCATATGGACTTGGCGCATGACTCCGCGATGATCGTCCGTTGGCAGAAACGGGAAGGGTAATGGGAGGAGATGCGCTGATTACAAATCGCATCAGAGGTTACATGCAGCTTCCACGGCATCCCGAGCGCTACCTGTCCCTGAGTCGTGGGGCCGCAGTAGTGCCCGCCTGGTCTTCCTACTATCAGTCTTCCTACTAGTCGACAGGCATGGCGGCATGGCGGCATGGCCCGCATGAGCCGAGGGGGTGACAGCTCTGGAGATACGAGATACCTAAGCTGTGACCAGTCAACTCGATCGATGTTGGACGATGTTGCCATATCTACCAGTCTTTCGGCAGACAACTGGTTGACTGGATGTGGCACAACTGGGTATACATACCTCATGTACGTATGTACTACTCAAGGCGTGCTAGGGCGGTTCCATCATCGTGCAAGGAGACAGACAAGTGTCAAGTGTCAACAAGTGGACGGTGGTCTCAGATCTCAGAGAAGGCCCGGAGTTGCGGAGCGGGGTGGAGCGGCCGATATGAGCGCGCCGCGACGTCACCATTAGGGCCTCTTTCTCTTCAGCAGAGGCACATTTATCAGAGTACTTGAGAAGTATATATAAGTAGCAGAATTCGCGATCCGGTCACTTATCTTCTTGCCACCCGCCCACCACCACTCATACACCATGACCAACAAGACGCTCATCTTCAAGAAGATTCCGACCGGGTATCCGGCGCCCGGCGAGCATCTCGTCGTGGAGGACCGCCCGATCGATCTCAACGCCGAGCCTCCCAAGGGTGGCTTGCTCGTCGAGGTTTTGTACGCCTCGTACGATCCCTATCTACGGGGCCGGATGCGAGACGCTAAGACCGAGTCCTACACGCCCGCCTTCGAGCTCAACGGGCCCGTCACCAACTCAGTCGTTGCCAAGGTGCGAAAATCGGCCACTTCCGACTTCAGCGAGGGCGACCTCATTGTGGGCTACCTGCCCATCGCCGAGTATGCCACGGTTGCGGACCCGTCGGCTGTGGGTGCGCGAAAGATTGAGAACCCGCACAACCTAGATCTGGGCATGTTTCTCGGCCCGCTGTAAGTGGTTCTCTCGCTGTCTGCAGGTGGTGTTTGAGGCCGTCTGCAAGTCACGCGTGTGGTGGCCTTGTCTAGACACATGCAGCGCTGACATCTAAGTATAGTGGTATGCCCGGACTTACGGCCTACTCCGGACTACACAAGATCGGAAAGCCCAAGAAGGGGGAGACTATTTTCATCAGCTCCGCCGCCGGTGCTGTAGGCCAAGTCGTCGGCCAGGTCGCCAAAGCCGAGGGTCTCAAGGTCATCGGTTCCGTCGGCTCCGACGCCAAGTTGGACTTCATCACCAAGAAACTCGGCTTCGACGGAGGCTTCAACTACAAGACCGAGAGCCCACTCGATGCTCTGCCGCGTCTCTGCCCCAACGGAATTGACATCTACTTCGAGAACGTCGGAGGCGAGCATCTTGAAGCGGCCTTGGCCAACATGAACAAGGAGGGCCGCATCCCCGTCTGCGGCATGGTGAGTCGCCGTCCGAGCCGATAATCCCTAGGAACACAGCTGACTCCGAGATAACGCTTAGATTTCCGGGTACAACCAAAAGCCCGAGGAGAGATATGGAGTCAAGGGGCTGTTCCAGCTGGTCGCGAAGCTCATAACAATGCAAGGCTTCCTCGTCGGCCAGCCGGAATTTGGTGGTGCCTATGCGAAGGAACACCAGGAGAAAGTACAAGGGTGGTGTGAGTATTACCCCTGTCCTCGCCCGCGGCCCCTGCTTCAAACTGAAGGCATCGCTAATTCGGTCGCAGTGGCCGACGGAAGCTTCAAAGCCAAGCTTCATGTCACCGAGGGTATCGACAAGGCCGCCGAGGGCCTCGCTGGTATCTTCAAGGGCGAGAACTTTGGAAAGGCGGTGCTCAAGATCAAATAGTTCTGGAGAGTGTATCACCTGGGATTTGTGTCAGCATGCGGCCTATGCTGTCGGCAAACTGATTACAGTTGCAGATTGAACTAAGTACTGCCTTCGAAGCTCATGACGCATCCTAACACATCGCTCTTCCATACACACTCGTCAAAATCCCGGTGCATGTGTCAAGTCTTGCGACCGGCCCTTCTCTACATTCGTCAGCCTTCACCCACGTATAGTGATGTTGTATGCAGTTGGGTGCGTGCCCTCCCTCCATTTGCGCATAGCCCTACTCTATCTGACCTTCTGCTCCTCCACATCCTCAGGTAGGCTCGACCACTTACTAATACACACGGCCGTTCTTCATCACCGCAAGGACACTATCCACCGGACCCTAAGCATGCCAATATTGTCCAAGGGGTCATTGAGCATCAACAGATGCGCGACGAAGCCTTCCCGAACCTGACCTATGAAGAGCAGCTAGGAATGGGTGTTCACGTATATGTACAGTGGTCAGTTTTGAGTCTTGGCTGGTCAAAATGGAATGGGATGGCAGGGTAAGAAGTGGACTCAAAGTCAAGCCATACTCCGTAAGACATGGTAGTCGGCTGGAGAATGGAGGGCGGCCACACGTTGTCGTTTGATATCCGAGCCCCTTTCGGAACCACTGGAACATGCATTGCCAGAGTAATTAATGCACTTTCCCCCTTTTTGTCTGCCAGCGAGGGAGATGCTCGTGTTTAGGTGGAGACTAACGAGTGATGGGCCATGTGTATCGTCCAGGTAATAAATTGCCAGTGCGGATGGATGTATTGTGGGACCCTAACCGGCAGCATCACATTGACCATGCTGTATATCCCATCAAGCTTGAGGTCCAGAATCTAGCTTGCGACTTGGCTACGGCGAGGCATCCATGTGCTCAGCAGCAGGCGCTCTGTTTCCTACTGGACCAATCTCCCCTACCAACGGTGCCCTACGCAGCAATCGCCGGTATAAGACTCTCCCAGGCTTCTGTCGACCGAGGCGAGGAGGACGCTGTCCGGCGCATCTCACCGCTATAGATACACATCCCAAGGGCCCAAGATGGGCTGGTACGTGTACATGTGCTCATCGTGATATTTTCCAACAATCCAACAAGACACCACGAAGAAGGGGGTATTAGTCCGACGCCTGAAAATGCACTCCATCATGAAGATACGCCGTGTTTCCCGCCACCGCATGTTCCGCCCATGAGGCCGCTTCCCCAGTGCTGGACATCCGCTGCCACTACGATCGGCTGAATCCCTGCTTGGCCTACTTTGGATTAGTCTGAGTAGAGGTGGTATGGGGACACGGGACGCATCCTACCTTCATCAGCTCTATCCTCGCTTTGAGCTGGCTTGTGACTTCTGCTGCCCTCTTCCAGCTCTCGACACCGTTTCCACTGCCACCAGCGGCTGCTGAGCTGGTAGCGCGACCTGACCCAGCGCCATGAGCGACGCCTTCATCGATGGTCGTGCTCCTGGCTCCGCGAGCGGGACTCCCCCTACCACTCGACCCGCTGCCGTACCTCATTTCCGGACTGAGCTTGCTCCGGGGATATGGGGGAAGTGCATCGCCGTTCTCCTTCTCCTCCGAGAAGGTACTGGTGAAGCTCATGCGGTTCGATCTCGCACCCAATTGGTTCGAGCCATCGCGGTAGATGCCCCCATCGTCGGGCGTTGGACTGGTCACCCCGGGACTTCCGAGTCCTCCAGCGCCGCCAATCCCCTCAGCCCTACTGAGTGCGCGCTTGAGGCGTTCCAGTTCCCGCCGGAGTCTCTCGTTGACCTGCTCGGCTGCTTCCGCATCGCTTCGAGCCCTGACCAGCTGCGTCTCTTTGGCCTTGATGCTCAGGACGTCGCGAGTGTGGTCCTCGATAAGCCCGGCGTTTTGATTCTTAAGCTCCTGGACCTCGGACGAAAGCCTGCCTCGCTCGTGTCGCATCTCGTCCACTTGCTTGGTGAGCCGGTCGTTGGACGCACGCAGCTCCTCCAGCTCCGCCCTCTCGATAGCCGTGAGCCCACTTGAAGGAGGCGGAGAGGCCGCCGTAGGGGCGGGTGCCGATGCAGCGCTCGGCTTCGCAAGAGATCGCGCCGCTAGACCACCTCGCCCCAATCCGATTCGAGGTTTAGGGGGAGGCGATACGACCGGTGGTTCATCGTCCTCAAATGGCGGCGGCGGCGGCGGCGCTGCAGCTGCTGGGGGCCTGCGTGGAGATGCCACGCCCGAGACGGGGATGCGTCTCTGTAGTCCAGTAGGTGCTTTGAGCCCGGAGATGCCAGACGGTTTAGGCGTCCCCGGTTTCGCGCCGGCCGGCGCAGCCCTCGACGTCGGCTGCGGCGCCAAAGGTGTCGAGTCTGCAACTGGAGGATGTGCGGCCTTCTTGACAGCACCGGGACCCTTCTTGACACCGCCGGCAATCTTCTTGGGGCCACCAGGGGCAGCCCGTGCTACCGGAGCCGGGGCAGGCTTGGGCTTGGGCTTGTCTTTAGCTTTGACCTCGGCTTTTTCGTAGAATTCCTTAATCTTGGTCTTCCGAATGTCGTCCAAGCCCTCGAGATGAGGATTCATGGCGCGCTCGCCAATGATCTTCATAACGGTTCCTAGCACCTCGGCACCGCCAGATCTCAAACCCTCACTAGACTCGGAGAGCAACTTCTTACCAGCTTCGACAATGCTGGTTATTTCGGGCTTGCTCGGTACCTCCCGTGTAGTGCAAAGACAGCGGACCAGGAACTTCATTGTGCCTTCTTTGACTTGAGGATTTTTGTGCACCAAGAAAGACATGATGTCCTCCATGCATTCGGAGAACGTAGTCGCTAGGAAGACCTGGTCCAAAGCGGCACCCAAGGCGTCGGCCACTGTCTGCTTCTTCTCCTTCAAACGCTCCATGATGGGCGCCATGACGACGGACCGGTATCTGCCGTAGCCCTTCCGCAGACCCTGGGCCAGGACTTCGATGCATTGGGCGGCCTGGGTGACGACAGCGATGTTGGCATCCTTCATGCACTTGGCCAGGCCGCGGTTAATCTCGCCGAAGTCGCCATCCTTGATCCTCGGAACGTTGATCGCGGCAAAAAGCCCCTCGAGAGCCTCCTTGCGATCCTTCCACTTGGATGAGGCCAGGTTGTCGTGGAAACCCGGGGGAACCTTGGACAGCACATCCTGAGGCTCTGCTAGGTCGAAGGCGTCAATTTCGGCGGGCTCGTCAACACCATCGCCGTCGTCCATCTCGTCGCCCTCGGCACCGGGTGGCGGCGCGCGGGCCATGGCGGCCTGCTGGGACCTCAGGAGTCGTTCCTGCTTGGGCGCCGGCTCAGCTTTGATCTTTTCGAACTGGGCTTCCAGGTCAGACTGCTGTGTCGGCTTGAGATCGCCCCAGAACATGGGTTTCATGGCGTCTCGCAACCACCTATAGAACTCGACAGCCAGGTTTGTGGCCTCGGCTCGCACGTTCTTGTCGGCATGGCCGAATGCTTTCGGGAGAACTTTGAGTACTGGTTTGGGGTCGGCGACCTTGCAGCCATAGTTGTGGAAGATGGTGGTCAGCGCAGCCAGGGCGGCAGCGATGACTTTGGGCTGTTTCGCAGAAAGGGCGGGCATGATGTCGTCGACGACAGGAGGCGCAGTATCGAGCTCGATCAGGAGCAGCAAGGCCTCGACAGACGAGGCCTTTGTGCCTGGCCTTGTAGAAACGAGCCCCTTCTCGACGATGGATGTGATAACGTGGCCGCGTGAACGTATACATCCGTCCCTGCCGCCGAACTTGAGGAAGGCGCAATAGGCAGCGATGCCGTCCGACTGCGCGGCAACGTTGGAATCTGCCACGGCGCCCTTCCACAGGCTGGGATCTTGGTTGAATGGGCGAAAGGCGGGATCGTGCTCGCCCGGGGTGATCTCAAACTGCTTGGCGGCATCTTCGTATGCCTGCTTCCGAACTTTCCACACCTGCGAAGAAGATGGGGGTGATTAGCGCCACGTTCCTCAGCCCAGACAGAGACAGTCGAGCCAGGCTGGACAGGAAGACAGTACGCACCTTGTGTACCCATCGGTCGGTCAAGGGCAGAGAGCTGTAGTCTGGCTCTCCGTCGGCCATGACTGTGGTGGAGGGACTCGGCGAGGGAGCGGGATGTACGGTTTGGTCGACGGCAGGCTGCTTCGGCTTGACGGTAGAGTTCTTTCTGATGAGGTTGGGAGATAGTGCGGATGCTACCTTTCTCATTAGTTTGGGCAGTACGGGGTGTTTGGGGAGGTGGAGGGGCATTTTGTAGAGACGGCGGGCCACATGGGAACATGGGGCGCAGAGCCTATAGGGAAGACTGAAGAAGGCGGCGCTCTCACTGAGCATGTAATAACATCAAGGACATGGAGGTAGGCACCACCTGCATGGCAGACCTGGGAGGTAGGTAGCCAGTGGAAAGTGCGCACAGGTGTTGGTCCTCCATCCCCAGGTAGTCGCGGGCGGACACTGACACCTCACCCAGGCTACCAGAAAGCAGGCACGACGAGGCAGCGGACAGACAGGAAACGCGCTCACTCACCTGCAGACTCGAAATCAATTCAGCGTACCTAGGGTCACGTTTTAGTGACAAGAAGTATTCGAGGGGCGGCGAACGGTGGGAGCGGGAGGCGTTTTGTACAGCTCGATGTGTGAGGACTGGAAGTATGATGCAGGTATGCGCTTGAGTATTACAATTGTACGTATGCTTGCACGTACATATACGTAACGTAGGAAGCAGAGGTGGAAGTTGTAGGGAGGAGGGATATATTACGGCGGCGGCGAGGATGGTGATCAATAAGAAGAAGAAGATGATGGTACTTTTTGGGAAGAGTCGCATGTGCTGTCACGCAGGCCCGAAAGGTACCTGCATGAAGCGCGTCGGGGGGCAACCAGCACGGACGGCGCACTGTACGCGGGCTATCTTACAGGGCTATCAGTCGGGTTCAATGCTGTGCTGTCCTGGTGGGTGTTTTGGAGCCACTTCCAGAGGTCCCCTCACTCAAAACCTGAGGTGCCAGCATTGAATCTGCATCTACAGAGTGCCATCATCATTACCGACATTAACCAGACGTTCCATACGGCTATGCGTAATAAGATTCACACCATACCTTACAGCAAGGGCTAGGTATCTTCCAGGCCATCTGAATCTATCTGTATCAGGTACTTGTCTCATCCTCTCATAACAATTTGTTGTTTCTTAGGTCTAACTTTAGGTGTCAATATTGAACCCCTCATCAATTGTCAATTGATCCCATGTGGGGGAAGTCCAACGTTGACGGGGTCCGGCCACGGGGTCAAGGCATGTTGGAATGGATGTGGCTTGTGCATCTGCAACAGCGACTGGAACATAAACATGTGGCTTGGCTGCTTGCATAGAATATGTGTGGCGTACATCATCATGGATAATATTGAATGAACCACACCACATAGACTGGACTTTGCCAACACCGACATTCGAGATCAAGCATCGACAGCCGCAGTTCTTGATATCTCGAAACTCACTGATCACTTCTTCTTCCCCCGGCCAGGATACACGCACAAATCCCATATCCCACATCCCACTTGCACGTCCAAAGTGCCCTGGCAGCCTGGCAGATAACGCAAGCGCAGACGAGCATCCCGTTCGTTACCTTGGTTGCGTTAGGCCGTGAGTGACAACGGCCACTACAACTTCACCCTCATCCTGCCATCTACCTCTCTAATCATCCAGTCGACAACCTAACCTCGAGGCTTGAACCTGACTGTTTCCACTGGCCTTTCCCAATTGCTGCCTACTGTTAAGCACCTACCCTACGCACGCACAGAGCCTACTAGGGGTAGCCAATCGTGGGGCCTTCAAGGGGACGACTGCCACACGGTACACCTAGATCTCAGATCGAAAATCAGACCCGGTTTCTTCAGCCTTCGGGTCTCTTCCTCTGCATTGTTGTCTGTCACGCTGGTGTCGGCGTGTCCGCCCTTTGTTGTCGCCCCGTTCTGCCCGCAGCCGCACCCTTGCGCCCATCGTATATCTACCTCCTTTCTTTTTCTCGTGAAGCCGGTCTCGCTGAGCTGCGCTGCGCTCATGAGCGCCTTGTTCCGCGGACCGGTCCAAGATGAGCCAAATCCTCACCTCGCGCCAGGCCGAAGAGCTGTACGTGCCCCTCTCTCTTTTCCCTTTTGTCCTCTTTTCTTGCTGCGCTGCTGAGGCAACCTGGGCTGACCTGCGTCGTGTGACAATAAGACACAAAGCCGTTATTGCCTACTTGTCCTCCAATAATCTGTCTGCTGCTGCCAACGCACTGCGAGACGAACTAGAAGTAAGCGACACCTTTGATGCCGCCACCTCGAAGAAATACGAAGGCCTCCTGGAGAAGAAATGGACGAGCGTTGTCAGACTGCAGAAGAAGGTAGGGAGCGCCCCGCCTACCTCTCCCTGCTCGATGCCCGGTTTGGTAGAGCGGCCGCTTGCTAATACGTTGCGTGCCCGCCCAGATTATGGACCTCGAGTCCAGGAATGCTTCCCTCCAGTCAGAATTAGACAATGCGACGCCCACGTCGCTATCTCGCCGGAACCAAGATCCCACCAGCTGGCTTCCCAGGTCGCCCGCCCGTCACACCCTACAATCCCACCGGGAGCCCATCACCTGCGTCGCCTTCCACCCCGTCTTCTCCTCCCTGGCCTCGGGCTCGGAAGACTACACCATAAAGATCTGGGATTGGGAGCTGGGTGAGCTCGAACGAACCATCAAGGGTCACACCAAGGCCGTACTTGATGTCGACTTTGGCGGCCCCAGAGGCGGCACGCTGCTGGCATCGTGCTCGAGCGACCTGACAATCAAACTGTGGGATCCTTCGGACGAGTACAAAAACATCCGGACGCTGCCGGGTCACGACCACAGTGTCAGTGCTGTCCGCTTCATCCCGTCGGGCGCTGCCGGGGCCCCCAGCTCCGGCAACCTTCTCGTATCTGCTTCTAGGGACAAGACGTTGCGCATCTGGGACGTCTCGACAGGGTATTGCGTCAAGACAATACGAGGACATGCAGACTGGGTTCGGGGCGTGTGTCCGTCCGCCGATGGACGTTACCTACTATCAGCTGGTAACGACCAGACGGCCCGCCTCTGGGACATGTCGCTTGCCAACCCCGAAAGCAAGCTCACGTTGATTGGTCACGAACATACCATCGAGTGCTGTACCCTCGCGCCCTCGGCAGCCTACCAGTACCTGGCGCCCCTCGCCGGCCTGAAGAGACCACCAGCGACATCCAACACTGCCGAGTTCATGGCGACGGGATCGCGGGACAAGTCGATACGCATATGGGATGCGCGGGGCAATTGCATCAAGACGCTGAACGGGCACGATAATTGGGTGCGGGCCCTGGTCTTCCATCCGGGTGGGAAGTATCTGTTTAGCGTGGCTGACGACAAGACGCTAAGGTGTTGGGACTTGACCCAGGAGGGCAAGTGTGTGAAGACACTTTCAGATGTCCACGGCCACTTTGTATCATGCCTGCGGTGGGCTCCAGGTATCGTGCGAGAACCTGCAGCCGGCAACGGCACGGCGGAGGGCCCGAACGGCACCGCAAACGGCGCAGCGAAACCAGGCGCTACGGCTGTCGACGTACAGATCCGATGCGTGATTGCGACTGGAAGTGTGGATCTGAACGTTAGGATATTTGCCAACTGATGGGGAATGATTGGGGAGAGCCGATGCCCCCTGAGTCTCAAATAACGACGCCCCTCGAGCCATGATAGCCATGATGACGACTGAGGCCAGCCAGCTGCGCGCGTCGTCGAAGCTGTGCTCGAATTAGTCTGCTTGGAAGAGAGGGAATGGGTCCAATGGAGGAGGGACATTTGGCCGTGCACATATCCAAGGTTGGCGTCATCTTCCACGGCGCGTCATATGGCATTGTTGAAGCTGATGCATGAATTGCAGGAGTACATAAAACATAATAGATACCCCTTACCAATGTGTACTTGACGAGGAGTTCGCCTTGGTGCCTTTTGCATTGCTATCCGCCAGGAACGAGAAGGCCCCTCCGCGTAGTAGATGTTTGAATTTCCCGAAAACATCCGGACACAAGAGCATTAGGGGCCCAAGAGAACCAACCGCACCAGTCGACGTTGTTGGTCCCGATTACGGCATGCACTACAAACCGCGATGCCCGTGACGTACATATGTGTACCTAATTAGGCATTTATCCTTCTCAACTTGATGCGTGATGCGCAAGATAGCCAGCCGGCTGTCCCCCGGGAAGACTCCCGGCGCGCGCCGGTGAACCGCGGCTCTACAACGGCATTGGGCAAAGCATACCATATACAACCCCGCTTCGGCGAGTCAGCAAGGCCGGAGGTCGGATTCCACAACCCATTGCCAACCTGGAATGGTCCTAAGACCTTTCTGTAACGTTGCTTGGGGTCGGCACACCATTGTCTCGCTCGGCGTTCTGCGGGTGATAGGCCGACTCCATCTGACTTGCAGATTCCGTATCGCTATCATCAAGACATAGGTAGGTGGGTATATATCTGGTAATGAATGGCACGCTAGACACATACATATAGCAACGTACATGCTCATCTTTGCTATCACTCATATTACTACTATCAACTAATGGAATACCCGTGACTGGAACTCAGCACACCATCCCAGCGACATACTGTTTCCGCCAACGAGAGCGGTATGTATCTTCGTCTGTTGCCATTTATGCTTGGGGCCGTGGCTCTGCAACCATTACCACCTGTGGCCCCGTCGCTTCCGAACGGAAGCCACGCCGGCTTTGTTCTTGGTGAAATACCTGCTACCGTTTTCATTACCACCAGCTTCGCTTCACACCGCGACTCGCAAGGCCTCTCTCTGATTCCCCCATCTGGTCAGGAATTCGCAGAGACATTTATCCAAGACCTGGGCAGTAGTACGGGAAAGCAGTGGAAGCTCCAAGTTGTCCATGATTTCCCCAGCAATGTCTCTGGCATCTTCCTAGGTCAATACCAGGGCGACCCCGACACCTTCTTGTACGAGGATGGTGTGCCCTCAGAGGAAGGCTATGTCCTCGCGGCTGGCAATGGCAGGGTGACTATCCACGGCTCTGGCGCCCGGGGGATGTGGTGGGGAACGAGGACACTGCTTCAGCAGCTCATGATATCGAACTGGTCCTCGTTGCGGGCCATGCAGGTTACAGACACCCCGGCCTACGAGACCCGTGGTTTTATGCTGGACGCGGGCCGTAAATGGTACTCCAAAGCCTTCCTCAAGGAACTCTGCACATGGTACGTACGTATGAAAGCATCCCGCTTTGAAATCCCAAGTATCCATTTCCACATTTACCTGTACCTCCTCATGTCGTGTACTTACGCCTCCATAGTACGTAACTTTACCGGACGCTGTCCGTATCTTGCTGAACAGAGGTTCGGTTACCGATACTAACATGGGGGTCTCATACAACAGACGCTTCTTTTTTCAAGATGAACGAATTTCACTACCACACCTCCGATAATTACCCTCTGAACCGTGGCCACAATGAGACTGTACGTAGAAGGATATTCGTCTCTTAGACGATAAACCTCATCTTCTTGGACGGGCTTCCTCGGGTACAGGGCGAGACACTGATACAGACGCAGTGGAACAACGTCTACGCCCAATTTTCACTACACCCGGAGAGTCAAGACTTGCAAGGGCTCGTGCAACGTCCAAGCCAAACTCTGAGCCGAGCCGAGTTTGAAGAACTGCAGGAGCATTGTGCTCGTAGAGGTATCACCATCATACCGGAGATCGAGGCGCCAAGTCACTGCCTCAGCATCACGAAATGGAGACCAGAGCTGGCCCTCGACAAGAAAGATCTGCTCAACCTGACGCACCCCGACGCCATCCCGACGGTGAAGCGCATCTGGGAAGATTTCCTCCCCTGGTTCCAGACCAAAGAGGTCCATATTGGTGCTGATGAATACGACTCGACCCTTGCGGATGACTACATCTCCTTCGTGAATGAAATGTCGACGTTCATCAACGAGACATCTGGGAAGAAGACCCGGATCTGGGGCACCTTTGAGCCATCGAATCACCTCACAATCTCCAAGGACGTGGTCGTCCAGCACTGGCAATACGGACAGTCGGACCCGGTGCAGCTGCAGGCTGATGGATACGATGTGGTCAACACAGAGGACTGGTGGGCCTACATGAGCCTCAAAAACGACCACATGCCAGTTCTACCCGCCCCGTACCCGCAGTTCTTCAACGAGTCACGCATCCTAAATTTTGCCGCCCAGGGGGGGTGGCAGTGGCAGCCGGCTCTGTTCAATCCCGTGAACGTCACTGAGCAGTTGGCCGACGGCGCGCGCGGAAACCGGGGCGCAATCATGGCGGCATGGAACGACAATGGACCCGACGCAACAACGCAGATTGAGGCGTACTATGCGATGAGGAGAGGCATTCCTCTTGTAGCAGCCAGGGCCTGGAACGGTGCCAGGGACCCCTCTCTAGAGGCGAGCACGATCGATGCCTCAATCGACTTCCTGTCAGCCAAGGCGCCTGGCCAGAATTTAGACAGGAGACTGCAGGGCCAGGATGACAGCTCTAACGACGACGTGCTTGTATCCTGGACGCGCGGCTCTGAAGTAGACACCAATGCCGTGTCATTAGGCTACGGCAGCAAGGGCATGAACTACACGCTGACGCTTTCGGTGATCGGGCCCTTCTCGCTGTCGTCAGACGACGTGATCCTGACACTGTCAGAAGCAGGAAGCCTGGTGTTCCACTCGGACGGTGTTGAATACCCCCTGCGGTCTGTCTCGGAGGACGACGGTTTTGAGGAGGCGCACCCGGGACGTATCTGGGCCAATGCCACGACCTCTTCGCACAAAACCGTGACGATTTCCATGCCGGCCGAGGTCACTGTGACCGGGGACACCATCGGAGGGAGCCGGGTCTGGGTAGACGGGGCCTTCGTTGGCCGGTTCGAGGTGTTTGTGTTTGGCGGCAAGAACACCCTATTCTCCTGGAGCCAGATGGCGTTTGTCGCGCCCCTTGAGAGCCTCACCGGCGGTGTAGAGAGTCTGACGCTGCAGAATGATGTGAGCCCCCCGTCAAGTAGCGGCGAGGACGCCGAGCTGTCAACGAGCGGTGCGGCGGCCGGGCCTGAGAACCGACGACGGCTGGGTCGTGTGGCGGCTGGAGCTCTGGCTTGAGGAGACTGCAAGGGAATCTTTGCAGACATTGATATTAACGCAGGCCGTGCGTGCTTTTGATAGTTTACCTCACCGCCGGCATGAAAAAAGGTCCGATAGCACACAGACAGCTACATGGACCATGCGAGTAAGTCAACCAGAAGTGAAGCCTCCCCTTCTCGCGTGTGTCTTTCCACTCTGCTGGATGATTCTTGTCGAAATTGAATGTCAGCAAACCTCTCGCTCCAAGCAAGCGGGTGGAATAATAATCTGCACAATGGAATCACCTGGACTAGGCAAGTTGAGTGGGACAGCCCCCAAATCGTTGCCCGTCAAGCTGTGAGTAGTATCTCTTGGTCCGAACCAGTGTTCCTCTTGAGTACCAACCTAGAGTTTGTGCCATCTCTGACCGGCCGGAGAGAGTGCACCTGGGAAGGGCGCTCAAGCCTGGATATGGTGCTGACTTGTTTGATGGATGTCTTGCTCGCACGAGTGTCTGGTTGGTATACCTCCCTACATTAAGGTGAGGCCTTGCGTGGACAACAACACGAGTACACAGCTTCCGCCCCTTTTTGAGGCGTCGGGGGTAAATGGACAGGCATTGTTACTAAGTAGGTACATGTAGGTAAATAATGATATCCTCCTATTTCGCGCCTTGCTCTGCGTTCATACTATGTCAAAACTGACATTTCTCTGAATCGGCTAGGTGTACGCAAGAAGATACCAAATGAAGAGGAGAGCGGCCGGGTTTATTTCACATTATGCCTGGACGTTTCGAGCATAATCACCTACCTATATGTACATTGAAGTGCACGCTACCTGCACGTGCTGGCAACTAGGGAGGGCTGGGAGGTACCTCTTAGGTTCGGGGCTACGGCAGGGGGGGCACGTGCTGGCCGAGAGTCTGGGCTACCAGTGCCGTCTAGTAGGTACCTAAGGCAGTAGCGCAGCGTTTCGGAGGATTGAATCAGTGCAATGTTTCGGGGTTCCATGATTGCAGTGATCTCTCCGTCCTTGTCGTCGGGTTGGAACTCGGCACCATTTCCCCTTCTTCGTTGCATCTCGACCGTCTCCAGACTCTAGACTGCAGATGTTGCCGCCTCACTGTCAGCTTTAGGTACCTGGTACCTACATCAATCATACCGGCATCGCATCAAGTGCCCCCGCCGTCACGGCTCGCCCGGCACACACCTCCTTTACAGCATACATGTTACCGTGAAGGCCTGGTCGGGTTTTTGTATTAACAAGGCAGCAATACATTGGACAGCCGCGTCTACAGTGTCACTATATTCATGGAGATGTCCGCAGGACAGTATATGTCCACGTAAGGTAACATTACACAGAGGTAATAAAGCTGGCAGTTGGGTGCATGTGGCATTGTCGCATTCAATGTTGGCAGGGCCCCCATCGGAAAAATCCTGATCCTGCACCACCGCCCGCCTTACCCTTACCATTGCCATCCCGAACCCGACACCACCTCCAGCTCCAGCTGCAACCTGCGACCTGGTACCCGACGTCAAGCCCGTGCTGTCGCCAGCCATCTCACGTCGACAACCACCGCGTCAGACCCGTCTGAATACACCCGAGCATCGCGTCCCATTTCGCCACCCTCAACTGTTCGGTGCCGGTCTTGCCCTGCCGGCGCGGTGGCATAGGGCGCATCGCCCATAACTAGCCATCATGTTCTGGAGGTTCGGCGGCTACGCCAACATCTCCACCATTGACACCATCCTCGATAAGCCCGACTTTCAGCTGGAAGACCTCCTCGACGAGAGCGATCTGATCCAGGAGCTCAAGCAGCACAACACAAAACTCATAGAGTACCTCCGTGAAGATAGGGTCCTCGCGAAACTCCTGGAATATGTCGTCGCTCCCCGCCTCGCCCCCGTAGAGACCCCCGACCAAGACCCCAAAGACAGCCAAGATGACGAAAAGAAGTCCAGGTCGAGGGCACTTTCCTTCGGCCGCCCCCGCGCCTCCTCCAGAGCCACCACCGACGAGCCCGAGGAAGACGAGGTCGAGAAGAAGCGGAACCGCTATGCCTACGTCGCCGCCGAGGTTCTGTCATCTGACAACTGGTCCATCTACGAGTCGCTGATGGAGAGTCGCGCTCTCCTGCGCCACTTCTGGAACTTCTTGAAGCTTCCCGCTCCGCTCGACCCCCTCCAGGCCAGCTATTTTACCAAGGTCAACGAGTCTCTCTTTGACAAGAAGACACAGGAGATGGTCGACCTCCTTAAATCGCTCGACGACGCCATCCCCGACATGCTGCGCCACGTGGACTGCCCCATGATCATGGACCTGTTGCTCAAAATTATTAGCCTCGAGCGCACCGATGAGGGCCAGGGCGTCGTTGAGGTATGCCTGCCAGACCCCCTCCTTCCCGATTATTTACGTCTCTTCGCCAGTTTGCTGACATGGCCCCTGTGCAACGCCAGTGGTTATACACCAAAGATGTCATGCCGACACTGCTTTCCTTCCTGGGTCCCGAGAACAGCTGGGCCACGCAGACAGCTGCTGGTGATTTCATCAAGGCCATCATCACCGTCTCCGCCAACGCCTCGCAGAACGAGCAAGCCTGCATCGGCCCCAACGAGCTCACTCGCCAACTGGTGTCTAAGCCTGGCGCCGAGAAAATCATTGGGTACATGCTTGGTGGCAAGAACCCCTTGACCGTAGGTGTAGGTATTATCATCGAGGTCATCCGGAAGAACAACTCCGATTATGACCCGGATGTCGGTCCCGATTCGAACGCCCTACCCTCCAGCCGGGATCCCATATACCTTGGCCCTCTGTTGCGCCTCTTCGCCGAGCACGTACCGGACTTCATGAATCTGATTCTTAACGCCCCGGCTAAGAAGAAGCGCCTGGACTCTACCTTTGGAGACCAGATCGAGCCCCTCGGCTTTGACCGCTTCAAGACATGTGAGCTCATGGCCGAGCTCCTGCATTGCAGTAACATGGCGCTCCTGAATGAGGTCGGGTCAGAACAAGTCATCACGACCCGCGACGAGGAGAGGCGACGGTTGCGCGCCGAAGGACGGCTTACTGCTAATCGTGGTGAAGAAGCACAGTCGTCAGAAGATCTTACTATGCGACCACGCCACTCCTCCCCTGACGATAGCCGCAAGCTTGAGGTCACAAACGCATCCGACGATGATGGCTTCGAAGAGGTCACTCCGTCCGGAGAAATGACGGAGGATACTTCTCACGAGTTTGTCAAGGCGGAAGAGGAGATTCCTGCTGGTCCATCCACGTCCTTCCTTGACAAGGACGACGACGAGTTTGTAGACGAACCTCTGAGCTCACCTCGACTTAACTTCCAAGATGTTCAGGTCAACGAGCAACAATTCGAGAACCCCGAGCTTGTTGTCGCTCCGTTGTCGCCCAAGAAACCAGGAATGGCCCAATCTGAATCTCAAGCGGCGGATACGGCCTCAGCGGCAAAGTCTGAGGATCTGCCCAAGTCTGATACGACGAGCAGCGCGGCCGAAATAGGGGATCCCGGCAGCAAAACCGGCGAGCGAGATCCGAATCCGTCGGCGGGCATCCAAGCAACTGTATCCGAAGTCACACCAGAAGAAACATCGGCTCCTGGCCAGCAGTCGTCCACTGAGGCTTCTAGTGTGGCACCGGGCACTGCGCACCCGGCACCCGAGGCCGAGGTCCCTAGTGTGGACGCAACGGCAGCAGCCAGGGACACTGATGCTCCGGTGGACGAGTCGCAAACCAGTCCTCAGGACGCTGGTATCACGACTGAAGCCACCACCGGCGAGGCATCTTTGATTGGGGACCGTCCTGAGTCTGCTAAGCAAATATCAGGGGAGCATGTGAACCCGGTTGTGGGTGACTTTTTGAAGAAGCAGTTTGTGGAACACCGCGTCGTCCCGACCATACTGGTAAGATTATCCGCCTGACCGTTGCAACCTTGTGGTGTTAATCTGACCAATTTGCAGTCTTTCTTCTTCCGATATCCATGGAACAACTTCCTTCACAACGTGGTATACGACATTGTGCAGCAGGTATTCAACGGGCCTATGGATCGCGGGTTCAACCCAAGCCTTGCTATCTCCCTATTCGAAGCTGCGGATGTCACCAATGCCATCATCAGGGGACAGGCCTCCAGCGAGCAATCACAGACCCAGAACAAGACACGCATGGGCTACATGGGACACTTGACGCTCATTGCTGAGGAGGTAGTCAAGTTCACAGAGCGTAACCCCCCGGAATTGCTCTCTGAGCTGGTTCTGGACCGTGTCATGAGCCAGGACTGGATCAACTATGTCGAGGGTGCGTTGGCCGAGACACGTGAGAGGGACAATGCCATCCTTGGCGGTGTCAGACCCGAGGTTGCTATGAGCAATAGGGCGCAGATGTCCAACAACGGCCTTGGCGGTATGGGCTTGTCTAGCCTTGGACTCGGAGGTGGCCAGGCCGCAGGGTCCAGCACGCTTGCAGACGCTGGCCTGGCCGGCGGTGCCAGCAACCAGGACACACAGGATAACGGCAGCGGAAGCAGTATCGGGCCTTTCAGCATAAGCTCCGGGCTCCTCACCGGCTCTGGCTTCGGAAGCTCTAGTGATGAAGAAGAAGACGAGGCGGAAGACAATGAGGAGGAAGTGAATAATGAGGTTAGTCATCCCCTGCATCGTGTCGGCAGCCGTCGCAAACACCATCCCCCCACAAACCCCCGAGATGGACGAGTGAAATTGGACCCGAGGACCCCACTCGAGGACCCGAGAACCAGAGGACCCGAGGACCCGAAATGACTACCAAGTCCTTGGAGGCATTACTGCTCAAGATGGCAAGTAAATAAGGGCGAAGTCGTCGCCAGGACAACTAGAGTATGACACACGGACGACAAGTTACGCCCTGTGGGGAGACTGGAAAACCCCGGCACTGTTGATACGGCCCCGGCGACTCTAGAGGTACCTTCTACCTTGAAAAGGCGATTTTCGAACAGCCAGTAATGTTGCAATGTTTGCCCGATCGCCAAATTCCAACTATGTGTCCCACATAGTTGTGATACTGCTGTCCAGTCCCCGGCGATGTCCGTGTCGTTCATGGCAGGTTCCATACCTCTTCACATGGACTCATATCAGACGTATGGAATTGGACTTGATTGTGCTCTACATTCTGCTGCAGCGGCGTTTACCACTAAACAGGGAACTCTACACCTTCTACGGTCCCTCGGAGCCTTTGCCAATCCTGGGCTCGTCCTTCTCTCATCTCCAGGTTTTCTACATCTATCACAACGTTCACTAACTCTGTTCTAGTTCCAGTCATACACCGACCCATTAAACACATCGCCATCGTCGTTGGAGCCACCCTCAATTCCCCCTCCACCACCGCCGCCGCCCCCGTTGAACATCCCACCTTCGCGCGCCCGCCTCCAGCTTGCTGCGCGTTTGGCCATGCATCAGAAACCTGCCAGTACGGCGTCAGCGCAGTCTGCCGAGGTTGAGGATGGCGGCGACGGCGATGACTCGGGACTTGCCCGGGAGCCCGACAGTATCCTTCAAAATCCTTTCGAGGATGATGGAGAAGACGATGTCGATGACGACAGCGACGACGGTCTGAGTGGAGAAGGTGACGACGCGGAGTCATGGAATGCGGGGGCTGAACGCGGTAGCTGGTGGCGCGGGGCATTGAGCAGAGGCAAGGAGAGGTTCGGCGACGGCAGGGATGATTCCGACTCGGACAAGGAAGAGGCGGGCGAAGGCGATGAGGAAGACGAGGAGTTTGGCGATTTCGCCATGCCTGAAGTTGACAAGGACGGCAGCAACGAGAAGGGCAGCGTGATTGTGAAGCCGCTCCCGGTCCATCCGCCGTCGCAGAGCCAGAAGAGCTCGGCGTTTACCAGTCTCTGGCCATTCGGATCCAAAGACAAGGACAAGGACAAGGACAAGGAGAAGCCGAAGGGCAAGGAGGGGGACGAGGCCGGCGACGTGGCTCCGGAGGCACTGGGCGAGATCACGGGCGATGATGGTGAGAAGATAAGGCCTACTCACGAAGCCGCCCGGCGGACGAGCATCGAGGATCCTGACGAGGAGGAGGAGGTGGTCGTCTAGAAAGCGACCTGTTCCGACGAGGCAGCGGACATAGCAGAGGGCTTTGTCGAGATCCGACCCACGGTCGAGGTCCGCCGGCGAGGCATGAGGCGATGATGAGAGGTGAGATAGAAGGCTGGAGAGTGTTTGTTGGCGTTTTGTGATGGCATGTGCCAGGAAGCTCTCGAAGCAGACTACCAAACTACGAGAGCAGGCGAGCGTAGAGTGTACATGGGAGGTTTGGCAGGAGCGGTTCGGTGGAAGGACACTCTGTTTGTACTATATATGTGATTTTAACTGTTGCTTGCACGTCCCACGATTTCCCCCAACCTGTACAGTACTTCTGGAATGTCATAAAGAGAATGATTTCGTCACGGCATCTCCGGTACAAGTGCTTTAGCGTTGTGCGACAGCGCGCATGGGGAAGCCAGCGAGCATGTCGTCGACAGGGTTACCAAAGGTAGGTAGGTAGGTCTTGTCTTGTTGGAGTTCGTTTCACTGATAGCCCCTCCATGATGGCGGTGGCGGTGGCGATGAGAGAGGCCGAAACGGAGGGTACGGGGTGACGGGGTGACGGGGTGGAGGATCTGGAGGACCCTGGGGGACCCTGGGCCAAGCCCAATCCCGTCTCGATATGGCTCACCGAAGGAGACTGGGCGCGGCACAGCGGCATGGCGGCATGCGGCACGGGGAGGCACAGAGACACACGCCAGACTTCGATTGGTTACCTACCTTAGGTACCTGTTTCAACTCCCGGTCCGCTTTGGGATGGCCAGCTACATGCTGTGCCGTCGTCGACGGAGGGTGGCACGTGGATAGAGTACAGCTTGTCATTGTTGCTGTCGTTGCTGTTGTTGTCGTCGTTGTTGTCGAGCTTGGTATTCGACAGAGAATGGATTCGGCCCGTCGACAGGCGTACCTTACTGTACGGCTGCGGTGCATACCTCCTACTACTACCTACTACTATCTACTGTGCGATGGCGATGGCCAGGCAGCCAGGTCGTTGGTTACATTGGCCACATCCTACACCCGACGCATTCTCGGTAAGGAAGGCATGCGGGGACGCAACCGGTTCTTGAAGCAGAGGAATGCATGTGTTGGACAGATTGCGTCTCGTCTATCAACAACCTTGGACAGACAGACAGACAGACAGACAGACGCATGCATCTGTTCATGTTGGACTCGATGCGCATCAGCACACATATGAATCCGTCAAGCCGTCAAGCCATCGAGCCATCGAGCGACGGACGAAACGGCAATGCATCAGAAACCGGCAGAAGCGGCGTATAATTCGAAGGATGCTGACCTGACTTTTACGCCGGGCGTGCTGGTGTTACTGCCCGGTACTGGTATCATCCTGCATGACGTTTTGTCTTCCTGTCGCGCCGTTTCTGGCTGACTTGTCTTACTTGTAGGTACCTTACCGGCTTACCTAGGTCAGTCTGCATCCCAAAGTGCATATAGGTACTGTACACAGCCGCAGCCTCAACAGGCACATCGAGACGTACGTTCCTTTCTATTACCTAAGATGTAGCCAATATACATACTTAGGTACTTACTTTGGCCCAGACAGCCAGACTACCAGCACTCAACACCCTCCCTGGGTGAATGAACATTCCTACTGCTCAGTGTTCACTCATGATTAACCTAGGTTAGGTAGTAGATCAGATGACTGCCAGTCTGCCATCGACTCGAGCTCTCAACTCGATCGGAAGAGGAAGTCGACCCCTGCAAGGGACAATCTCGCGTGGCAGTGGGCACAATCCTTCTGCAGAGTCTCTCAGTCCAGGCTGCCAGCCACTGCCAGACTGCCAGACTCCCAGAACTTGTCGCCCCTGGCCCCGTGACCCAACAAGTTATTATTACAACTCGACAACTTGGGTAAACCACAACTTGACACATCTTCAAGTGGTATGTATGTCATTAGGTTAGGTCCCTACATTAGGCTGATGCACCAAATAAATAACTGCACAGTCCGCCAAGTGGCCAGGTGGCCTGGCAGGGAGAAGGGAGATCTATCCATCTGATGCAGAGGACTTTCTGCCGTCGGACGCGGACGGGCTGACGGGCTGTTTTGGGCCATTTGCTGCCTTCCAAGTTTGGCTAGCGGCGCGCCAATCCTTGGGGGAAGTGGACCTTCATGTTCTGACCTGTTAGGAGGGCTGTTCCTATTTTAGACGTGGGTCTCACTGGCACCAGCTGCAGCTGCATGTGCAACTGTGGCACGGGCTCTCAATTCAGGGCAATGGTGAATGGCGGCGGCTCAGCCACCTCTCGAGTCTCCCGTCGATCTGTGCTCCCGCTCCCTCGACCAATTTGATCGTTGATCGTTGATCGTTGATCTCCATGTGTTGTGAACTTGTGCCTCTTCTCTTTCCGGCTCTGTTCTTGCGATCCATGTTCCAACGTTGATCTGCATGTTGCGAGTGCGCCATGTACCATTTGCGAACCATGTGTACAGCTACATAGGTATGTCGCATGTGTGGTGATCGACGATTCGCAAGGCACACCACCAAACCAACATGAACATACGAACCCGCGGCCCCAAAATATCATGTCTCAGCCCAGGTCAGCCAGCTCCGTCAGCTCAGCTCTGTACCGTACGTGAAGAAGCCATGCGGCTGGGACGTGTGGTTGTGGTTGCAGACGAGACAACCAGTCAGCCAGTCGGACAGATCAATCATCACGCGCAGACGGTCAGGGACATCGGCACCGGGCACCAGTATGGATTGTCCTCGTTGTCGAGCCCGGGCTGCCCGGGATCAAGGTGCTAATACGTGCCCACAACGCGCTCCTTCTGAAGTTCTGTAGGATTTCACACTGCCTCATTGGTCTCGGCTGTCTTCTAAAAGTAATAATCCATCCATGTCCATGTGGCATTGTGGCATGAACCTTCAACCCAGGGCTCCCATCTGTTCCCCATCCGTCTGTCTGTCTGTCTGTGCAGGCCTGCTCACAGCTGACAGCTTGGCCCCAAGTTCCAACACGGTGACACCCCCAACCCCGAACCCTCTCTCACCCCACCAGTCCACCCACCCCCCCGGCCAACTGGGCCACGAACTACTGCATGTATCAGTAGGTATCCAGAGAGCCTCCGCCGTTTGCGCCGTGGTGCATTGGTGCGGGCTGAGGTGTAAGCCCATGCCTGCTGGGCCCTGTCGTCCCTGTCCTGTCCTGTCATCCGTGATCCTGCTGCTCATAATCGCGATGCTACCCGTCTTCCCAGTCTGCTGTCTTCCTTTCTCTCTCCTTCTGCCTTCTCCCTTTCCATTCCTACCTCCCCAAGTGTGCGGCTGTGAATGCTACTTCATTCGTTGACTTTATCTGTGACCACCACTCTATAGCTCCATCTATTCTCCGACCAACCCGGAGCCCCAGCTCCCCTGCCAGACCCTAACCTCCAGTTACAGTACACCCAGTACATGCCAGAGCCTACACCCGGCTCGAACCTACAACAACTTGATGTCTCTCCAGTGATACTCACGAGGAGCACCTGCTTCGCCGTCTCCCCTCTGCAGCAGACTGGCGAGTCGTGTCCTGTTGCTCTCGCTCTATCTTCCTCACGCTCTTTTCTCTCACCCCCTAACCGCAGGGTGACGCGCCAACCATGGCTTTTAACAACACGTCCTTCCTGCCTCGGATTGATACTGCCGTGAGCATCCCCGGTGGCGAGACCGGACAGCCGATAAGTGCCACACATTCCGACTGCTCGCCGAGAGGGCTGCCGGAGCGGCGGCGTCTGCGGTCAGTCAACACCTCGCCGTCCCTGACCCGGACCCGCAGTGATAACACCCAGAAGCTTCTCAGATCGGCAACCGAGGCCGTGGCCGACGCCCTGGGTGTTGACGCGAATGACCTACCACAGCCCTTCGAGGGTATGACGGCCATGCGCAATGATTCCTACTCCTCCTCCTTCCTTTCGGAACCGCACCAAGACTTACGGCCCATCAGTGGCTTGAGGCAGATTCGATATGACTCGACAAGCTCTGTTTCCGTCTATTCGCCCCCGCTCGAGTCCGACGACTGGCGGAAGACCATGGGCGACTCCATTCAGAAGCGTCTCACCCTGGCCGTCGCCGACGTCCTCGGCATGGACGGTCGCATCATCCCCCTCGAAGAATCATTCGTAGAACTGGGAGGCAACCAACGGATGGCAAGGGAACTGCGCGCAAATTGCGCCACCGCCGGCATGGCCATCAGTACGAGGGACATCATGAACTGCAAGACCATCGCCGAGCTTGAGACATGTATCACGCCTCTCAGCCCTGACGAGTTGGCAAAGCTCCGCGGTGCGCCCTCCATCGTGAGCCCCATGGACCCTAGCTCGCCAGAATACGCCATGCGGAACGTCAAGCGTCAGAAGTCGGAACAGGCTACTCCTCCCCCCGTCCCAGCCAAGGCGCTGGCTGGGACCAATAGCCTCACCCGGGTCCCGCGAAAAGCTTCGCGGAGACATCACAATGATGTCGAACAACTCCTCACACTCCACGGCGACGTCTCGGGTGCCTCTGTACTCAGGCCCAAGGCCGGGCTCTTCGAGGGCCATGTCGTCGCCCTCATCACCTTGGCCAGCTGTGTGGTCCAGGGGCCGGACGACTGCGAGATCAGACTGCAGAACGCTTATTACACCAGCCAGCTACCGACCATCCGCGACGCCATCGAGTCGCGAGTCTCGCCCAAGTTTGCTCCCACCGTTTGGATCGTGCTGGAGAAGATGCCCCTCAACGAGAAGGGCGAGAACGACCGGAGGAAGCTACAGACTTGGATACAGAATGCCAACGACGAGCTGTATCGGCAAATCACCTCGGTCCAATCCCAGGATGAGCCGAGACAGCCTACGACGGCCTTGGAGAGGCGTATTGCCAAGGCCGTAAGCAAGGTTCTGCGAGTCGAGCTGACCGCTATAGACATGAACATGTCATTTCGGGGGCTGGGAGGCGATCCAGACACCGCTGCTCAGCTTGTCGAGATGTGCAGGTCACAGGCCATCTCCATCCACCGAGACGACATCCTGCAGGCTTCCTCGCTCGCCCTACTGGCGACTCTTGCGACGGCCGGCCAGACGCATTCGCGAAACGCCAGCGAAACCGCCACCGAGATCTTCGAGCTGTCTGCCATGCAACGCCTGTATTTCCACACGCCCATGGGCAGCGATTCCTCGCAGAGAGCGTCCACGAGCAGCGACTACCGCTTCAACCAGAGCATCCTGCTGCGGCTGAAGCGGAGCATAGGCACCGAGGAAGTGCGCGCCGCCGTCGAGGCTGTGGTGGGCCGCCATCCGATGCTCAGATGTCATTTCCGGCCCACCACAGGGTCCTGGTGCCAGTCCGTCCTGCCCGACATCTCGACGTCGTACCACTTCGCCCATCACGCCGTGGGCACCAACTCCGAGATCGAGGACGCCGTCTCGGCCGCCCAAACTGCCATCAACATCGAGCAGGGTCCCGTCTTCGCTGCTCACCTCTTCCAAGCCCAGGATGCATCTCAGATGCTCTATCTTGTCGCCCACCACCTGGTCGTCGACCTCAAGTCGTGGCGCGTCATAGCCGACGATCTCGAGGGTGTGTTGACCAAGGGTCATCTCGTCTCTGGTCGTTCGCTCTCGTTCAAGGAGTGGACGTTGCAACAGAGACGCCATGTGCAGAATACGAGGGGCGCAAATAGCCTCCCGTTCGCTGTGCCGCCGCCGCATTGCGAGTACTGGGGCATTAGCCCTGCGGCGTCTAACACGTACGGAGACACGGCGGTAGCCGGATTCAGCCTCGGCAACGACATTACCGCAATGCTTGAAGCCACCAACAACGAGCTAAAGGCCGACTCGTGTGATGTCTTCATGGCAGCGCTCCTCCTCTCCTTCTCTCAAACTTTCCAAGACAGGCCCGTGCCTGCTCTCTGGAACCAGGAACATGAGCGGAACGCTCTGGATACAGAGCGCGACATATCCGATACTGTAGGATGGTTCACCTCTCTATGTCCCCTGGCGGTGGATGTGTTCCCAACGGATGATATCTTCGCCATTCTCAGTCGTGTCAAGGACGCGCGACAAGCCACCGTGGAGAGAGGGTTACCATACTTCACCGACAATCTCATCGACGGACCCTCTGCGGATTCCTTCGCAGCGTCCTACTGCCCTCTAGAGCTCATCTTCACCTATGCCGGCGTCATGCAGAATCTGGAGAGCCAGGGCGGTCTTCTGGAGCAGCTTCCCATCCCCGGCAGGGCCCTGGCGTCCAAGACGTCAGATATTGGGCGTTCAGTCGGACGTATCGCCGTCTTCGAGGTATCGGTCTTGATCGATAACGGCGACGCCAAGTTCAAGTTCCTATACCATCGCGAGTCGAGACATGAGCAGGTCCAGGACTGGATGCTCAGGTACGAGAAGTTACTTCGCCAGTGTATCACCAGGCTTCGATACCACACACCAGGACTCTCCCTATCCGACGTGCCCTACCTGGACGCTACATTCGAGGGACTGGAGCAGTTCAACAAAGACATCATTCCCAGCCTGAACCTCAACGTCGCGAACATCGAGGCCATCTATCCCGTCACGGCCAACCAGCAGAACGTACTCATCAACCAGCTGTTGATGCCCGGCAGTTCGAATACGCAGATGATCTATGAACTCAACACGGTCGGCACCTCTGTTGACATCAGGCGCATCTGCGCCGCGTGGCAGCAGGTGACGGAAAACCATCCGTCAATGCGAACAGTCTTCTCGCCCAGCATCTCGCAGAATGGCCTGTATGACCAGATTGTCTTATGCCACCACTCCCCCAGCATGCTGTTCCTCGAGGGCGAGAGCATCGACAGCTCGATGGCGGCCATTGACAACCTTCCACCCTTGCCTCTGACAGAGGGTATCCCCTGGCACAGGCTCATCGTTTGCCAGTCCATGGGCAAGACCTTGCTCAAGTTGGAAGTCGATCAGGCAATATGCGATGTGAGTAGTCCCCAATGGTGCCTTGGTCCGTGGTTCGTTGCTAATCATCAACACAGGTTGCCAGCCTCGTGATCCTCTTTAGTGAACTCGAGCAAGCTTACTTCGACGGCGAGGCGCCTCCTAGTTTCGAGGTTTCGTATGCTGAGTATATACAGTGCCTCAAGATGACGCCCTGCAGCGTCGAGTACTGGAAGGACAGATTGCACGATGCTCGGCCATGCCGCTTCCCCAGCCTCGCATCCAGATCTGCCGCCCAGCCCGAGTGGCATACGACGTCTGTAGACCTCCAAATCCCGTGCCAACGCCTTCAAAGCTTTGCGAACGGCTCCAAGGTCGACTTGTCCACGGTACTCCGGGTGGCCTGGGGTCTCTTGCTCAGGACGTACCTTGGGAGCGATGATGTCTGTTTTGGCTACCGCACGTCCGGCCGAGATATTCCCGTCAAAGGTCTAGGTAGCGCTGTCGGTCCGTTCTCAACGGTGCTGCCGTGTAGGATCCGTATCCTATCCACCGAATCCGTCTCTCGAGTGTTGTTGCGCGTCGAAGATCAACGTATGGCAGCCCTGCATCACCAACACGTGCCGGTAAGCAAGATCCAGCACGAGCTCCAGACAAAGGGCGATCGCCTGTTCAACACGAGCCTGTCGTTCGGATACGAGGAAGTCTCCAATTACAGTCTTGCCGATGCCAGGTTCCACCACACCCACTCTCGACAAGCTTCGGAATACGACATGAACGCCGATGTAAACTTTCACAACGGCAATGTCACCATCGAGCTGGGTTCGCGCATTCTCACCTCGGACCAGGCTAATACCGTGGCACTCGCTTTTGGCCGGGCCATAGAGACCATCCTCGAAGCCCCGAGCGGTATTGTCAAGGAGACTGATCTGTTCAGCGTGCATGACCACAAGCAGATCCTCGCGTGGAACAGCATGCCTCAGATCGATGTACCCAAGGATCATGTCCACCAGCTCATTGCCACGCAGGCTATCCGAAACCCCGACATCCAGGCCGTCTGTGCCTGGGATGGAGATTTTACGTACGGCGAGCTGCACCGGGTCTCGACGGTCCTCGCCAAGCACCTGTTGGCGACCGGCCTCAAGCCTCAGACACCGTTGCCAGTCATCTTTGACAAGAGCCGATGGGCCATCGTGGCCATGTTGGCAGCCTTGACGTAAGTTCCTCGCAACGATCGACGCCGAAGCATTCGCTAATCAGCCATAGTGCCGGTGCCATCATTGTGCCCGTTGACGTCGAGACCAACGCTACCTTTCTGCCGGTGGTTGAGGCCATGAGCCCCGACGTGGTCCTCGTCTCTGACACGGTCCGAAAGTATGTTGACTCTCTCGGGCGCAAGGTTGTTGTGGTCAACGAGAAGACCGTGGCCGCCATGTCGGCGCAGGCGGTCGAGATGACTACGCCTCGAACGAATCCATACGATATAGCCTGTATCCTCTTGACCTATGGGAATTCAAAGAACCACAAGTCCTTGTCGTACAGCCATGGTGCTCTCGCAACCGCATGTTCCGGTCAAGGCCCGACGCTGCGGATCAACCCATCGAGCCGAGTGATGCAGCTCTCGTCGTACAGCGTTGATGTTGCTTTGTCCGAGGTATTCACTACCCTGGTCAGCGGCGGTTGTGTCTGTGTCCCTTCGTCTGCCGAGAGGATCACCGGCTTCTCGGCCGCAGCACGACGCATGAAGGTGAACTGGACCTACTTGACCCCGACGTTGTCTCGGAAACTTCAGCCAGAAAGCCTGCCAGACCTGGCTGTCGTGTGCTTCCGCGCAAGGCAACTCGACAGCGACGCGTATGCACCCTGGGCGGGTAAGGCCAAGGTACTCCTGGCGTATGGGTCGGCCGAAGCCTGCCCACTAGGACTCTCGGCTACCGAGGTGACCGACTCGGCCGCGTCGCAGAGCTTCGGTAACCCGTTTTGCGGCAACTTCTGGATCGTCAGTCCGGAAGATAACAACCGGCTTATGCCTGTCGGTGCTGTCGGCGAGCTTGTGATCGGAGGCCCTACTCTCGCCAGCGGGTTCGATATCGGCGAACAGGACGTCAGGACCTGGGTAGGCAAGAGCGCGGCTCGCGCGAAATCGCTCCTCGACCAGTCAGGCAGTCGCCTCCTCAAGACGGGACATATGGTACGCTACCGGGAGCATGGCCATATCGAGTTTGTCACAGCCGAGGGCGAGGAATGCGCCATCGACGGCAAATCATTCCGTGTCTCGGACGTTGAGCCCAAACTACGCCGCTGCCTCGGCCGAAACGTCGATGTCGTCGTCGAGACGATTGCATTCAACGACTCCAGCTCAACGCCCATCCTAGCCGCGTTCGTCGAGTTCGGTGATGCCCTGCACGGGAAGGAGGACCTGCTGAGGCTCGGCCGCCTGACCAAGGAAAAGCTGTACCTCTCCAAGAAGATGGCTGACATGGTCCTTCGAGAGACGCTTCCGAGCCATATGCTGCCTTCGGCATACGTCCCTGTCCGAAGCATGCCTCTGACCCCTTCCCTGAAAGTGAACAGGCGGGAGCTGCAGAGACTCATTGCAGGTCTGTCACACAAGCAGCTCCTAGGCCTCGCACAGGTGCCAAACCCGCAAGAGGTACAGGCGGCCAGTCTGAAGCCGCTACCGCTGACCCGAGTCGAGCAGCAGATGCGCGCCATCTGGGCTGATGTCCTCAAGATCCAGCAGGCCTTCATTACCGCCAACGACGGGTTCCTGGGACTGGGCGGAGACGCCGTCACCGGCCACGAGCTGGTCATTGCTTGCCGCCGCCGAGGTATTGCCATCTCCATCACCGACGTCCTCCGCAACCTCTCCCTGACGGAGATGTGCCGTGGAGTAGCCGCAATACGCGAGCCCGAAGTGTACGTGTCCCAGGCGAATACAGACACAGGCGCCAGTCAGCAGACGGAGGACGTTGTTCAGGAGACACGGCTCCCGAGCAGAAACGAAGAGGCCGAGACGGACTGTGTGGAGCCTGTGCCAGCCAACGCCTTCATGGACGAAGCCATCACGCCGCAGATAGGCTCGGACGAGAGCATGATCGAAGACGTAGCCGAGGCCACCTCTCTACAGACGGCCTTCATCGAGTCCGGCATGCTGCAGAGCCGTGGTAACGTCACGTACTTCCTTGTCAACATGGCTGGCTCTCTCGACTGGCAGAAGCTTGAGCATGCATGCTTCATGTTGACCAGGGCCCACCCCATTCTTCGCACCTCGTTCGTGTCCCACAGCCGTCAGGTCTACCAGACCGTCCTCCGGTCCTACCGCCCGGATTTCTTGCGCTATCAATGCCAGGGCTGGCGCCTGGGCAACCTGGCGACGAAGCTTGTCAAGAGGGAGCAGCCCCTGGCGGTTGACTTCCGCCGACCAGTCACCAAGTTCTTCTATCTCGACGCCGGCAAGAGCTCCATACTCGTCATTCGTCTATCTAGGGCCCAGTACGACGAGCTCTCGATCCCAATGCTGATGCGCGACCTCGGTCGGTTCTACAGTCGAGGCGACCGGCTGACCAGAAGTCCCGGCTTCTGCGAGGTCGTCAGAGCTGCACAGGCGGCCAACTTCAACGGTGCCAGCACCGATTACTGGCGCGGGCTGCTGGAGGGCGCGTTGCCTACCCAGCTCGTCTCTCAACCGTCCCTTACGAGCGCCGACACGAACGCAAGGACGCTCCATCAGCAGATCCCGACCGGGTCGTTGCAGAACCTGGGCATACCCTTTGAGACGATCCTGAAGGGCGCGTGGTCCATCGTCCTGTCCAACCTCTCGGGTACCACCGACGTCGTCTTCGGCCAGCTTGTGAAAGGCAAACACCTGACCCTCCCGAACGGTCAGGCCGTGGCGGACGTCGTCGGTCCCACGGGCAATGTGATCCCCGTGCGAACGCGACTGCCCGACATCCCCATCACACCCTACGAGTACTTCCGATGTGTGCAGAGCCAGCACGTGGCCAGCATTCCGCACGAGAACATGCAGACGGCCGACATCGTGCAGCAGTGCACGCCCTGGCCCGCATGGACTCGTCTCAGCACCGTCGTCCACCATCAGAACCAGTCCGAACAGGGCGGGCTGATGGATTTCACCATCGGCAGTGCCAGCTGCAAGCTTAGCCTGATGGAATCCAACCACCAGGACTCGGACGTCTTCGTGAGGACGGCCATGGCCGGCTCGGACAATGTCGACATTTCCGTCACCTTTTGCGAGAATCGAATGCAGCTGTTCTTTGCCGACGAGCTGTTGAAGATGCTCTGCTCGACCATCTCGGTGCTGACGGCCACCTTCGTCATGGAGCCAATGCTGCTCAAGGGTCTCAACGACAGCTACTCGACACCTCGGATTCCGCTGCCGGCGCCCAAACGCGATGCCGCCATCTCGTCGTCGGTGCAGTCTGTCGACCCGGACCATGCGCGTGCCGTTCACACCATCATCTCGGCTGCCTGGGATTCTGTCCTCGAGCCACAGTCGGTAAAAGCCAAGATAACCGACATCCGGTCCACGCCCTTCTTCGACATCTGGCCCTCGTTGATGCCGGCGGCCGAGCTGGCTCGCTACTACACGCAGAAGGTGCCGCGAATGCCCGGTCTCGAGGAGAAGCTGTACACGATGGAGGAGATCATCGAGCACCCCACCATGATGCAGCAGTACGAACTCATCATCGCCAAGCAACAGTCGCCCCAGCTCAAGCACTCCAGGAGCCGTATCATGATGCGAACGCCTTCGTCCTGGGGCAAGAACTTTCGCAAGCTGACCATCGGGACCGGGCCGGCCCCCAGTAATGGCATAGCCAGCAGTAGCCTGACCGTGCCGGCCCAGAAGCACAAGACGCCGATTTCGGGCCGTAGCAGCTCGCTCGAATCCCTGACGGCGGGAAGCAGCAACAGTGACGACGACGACGACGACCTCCTGAAAGAAGGGGCCCGTACCCCACCGACGCCCCCCTATGTTGGACATGGCAATAGATCGCCCGCTCTCATCAAAAGGAGCCCTGTCAAGAGCCACAGGAAGGCATCTTCGCTCTTGGGCAAGATGATGCATGGGCCTTCGGCCTGATTATACTATCATTATTTCTTTTACGTTCTGTGTATATATTGCATGTATTATTCGGGTGTTTTGTGTGGTCGGGTCATCATCCGGGTTGCATCAAAGACGGCCTGTCTGGTGGTGTCTGGTGGCGCTTGGGATTGCATTGGAAAAGGGTTGGACTAGTTTGGGAAGGACTTTCCCTACATCTCTCGTTTGATACCCAGTTCATATGTAGCCTGTCGGAAATCGAGCAGTTCAAATCTTCAAAATCATCTAAATTTGCCATGCTGCTGCTTCACATCACCGATCTATATGTGCACTGGTGTACGTTCTTTGAATATGTACGTCTATAATATGTACGTTGTCGTTGCAGAGGTTATCCAATACGAGACGCCCCAATACAGGTATCAACAGTGATCGTGGTATTGGTGACGCTCGGTGATCAAGGGCGAGGGGGGAACGAGGCCTTCTTGGACCTTGCCCCCATCATCCTCACATTGGCCGCCCACAGTGGTCTTGTCCTTATTCCCTGTGTCTTCAGCAGCGTCCTTCGTGGCACGTTCCTCTTGGCTCAACTGCTTCCGCCTGTCCCTGTCTTCCCTGGATTCCGTCAAACTCAGCCAACTCGTATACCATACGTAGTAAAAAAAGGGGCGCGGAGGTGCTCGACCTACCTGAAAGCAGACAGCAAGCCCTGCATACGCGTCCGCCCCTTGACGTCGAGGTTCAAGGGCCGTTGGCGGTATATGGTCTTCTGGCATTCCTCCTCGGCGGCACGGGCCGACGTGCACGCCTCGCACGTCTCGCCCGTCTGGAGAGCTACCTCGCCTCAGCTCACCCCGCGGCAGCCGCGGCCGTTCTCGACGTACCCGCAGGGCGTAAGGAGCTGGCGCTGGTTGAACTCTTTGTTGCACTCGTAGCAGTGATTGGCTGACGTCATGCACCAGCACATCTTGAATGCGGCTTTGATGAACAAGTAATCTTTTGAAGATCGAGTAACTTAGTGGGCAATCAGTGTACTCTATCAGCCAGTTCTTGGAATCAGTGGATTCAGGGGCGAAATAGGGGTTCAAATGTGAATAACCGCGTGTGCTTTAGGGCGTGCTGTGGTAATTGCAGTAAGCGGTCAAAACGTCGATGATATATGCATCGTAGGATGCCTTTGTGCCACAAGACCATTGTTTTCTGCGAACAAGACTGAAGGTCGTCCGAGATGTAGCAAAGGCGTGGCCAGACAGCATTGGAGTCTTGTTGTTTGAAGTGGTTCCTTTGTCAGAACGTTACCACAATAGCATTCCTCCGGCGCTGCACTAAATGAGACCTTTGTCTGTACTCGTTCAGGATGTTCGCGTCCACGCTCTAAGACAAAGCAGGTAGTAAAGAAACATTGCCAACAGCGATCTCGAGGCTCAACAGGGTGTCCTTGACATTGATTATTGGTGTTCGAGGACTTTACATGGCGAGTTGTGTTACCCCTTGCCTACTGCAAATAACGCCATACTGTAGAACGCGCCGGGTGGAGTTGTCCTCTCCCCTATTGCTTGACTAGTTCTTCCAACGTAGTCAAAGTAGATATTCCGAGTGGTCGCCCACCCGTTGGCATAGCAGATTGTACCATCAGACAGTCAACCAACCAGTGTGGGACAATGGTAAACCGTCCGGGATAACTCACTCAATTCACCTTTACACCATCGCATACCAAGATCGCTGGAGAGATACTCAAAAGAGCCAGCTACTACTTGCACTAACCTGAAGTGTATCCAATTACACCCAGCTGCAGCTTCGTTCAATAACGTCGTATCCATAACTGTCTCATAGGCCAGAGTCGCCTTGAAAGTACTCAAGCCACAATGGGCCTGACCAACGCGTAAATGGCCCACATACGACACGGAGTGAAACGACCCCAAGCCAACCTTAGCAAGTCAAGGTCGACTGGAGAGACAGGCTGTTTGAGCATTGTCGTGACCAAGCCAATATGATCATGCTTTCTAGCCAGACACATCATGATCCACTCCACAAATACTTGGTTCTGGGCGTTCTTCGCGATGCGGTGATGTGATGAAGAAGTGAATTCAAGTCAAACGAGTGTGAGTGGTATACCAAAAACGACAACGATCAATCCCAGAAAAGCAGATAAAACGCCCCCAAGACCCGACAAAGGAAACCCGACGACGACATTACTCTGAAAACCCAACCCCTAAAAGCAACGACAACCCCCCAACGACTGACTGTAAGGCAGTTCCCCTACCAAAGGGCTCGATGGCATCCTGAACCTCGTGGATGACGCCCCTAGCGACCGGTACTACCCCCCTATTTTTGCGCCTTCTCTTTCTCCGCCTTCGCTTTCAGCATTTCATCGACGCCCTTCTGTCTCTCAGGTGACAGCTTCTTGTACAGGTCATTGGTGTTCGCTGGAGTCGCCGTGGGTGGATTGTAGTCTGGGGCCGGCTGCCCGCTGGCAGGATTGCACGGGTTGTCGTCTTGGGGCATCGTGACGGTCGGCTCGGTCAGAGGGTCGGGCTTGATATATCTCTAGGCAACAGTAAGCTCTTGATACCGGGCGGGATATTGCCATACCCACCTGGACGGTATGTGTTGTCTGGAGGAACTCTGGGTTTCTTGACGGCACGAGGAGTGATGATGATGTCTGAGCAGAGAAAGACTCACCTTAAGAATCTGTGCTGGCAGCATACTTATACACCTCCAAGGTCCCTCCGAGTCGATCTTTAGATGGTGTTATGTTGGCTGACAACGTATGGAACGAGTCGAGCTGGTGTCGTGAGCAGCCGCTTGCGGTCCAACATCATGTGATATGAAGCAAGCGCCCTCGGTTGGTGATCGAAGTCGACACGAGCCTCATCACGAGGCATGCGTTTGACCTTGTTCGTAACTGGCGCTAGTGTTGCAACCCAACTTTTCGACGGCGAGGACAAAGGCCGTTCCAAGGAACCAATGATTTTATGGTCATGTTGTATCGAGCTTGTCTCCTTTCCAGCTGATGCTGAAGCATGTGAAGCAACCGGTTGTATATTAAATGTCCCCGCCGTTGGTACGACTGTGTTCGAAACATGTTGGCCTGCACAGGAGACAAAGAGTTGAAAGTGTTACGAGGGCCTCGATGGACTCGCAATTTGGCCTTTTTGGTATTATATGCTTCCAACAAGGGATACGAGGTGTAGTTTATTACGCAAAACATGACTAAAGTCTACACTGTCGTAAGCGGTTGATACAAGGCCATCTTCACTTCTAGTGATACTTTCCGCATGCATCGTAGGGGGCCCTTGCTTCCCGCGTCATACCTTCGCAGCAGGCATCCTGGATGGTTGAAAGCTGCAAGGGACCAGCTCGATTGTGAGGGAGAAATGGTCTGGCCCAGGGCTAATACGTAATGCCTATGAAGCTCAATGCGGACTTGGAGGAATTCTCAATGTATTGCCCAGACGTTGGTCACACGGCCGACACTGAGTTGGTTCCGACTGGCATGACAACATCTACAGCCGCCAACATGAGGCTATGGGACGAACGACATGTAATACTTCAGCTCTTCCGAGTGAGGATGGACTCGCTGAAAGCGGTATGTCCCAGCCCGATCTCAATGATGATGAAGATGCTGTGGTGTGGTACCCACGAAGAAGGCACCGGAATCCGCCTACATCTGTCCTGAAAGGGGTTGGAAGCTTGGTCCCCGACCATGCAGCGAGGTCCAACAAGACCATAGTAGGTAGCCCCCAGCCCACGCTTCCGATTCAACCTGTGGACACACGGCTTGCCCCCTAACACATCGTTGTCGGAACTTTGATGCTCGGTCAACGTCCTAGAAAACCTGGCCCCCACAAGGGAAAGTTTTCCCAAACTTGTCACTGCACTCGATATTCCAGAGGGTCTTGGGAAGTTTTCAAAGCCCACTCCCGCCTACAATGATGCTGCTGACCTCTTCCAAAAACACCAGAGTAGTACCACCGGGTTCTTGTTGTCCGCCGTCCGTTGACCTCGCCCTTGATGCAAGTGGTTGAGACGATCTCCATAGCCATACGTCCACGATATCTCGACACACCGAAAGAATAGCAGCCCATAGGTCTTGACCAGGACTGACAGCATCTCGAGACCATCATATCACGGCTGCGCGACCAGAATGCACTGCCTCCAAGCACGCACCACCGCCGTCGCATGCGATGCCGTCCATGACGGCGGCTCGTTCGTCGGCCCAACCCGCTGGGGCGAGACGCAATACGACCGAAACAAAGCCTAGCCCCTCGATTCAGGGTTGACGTATGCAAGAGGTCTTTGTGTGTTTGCGGTTTGCTTCCGGCTGGCAGACCTGGGAGGCATCTTTGTATGCAAAGCACGAAACTTCCATGTCTCACCCTCCTGAATGATGGATTCAATGTAGATAAGGAAGTGAGCTCTTCAATTCGACCGAGGACGTCCCTGGTCAGATGGTCGTAGCCGGATGCCCGAGAGTTTCCCACTAGACACTGCCGGCTACGAAGGCAGGACCGTTGATAAACCATGAACCCTACCAATGACGAACACACCAGGGACAGGGGCATCAAAGCATTGCGCGGTGCCCATACGGCAAAGCGCCATCCGCGCGCCGTCCCGTGCCAAATTCTCATACGGGAAACAGCTGAGCCTGCTCGCCAAAAATAGAGGAGCCTGACGATAACAAAAAGGACGAGGAAGAGGGGGAGTTGGACTGGCTGGTGGTGGCCGAAAAGGACGTCGAGCAGGACCTCGACACGTCGAAGAAGGAACTCGAGCTTATCCGAAGCATCATCGAAGACGTGGACGGCTGCCTGGCAGCGGAGAAGAAGCCAAGCCGCACCCTCCGAGATCAGAAGATGCAGATGGGGGCATGTCAAGAATATTCAAGTTCTCGATGTGCCATGCTCAAGGAACGGCTTCGACAGGTGCAGTTCTGGGCAAGCAGCAGGCAGATGGGACGTACCATACCGGAAAAGGCGCCCGGAGAATGGCAGACGGCGGATCTCGAATGGAGAATATGGCTCAGCGAGCAGACGGCCACCAAGACCGACCAGCTCGACCAGACGCCCGTGTCAGCGCTGGAGCAGACGGTCGACCCCGAGAACGATGCGGCGTGGAGGATCTGGGGACCATTGGCGCATATACTGACGGCTTATGTGTGGCATAACGAGCAGCAATACACGCCGTGAGAACGAGTAGGTGACCGGGGACCGATCCCATTGCGAGACCCCAGGACGGGTGACAGCGGTGACAACCGAGGGAGGTGGAAAAGTGTCCCGCGACGACGAGCTAAACGAACCCGAGGCTACCTACTGTGTAAGCCACTCGCCAGCAGCCCGACAGTTCCGTAGGCCATGACGAATGCGCATACCGAGTGCTGAGAGAGTCGCTGCTCTCGGTGACGAAGTAGGTATTGGAGGCCAGGTCTCGCCTATCGACGGGCCAATTGAGAGTGGTTGAAATAGAGGTGAATACCTAAACTACTAGGTATAAGCGTAACGGGTTATTGCAGGCACAACATGCCACCTCATGTAGACGTTCCGAAAGCAGGCTTGCCAAGCTAGCCGAGAGCCGATCTCCAAGAATTTAGAAGGAGCATATCTTTTCTGCTTGATATATCGTGTTCAAGACCTAGTGATGTTGTTCTTGGCGATGGACAATGTGGCAGGTTGCGAGTGAATGCGCCTGGTGACTGCGGCGGCCCCTTGGTCCGAGGCACCCGACTGGTCTGTCTGTCTCTCGGTTATGTGAGCCTCAAGCAGAGCCAGCTGGCACCCGCATCTCGTCAAGGTCCACTGCAATTGCTTCATGATGTGCAGACGTCGTCGAGATGACCTTTGATCTCAGATGGATTCTGGAATTTGCAGCCGGCCGAGGCACGGTCCTCTCGCAAGTTGACCCCGACAGCCCGATCACCGATATGGACGGGGGCGATAGACTTGGCTATACGATACCCGCATATTTCAGGCTATCAGGCGATCAGACCCGCGAGCTTGATAAGCCCCAGCGGTTCAGCTCCAGCTGGAGGCTAGGCAGGCTCCACTATAGATACGCGTGGGCAGTGGCAGCAGTGGCAGCAGTGGGCACCTGCACGCGCTTCGTCCCGAGCTGGAGCTGACCAGCGGGCTATGAGGTTTGGTTATCAGCACCGTTGTCGCTTCCCCCAGGTTTCGTCAGCTGCTATTACGTACCATTAAACGGTTAGGGGCATTTGATAAGCACACCGAAGCCCCCGTTTAGGCATAGTTACCTATCTAGGTAGTCTAGACTGTTTCGCTTGCTTCCATTCCCACTGTTTCAATGTTCCCTCGCAGCCCTCGGTCTGGCCGAGTGAGAATGGTGGGAATAGTGGGAATGGAAGCACCATCATGCACAGATGAGGCGACGAGCCACTCGGCTGGAATACTAGGTAGCTTCCAGAAGCCTTCTCTTGCATCTGTAGGATTCACTCATGACCGGCCCGTCCTGTCCTGTTTGTTCTACGCGCCGGCCGTGCTTGCTTCTTTGGGCAGGTGCGTGTTGCCGTGCGGGTAGTCAAGGGCATGAAGGGAATAGTCAAAGGCAGGGAAACGGGGTACATATCCTTTTGATTGATTTGATTTGTTGCCTACCTTCTAAAGTAATTTGTCTTGGGTGGCACGGATACTGGGATACGTTGGGATGCTCCTTCCGAGTTCGAGTCGTCCCTCAATTGGCAGCAAGCAGGCAGGCAGCCGTACACAAGCACACAAGCACACGAGCACACGAGCACTGAACCGAGGACTCGGCGACGGCTGGGGGCATGGCACCGGTGTCAGTGGTGTGTGCCGGGAATATTGGCCTTGAACACGTATGGTAAATCCCGATATAGGAACTTTAAGTACTGATATAGGATGAATTATTATAGTATTATTAGTTCGTCCCTTGCGCAGGTATTGGACACTTGGCCTCGCCACTGACAGTCCCAAGGTGATCAATGATAGAGCTGACAACCCTTGAAGATGGCGACGTCTCCCAGATAGACCCGGGCCAATCAGAGACCCTCCATGGCCCTGCCAGCCACCTCTTATCTCCCACTAGGAGTTGGACATCCCCGAGTCCACCGTCGGTCACCCAGCACGAGGCTTGGGACTTTCTACTGCCTACTACTAGTAGTAACTGCGGGCAGCAGGACTAGCCGCTAGCCCGGACGAGTATCGATTCATTCCTCTTTTGAACGTTGCGATGCGGGTGTTTGTCGTTCGATGAGTCTTGGCTTGGGTGCCAGTCTAGCCAGTGCTTGATGATCGACATGGATGCGCATCACCCATTCAGTGATCACGCGAGTCGTGGGCACTGGCCACTCTGCCACTCTGCCACTCCTCGTCTGTGCTGCGCCGTGCCGCCGCCGCCCTGCCTCCAGGCTCCTCCCTCCCTAGACCCTCCTGTGCCTCCGTGCCTCCTCCTCCTCCCTCATGCGGCCAGTGCCCAGTGCCCAGTGGCCTTGGGAACCCCCCCAGTTCCCCTAGTTCGACGGCGCGACGCACATCAATCCAGTTGTGATCCATCCGCTTGCCGGGGGGCCCTCCATCATCCTGGAAGTTCCATTGGATGATGGAACGCGTCCCAAGTCGACCCTCGGGGGTGGCTACTAGGGGTGCTACCCACAGTAAGCCTCGTCCGGATCGACAATCAAATGAATAAATAGTCTATGGTGCACCCTCACAACCTGCCATGCGCCGTGTCTCGCTCTTCTCTTTCTTATCACACCCGGAGTCGTAACAGCAGTAGACTCGACTGTTGTCTGATTCATTCACCACCCATTTCTCGAATCTCGAATCTCGAATCTCGAGTCTAGAGTCGCTGTTCGTCCCTACCACCCACCATGTCGGCGACCGACCCCGCTGTCAGCAGTGGCAGCAAGTCCATAAATGAAAAGGACGTTGGCCTTCCCGGCTACCACGCGAGCCCCGCCTCCCCCGTCCAGGAGGAGGGCGCTGTTCGATCCGAGCACTGGGCCACCCGCCTTGGTGTCAACGCCGAGTCCTTCAAGAAGCGCGACTATGGCAAGGGTATCGTCGAGCTCGAGCGCTCCATGAAGCCCCGTCATCTGCACATGATCGCCATCGGAGGCTCCATCGGTGCCGGTTTCTTCGTGGGCTCGGGCGCCGCCTTGTCCACGGGTGGCCCGGCCTCTCTCCTGATCGACTTTATCATCATCGGTGTCATGATGTTCAACGTCGGTAAGTTTTCTCCGACACCCCAACACCCCAACACCATGTGGTTTCTTCGGGGGCAAAGCTGACATTGTACTAGTGTATGCTCTCGGTGAACTCGCTGTCATGTACCCTGTCTCGGGTGGTTTCTACACCTATGCCGTTCGCTTCATCGACCCCGCCTGGGGTTTCGCCATGGGCTGGAACTACGTCATGCAATGGGCCATCGTCGTGCCGCTCGAGCTGACCGTCTGCGCCATTTCCATATCCTATTGGAATGACGTCGTAAGCCCCGGCGTCTGGATCACCGTCTTCTTCGTCTTCATCATCATCGTGAACATCTTCGGCACCCTGGGTTACGCCGAGGAGGAGTTCTGGTCTGCCTTCCTGAAGCTGAGCGCCACCGTCATCTTCATCATCATCGCTGTCATCATGGTCTGCGGTGGCGGCCCGGAACGGGGCCAGTACGACCACTACTGGGGCGCCAGGCTGTGGTTCGAGCCCGGTGCCTTCCGCAATGGCTTCCGCGGCTTCTGTTCCGTCTTCGTCACCGCTGCCTTCGCCTTCAGCGGCACCGAGCTGGTTGGTCTCGCCGCTGCCGAGGCCAAGAACCCCGTCAAGTCGCTTCCCGGTGCCATCAAGCAGGTCTTCTGGCGTATCACACTATTCTACGTCCTGGGTCTTCTCATGGTCGGCCTCTTGATCTCCAGTGATGACCCGCATCTCCTCAACGCCAGCTCCGACGACAGCGCCGCCTCCCCCTTCGTTCTGGTCGGACAGTACGCCGGCCTCGCTGGCTTCAACCACTTCATGAACTTCATCATCCTGGTGTCGGTCATCTCCATCGGTGTCTCGGGTGTTTACGGTGGAAGCCGTACCCTGACCGCCCTGGCTCAGCAGGGTTACGCCCCCACCATCTTCAGCTACGTCGATCGCAGCGGTCGCCCCCTCGCCTCCGTCGCCTTCGTTCTGGCTTTTGGACTCCTGGCCTACGTCGACTTGGCCGCCGCCGGCGGTACTGTCTTCACCTGGCTCCAAGCTCTGTCGGGTCTCGCTGCTCTCTTCACCTGGGGGTCCATCTGCCTGTCCCACATCCGATTCCGAAGTGCCTGGGCCTACCACGGCCACACCCTTGACGAGATCCCATTCAAGGCCATTGGTGGTGTCTATGGATCGTGGCTCGGTCTCATCCTCGTCGTTCTGGTGCTCATTGCTCAAGTAAGCCCCCCCTGCGTTGTTTGGCAGCAGAAAACTAGTTACTGACCGTAATTTCCCAGTTCTACGTCGCAGTTTGCCCGGTCACAGGGGGGTACAACACCGCCGGAGGCTTTTTCGAGAGCTATCTTGCCTTCCCCGTTGTCATATTGTTCTATGCCGTCGGTTACGCGTGGAAGCGTACCGGCTGGTTGAAGACCAGTCAGATCGACGTGGACTCAGGCCGCCGAGAGACCGACTGGGACGAGATTAATGCGTACCGCCAGGAGCTTGCCGCGAAACCCGCGTGGAAGCGTATCTTGGGAATGATATTCTAAGAGGAAGGCAGGCGACATCACATTGTCTACCTATAACTGTGGAGACATGCGCTCGCTGGTACTGGATCTGGCCCATATGTGTGCAGTTGGGTCGGGTATATAGAGAAAATGGTTCTGTTTTATCATAGTGTGCATTAGGTTAGGAGCATGGGCCGTGCTGGCTGTCGAGATACCACTGTCATCATGTAGCTTAGCTTTACTTGGGGGATACCTGAGCGGACTCTAGTTGAATGCCTCGGGGTAATGAAAGTCGTTCCACTACTGTATACCAACGTTAGTCTCTGTTACAACGCATTGGGCTTTTGCTCTGCAGCTATTGCCCTCATTGATGCTCGACTAGTTCATTGACTGGAGATACTGTACCTCTGTGATGAGGACACGAGCTGGTTAGGTAAGTGTTTCGTCAGTACCCGGTGGCACCTAGCTTTCATTTGATCTTTGCGAAGGGATCAATGAAAGTCTTCGTGAATCCATTGGACTGCGGAGTTCGATATGTGAGAGTAAAAGCTCCGGGTGGCTTGCTGGTATCCTGGATGGCTGAGTGGTAATGCCTTGCCATGGGCACAGCTGAGCTCTATGATAATCAGCAGGTTTCGGGATACTGCTGCCACGAACCTTATGAGCAAGAAAAAAAAAAAGCATGCTCATTGGCTTCCACTTACATTGCCATTGGTGCATGTTAGTATATGGACAGCCTGCTGGATCCCAATGCGAGGTACCCGGACCCGTCACAGGACCCCAGCGAACCCTACCTGGAGGAAATGTTCTAGAAACCGTCGGTGAATGGCACTAATGCTGTACTACAGAAGCGAAGCTGCATACATTGGTGATACTTGTTCTGTACCTAGGTAGTATGATTGATGTTCCGGGTGCTTGGCCTGGTACCGGCAGTACTAAGTAGGTAGGCTCCGGAACACGCACCCCGGTCTTGCACATCTTCAAAGGGACGACCTGCGCTGTCGTCGAAGCCACCGGTTCAAGCACATCCGTTACACCATGTCTATTCTTGATGCCGTTTTTAAAACGAAGGCATTACCATAAAAGCTTCTAAGCCAAGCAATAGCCAGCCGCAAAGGTGGGTCCAGGGGTTCACGCCTGAGCCGGCGCTTCAATACATGGTAGAAAGGAGTCCAATTTCAAGCGTATGGGTACTGGAGAGTCGCTGCTAGGCAGTACAATATTTGTCTTCCGAGAGGCTCTGCAGTGATTTAGCTCCTATCTTTCACCGCAATGATCTTCTCTCCAACGTTGCTCTGGTACTCATCAATGTTCGGACTGACTGTCCAGTACTCCAACTTCCGAATGAGCAAGTAAAATGCAACAGCAAGCAGGGCTCCGAGTCCTGGACCAACCCAATATATCCAATGATAACCTGGGAATCGGCCTTGCACAACGCATACGGCGAAGGAGCGCGCAGGGTTAATGCTTGCGCCGGTATATGATTGTCCCCTGACAGTTCAAGTCAGATAGGTGTACTGTCATGACGGTGAGACGAGGAGGCTCGAACTTACGCAAGAACAGCTGCGAAGACGGCGAGCCCGATACCTACAGGGGCAATGTAGGTGGCCTTGTGCTTTTCCGTCGCCAGCATGAAAATGGCAAGAACGACCTAAGAGAAGAAAGCGTCAGTCTAGTTCGTATGTGCCGTACGATGGTATTGATGAGTGTAACATGCCTGTGCCGTCAAGAACATCTCGATGAAAAGGCCTTGCGTGATGCTTGTCTGGTCTCCTAGCTTCGTTGCTGGGAGACTTCCCGGTGGCAGTAAGCCGTAGCAGATAGCTGCGGCAAGGATACTCGCCACCATCTGCGTGATGATTGAGAGCACGCCGCGCACGGGGTTAACCTAATCGAAGTTCTTAGTCGGTTTGCATCACAGGCTGGTCTTGATTCACCTGCAACTCACTGCTCGAATAATCATCATAGCCATAGTAACCGCCGGGTTGAACAGGCCTCCACTTATCCGGAAGAACGCCCACGCGTTGACGATGATGCTCAAACCCCATACCAGCGCTACATAGAGACCTTTGGCAGGATTTGCGGAGATTTCACCGCCAGCAAATTGGATTTTGTTGGCCGGATCGTTGTCGACTGTACTGTTGCCGGCGATGCCGATGAACATGAACAGAAAAGTGCCGACAAACTCGGAGAGAACAGCGATTGCATGGTTCTTGACGGGCTCTGGCACCTTCTCATTGAACTGATCCAGTAAGTAGATTCTTCCTCGGGATGTTGTAACGTGGAGGTTTTGCTTGTGACCAGGGCCGATGGGGATATTCTGCATACGGCCAAGGCGGCGACGAATGAAACTGGGTGGACCGTCTGCGGCGTCTCCCTGAGACTCGGGGTCTCCGTTTTCGTTGCTCATGTCCTTCGGGACCCTGGCTTGCCAGATGGATGTCCGGGCGGCTGTCGTGATGTGGTACTCATCATTGATCGAATGTAATGTTCAAAAGGTGGCTGGCGCATGCTTTTTCTTTAAGAAGCTATAACAGCGGAGAAGATACTCCGTAACTTACTGAGCATGTTTGGTGGGTAAGGTTGACGTAAACTCAAAATCGGCCCAGCGCCCCACGTTTTCAGGGGACCCTGCCAATCAGAGGAGGGTAAGGGTTCACGCATTAAGGTAGAACAGAACGACGACTACGCTTGAGCCTTGTAGTCGGTGGCGGGTGCAATGTTCCTGCGCAGCCGGCTAATAAGAAGAAGAAGAAGAAGAAGAAGCAGAAGCAGTGAGGGCAAGTAAAGACTGTTCATCTTTGGCACCGGGACAGATCCGGCAAGGCGGGGAAGTATCCGAGACACTTGCCGGGGGCAGTCTCGAGCTCCACCAACCTTGAATGCACGGGGCACAGGCATGGAAAGGGACTTGCGCCACCAACCCGGAAGGCCCAATGTTTCCCCTCCAGTGCCGGTGCAGCAGACCCAAACAGCCCAAAATAAGATAAGGTTACCTTGGGTAAAGGTAGAGACGTACCTATGAGATGTATGGGATGGCACCTGTATTCCTCCCCAGGTGTGAGGCGAGGACTGCAGTACGACCCGGCGCCCTAAGCCCTCGTTGCAATTGCCTCAGCTACAGGTGTAGGTCAGCACTCTATCGAGTCGTGCGTGCCGAAATCGATATTTCCGTGGTACCTGGCCATGCCTGGGTACCTTATACAGCCAATGAGTGCGTGCTGGGCACCAAAGACACCAAAGAAGGCCCATGTCAAGATACCGGCCAACCGGCGTTGCCTCCGTCAAAGTGTGGAACCTTCCGATGTGTTGTTGTGCTGCCGCGCCGCGCCGATACATACTTAATAATCAGTCTCTCCTTCCCGAAGCGGTCTATCAAAAACAGCTTTACAAGGTTGTTACCGGAAGCGACTCGCCGTCATGCCACTGTCACAGTCCGAATCAACCTCCAGCTCTCACGACGACGAGTGTTCTCTCCACGGAAAGAAAAACGAGACCCCGGAGCATGTGGAACATACAAAGTACCAAGCAGCGGGCAGTAGCATCGGTCGTGAGGGTGAAGAATGGCTGATGGCCAGATCCGACGATGCACGATAGGAATGAGCCGTTGTTCCATTCAAAGTGGGTATGGTATGCGCTGCTCATCATTGACCGAATTATCCACGTGCTTCGCTAGAACACATCGCCTCATCTGTCTCTGTCTTGGACATCCATGCGATTGCGAATCCCATTTAACCGCTTGTCCTACATAGCCAAGCATCAGGCGTCTTGATATCAGATAGCATTGCAGGTTGGCGGCGGTCGCTGGCTGTGCCGTTGACCGTGCCGTTGACCTGCTCCCCTTATCTGACCCGCCACCCATTGCGAAAATCGCACAACATCCATGGCCTGGCGAAGTCAAACCGGTACAGTCCATTTCCGGCAGGTCGACAGTCCTATCAGAGTCCAGGCCTCCGTGTCGAGGTGCGGAGACCTTACGCTGGACGATAGCTTCTCTTGACAAGGAGCCAACGTCCCCAAGACTAGACCCGTGGCGACCCTTGCGCCTTGCAAGTTGCCACGCTTCACCTGTTCACTTTAATGTTGAACCCATGTGCCGAAGCCTGGGCAAGGCGGGGAAGCTGAGATAAGGGTAGACGTCCCGCAAGGACCATACATGATATAAGTATAGCTATTCTGCCACGGGCAAGTGGTCGTTCTGCTTTGCGAGTATTTTCCATTGGCACGTCATCCTAGGCAATAGGCAGTCTGAAGCGTTCCACCACAGACATGGCCGACTCCATTGACATCAAGAAGACGATGGCGTCCAGTGGCGTGGACGAGAAAACCGACTCTGCCACCTATCGCAGCAGCGATGTTGAGCTGCCTTTGGATGCCCAGGTTGAGACGTAAGTGGTATGGAAACCCAATCCCATCCGGCTGCTGACCTGGTCGTCCAGAGACCTCAATGTCACCGAGAACGACCTGGCTGAGGCCAAGGAGCTGGCTGGCAACCTGACCCTGGAAGAGGTTCGGCCCATGATGGAGAAAGTGATCATCATCCACGAGAACGACCCCAACTTTCCCGCTAGCATCGTCGACAAGATCAAGGCCTTCCTGGGTAAGTCGGAGCTGCCCGTCCCCCTGCTACTGTGTGCCCGAAGTCCAGGACCTGACCTCACCCCAAGGCAACGATGCAATCTTCGAGAACCCGAGAAGCATGCCGTCCTCATTGAGGAGATCAAGATGGAGGCTGCCTTGATCACCGTCAACAGCCCTTATGCCGAGGTGCGCGCTGTCGTTGACAATCATGACGATGTGAACATGCCTCGTGGTACGATCCGGGCTTGGGTCATCGGCATGGTCTTTGCCTTTGTCCTCGCCTTCGTCAACCAACTCTTCTCCATCCGCCAGCCGTACATCATCGTCCAGTCCAACGTGGCTCAGCTGTTGGCATTCCCTCTCGGAAAGGCCTGCGAGAAGCTGCTCCCCGACGCCGGTTTACACACTCTGGGGTGTACGACATAGCTTGAACCCGGCAATTTCTCGAAAAAGGAGCACATGGTGATCACCATCATGGCCAACGTCTCATGGAACTACCCATACACAAACAATATCATAGTGCGTATAACCCTCGGGTTTTCTTTCAATTCCATACAATGTCCTGGAGACTCCCCTGCTTGTCAACAACATGAGCTGTGCCCCTAGGGCGCGACCTGGGAGTCCTGGATGTCTGTCAATGTGTCCCAGAAGGGCATTTACTGATGTCAGATTTTGCAGTGGGTCCAATACCTACCAGCTTATACCAACCAGAGCTACGCCGGCCAGTTCTCCTATCAAATTCTCATCGCCTTGGCTACCAACTTCATTGGCTACGGCATGGCTGGTATTATCCGACGATTCCTGGTGTACCCCTCGTATTGCGTGTGGCCAGCCTCACTGGTGACAATCGCTCTGAATGCGGCTTCCTACAACGAAACAAACCAAGCGGTGGAGGGCCCTTTCGCAAGGTCTTCACCATGACTAGGCTCAAGTTCTTCACCGTGGCCTTTTTTGCCATGTTTGTCTACTTCTGGTTTCCTAACTGGTATGTCTCCCAACCTTCCCACTCCCTTGAAGATGGAAAATGTCTTCATCACAGGCACTGACATGATGTCTTTAGTACGTATATGCCATCCGCTCAGGCTGCTTCTTCCACACCTGTGATGACTTGAGTCACCAGCGAACACAGTGACAGACAGGGAATCCCTAGAGACCATCGAGAAGTTACTAACACACGAGTAGACATCTTCACGGCCCTCAGCGTCTTCAGTTGGTTGACTTGGATCGCCCCGAAGAACGTGAAACGGACTAGGCATCAACCCCTTGCCGACTTGGGACTGGAACACGCTGCTCTTCGACAAGACCGATCCTTTGATGATACCGTTCTTCTCTACCTTTAACAAATCCGTTGGCGCTGCTATTTCTTGTGTCGTAATCGCTGGCTTTTGGTGGTACGTAAGGGACCATCCCGGTTCGAAATTTCAAGTACTCACTTGTGGGTCGACCTGTACCTCCTTCTGCCCTGTTCTGACATCTCGACAGGACCAACACATACAATACTGCTTATCTCCCCCTCAATTCCAACCGGGTGTTCGACAACGTGGGCCATCTTTACAACGTCACCAACGCCGTGGATGAGCGTGGTCTCTTTAACTCGGCGAAATACGAAGCCTACTCCTTTCCCTTCCTGGCCGCGGGCAACTTGGTTGAGTACATGATGTTTTTCGCCATCTATTCGGCGACTGTATCGTACACGTACCTCTACCACCGCCACGAGATCACCATAGGCTTCAAGAGCCTCTTCAACAGCTTCCGCAAGAACAAGGATAGCGAGATGGGCCAATACAAGGATGCGCACAACCGTCTGATGGCCAGCTACCGGGAGGTTCCCGAATGGTGGTATACTATCGTTCTCGTAAGTCACATTTCTCGCATCCCGTACCTTTTTGTCTTAGGAAGAGCCCTATTCTGCCGTTGTGGTACAGCTGCGCACTCCCCTACTCGTTAGACGGGTTTAGTGTGGCATTTAGCTGTGCCGCAGTCGTCCCGTTATTTGGACTCTGAGTTCCTCATTGAGCTCGATGGCTACCTTGTATAAGATCCTGCTAACCGGCATATATGCCTCTTCCTTCACCTTGTCTGCATAGTTCCCCTGAAAGAGGTCTAACCATGGGATAGGTGGTCGCCATTGCGTTGGGAATTGCCGATATAGCCTCTTGGGACACATACACCTCGCCAGCCGTCATATTTCTACGGTCTGGCTCTCTGTGCCCTCTTCGTCATCCCGGTCGGCATCATCAAGGCCATGACAGGTGTGGAAGTCACACTGAACGTGCTTGCTGAGTTCATCGGTGGCTCCTGGGTCGAGGGCAATGCGCTGGCCATGAATTACTTCAAGTCGTTTGGCTATGTTACCTGCGCGCTTGCCGTCTTCTTTTCCAACGGTATGTCCATCCCGACTTACTTACCCTCCCTTTGACTCCTTACGGTCCTCGAGCTGGGGACGTGGGCTTGTTATAAGCGTCCTTGTCTTGCACCCGCATTGCCGTCGAAAGCCCAAAGATATGACCCGTGACATGGCAACCGCTGACATTCATGATTGCAGACTTGAAGCTGGCACACTACGTGAAGATCCCTCCCCGCCAGACGTTCGCCGTGCAAATGATGGGGACCCTGATCTCTACCCTTGTCTGTACCGGCGTGCTCAACTTCCAGATGAACCAGATTCCGGGTGGTACGTTGTTTACAAGACCCATTCGCCCCTTGCAGTCATGATCTGGGAGCAAGGATCTTGCCTTCCGCCCGTTCAATCGGCTTTGGCTATCGGGCTTACATCCGCGCCCCTCGTTTCTCGCGATTTCATTTACCAAGATTCATTACTGACTCTTCTCTATAGTTTGCACCGTCGACGCGCCAAATCGATTCACGTGTCCCGGCATTAATACTTTCTTCACAGCTGCTGTGCTCTGGGCACCGTGGGACCCATCAAAGTCTTCGGAAAGGGCGGCCAGTACACCTGGTTGCTGGTGGCTTCCCCATCGGATTCGTCGTGCCCTTTATCATCTACTACATGAACAAGAAGTATAAGAAGTCGTGGATGCGACAGATCCACCCCGTGGCCATCTTCTACGGCGCTCTCTCGGTGGCGCCCTACAACCTGGCCTACATCTGGCCCGCCGTGCACATCGCGTGGTTGTCCGTGGGTCTACACCAAGAAGCGCTACCTCGGCTTCTGGTCCAAGTACAACTTCGCTCTGTCGGCATCCTTCAGCAGCGCTATTGCCGTCGCCGCCATCATCATGTTCTTCGGCCTCCAGTGGTCCGAGATCGAACTCAATTGGTGGGGTAACACTGTCGTGTCCGAGGGCTGTGAGGGTGATGCCTGCACGCTGCTCACGGTCAAGGAGGGCGAGTATTTCGGCCCGCGGTATGGTGATTTCCACTGAAAGGGTTAAAGCGGGTAATGGGCCTGGGACATACATCAATAGGGGCTTGTGGATGTATGTATGACATTGTGATAGTAAGCAGCTCGGCAGTGTCTCGACCCGGACATATGACGATGCTGTGCCGAGATTATTGGATACTTCAAGCTTCAGGTTCAGAACAAGCACGCTGTGTAGTATTGGTTCAGTGTTCTGCAAGTCTAGGCAATACCGTAAGTCTATGGACTGTGCTCTACTTTACCCAATACCTCTCTCGCGGCTGCAGGTGCGCAGCTCAACAGGCGGCCCTCTACGTGGTGAAACGCCAGGCCGGATGATCATCACCGAGGTTATCCGCGTCAGGTTCCCGCAGCCGCCAATCTCTCTCACCACGCTCCCTCTTCGCATTCTCCCTCATGACCCCCAGGAACAGCACCGTGCATGCCGCAGCACACACCCATAACAAGCCGAGGCTTACGCCGTAGCCCGTCCAGTACAGCGGCGCCTCGGCATCGAAGAAGACGTTGGACGCGACGATGCCGCCGATATTGCCGAACCCGACCTGCACGGCCGACGCGACGGACCGCTTGTAGTGCCCGCTCACGTTGTTGGCGAGCCAGGCCAGCGTGACGGGCTGCGTGGTGTAGCCACCGCCGACGACGAGGAAGAGCGCGAAGTACTTAACGCCTACAGAGACGTGCTGCTGGCAGAGCAGGAGGACGTAGCCGATGGTCGCGAGAATGATGCCGAAGAGCGTGAATGCGTAGCGGTGGCGGAGTCGGTCGGTCAGGGCCGCTGTGCAGAGGCACAATATCGTTGCGACGATGTAGATGGGTATGGTGCGGACTTGGGCTTGGGCTGCTACGTAGCCCATTTGGTTGAGAATGGTCGGGATGAAGAACTGCGTGTCGTTAGTCCTGGCCGCTCGAAGTGGGATTCTGGTACAGCTTCAGGGGAAATCGCCCCATGGACAGGGTGCGAGGTAGTATGTACTCACGGAGCCCGCATATCCTGTCACCACCACGCCGAAATAGGCGCAAGTGCCGGCATAGATCATCCAATCGGAGAAGATCCTCTTCTTGGCAGATTTGTTGAAGGTATCCATGTTCGCATCACCAGTATCCTGGGCCAGACGTGCGACAAGCAGCCTCCGCTCGTCGTCGGTGAGGAACTTGGCCTTCTCGGGCCAGTCGGCTATCCACCTGCGTGTACGTTAACGTCTTGTCTTTACACCCGTATGGCTAAACTATAGATGAAGAGGGAAAGGGAGCCACAAAGCTTGTTCTCGAAACCAAGGCTCAGGGCCCTGTGACTGGATGCTTCTATACGTACCACTTGGAGATGACGGCAACGCCGAACGTAATGATGCCCTCGATGATGAATATCCTGTCAACGGCCTTGGTTACTATACAGCTCATAAACACCGTCTCTCTCACTGTTAGAAGGGGTTACTTACCATCGCCAAGCGCTGTAGCCACGGTAGCCGTCGAGGTTGGCGATCGCGAAGGCGAGGAGGCCGGAGAATGCGCCGGCTATGACGGCGGAGCAGAAGAACAGGGAGACCCGCCACTGGAGCTCGTCTGGTATTTGAAAGATCCCGTGTTAGTGCTTCCAACCCGAATATTCAGAGTATACTCGGTTGTAGCCGGTGAATGGAGATCCTTTTACTTACTGCCGAAATGTTAGTACTGTAAGTTCAGGGGCAGTTGAAGGGATGAAGACTCGGGGGCTTCGAGGTGGTTTCGTATTTTGATACTCACCAGCGCTTGTAATACATGCTGATCAGGTACATGCAACCTGATTGCCGTCAGTATTCGGCATCATGCAGGTCCAACGGGTCCTATCTGGACAAACCTGGGACAAAGCCAGCCTCGAAGAGACCAAGTAGGAATCGACAGGCTATCAGACCCTGCAAGTTAGTGACTAGACCCTGGCCGATGGTCGCAATACCTTCGCGACACAGTCAGTACGTGATGATCGGGCGGTGATCCATATAAGGAGACTATCCACTCACCCCAGAGAGCCATGTTGGCGCTCAGCCAAGTCGACGGGGCGATGTGCTTGATGAGGATGTTAGACTAGACGAGGTCATGATTAGCGACGCGAAGTCCATACACCATGTTTGGAGGCATTGAAGCGTACCGGCACCTCGAACAAGACGTAGGGGATGAAGAACACGAAGAGCGCGACGCTGTAGTCGGTGCCGCTCATGTCGAGGTCCTTCGTCATGCCCTGGATTTTCGCATTGCCTACAACGCTCACCAGCAGTGATTAGCCGACCGAGCCTTTGTCGTATGGAGATGCATCTCGTTGAAGGGCAACGTACCGATGTTCGTGCGGTCCATGAACGCGAGGAAGTAGAGCAGCGCGATACACGGTAGGACGTTGACGTCGCACTTCCAGAGAAGCTTCTTCTCCGCCTCGGGGTCGAGGGGCCCTGCTGAGACATCTTTGGATGCTTCGTCTGTCGCCATCTCAGTATGGGTGCCGCAGAGGTGCGCTGAGGCGCCCTCGGGATCTTTGTCTGTTGCCTGGACGGACATGGGTGGCTCGAGTGCAGGTTGGTTGTCGTGCGGTGTATGAAGTACTGGGGCTCTCTCTTTTGCCGTGTCTCAAGGGATTACTTGGCTTCGGCCCTTGCGTGTGGTTGGATAGGTGAAGTACGGAAATCCCAAGTTCCAAACCAATTTGTAGTTTTTGTGGTTTGGACGTTACCCCAGCAGCTGTCGACAAGCCATCACAATGGTCTATACAATATGCCTACCCCTCAACCCTGCCCATTGTCTGCCGTCATGACCCCGTACCGATCCCCGGTCTTTACTATTGATTGTAACACTTCCGAACACTTCAAGCCTCAGAGTAGACTGCACCCCGCATTTCGATGACCTCCATCAGATGACCCCGACCCCGTCAGGCGGTTGAAGTTATCATATTTGCAATGTAACAAGTACTACAGGATCAATCACTGTTCACATACTTAGCCATCGACTACGCGCGCAGCTCATCTGGGCCCTCACATGGTAGATAGGTAGACATTCAGGAAACGAACTATCAAAGTGCGCAAAGACTTGCAAGGCGTACTGCAACAAGCCCAAAGCTGGTGCTCAGAAAATCTCGACCACCGCCGGTCTCGACACTGACACCTCTATACACAAATAACCCCATGATCTCCTGGCGCCCTTATTAGGAAGCATGGAAGTGGGTTTTTACGGGAATACAAGGAGCCAAGGTAGAGGCGACCTTCAACTACAAACAACCAAGATGGCCAAGTATTACGCTCGCAGGTGTCGAGGTTGACAGACAGGTAGCTGGCGATCTTAGAATGGCGTATACTGCTGATTGTTTCTGTTAGTCTGACTACATAGTCAGGAACCAGGAAGCTTGGGCGGGAGGTCTAGTTGTTGAAGTATACTTCGGAACTCTGACCAACCAGATAAACCAACGAGGATGGTGTGGGCTTGTCACAATATCATGATTACTGCCAGCCCTTTTAGGAACATGTAGCTCTGCTATGGCTTGTCTTGTGCGCTACAGACAGCCTGCGGCCTCAACTCCTCCCACCTTGGTCGACCTCGTCATACAGGGGGTCAAGCAGCAAGCTCCAATCCTGCTTCAGCTCGCGTCTGTACTCCCCACTCGTCTTGCGGGATTCGACAACCAAGATATCGCCTTTGAAATATGCAAGCACGCCTCCCTTGCCGTCCATGCGGGCTGTGATGCGGAAATAGTGCTTGCCAGTTTCGTTGGTTTTGCGAACCGGGATGAATTGTAAATCGTTCTCTTGGCACCACTCTTCCACTTCGTCGCGGAAAGTGGGCTCGGCTTTTTCCAGAGGCTGGGATGGGGCAAGAACAGGTATGGGCTTCTGCTCTGCCTTGGATTTGTGGGAGCGAGACTTGGATTGAAGCGCAGGGAGGCCATCGGGGCGAGGAAGTCTTCGTTTCGCGTCGCCACCCAGATCAAGAGCATGCTCAATGGTGAGACTGGCCTTGCCGAACTCGGCAACGAGGCTTTGCTGCGACGAAACTTCGGCTGGGAACACGTCGTCCTTCCACCACTGAAACCAAGTGCCTATCTCCTCGTAGTTGGAATTATCGCTTACAAGCCACTGGTAGAGCACCTCGTGGAACATTGGAAACACTTCTGTGACGATGACCTCGGCGACCATCGAGTTCGAGATAATGTCGGTCCATTTAAGGACACCGGAGAGCATCATCAGATACGGTTCCTGATCGCTAGGATCGATGCGAAAGTTTGCACGTAGGTAGCGAGCCATGCTTGGAAGGATGTGGTGCATGACAAGGGGTTTCCACTGATCTTGTGCCTTGTTCGGCCGGAAAATGTCTTTCCACTGCTTTAAGCCAGGGATGACGCCCTTGTCAAACTCCCAGACGTCGATTAGTTGACGGAATTTGCGCCTCACATCAGCGACGAGGCCGGTTCCTTTGGGTTCGAGATGATGGACGGGTAAGTGCTGAAGCCAGGGGAACAGCCACAGGTGTGGAAGGTTGTGCTGCTTTTTCCTGGGTTTCCAATTTCCGATGGCATCGTCGAGCCTCCTCACCACCTGTTCTAGTAGTTGGGAACGCACGAAGGCTGGGAACAGCTGGTCCCACTTGTCGAAGATGGCAATCAGGGGCGCCGCATCATATACGTCCCATATTTGAGAAACGGTTGTGACGAGCTTCGGGAAAAGCAGCTTATAGATCATACTCTCGTAGGCGGTAGTAGACTTCTGATGACGATATGTGGCGTCAACGTCGAAATCTTGCCATTTCGCCACCGCATTCCCGTTGCCCGCCTTGTTTTTGAGACCGAGGAGACCTCGAATCCCCGAAAGATCCGTTGCAAAGTTGCCCAGCTTTGGGTCATCGAGAGGCTGCCATCCTTGGACAGCTTCGCGTAAAAATGGGTGGATGCAAGCAACGGCGATACTCGCCAACTGCTCGGTATGGGTCGAAGAAGCGGCCTCGGCTTTCTTCAGTCCGGAGATGACTAGATCCCACTGTCGATCGCGTGCGGCTTGCGAAATGTCGTCCAGGACCGAGGAGAAGACGTCGAGCGCCGAAAATTCACTCTCGAGCTCGTCCAACTGCTGTTGGCGCTGGTGAGTTTCCATATCCAGCCACGCCTTCCTCTCATTCAAACTCTTGTACTCCTCTACGAAAGCCGTGAGATCGCCCTGGGCCCGCCTCGCCAGCTTGCGCGCCTCAGTCTGCTCGACTAGTTCGGTACCAGCTCGAGGGGTGAGCAAGCCCGAGCTCGACGTCAAGAGCTTCGAGTCGCGTCCCGTCATATCCAGGATCGGGGCGAAGGCATCGGGGATGTGTAGTCCTGGCGCAGCCTTTTGGATGTCACCGACGGTCATGTACTTTGTCTTGGGCCTCCTCGGGGTGCTCGCGCCGCTACCAGTCACACTATCCAGGCCTTTCCTATTTCGCTCGCGTTCGGCCTTCTTTCTCTCTTTATCCGAGTCTACAACCTCCTCCCCGCGCATGCGCGCCTGGCGCTTCTCCTCTTTGCGCTCCTGTTCTGACTTCTCCCTGACGGCTCCGAGACCTACACCTTGTGGTCGCAGTGTAGGTTCGATGATGACATTACGACCCTGTGCCTGGGCACCTAGACCTTGACCCTCGACGTAGCCCATGCGCGCCATCATCTTGGCGGCAAAAGATTTGGCCTTTCCTGTCCCTGTAAAGACACTAGGTTTCGGGGTCTGGGTTGCGGATGATGGGCCATCGTCAAGACCTGGATTCAGTACGGGGGCGTTCGCTGACGAAGGAACGAACCCCTTCCCCAAACGCGTGCTCCCATCATATTTGGTCTTGAAGCCCGTCGACTTGCTCGGTGTGTTTAGAGCGGCAGATGCGCCTTGAGATCGGGGGGGAGGCGCCCAACCGAGCCCCTGCGCTGAAGCTCGAAACCCCAGACCAACGCCAGCCATATCGTCATCATCATCGTCTTCTTCCTCCTCCTCATGATCCTGTGTGGTCCGTGACCCATTCCCCAGACCAGGGCGACTGCCTAACTCGTCCTCATCCTCTTCGTCCTCGTCCTCATCCATCTCTTCGTCCAGCTTCTCCTGGCCGGCGGAAACAAAAGCGACATTCTTGTGTCGCAGGTCCTTCTTGCCCTTCCACCGCCTGCCCGGGCCATCGTCCTCGCTATCGGAACCGAATATGCCCAAGGCTGCACTCTCCTTGGCGTTGCGACCGGTCCTTCGCCGTTTTCGGGGGTTGTGATCGACGAACTCGTCGGCGCGGGGATCGAGCGAGGGCTGTAGGTACTCGTCGTAATCGTCCTCGTCGTTATCAGAAGACGAATAGGCGGCGGCATCGGCCTTGGAGATATTGGTTGGATCGAACGACATGTCGAGGCTGCGTTTCCGACCGGTTTTGGCCTATGGAGTCCAGTCACTCGACCTCGACGCGCGGCAGTCACGCAGCTCACGGCAGTATCTATTTTTGCGCATGGACCGGTTGCGCGACGCGTGTTGTATTCGCTATGTACCGCAGGGCGTCGGCCGGGTGCTTGATGAATGGAGATATATGTGTGGCAGTGACGTGACGGACTCTGTAAGGTTGTATTTGATGTTGCTTGACTTTTAGTTTGAGGTAGGTACTTAGCTTAGACAGTTGATCGGCAAAAGGTGGTCCGGACAGTACATTACACAGTATAAACGTGTCGCAAACACTGTACGGTCAATACCTCCCACTCCACCACTCCACCTGGGGCTGCTGGGCCGCCGCCAGCGCAGAAAATGAACTGTGCACACAGCAGGATCTATCACACATCCCCGACCAGATATATACTCACTGTAGCATATCTGGTATGCCATAGCAGGACGCGAGCCTCCGTAGACGTCTGGCTCGCCTTCTACCTCTGTTCTGTGGTATGTATATAGTGGTGTGGTCTTCAGTGCTTCTTGACGCCCTCCATCCACGCCTTGGTACCCTTGACTCCGTCGTGGGCATTCTTAAATAACAGCCTCTCCCACTCCTCCATACCCCTCACAAAGTCCTCGCCCGCTATGGCGCCCAGGTCTTCAGCGCCACCAGCCTTCCGCGCGTGGAGGGCGATGTCGGCAGCGCGCGTGACGAAGGTCTTGCGCAGGATGGCGCATATCTCGGCCTCCTCGAACAGGTCCAGCATGCGCGTGCCCAGGCCGTAGAAGTTGTGTGACTGGTCGCGGAGGGGCACGGCGCGAGGGTCGGCCTTGAGGGCGGACATGACCTCGTTGGACAGGGCGGGCGGCAGGTTCAGGGAGACGAATGACTTTGCGTCTTCATCGGAGCTGCTGGGGGCGCGGTTGGCGAGAGCCAGCAGTTCAGCCAGCCATAGCGGGAGACCGACGGTGGTGCCGGTCTTCAGCGGCTGGGCCGGGTCGTTGTCGAGATAGCCGAGCTGGGCGATCTCGAGCTCGAACTTGCACGGGACCTTCTGGGCGGGGGGTCGGGGGGTCAGCTGCAGACACGAACGGCGAGAGTAGGAGTAGGCATACTTCGGAGTCAGTGAGGATGGCGTCTACATCGTAGTAGGACATGTTGCCCGCACCTGTCTCGACGGGTTGCAGGTTGCAGGCAGGATCCCGTACATGGAGATGGAGATGGAGATGGAGATGGAGGTTGCTTGCGGGACGCGACGACGCGACGTGGACTACCTACCCAAGGTAGGTACCTAATTAACAAACCTATCAATTACATGTATAGGGCAGCTGCCGGGCTCCAGGTTCCGGGCCGTCACCAACTGGCCCGGCCCACCGCTGTCTGCTGTGAACACGGAATTGAAGTTATGTTATCCATACCTACCCGGGGGGACCCCGTTTTTAGACAGTGTGTTAGCAGCCTTCCAGGTGCCTAACAATGTTGTCAGGTCGAAACATGTTGAATGGGAGCCGGAAATAGACACCGGAAGATCTCCAGTGGGGCAGAGACGCACGGGGCATCTGACCCACCACGAAGACAGATGATCAATCTCAGTACGCAGAACAAGAACACAATCAATAGAATCCATCAACATCCCTGTATTCAACAAAACATGCTGTTGTACAGCTTACTAGTTTGATTTCGTGATAATTTTAGTACGAATATTGCTTCAGTTAAATAATTAAACTATTTACTATTATTTTAAACTTTAATAAAGGCTGATATAATATAACGATCGCGTATAATTATACTTAATTACCGCTTTATTAATATTATTACTGTGGGGGCAGGCTTGAATGATCAATCATAATACTCGAGTATGGGGTCAAGGTCATGATGTTGCTGATGGTTGGATTGGGAAGTCTAGCTGGACCTGCAGGTCTGGCTAAGTGACCTCACAATCTGGTATCTAATCTCTTATCTAATCATACATGTGGGTTCTGTATGGATGGTTTGACTGTGGAATCACATGAATCCAACAATTACTTTATTAGTATTAATTACTTTACTAAGCCGAATATCACACGTTTAAATTAAAGAATAAATAACTGCTTAAAATAAATGTTGTGAGGATTGTGGTGGCAGTATGGTGGCAGTCAGGAAGGCTGCCAGCTGACAAGGGGTCAGGCAGGCACCTTGGCAGAATAATGGGATGGAAGCACCAGGAAAGGTGGCTTTCATGGGTGATAGACAAGGGATCTTTGGCTGGAGGATCAATGGATAGGTACATCTTTGTATTTTGGTGTGTATCTAATACTAGATTGGTCCCCCAGACCCATGGATAAAGCGCAACGCACTAGACCGATCATCACTCCCATGTTTTGACTCTGATGATCCGATAAATGTTCTTTTATTCTTTTATAATACTTTGTAGTTGTTAGATTGAGTGGTGCAAGTAGTGTAGCTGCAGGTGTTCTGTGCGCGGACCAAGTAGATCCAGGGTGGTTCTAACGCACTTAGAACGGTCGATTAGCGACCGTTGCCCCACAGCTCTAGCGCTACGCTAGCTAGACGCGTTATAATTGTACTTAAGTGTAAATATATCTGTGATAATGGTTACAAAACTACGAACAAACGTGCCACCAATACTTCCGCATACAAATTCTCATAGTAGCTTAATAAATATAGGTAAATAAAATAATTTTAATCTTATAATTTACAGGTTTTTTATTCGAACTGTAATATCACCTTACAATTTTTTTAAAAATGAAGTAATAAAATTAAAGTAATAAATTTATAAGTTAAAGTTAAAAACTTTATTATATAGCTTTATAATAGCTTTAATTTTAGTTTTTGTTACGTGATTGAATTTTGAATTTTAAACTTAAATTTTTACCAAGTTAAAATGTCCTGGCTTAATCAAGTAGTAGTGCTAATAATGGTTTAACTTTAATAAATTATTTATACTTTTTTATAGTTTTAATGGTTTAACTTTAATAAATTATTTATACTTTTTTATAGTTTTAATGGTAATATTATATTTATTTTAATATAAAAACTGAATTATTACTAATCAGAGCGCTAGTTATAATGTTATTACGATACTACATTTATTTAAAATAAGGCGTATAAAAACAGCCTGTATGTATTATATTTATACCTTAATAAAATGTTATTAAACTTATGTTAAACTTTTTAAATACGAGTTTTTAAAAAATAAGTATATTGTTTGATCCATGTGATTCCACAGCCAAACCATCATACAGAACCCACATGTATGATTAGATAAGAGATTAGATACCGGATTGTGAGGTCACTTAGCCAGACCTTCAGGTCCAGCTAGACTTCCCAATCCAACCATCAGCAACATCATGACCTTGACCCCATACTCGAGTATTATGATTGATCATTCAAGCCTGTTCCAACATATAATATATATATATATATATATATATTACGCTATAAGTCTTCATTATTAATAAACTACTATTTTTATTTTACAATGATAACGTAGTTATAGTACTTAGTTTTGTGACAATTTTCTTGGTGTCTCTTATTTTAACACCGAGAGTGCCGACGGGCAGCCGACGCTGCAGATAATAATGGCGCATGTACCTTACCTACAGGGATTATTATTATGACGGAAGATTGATGGCAGCTCCCCAGCTCCCCACCATTCACCAGTGACCGACCACTGACCACAGCTCGGAGCTCTCGCCTCTCGCCTCTCGCGCTGTAAAGTGGAAAGAGCAACTGCCAACAAAGTCATTTACCTCTAAATCCTCACAATTGATTCTCTTCCAAGTTGCCAACTCGAGCACTGCAACACCACCCACCACCTTGACCTCGACCAAGACCCCATTGACCCCATTGGCCCATTGAACCACAGCGCTGCCTTCGACACTCTGCCTATTGCCTCCAATATGGCCTCCACTCTCTTCCGAACAGCCCCGGCCGCCCGGGTAGTTCTGCGCGCTGCATCCATCAAGCCCGGCGTTGCCTCTCTGGCCAGCACATCCTTCACCAGGGGCAAGGCCACGCTGCCCGACCTTTCCTGTATGTCAATTCCCACCTGTCTCGGTGTACGAACAAGACCTCTTGGCTGACCCGTGCGCGCCTGCCCAGACGACTACGGCGCCCTCGAGCCATACATCTCCGCCAAGATCATGGAGATCCACCACAAGGGCCACCACCAGGTCTACGTCAACGGCCTGAACAGCGCTTTAGACTCCATTGACGAGGCCAAGGCGAGCGGTAACGACAAGGCCGCCGCCGCCGCCGCCCCTCTCCTCAACTTCCACGGCGGCGGCCACGCCAACCACTCGCTGTTCTGGGAGAACCTGGCCCCGAACAACAAGGGCGGCGGCGGCGAGCCCGAGGGTTCCCTCAAGTCCGCCATCGACAAAGACTTCGGCTCCTTTGACACAATGAAGAGCCAGGTCAACACCGCTCTGGCCGGCATCCAGGGCAGCGGCTGGGCCTGGCTGGTCAAGGACAAGACCGCCGGTACTCTGCAGGTCGTCACGAGGATGAACCAGGACCCCGTCATCGGAAACTACATCCCGCTCATGGGCATCGACGCATGGGAGCACGCCTACTACCTGCAATACCAGAACAAGAAAGCCGAGTACTTCAACGCCATCTGGAACGTAATCAACTGGGGCACCGTGGCAAAGCGCCTGGAACAGGCGTGAGGGGAGTATGATTAGCCGGGACTGTACATTACGACAAGATTCAGATCAGGTATCTGACAAATGTCAATCGACGGCAAATTATTGTTGACCGGTTTCTAACCGCCCTTTCGAGGTCGCGCAGTTCAGACAAAGAGACAAGGGTGGTCCATATAATATCGAAATCCATGGATAATGCCTTCTATTTTCTTCATTTGCGATCGCTCACGTTTATAGTGTATCTGGTGAAGTACGTCGACACCATGTTAACAGCTCCCCGACCTTGAACACATTATGTTTACCTGCAGAGGTACACATCATGGACAGCCCGACGTCACATTCAAGGACTTTTCCCTCCAACTAATCAGCCAATGCCTGTGTCGTCACGATGCCGCTATTGTCGTATCTCAGCTGCAAGTATTTCGATCTCTCGTTGGTACGGCGAACGACCAACCTGTTGACCTCCAAGGGTACTCCTCTGAACCAACCGATTCCCAAGGCCAACCTTGCCAAACCACGTCCTAACACGTCCTCTTAACCAGTTAGCCCACGCAAACTCCAAACGCTCTAGGAGCTCTAAAACGCTTGAATCTGCAATAAAAATCAAACGGCAGCAGTCATCACACTCCTTCCACAAGCAAGCGATAAGACCAAGCTTCCTAGCAGAAAACTCTACGCTCCAATCTCCGCAAACACCACACACGCGTACAGCTCCCTTTTTGTCACCTTAGCTAGCAAATCCACTAGCTCATCCACTCCTTCGAGCCCTAATAAAATCATCACAAGCAGTCACGGCGCTCAAATATCCTCCTAACGTCACGCCCTCTAGCGATAGCGCCCTCTAACTCGCTCGTATAAGTCATCCCTTACGCTGGCATCCTTAACGGTTAGTAGCTGCCCTAGCAGTAACGCCTTCCAGCAACATCTTCACGCCCTCTAACTCTAACAACCTCGCTAGGGCCGTCATAATGCCTAATCCTCATCGACCAAGTACCTTCCTCAGCAAAATAATAAAAACCGCGCCGTATAGCTTCATCAGCAAAAGAATTACAACCACGTCGTATAGCTTCCTGATTAGAAAGATAGCGATATAATAGTTAAAGCCCTTATATAGACAGCTTTACCTTCACACAAAAGGACTTTTCGAGTAGTGTACGCTATATAAGAACTTCCAGCAACGTCCACGGCAACGGATCTACTAAACAAGTTAAATAGTCGTCTCAACATGACGTATAATTTACTTACTTAAACCTAGCACGCCGCCGCTCCTTACGAGAGGCCCTGGTTAACGCCGCTTTCAGCAGCCGTCCTACCGGCGTTAAATTCTACAAGAACAACAACAACAACAACAACAACAATACGCTAAGTCCAACAGAACAAAACACCGCAAATTATCTCAATCTACTAAAACTTTAAGCATGGCGTCAACAGGCTCACAAGCTTACAGCTTCAGGCCGATGCGTCACATGCGGAGCGGCGTGCACGCAAAGCCTTGCATATAAATCCAGGGTCTGCTCGTAACACCTCATTCCCATCTTCTTGGAACCGTCATCATCATCATCATCATCATCATCGCTACCCAATATTCGGTCTGTCTTGCTGCCAAGCCATGTTGTTCAGACTCAATCAGCTAGCTCATCTGGGGGCTGTCACCCTTGGCCTCGTCAGTGCACACCCCCTCGTCCAGACGAACCTACGTGGCTTCGATGTCATCCCAAATCACTACATCATCACGTTGAAAGACGACATCACCACGCATTCGCTCCAAGTTCATATGGACTGGGTCCAGAGCTTGTCAGGTAACGACTCGCCGATGGAAGGGATCCGCAAACAGTGGAATATTGGCTCATGGAGAGCCTACTCGGGCTCTTTCGACGACGAGACCCTCGCCCAAATCAGGACGCACGACGCTGTGGAAGCCATCGAATCCAGCACGTTGGTCCGTACCATGGAGGAGATTACCGAGTACAACGCGACCTGGGGCCTGGAATCCATCTCTCACAGGGACCGTGCATATGACGACAATGATCACGACTACGTGTACGATTCGAGTGCCGGCAACGGTACGTACGCCTACATCATCGATACAGGGGTGAGGACAACACACGACGAGTTCGAAGGTCGTGCCACGAAGGGCGCCGACGGAATCAATGAGGATATTGCTGGTGACCTTTGTGGCCACGGTACACGTAAGTCACCCTGAACATTGGAGCTCCACTGTCGTATCTACTAACCTTGGCCGATCAGATGTTGCCGGCACCCTTGCCGGCAAAACATATGGCGTTGCCAAAAAGGCCAGTATTATATCGGTCAATGTCTTCGGCGGCTATTGTCATATTGGAGTACCAACCGAAGTAATACTCGCTGGGTACCAGTGGGCGGTGGACAACATCACGGCCACGGGAAGAGAGCAGGTTTCTGTCATTTCGATGTCACTCGGCGGTCGTGAACGGTCTCATGCTAAGAATCGCGCCATAAAGGCTGCCTGGCAGCTGGGCATTCTCACTGTCGTTGCTGCTGGTAACGATGGCCGTGATGCAGCTTATTACTCACCTGCGTCTGTGGCGGAGGCGGTCACGGTCGCGGCCATCACGTATAACGACGCGCGCGCGCCTTTCAGCAACTGGGGAGGCTCGGTTGACATATTCGCCCCGGGCGTAGACATCAAGTCGGCCGGAAACAGCAATGATACGGCAACGCTGATCAAGAGCGGTACAAGCATGTCCACGCCTCATATATCCGGCTTGGTACTCTACCTGAAGAGCCTGATGCCAACTCTGACGGATACGCCCGAGGCCACGGTGAATTTCTTGAAGGCGTTGGCCACGAAGGGTGTGGTCGAGAATGCACGGCGCGCGCCCAATTTACTGGGCTTCAACGGACACGGGGTGCTCAAGCTGTGAACAGGTCTGGAAGACTCTCACGGGTCCTGAAAGAGTTTGATATGCCTCCTTCGGCTCGAAATAGCTTGTTGCGGCGTCTCTCCTTAAGGTAGTCTTAATACATGCGTACGTACACCCGTCTGGTCCCTTTTCCTCATTAGCCAGGCCCTTTCTCTGCGTAGCTGAGACATGCACAGCTCTGAAACACGTCGAAGGGAGACATCACAGGCACATGGTCACAAACTATAGACGTGACTGACAAAAGAACTGGCGGCTATCGGTAAGATTTTGATTACGTCCGGTCAGTGATCAGACCGGTTGCCGACGCTCCTCTCGACCTCAGCTCGTATGACGCGGCGCTTGCATTGCGTCTCGCGCGCTTCACGTCGGCCACCACGTCCCGCCCACGGGGCCACAACACCCTGGGAAAAGATTGATTTGAACTTGCTCAGCACCTAGACGCCACCACGGTCGTTGTCACGTGCCAAGGACCCCTCAGGGCCCACAGACTTGGCTAAAATAGAGTATCATTACGATCGAATGTTGCAGTCCCGGGCCCACCTCTGGCTTCATGATGCTAGAGGTGAGCTCATGATCTCACATCGTACCGCGTACCGCCCAAGACTTGCGGTATAGGGGTTGACCGGAGTGCGGAAACGCATATTTAGACAACACTAACACGTTACTCAAACGTTAGCAAAGAGCTACTCAGGGTGTTTGTTCTCTTCGGACTTCCTCTACTATCATAGGCTATCTCACAGACCCAAGGGAACCATCACAAAATCTCCAGAAGTACAAAAACACACAATTACTACCTAGTATACGAACAAGAAAAGAGAATCATCTCCTCAGATTATTACCCCATCCACCGATTCCCCTACCTTTGGCTTCTCGGTGTTACTTTCTCCTTATCTGGCGGCTTCCACATCACCATCAGCCATCGATTGCCGACGAGCTGGAAGCGAGGTTTTCAACCAGCCAGCTTTGCATCAGCTACAATGCGCTCGGCGAGGATCTGCTCTGACAACTCCAGACACAGCTTGAAGATACTGCTAGCCCCAAGGACCTTCAGTACCGAGATGTCTTTGCCGACCGTCTTCCAGATCCAGTTGCGGACCTCGACCGCGACCAGTGAGTCGACGCCGAGCTCGGCCATCCCCTCTTCTTTACTGATACCACCCTTCGGTAGCTGCAGCAGCGTCTCGAGCCGCTCTGCGAATGCCGCCAGTATCGTTTCGGCCATGGCGCCCGCCTCGTTCAGAATTACTAGTTCCTCCTTGAGACTCTTGCGCGCCTCCGCCACACCACCGGTTGTATCATCTGCGTCGTCCCGGACCGTGAAGTGGCCGAATCGAGGGTCCAGGTGCCAGTGCAGCGGATTGGGGGTCCCGGGCTTGAACCTGCTCAGTCCGGTCGTGATGTCGAAGGGTTGACCGGGCGAATCGGGCCGCCCTGCTACGACTGCCTCGACGATCATGTGGTGGATGTCCCGCTCGGAGATGGGCGGGTAGCCCTCGCGCTCCAGCCCTCTGTACAGGTGGTCCTTCTCGCGTTGCAGAAAACCGAGCCCGTAGATGACGCCGATGTTGAGGACGGAGCCCGCGAGACCACGCCGACGTCGGTTCGCCGCAAGACCGTTCATGTACATGTTGGCGGCCGCGTAGTTTGACTGGCCGGGGTGTCCGCCGATGGCTGCGAACGACGACGTCATGATGAAGAACTCGAGGTCCGTCTCTGCAAACGCCGTGTCCAGGTTCTTGGACCCATCTGTCTTGGGCAGCATGCAACGGTTCCAGGTCTCTATGGTCATCTGTACGAATACGCGATCCTCCAGCACCATGGCACCGTTGATCACGCCTGCGACGGGAGGCATCGACACGGCCAGCTTGGTCTTCAACGCGAGGACGCTGTCGAGGCTCGTCACGTCAACTCGCTCCACCGTGATCTTGGCACCGTGCGACTGCATGAGCTCTTCAGGCCACTTGGGTGAGGTGTTCGGGTTGCGGCTGGCCAATACGATATGTCTGGCGCCGTGCTCGACCAAAAGCCGGCAGATGCTCTGGCCGAGGTCGCGCGTCAGTCCAATCATCAAGTATGTCTTGCGCGGACTGAAGAGCTGCTTCTCGGCGAGATAGTCGATGGTCTGCACGGCGTTTCGGTCGGTTCTCCAATCCACAATCTGGAATGGCCAGTGCTGCGGTCGTGATTGCAGCTCATGCAGAGGGACGGTGCTGAACGTATCGCCGCTATGCTTCAGAGTCATCGAGACCTTCTGCTTGGCCATGGCGATCGCATCCTCGCAGGTCGTTTGGACAGCTGGGATGTCGTAAGGCTCCACCAGTTGCTCCGAGCTGAAAAGTGAGGAGCGCGTGTGGTATCTGCAATTACCAGGGAGCAGGTCACGCATTCTCTGCGACAGCTCATGGCCCTTTGGCAAGAAGTTGAGAACGGTGCCTCCTCCCACCGGAAAGATGCTTCTGATTTCTCTGTTCGTCGAGCGTGGGTGAAGGGCCCTTGATCCCGTGGTGTTGGTGTCGTGTTTGCCGTCCTCGGTGGTGCTGTACGAGGCAACCTGGCCACCCAACAGGGACGCGATCTCCGTGAGACACTCCGCGAATCCGACGTCCGCACCGACAAGCACGAATTGTTGACCTAGGGTCCGCCACGTACTCGCCATAGCCGTCAAGTACCTCATGAGGAAGTGGACCACACCCAGATCGGCTCTCGTGTCCGCTTCCCGCAGAGGGAACGTTAACGAAGGGACACATGAAATGTACGAAGAGTTGATCTCTGACATTGCGACCACTCGGTTTCCAGTCTTTTGGTGACGACCAACACAGACATAGGCTGATGCATCGACGTCGAGCTTGACCGGTTCGGCGGAGCTGTAATCGACTTGGATCCAATCCTGTCCTGGAAGCGGGTTGCATGCCTTGGATTGAACCCTGTATGCAAGCGAGCCGTCGAGCGTTTGGTGCGGGCACAGCTTGACAACCTCTTGGAGAGTGTTGACTTTTCTGGAGACGACACGTCGCATGGCGTTGATTCTGTCGTTTGCCTGCTTCAGGGGGACAACACGAGGAATCAAGCGTCGCCCATCCTTGATATGGATCTCTGGCTCATGCGTCCACGGCAGCTCCACGGACTCGACCTCCTTCGCCCTGGCCAGGCGGATGAACGTGGTGGCAATCAACTGTTCCGAGGACTCGACATGCTCCAAGTCAAGAATCTGGAGTCTGAGGTTGGGAACCTCCGCTGTGACTGTGCGCAGAAAGCCAAAGGTAGCCGCGTGTCCTGGGTTCCCGTCCCGCGCATCGCAAGTAAGCCAGAGCACTGTCATGTTGGGTCGTAGGAGCGCTCGGAGCTGGCCGAGTCTATGCTCTGTCATGGTGGACATCAGAGGCTCATGGAGGTCAGCCAGTACGATGGCAGCTGTGCAATCTGCCAGGTCCTTTGCGTCGATGGCGTCGAGCGAACTTGCGAGACTCTGGTGGCAGAAAGGCGCAAGTTGCTCCTTCAAATGGGCAGTCAGTCTGCTCACGCCTGCATCGCCAAGGATAAGCAGGTTTTCGGTCGCCTTGCCATGGAGTGGCTGCAAAGTCGAAGTCTGGTCGAGCTGTCGGACCATGACGAAGCAGCCAGGGTGATGAAACTGATCCGAATTTCTCGCATTCTGTTCAAAACCACAGCAATATAGAAGATCAGGCCACTCTGGGGGCGACTGGATGTCGTCCGGATGAGTGACGCTTGCCTTGCGACCTGTCGTGGAAGCGCCAGAGGTGTGCACAATAATTAGGAAGCCTCCGGGTCTCATTATAGCACGGATTCTCTTCAGAATGCCCACTGGCTCGTCATTCTCCAAGAACGAGGTCGATAGCAGCACGAGGTCCTGGAGGCTGTCGGTCCCGAGTTGGACCTTGAGATCCCGTTGGAGATTCAGCGACAGCGTTTTGACCTTGTTCCGTGGTGCGCCTGAAGGTCGAACATGGCCACCATCACTCTGCTCCGTCTCAGCGCCGATGATGAAGGACTGAAATGACAAATCCTGGGCAGCGAGAACATACTCTGTGACCCCAGGGTCCGAGGCCGTGAGACAGAGAATGTTCATCCGGGGATCCCGATGAGCTACCTGCTTCACGATCCGAGCAATGTGCTGGTGAAAGCTGAAGACTTGAGTCGCTTCCTCGATGACCGAAGGGAGACTGGTAGACAACTGGTGTGGGTTGCTCTCACCCAGCTTTCGGATTGGATCCAGGTAGTGGCGGTTGCTCGAGTAGGCGACCAACTCGTCAATGTGCTCTCTGGTATCGGACGTCCAGCTCTCGATGACCTTGTCTAAGCCATTCATACCTAGTTCGGACGAGTTGGAATGACCTCGGATGAAAAAGGAGGCCACTCGACAACACTCGTCCATGATCGACGAGTTATCTGTTGCGGTACCATCGAGATTGGCGTGTACTATCTCATCAGTCGGGTCGATATCCACGACAGTATGCAGGTACAGCTCGTAGTCATCATTGGCCTGGGTATCGGCCAAAGCACAAACAGCAAGCCCTTCGACCTGCACCTCTGCTGTTCCAGTCTCGTTGAAGATACCGATGTCAACGACGAACTCGGCTTTGGACTCTGGCGTGGCCCGCTTGCAATGCGTCATGTGTGTGTCAACGACGAGCATGCCATCCTGGTCGGGCCCGTATTCCTGGCCAAGCGAAGCCAGGTTGAACTGCACACGCTCAATAAACACGGGGAGGAACGACGTCCAGAGAGACCTAGTCATCGTCAGGCAAAATATCTCATGAGGGGAGGGGAGCACTTACTTATCGCCAGGCGATGCGTACGACAGGAAAGCGGACTGAAAACAGCTGTCAAGAGTTGCCGGGCTTACTTGCAAGGCGGTGGTGTCTTCGGGGTGGCGCCGTTTGAGACCTGCAGAACAATGATCGTGCCGTCGGCGGATCGACGTCAGGGCTCGGTATGGTCCTGAATACACGAGTCCGGTTTCGTCCATCATCTTGTAGAATGCCTCCGGTCTGGCGGGCAGCATCTCTGACTGGGAAGGTCGTCTCGGCGGCAATGCGCCCGGGGAAGGGTCACCCAGAACGATCGTCAGCATTCCTGTCGCATCCTTCTTCATATGCGTAGTTCCATCAGCAGGACACGAAGTCAAGCTGAAAGAGGCCTCAATGGTTGAGCCCAACTTCGTGCGCTGGGGCCAGGAAAGTACCTGGAGGGAGAACAGTGTCTCGGTGCCCGACGAGTCACGGTCGATGCTGATACCACTCATGATTTGCAGCTGCGAGATTTCAACCAGCGAGGCTGATCTTCCATCGAGGAGGTATCGGGCAGCATCAAGTGCCATGACGCAGTATGCGGAAGCTGGCAGCAGGGCTTGATCCTGGAAGCTGTGGTGCTCTAGCCAAGGGATCTTGTCCAGTTTGAGGACGTTGCGCCATCTCATCTCATGCTCGTTGTCGTCCCGAGTGCGTACGCCAAGTAGCTCGTGGGGTGCGGAGTTCCTGAAATGGTACTGGCGAGAGGGCCGCGACTCTCGATAGTGAATGGTTGAGTGGTCGAATGGGTACGTCGGCAGGTCCTTGGGATGAAATTGACCAGCGTCGGACACGAGAGACTGATCAATGTAGTTGCACAAGCCAGCGCCTAGGGGTCCCAAATGCGTCCATACGAAACCGAGGAAGTCCGAAAACGCCAGGCTGTCGTCTTTCATCCGGTCCAAAGGACTGCAGTAGGGGATGTCGTTCCCAAGTCCCTTAGCAGTCTGAGCGACAGGGCCCTTGAGAGCAGAATGTGGCCCTATCTCGACGGCAAGATCGAAGGGGCCAGATTCCGACAACGCATGGTTCAACGCTTCATGGAATTGCACGGCATTGACCATGTTGTCTCTCCAGTAGCCGGCACCGAGGTCCTGCTCTCCAGTTCTAGTGAAGCCGTGAACACTCGAAACCCGAACAGTCGGCCCATTGCCTTCGGCGGTTGGCGAAATACCACATTGTTGCAGGGCCTTGACATATTCCTCGGCGGGTTTCGTCATGTGCGGCGAGTGATATGCCGTGTCGACGAGCAGCAGCCGCGCAAACTTGTTGTGCGAAGCCAGCTTGTCCTTCGCCAGATGTATCATGTCCAGGTCGCCCGAGAGCGTGACACTGGAGGGAGCATTGCTGGCAGCAACGCAGATTCGCCCATCGAACATAGAATCCCGACAAAAGCCAAGGGCCTCACTCTCTGACATTCCAGCCGCAAGCATGCCGCCCTTTTGGCCTTCGGAACCTCCAGCAAGATATGCAAACATGCCGCGATAGTAGGAAATCAGAATGGCATCTCTTGCAGACAGCCTTCCCGCGGCGTACGCCGCAGCAATCTCGCCTGACGAATGTCCAACGACGGTATGGAACTCGATGCGCAGACTTTTCATGACGTCGACTAGTCCGAGTTGCAAAGCAGTAGAAACAGGCTGCGATATAACGGCCTCGTCCATCCTGGCTTCGGTCCCCTCGGTCATGATTCGTCCCTCCAGGGTCCAGGCGGGAGGATGAGGACAGGCCCGTAGGGTGTCATCAAGGCTCCGTATCGTTTGGCGATAGACTGCGTTGGTACGGAACAGCGATCTCGACATGGTGGGCCACTGTGCACCTTGGCCGGTGAAAATACCAAGGATTCGAGCGGGTGCCGTCATGGTTTTTGATCTCATTCCTATTTCATTAGGGGTCGTCGATGCTCGAAGAAGGGCGTCCAGCGCCTCCAGAGCCTGTGAGATAGACGCCGCAGAGACTGCCACTCGGTACTGAAGGGCGCTTCTGCGGGAATAAAGATACCGGGCCAGCTTCTGATAGCCAACCTGATTTCGTTGAACATATTTCTTGAGAGAACCAACCAGTTCATACAACGACTTCTGGGAGGATGCTGAGACGAGAAGGGGTAGGAAGAACGGATTTCGCGCAGCCTCTTCGAGAAGCGGCTGGATTGTTGGGGCCGGACGCTGGTACTGGACGAGCTGGTTGTGGATATGGGGAACGTAGGCCTCGATAATGGCATGGGCATTCGTCCCGCCAAACCCGAACGAGTTGACGCTGGCCCTGCGTGGATGGCCTTCCGGAGGCTCCGGCCAGGGCACAATAGTGGTCGGAATATGAAGATTGCCGTAGAACGGCTTTACGCTCTGACTTAGCGTGGTGAGGTGGAGGTTAGGGGGGATTAAGCCGTGCTTCAGCCCCTGAACCGACTTGAGCAGTCCAGCCAAGCCAGCGGCACCCTCGGTGTGCCCAATCACGGTCTACAAGACGAATATTAGCGCTGAAAGGTATCATCACTGGAGAACGAAACTGTATTGTGCTTACTTTGACAGACCCGACAAGCATCTTGCCGGACGCGTCTGTATGGTTCTCAGGCTCACCGAGGTTGGATTTGGTACCAAAGAAAGCCTCGGAGATGGCTCGTGCTTCTCGGGGGTCGCCTGCAGAAGTTCCTGTGCCGTGTGCTTCGAAGTACTGACAATGGTCTACGGGGTTCTGAGGATCCAGTCCGGCCCTGTGGTACGTGTTCCGGATCAGGGTGGCCTGGGCGACGGGGTTGGGCATCGTGATACCTCTTGTACGGCCGTCCGAGTTGACACCCACTTCGCGGATGATGGCTTCAATCTCGTCTCCGTCGGCCAGTGCGCGGGAAAGCGGCTTGAGAAACAGAGCCGCGCAGCCTTCACCGCGCGCGTAGCCGTCTGCACCGGCATCCCACATGTGGCACTTCCCGGTAGGGCTCAGCATGTGCAGGGTTGACTCCACGATGAACTGCTCAGGGGTGATCATCAAGTTGACGCCGGTAACACAGGCCATGCTGCATTCTCCTGAGCGGAGGGCCAGCACCGCTTGGTGCAGCGCCACGAGACTCGAGCTGCATGCCGTGTCGATGGTCATGGAAGGGCCTTGGAAGTTGAAGAAGTATGATATCCGGTTCGAGAGGATGGCGCGGCTGTTGCCTGTGGCGTAATACTGGCTGGTCGCGAGCTCGTCGCGCTGCGAGAGGGTGTCGTAGTCGCCCGTCATGCATCCGCAGTACATGCCCACGTCTTTGCCGTTGTACCGACTCAGAGTGAAGCCGGCCGACTCCATGGCCTCGTACACGACCTCCAGGAGGAAGCGTTGTTGTGGGTCCATGGCTTCAGCCTCCTTCGGGGTGATGTTGAAGAAACCGGCATCAAAGACACGGTGGTCCTGGTCCAGCCAGTACGCTTTGATGGAATTGGTCGTACCATGGTATTCGCCGTCCTCGTGGTAGAAGGCTTTGGCGTTGAATCTGCCAGCGGGAACCTCGCGAGACAAGTCGGGTGCGCGGCACAGGACGTCCCACAACTTCGAAGGCGAGGTGGCACCGCCTGCGAAGCGGCAGCTGCTGCCCACTATAGCGATTGGCTCTGGTGGGGAGGTCTGGGATGAGTAGGACGCCATTTCGAAGATGGCCATTGCTTTTGTTCTTCAATGTCTTGGATCGGGCGTAGGGCGGCGGTTATATGTCGCAGGTTGGCGATGACAATGGGACAATGACAATGGGTGTGGATGACCAAGGAGAGGTGCAGGGGGGGCTCAAAGGGGAAACCAAAAGGAAGAACAACGGGATGGATTTCCTTTCGAGGCCCGTGCTGTTCGTCCGACCAGCTGATGCTCCGAGGTGTATGTGTTTCGTCAGTAGTCGCATCGGTGGATGGATGGAACGAAGGGGTGGTTTGGCTGGAGGTGCGTGCTGATCCGTCGTCACCTATCGCCGAAGGTGGTTGAGGATGTGGACTGTCTGAGACCACCAGGGTGCTCAGAGATTCAGAAAGGTGGTTACCCAATCAGGGAGGACAAGGTGTGCACTGAACTCCCACAGAAATGAATATTGCTGAGCAACAGAAGAGCAACAGAAGAGCAACAGAAAATTTTCTTGGGTGTGCGTGCTCCGGGTCACCTAGGCGCCGTAAGTGGAATTTCTGAGTGGTGTGCACTCGGAGAAGTCAGCCCACCGAACGAACAATGGCAACTTGCAGATAAGCCGGCGCTGGGTGGGTCGGCTAGAAATCCTCAGTGCCTTACAGTGAGTATAGGGAAGAGTGGTAGGGGAGTGAGTGGGAGAGGGGTGATCGATAAGGGGGGCAACGGGGGAAGCGGGCATAATGGGTGACTACCTACAGAAATTTCCATTCATATTCACGAATAAGTCCAGGTCCATTCATACGGAAAAGTCTATTCACCGTGCGTGTGAGATTACAATGACCTTAACTGTACATTGTGACAGACTGTGCTACGAAGAACGTACCATCCTGTGGCTGTCAAGTCTACAATTTGGTCACTAGGGACAGCCCGAAGGGGTGAGCACGTCGATGAGGGAGCTTTTGCAGCGTTGATCATAATTATACCTATTGAAGAAGCCTTGACACATGGGCCGTCTCTTCCATACAACCGCAGACGACAATGAAAAAGCCTAGTTTCTCATCTAAACCAGGTTGGTCGTATCCATCCAATCCTTGCCCTCACCAACCGTGCCCTCGCAGTTGCGTCTCCGGCCCGACCACAGCTCCTTTATATTTGGCAGTAAGGTGATGCGTGGATACCCCGGGGACAGTGAGCTCATATGCAGAGGTTCTGCAGCGCAGAACCTTCGTGGCACGGTTTCAATTTCTGGTACCGTGCCACCAAAGTTGGAACCGTGCCGCCCCCGTACTGCTTCATTTTCCAGCGGTAACCACTTACCATGTGTTTCCCCCAAGTGAAGAGCGCGAGGTAAGCTGATGAATGGCGATGTGGACATTTGAAATCCACCAGTACATATAGATAACGAGATTTTCCTCGGAAACTAAGCGTCCGATCGAGTTCCGCCCCCCTCATGGCATCAACTGCAATTGAGAACAGCGAGAAAGGCGGACGAAATTCTCGATGCATATAGATGGTGATTGGTTTTTCTAAAAGCATCCAGCCAGTGGTCGGCGGTGATGAAAAAGCAGAACGGCGTGTGGAGAACCCGAATTTCCCACGTCATCAGGTTGATGTCGGACAGACGATCCATATGAGTCCGCTGTGACTCCAGTAGAGCTCCCGTACCCGGCGGTGATATCGGCTGCAAATTCATCAGCGAGCATCGTGAATGTGTGAGACGGACCACCCCTCTCCGAGGTCGGTATAGTGAAACGCGAAGTCGTCGTACTGGCACAGCTCATAGGGCATATGCTGGCGATCATCGAGAGATATCGGCTTCGGATTACACACGGTGGTAGGACCCGGTGTATGGCTGACATCAAGTGTGTCCAAGGTCGCTCAGGGGGCGCGATGCTGCTCTGGTTGAGACACCGAGTCGTACAGTGTACTTACTGGTGAAGTGGTCGAATCAGCTCTAGACGATGTGGATTGTCAGGTTTGCCGGGAACGAGGGGATCATGGGGGACACCAACCGGCTCCCTCTGGTGGGCTTGGACGTATAATTTGTTGCGTAAACTTCGGTCAACCTACTCCCGGTATAGAAGTCTCTTCGTGTGGCGTGAAGAGAGACTGGACTTGCCTCCTTTGTTTGGATCTCGAGCACTGCTGACGTGTCTCACACCTTATCTTCCTCCGGCTCAATTTCATCGAATGGCAACGATCACACACTCTTCGATTTGGTACTCCTGCCATCATGATGCACTCGACGGGAGGTGTGCTGAAAATTCCCGATGCTTTGCGACAGGACGAACTCGCCTGGGTGTGATGGCCACCTTCAGACTAACGGATGTAACCGTGGTTGCTTAGTCTGGACTCGACAATTAGACCCAGACGAATATGTCTAGAGCACTGTTCTCGCAAACGAAGGAACCTGAGACACACCGTTGAGACCCCCGATACACTGAAATATAAGCCATAGTTATTGGTAAGCGGTTGGAATAATAACTCGCATAAGCATTTGGCATAATCAATTATTCCAAGGCAACTTGACCGGAGTAAGCACCAATCCGCTGCTTATTCCAATGCAAAATATTGTCTCAGCCGCTTGACTGAAAACTGCCGGCCCTAAGTACAGGCCCCTTCCAGTTTGATTGCCTTCGTGGCGTGCCTTAATCTACAACGAATTAGTGAACCGTCGTGCCATCAGCGCGATGTCTTGGATGGCCCACTTGTGCGATGTCGTCTGTACCCATCATCTCGGATGAGGCAAACTTTCCACGACGTCGTAAATCCAGTTCAAGTGCCTGCGAACGGTATGGAGGCACTTGGCAAACATGTGTACCGGCATTGTGAGTAGTACAAGCCATGAAAGGCGTGAACGGAGACAACGCCACCCGATTCAGCATATGTCAAACAGTGCCTAGATGGTTCATATGGTTGATGTTCGTGTATCTGGTGCTGATCTTGACGAAGCTGTTGTTGTGAAGTGTCTGGCACCTGATTAGTGCACCGCCACCTCCCTGACGCCACGGTGGCTTGCGTGCCATTCCTTATGTGGAGCCTACTCCTATCACCGCTTGTTGTACAAAGACCCGGTCACAGGAAGTTCGTAGCAAAAAAACTATTGCAGCATCGCAAGGCCACGAGATCTTGCATCTGCCATTACTAGGACCATATGCGGGGGACTTGTGTCTGACGTGTTACCAGATCTCTCGGATTTCCTTCATGGGAGGGTACGCCGTGCGATGTCACCGCTGGGCGGAGGGATTCATCCGTATCACATGTCTACTAACTATCAACCAATCCAATGCAAAGACCGAACTCAGGAAGGCTACACGATATGCGATCGAATAGCTCCAGCGAGAGTGTTACAGCCGATATGACGTGTGCGAGCTAGGCCGCCCACTCCACATTGGCGTAGCACAGGTCATGTGAACGATGATCTGGTGTCTTACTCGGTACTTCTGATCATCTCATCTTGCTTGGTGGTGAGTCGCATATTCTTGCCTGATACAACTGATACCATGCCTTTGTCGGATTGACCTCGGACTCGTCTGATTCGGAGGATTTAGAGGACGAAGACAAAGACTCGGCTGAAGAGGAGATTTTGGAGGCTGTACAGGAGCCTAGGCACACCCGTTCGGGGCGAGCCATTAGGGCGCCCGTACAATTGTACGAGTAAACAGCTTCAGCGCTTTTAAATGATAATACTACCATAAATCTCCGATCTGAATAGCTTCATTCGTGGGTGGGTGAATAAGGGGGTGTTTTGGTGGTGACCCCACAATTTGGCTGGCCGACTTCTATGGGGGATGGTAGATGAAAAGGGGTGGCAGTGGAAATCTCCCATGCATCTCTATGTCAAGTTGGCTCGACACAGAAGCTTTCAAGAGGTACGTCCACATTGAGGACCAGAAATCCGAAGTAACTACCTGACATGGCTCGAAAACCACGTGTGCTCTTGGGCAACCGAGTCTCGTGGCCGCCTCCGAACCATTGTTGATTCAGTGGCTATTGCCCTGGTACAAGAAGCTGAACTCTCTGTCAGTGTAAGACAAACACGCTTAGCAGACCTAACGGAACATACCCCGGCTTTGTATTTCCCCTGAGAGACATTCTTGAGTCTAAAAATCCACGCGATAGAGCTATTCGCAGGCCTCCGAGAACTTGATCCGGCCGTAAGGGACTTACGGTACCGCTTAGCCCGCTGTTGCTTCATCTGTCAAAATAGAAGGCGTCTTGCACATGGCACGGTGGGCTACACGTGGTAGTCCCCCATAAAGTTCAACGGGCTTCTTGATGGAGAGCCACCACGTTGCTCCTGGGCAGTGGGTCTTTTCACTAAGGTGTCCTTCGAACCATGAGGCGCCGAGGTCTGTTACACATCACCGCCTCTTGCCACGCGGAAATGAGAACGGCTAACTTGAGTAGAACGGACCAAGTTTCTCTGGAAGCAGACCGATCCATGGTCGCACTGTCCTGTGTGGTGGAAGCCCTAGATATCGTAAGATCATTGCGTGTTTGAGAACCCTGTTCCGCTGTAGGTAGGTGAAGAATTAGTCTTTCCAGTAATACCAAAGCTGGAGTTCACTCACGATGGAAGAAGCTACGTGGACGTGACGGTCAGCGTGAGCTGTCGATAGACATACCACATAGCTTTAGCTGGCGCTGACTGGAATGTCGGCGCCTGGTTCAGAGCACATCTTCCTACTCACGTGCGCCACTGGCGTCAGTCCTCAATTATCCAATCAAAGGCTGTATTTTCCATACAAATTTCCATATCGGGGTGGTGGCGCCGGTAGTGCCCAGAGGATGGCTGACGCGTCGCATCAAAGGATGACAACCCGTACGCGCTGGTTGGAGCCCCGACAAGTATCAAGGGTCGTGGTCGAGAACTTCAAGTCCCCGGGGAAGTATGATTGTTCTTGATGATCATCGAGAGATCATTTGTCGGGGTTAAGGCTAAAAGAGTAGATGGTAGGGTAAATAGTAGGGTAATTCGGACAAATAAGCAACAGAAGTGGACAATGCTTTCAGCGACGTCTTATAATATCCCAAACGCCTCTGTTCCTTCAAATGCACACTGAATATGTACCTCGTCTCACCAGGACGCCAGATAGTCGGATTGGGAATTATATGCTACTACTGGCCTTACCCATGAATGGCCGCTTGAGCCACCGTTAAGCCAAACGCCTTTCGCTGAGGGCCATTGCTCCGATATCCACCTCGCCCTCCTATTCGTTCCCAACGTCGAACACTTCAAGATGTATTCGGGCTTCGCTGATCCCCGAAGCGAGTAGGTAGTTACGGATGTCTTTCATGAAAGCACAGGGTCCACAGACATAGTAATGCGCGGTGGTGTCGCCTAGGTGCAAGCTCGCCGGGCTGACCAACTCCAACCTCATTCGCCCCTCCATATGGTAGTCGACCCCTTGAACCTCCTGCGCGTGAGTTGTGGTCAAGAAGACTGTTGCATCGATATTGGGGCTGTTACATGCTTCTTTGATATGTTCGCCAAAGGCACGAGCCTCTGAACTATGCGCCCCGTGTATCAAGGAGACCTGGCGGGAAGAGCCGGTGGCGACGACGCTGTTCAGAATTGAGATCATAGGTGTGATCCCGACTCCCGCCGAGATGAGAACGAGTGGCGTCTTGTCCTCGAGGTCTACAAAGAACTCGCCAGTTGGATGAGTCAGCTCCACCACGTCACCTTCTTTGTATTCCTCATGCAACTTGTTCGATATCAGACCTGGAAGGCCGATCTCCTTGCCTTTCTCTCTCTTCACACTGATCCTGTAGTAGTCGGTGCTTGGTGCGTCGCTCAGTGAGTACTGGCGTGGTTGCCAGTGTTTCAATTGAGAGATAAACATCCGAAGGCTGATATACTGTCCCGGTAGATATAGCGGCAGTGCTCCTCCATCCTCGGGCACGAGGTAGAAGCTGGTGATCTCGGTCGACTCCACTTCCTTCCGCTGAATCTTGAAACGTCGCCAGCCAGTCCAGTTCTCAAAGGCAGCATAGAGCTGCTGTTCACGATTGATGAAAATGTCTGCGAGACACGCGTACGCTGCCGTCCACTGCAACACGTCGAGTTAGCAGTTCCCCTCTCTGAACAGAGTACAGAGTCGTGATTTGAGTAGCATATTACCCGTTGGCCAAAAAGCAAACTCGGGAGATGGTGAAAAGGGTATAAGTAAAGTCGAGATATTACTCCCTGCCTCGGCGATGTCAGGTGTACATGCGTCGCCCAAGACGGTAGCTACAGCTTCCAGTAGAAACTTGCCAACTATGGGGTAATGCTCTGGCTTGATACCGAGACTGGCATGCTTGTGTGCGATGCGTTCCACCAGGGCCGTCAACTGCGCAAGGTCGTCGACGTACGTGGCGTAGGCGAAGACGGCGGCGGCGAGAGCACGCGGCTGTGCCCCCGTGATCTGGTCCGTCATGTTGAAGTAGTCGTGAAGTTCAGGATGCGCATCGATCATGTTGCGATAGAAGAGAGTAGTGATGGTGGTGCCGTGTTCCTTGAGAACAGGGGCGGTCGCCTTGACGACGGCGATTTGAGGCGCCGTCAAAGATGCGGCCATTGTTGCCGACTGCGTTGCGGGTGTGCTAGTTGCTTGGCTGAGTCGATGGCCTCAGTCCGTTGCAGACTTTGATTATGTATCGTGTGGTATACCTAAGCCCGTGAGAGTCGATACCCAAATACCAAACATGGAACTCCAGAGGATCAGCAGCTGCCCGACTTAAGCATCTCATCTGTTGCTGCATTTTAGCGACCATGCCACTTTTGGTCACGCAATGCTTATTTAATGTTGCGCCGGATTTGCTTGGTTGGTTCTACGTCTTTCCCGATTATTATCGTGAAAATGTCATCTCCGCGGCGTGAAGCCAGCCAAAAGTGGGAAATGGCACGTCTCCGGTGGCATGAACTTCACGAATGCCCGGGTGATTAGTGACCCACTGCGAATAAAGGAAACCCTGCGAACTGCCAAGCTCCTCTTCAACGACCGTGATTGTGTTCTTCAGTGAGCGAGGGCCGAAGAAGAAGAGACGGCCGGCCGTCGACCTCAAAGTGCCCCCGCATACCTTATTCTTATTACCAGCACAGCAACCATCCATGGTCCGTCTACAACGGATAAGGGTAGGCCGGACCATGTGCGTGGAGTCTTGGACACACTACCTATACCTACCTTACTGGCGCACTGTACTAGTATTGCCCTAGCAGCCGGCAGCTGTCAGCCTGGTTCGCGGCCTGTACCTCTGTGCGGACATGCTATACTATGGCACGCGGCAGCAGGTGTCATTGCGACTGGCAAGGTATATTATGAGGGTCCAGGGGGTGTCCTGCCAGGCGAAGGCGCCGAAAGTCTAAAGATAAACTGTGCTACCCTACCCAACTACCAGCTTGCCAGCACAACCCCAAATGGCCCTTTGCGGCCAACATCAATACACAACACTACGTCGTTGTATCACTTGCCTGCAGTATACCTCACGGACGGATATGCCTTGACGAGGGTGCTTTGACTTGCGCCGCCCTTTGCCTGCCGGCGCAAGGAAGAAGCTGCTCTTGTTGCTGCTGCGGAAGATTGCGTGCAGCGTAGCATCGTTATTCTCCGACTCATCATTTCGGGAGGGTCTTGCCTGGTGCGTACCCTTCCAATGACCTATCGGACTGTCATGCTATGGGTTCGGCAGTGAGCAGAGGCCCCAAATATGGACACGACTGACATCGCTATACATATATTTCTAAACTTGGCCTCGGCGCAGTCACCGCAGGGGCAGAATCCTGACGAGGTGGAATCCCGACAGATACCATGCGATACGTTGCCTTCCCGTCTAAGATCATGTCAGAGCTCGTTTCCCTACAGATTTGGGGGTGCATCATATATGGAGACGCATAATGCAGTCAGCTGACATCGGGTGGCCTTGCTTGACCTCGGTCGCTGTTTTGGGCAGGATTTCCGCATACGGCAATTTTCTGCATCTCTGTATCAGCTCTCACCAGGGGAAGACGCTACTTGCTGGGCTCCTTGAGCGCCCCCAGTGTCCGAATACTTTGTTTGGCGTCCACGTCGCACGGCTGGGAGTTACACTGGCACGCATCAACTCCGTTTTGATCTGCAGCTGGGCTAATGCTTGATTATGAGGCTGTGTAGCTTGATCCTGAGAAAGTGATCCTCCCGTATAAGCCGCCGTGTTCTCGGGCGGGCTGTGATTTCGACCTGTCGTGCCCCCGTCAACGCTGGTTCTTTCTGCATCATCCCGTCATTCTCGTGTCTGCCCAATTTGTGTGACACCGGGCTCTCGTTGCCATGAGCATCCACCTCGGACGTCTAGACAGCAGAGAAGACTTTGAACATAATCTCTGAGTGCCCTCCGCTCCATTACCATCCTCGGCAACATGATTGATGACCATAAGGCGAGTGAAATCCCGTCCGTACTCTATCCCTTGGGTGCGCTGCTCGATGAACTGACATCTATTCACCAACCAGCAAGCCGGGCATGAAGAACTGCCGTACAGCCAAGCCTCGTCGGCCTCGCCCTCGGCCGGCTCTCAGCTACCATTCGCGCTACCCGAGGCATCGAAGCCAACGCATGCATTCTCGAGCACCTCGAACGAAGATTATGTGCCGGAGCTGGCTCGTACCACGTACTCGCTCCGCAACTCTTACGGACCAGAAGTCGTCATGCACGCTGTCGAAGGTGATCAAGCCTTCGCCAAAAAGAGCTGGGTGCCTCAGAACATAGAGAGCGAGGGCCTGGAACCGGTGCCTCGGAAATTGGGAAGCGAGGGCCTCGAACCTCTGGCGACCCTTCATCCAACAAAGCCGGGCCTGGAACCTAGGGCAACCTTTCTTTCAGAAAAGACGGGCCCGGAGCCTCTGGCAGCCCTTCAATCAACAAAACCGCATCGCTGGACACGACGGCGGCGGGTGAGTGTCTGGATTGCTGTCGTTGTTTTCCTCATCGCCGCTCTCGCCGGTGGACTTGCCGGTGGGCTCTCCAGCCGCTTTGGGGATTCACGCTCGGAATCATCACCGGCGATAGCGCCAGCAGGCAACTCAAGTACGCCAGGGTTGGCAGGGAATATCCGATCAGGTTCGAGGTTATCCATTGCTGGGTGGCGAGCTTCCAGTAACACCTTCAATACGCATCTGTTCTACCAGGACCGTGACGACATCTTTCGTCATATGGAATACTCTAGCGACGTTGACAGCTGGCAGGGCCCCAGGATGGCTACAACGTATGATGCGCTGGCGAAAAGCCCAATGGCATGCACCTCAATAATGGTAGACCAACCTGTAAGCCAACCCGGCGTGACTTTCCTCAAAGGTGTACTGGGCCATCGAAAGTCTCCGTCGCGCTCCCGGGGATCAAGGCAGTGAAAAAGTATCATCATTCGAGAACCGCGGACAGAGACTTCTGAGGGATGCCTATCAGCAGGCGGTTTTGAAATGACTGACATTGCATAGCCACAAGTTGAGCTCTTCTACCTGAACTCGTCCCTTCTTGTTACCGGGGAGAACTTCCGAGATGGGTATACCCTACCGGAGGGCGGTTATGACAGCATCGACGATAATCCAGTCGGAACTGACGACGCGTCGAGGCTTGCTACGTATTGGCCATATGTTGTAATGCAGGACACGGGCGGAGCTTTGCGACAGATTACTTACGGGTGGTGGAATAGTACGATAGGCATCTCGGGATCAACTGGGACCGGGATGGCCATCGTTCCCCAGACTGCTTCGTACGAGTCTCCTAACACTGCCGGCCTAATTTATCGAGGGACCGATGGGAACTTGGCTGGGCAATGGTTAGGGTACAACCAGGCGGCATCGAAGTGGGACATCGGTAAGTTGGGCGAGGAGAACAATATGACACGATGAAGGCAAAGCTCATGCATGCGATTCCAGATACCGTTCCGATACCCGAAGATTCAGCCATCGGCGCATTCGCGGTTGCAAGACCGAATGACGCGAGCAATGCGACGATTATCTACGTCTTGTACCAAGACTCTTCCAACAGCATCCAATACATGTCTTACGACGTAGGCTCGTGGACAAAGGGTTCATCAGATTCCGCCCTCGCTAACGCGGATCCTGCCACGGACATCACTTGCCTGACGGAAGGTGTCTGGCCGGGTGTAAATATGATCACGGACGCCTACGATATGAGTCGGTGTTATTTCATGTATCAGGGGCAATTGAAGCAGGTGTTGTTCAATGGTACAGGCTGGGAGGACTTGGGCTTCGTGGACATACCATGATACCAAAGGGTACAGCACCCTTGCCATAGTTAGGCGTCAAATTGTGTCAATCTGAGGACCTCTACTCTCTAGAAGTACCTGTCACGGTAACAGAAGGAATCACACTATGAACGGTTGTTCACCCGGTGGATTGGGTGGAAATCAGCCTGACAGAGACGTTGCTGACAGTCTTGCTAGGACGAGAAACTAGGAATCGCTGCACTTACAGCCCGAACACTTCTAGACCATTGTACCATAGACCAGAGTTCAGACATAATATGCATTAATGAAGAATCATTATCTTATGAAGGGTATCAACTCGCAGCGAGCGAAAGCTAGCCTTTCTCTGGCGGGGATATATGAGAGCAGAAAGCTCAACAGTCATCGTAATCTTTGGCGCCACGTCGTGGCCTTACAGCCCTTACCAGGGCAGTGGTGATCACCAAAGTCTGGCAACCACTCTGGGGGACATCCCAACGGAGCAACATCAAGCCATCCGTCTATCCCATGTGTAGAGTTTCCCGTTTCCCCTTTTAGTATCGGGCACTCTCTTCTCTCTGTCTCAGCCCAGCGAATGTCCCGTATTGGCTCTCATGATCGGCAGTACCGGTCCCGAGTCGTCGCTTTGCTCAGGATTGAGCTCGTAGTACGTCTCTTTTGACTCGCCACCAGCTTCCAGATCGAACAGTTTGCAGCTGGGTTTCGCATTGAATATGTTGTCCTCGTCCCACGGCTGTCGACCCGATGTCCCACCTCTCGGACTGAAGACACTCATCAAGTTTGGAATGGGACGCGACGGTAAGGGCTTCGTTGTGTCTGCAGGGGCCTTCTTGAGGGTGTTTGACCTAGAGACGCACAGTGCCGGTGGCGGAGATGGTCCAGATTCCCCGGACACCTTCCTCCACGTGCGTGACCAAGGCGTCGGGCACGAGAGTTTCCAGCCCCTTGATCCAATGGGGTCCTGCCACCTTCTGGGTACGAATGTCTCATACATCTTCTTCCGGTGTCCTGATGTAGTGCCGAATATGATGAAGAGGAAGATCCCAGGAGTCACACCTGGCATGAAGAGAAACAGAGACGAGTTTGCGCGCGCGACGCTCAGGTCTGGCTCTCTGCTGATATTATCTTTTCTGTTGTTTTGAGCATCTGTCCATTGGAACAGTGTGTTCGTGATGTCGAAGATTCTGTGACCATCATTAGCAAGGGGTACCTCTGGACTTTCGTACGAGACTCACCCAAGTACGACGAAGGCGCAGGTAAAGCGGACCATGAGCCATCGGTCACAGATACCCTGCTGTCTTACTGACGTACGCCTAGACCCGGCATCACTAGAAGATGCAGTCGCAGCCATGACTCCAGCCTCGCTGGTGTTGCGGGTCTTCGCTGGAGGCGTCCATTGCGAAAACTTCCTCTTCGTTCGTACGTAGCGAATTAGGATGGCAATCATGGTCGCGCTACCGATGGTCAAGCTCAGCATCACTAGTCAAAGGTCAGCATACGGATGAGGGTCCTCCAGCTGAAACTTACGGGGAATGTCAGCTAAGATGATAAAGAGCACAAATGTCTTCTGGATTGCCGGAACTCGAAGTAGTAAGATGGTGATTAAGGGCAGTAACATAGAGGTGACCTTTCCTGCCTTGTTGATTCGTCGAAGTCTGTATTGCCATTTTGGCTTTGCGTCCCAGTCGAACAATGACTGCGCAAGCTCGCCGGCCCAGAACATAATACACAGGGCTTCTACACTATCACACCGAAAGGGGGACTCAGCTCTCATTGAACAAGAATGATTCAAGGAGCCATGAGTTTACCGTGGTCCCTGAACCACGTTGCAGGAACCAAAGTACCGTGAGGCAATCTTTTGTTCTAAATGCTGCGCGCAAGAGGGTGTATTTGGCTTCGGCTACAGACCTATACGTATAGTATTGAATGTAATATAGAACTATATGGATTGAATAGTTAGTAAACATTATTTCCAGTCCATTCCACGGTTCTCTCGGTCATCTCAGGAGGCTTAGCTCCAAGGGCACCCCAGACAGTGCCGAAGGCAACGTGGAATAGGGGTGAGGGGCATATGGTAGTCACGTACCCAAGTCCAAGCCAAACGAGCCGCTGGCAATAGCAAGCTCTGGATTATCGGAGAAATTTGAGATTCGAGCGAACTGTGCTATCATGATATCTCGCCACCAGGTGATGTCGTGGATCTGCTGGGTGATAGATGCCGTCGTGCCCAAAAACGACCAGTACCCAACGACAGCCACGTCTGTCATGGCGAGAGTCAGTGAAGGCGATGTCACCCCAGTGCACGTTCTACTTACAGCTGAGACGCTCGTGGTGGACCCAGGTGAGCCATACGATCAGAGAACTACATATCCAACTGACAGACGCATAGATCAACGACAGCGCCGCCGCGCCCTCGGTACCCTCAGGCAGCTGATTGATGCCGTGCATCGCACCCGGGCCACGGAGTGCAACCGAGGGCAACTGTTTGGACTCGAATGTGCACCATTGGCGAGGACAAGGTTAGCACCGCAACGACCGGTGATGAAAGACTTGGGAGTGAGCCGGGAGATCCGAGTCTTTCTATACTGGCCCTCTGGAGTATGTCCTGAGTCAATCATGGCTAGCAGAATGGCCCAGCCGTGGTCCGTAAGATGGGGCCCGTTGATGTCTTACTGTCCACGGGTAGCACCGGGGTCCATTGGACACGACAAATTCTCCCTTAGTGTCTTTGAACCAACCCTGGCGCCAAGGCTGGGGACATATCTGATGCAGGCAAGCGAGCGTGCGCTCGATACGCACCAGTCCCATCCAATCGACCCGGAGATCTAGCTGGGACCCTCACTTTGGCAACGACCAGGGTAGCTCTTTGTCTACAGTCAAGCTCGAGGTGCATCGGCTCGTGTTCCGAAATAGTGTTCTCATGTAACTTGACACACTCGTCGCATGCTACTCCAAACTGCCGGACAGCTCAAGTGTATCCCACATCCCACATCCCGCCACTATTAGTCGTGACGAGACTGCCGCAGATCGCAAAGCCATAGAAGGTGGTACCCCATGCCGCCTTCCTTTGGTCATCCAGACGACGTGTAGGCCTACTTAGGTAGGTCCTACATGACGGAGAAGGCAGGTACAAACCACTCCCGTATGGGAGACATTGCAGCTCCACGTCCCATTCCGGAAGCTGATCACCCTTTCGCAGGTCCGTCATTGGACAGCTCTCATGATGGAAAGAAGACCGCTGCTTCACAGCCACGAGATGCCAGGTTCGCCGGCAAGACATGCTCGACGATGATGATGGTGAAGGGCCGAGAGACCCCGCGTTTCCCACTTGGGCACAGGTCCACACAAGCTGGATGGTCACAGTTCCGAGGCCCTTGGTCGTCACCAAGTTGTACTGGAGGCCTTGCAGATTTATCACGAAGAGAGTCTATAATATATTCTTTCACACCCGAGGGCCACCTGCACGCCCCATGGGTTGGCAGTGCGTATTGGTTCTACTGCTCGAAAGGTGTGTATGCTGTCTCTGGAAAACGCGCCCATCGTACTCAGGGGCTCCGAGGCCAGGGGCTTCGTGGCTTCGAAGGAAGGCGCACCAGATATCGAAAACTTTGACAAAGCCATCACATGGAAAGCATCCTGGCTACTAAACTGGATTGCTAAGCCCATTCCAGGACCGAAGAAGGCGTTGTCGTGTATCGGAGGTTCCCTGGGGCTTTCGAGAGAAGGCATAATCACTACATCATGCCATCAATGCTCATCCGTGACAGTCATCGAAAGCTCGACTACCTATCTATAGCACTATGAATCGTCTGGTCTCAGCAGGTGGCAACCCAAGCTGTGGCCATGTGCCGATGTCGCTGATCTGCTGAGTTCGGAGGGCTCGATTAGAAGACGCATACCTGTTCACTCATTAAGTATAATGGGTACTTGAGGTACCTAGGCGGGTAAGGTGGACATTGAGTTTTCACTAGTTGTAGATGCACAGGGCGTCTTCTTCGGATCGAATACTGCATATTATATGACGAATCAAACTCAAAGGGTACTAGACGCCTGCCGCTACTCACATCATGACCAGCACTATGTGTTGCGCCATGAGACGCGAGATCATCGTACATGGAATCAGAGACAGACCGCCCACTATGTCGATGTTGTGTCCACCAAGACACAGAATCTATTTCTCGTCCTCCTTCTTTTCTTCACCTTCCGAGCTCTTATCGGATTCCTTTGCTTCATCACCGTCCTCCTTGCCACCTTCATTCTTCTCGTCCTTCATTCTTCTCGTCCTTCATTCTTCTCGTCCTTCATTCTTCTCGTCCTTCATTCTTCTCGTCCTTCATTCTTCTCGTCCTTCTTCTCCCCCTTGCCCTCCTTTTTCTCCTTCCTTTCCTTTTCCTTGGCCGCCTTTTCCTCTTCCTTCTTCTTTTTCTCTTCGGCCTTTTTCTGCTTCGCTACCTTTTCTCTCTCCTTCTCCTCCGCCTTTTCCCATTTCTCATCATACTGCTCCTCCCCTCGGTGCTCGTGAAACTTCTCGCCTAGCCCGGTGAGACGCGGCTGAGCGTCACCAACCTTTGTTCGTCCGATCAGACTGATGGCGATGGCGCCGCCTACTATGGCGGTCAACACGAAGCGATAGACACCGTACCAGGAAGGTGCCCAGCCGCGAACGGTGGCTCGCGCATCGGCGAAGTATAGAGCAACGAAGGCGGCAAATTGCGACGTCAGCGCAAACTCCATAGGCATGAGCAGGGTCGGCCAGGCCACCACCGAAGCTAAAACACCAAGGCCGTAGCGAAAGCGAGTACGGTCGTGGCTTGCCGTCTTCTCGGCATACTCGAGGCCCCAGTGAGTGGCACCTATAAAGCTGATGAGGACGGCGCCATAGCCCAGCTGTATGGGCTCAAGGTGGCCAAGCAATTGGCGCGCGGTATCGTGGCTGATGAGGATGCCGTTGGCCAAGGCGGAAGAGCTCGGCCATTCCGTGTTGAGGCACCACGAGAGGTAGAGGGTGGACACGGAGGTTCCCAAGTACGGCAGGGTCCCAGCCAGGCCCAGCCAGTAGGGCTCCTTGGGGACGCTATCGAGAGAGAAGGTCTCCTTGACAGTTTCCTGAGGCGCACCTCGCGTTAGCATCTGAACTCGACTGTTGCTTGCACGTAGAAGAGAGCCCAGGTCAGTGACATACCAAGTCAGCCTTGACGCCCTCGTGCACGGGTTTCGCTGTCGGCTGTGTATCGGGTTCGTAGAAATGGCGGACGCTGGACTCGGTCGAAACGTTTTCCGGGTTGACCTGGAGTTTCCGCGCGGCGACCTTCTTGTCTTGCTCGGGGTCAATACCCTGCTGCATGCCGGTGGGCGACTTAGTAGCATATTTGGATGTTTGTATTATTGCAGCCGTTGCCGAAGAACTGGATGTGATGATAGCGGGCCGGACGGACACATGCCTGAGTGAGGAAATGGGCCGTCTTTTTGTTGTTGCTGTCGCGATTGCTCTCGACGAGCTGGCTAGCAGAGGTCGCGCGCTACGCAGCATGGTGAAAACAACGAGAGTATGGGGGTACTGGCGTGTCAATTGGAAATAATACCGACTGGCGTACTGCAGTGGATGCTTCCGGTACAGGTTCAATGTTTGAAAGGATCAGGCAATTAGGTAGGCATGTAGGTGCAGATGGAATAGGACAGAGGGTTTTGTAACATAAAAAAAGCCATGCTTCCAGAGCCCCGGCATGCGATGGCGATGGGGGCATTGATGCAATCGCGTCGTCAATTGAGTTGGAACTAGGAGCTTGAAATGCTCCACTCATGCTAAGGGTGTACCTGGTCACTGGCGCGTGCAGTGCCACTTGGAGAAGTACCGTGCCAACATGCCCTCTTATCCATGGATAGGTCTGACGGGGACCTCAACCTGCGATGGCGGGAAGCTGAAGCTCTTCCAACTCTAGCTGTGAGTGACGTAATGTTCGCTGCAACCCTGGCAGCACCACCTGTGGGGCAGGCTGGCAGCTGGGCTCCATCCCACTTCAAACCAAGTTCCTGTTACTAATCTCTCTGCATTCACACCCTCCGTGGTGCATCTGCCCCTCGTTTGTGGCTTTATGTGGCTTCAATGCCAACCCTCCATTAACTGCCAGGCCCGTTGACAACCAACAAGTTGAACATTGAGAAATGAATGTATATTAGATTGTAGACATAAGGTATGGATGAGATGATTCTTGTTCTAGGTATGTGTGTAGGGTAGTGATTCAATAAGATGGGCATTCACATCTTAGGTAGGTATCACCGTTAACCCGGGTCTGAACAACGATGGGTGTAGCAATATCAGGGTGATCCCGATCCATCACATCCAGCTACTGTTATTTTTACAGGCACTCAGTGGAGGCGAGACAGGGGTGCCCACCTGCATGCACTGCCCTCTTAGCGGGCAGCCTGGCAGCCAGCAATCGGCGTCATCAACCACTGCCAGGTGGAATCCTTCCAGGGCTCCCTCCAGACTCCAGGCAACGTCGCGCTTCTCGTCATGACACCCGACCGTTAGAACCCCCGACACCTCAACACCACCCAACGGCCCGTCCGAAGAGCACCTCGACTTCGACATCCCACTGTGCCCACACAGGCCTACCTCTCCTCCGTCCACGGCACGCCGCATGCGCGCATGCAATTGTTAGATCGAGGTTAGCACTGCAGGGATTCGTGCTTTACATGTGTCATCTGTACGTCCGCCCAGATCCATTCAGACTTCGTGTCCAGCCTTCTCGAGTTGCTGGCTGACGACCTGACCACGTCTATGTAGTCTTGCCTATCTCCTACATACCTACATACCTACCGCAATACCCATAACCTGCCCAACACTTGTCCGTCCAAGCGTCTCGCAACGGTGCCTGACCTCGTCTCCGTACTGCCGAAAACGACTTCGTGATCAAGTCCCTGCAATACCCCTGTGAAATTGTTCAGCGCCCTTTGCCTGTTTCCGCCGCCTTTCCCATCGTACATGCGCCTGTTCAGCATCGCCGACTTAGTTCGGACCCCTCCACCACGATATTGAATCTGCGTGACGCCCTCGTTACCAAGGTCCTGATGAGGCCACCTGATACCCCACCCTAACTTACGACACACTCCTGGCCCGGGTCACGGCGCAACACCTCTAAGATGCTGGAAGGTCTGGTCGCCGGGTTGCTTAACCGCTTCCTAGGCATGTACGTCAAGAACTTTGATCCCACCCAGTTGAAAGTCGGTATATGGTCCGGCGATGTGAAGCTACGCAACCTCGAGCTCCGTAAGGAGGCTCTCGACCAGCTGAAGCTTCCTATCAACGTCATGGAGGGCCACCTGGGCGAGCTGACCCTCGTCATACCATGGTCCAACCTGCGTGGTGCTCCCGTCAAGGTCTTCATCGAGGACGTATTCCTGCTGGCATCCCCCAAGGAGGAGGCTGCCTATGACGAGGACGAAGAAGACCGCAGGAAGCAGCGTATCAAGATGGAAAAGCTGGATTCTGCAGAGCTCATCAAAGAGAGGTCGCAGGAGGGTCTGAGTCAGGAAGAACAGAAGAAGAGCCAGAGCTTCACAGAGAGCCTAGTCACTAAGATTGTCGACAACCTGCAGGTCACAGTCAAGAATATACACGTACGATACGAAGACTCGATATCCGCCCCTGGGCATCCTTTTGCCCTTGGTATCACTCTGGAGGAGTTCAGTGCCGTCAGTACCGATGGCGAGTGGAAGGCCGCCTTCATCCAGAACTCGTCAAAGACGACGCATAAGTTGGCCACCCTCGGTGCCTTGGCCGTGTACTGGAATACCGACTCGAAACTGATGGGTCCGGGCCGCGAACTCGCCGACGGCGAGGACTTCATGTCCCACGACGAGATGACCAGGAAGTTCAAGGAGATGATTGGCACGGGTGACAACCCTGCCACTGCGGATCATCAGTTTATTTTGAAGCCCGTGAGTGGCCAGGCCAAGATTGAATTGGACAAGACTGGGGATACGCATACGCCCAAGTTCAAGGCGAGCCTTCTCTTCGACGAGATCGGAGTCGTCCTGGACGACGACCAATATCGGGACGCCTTGATGATGGTTGAGCTCTTCCACTACTTCATCCGCCACCAGGAGTACAAGAAGCTGCAACCGAAGGGTGTGACACCAAAGGAGGACCCCCGTGCGTGGCTAAAATTCGCCGGAGACGCCGTGCTCGCTAAAATCCATGATCGAAACCGTCGCTGGAGTTGGGATTACTTCCGCGAGAGGCGTGATGATCGACACCGTTACATAGAAATCTTCAAGAAACGGAAGGCAAACCAACAGTTGTCGCCCCAGGACACTGAAGACCTGAACAATCTCGAATGGAAGCTTGCGTATGAGGACCTACGCTTCTGGAGGTCTTTGGCTCGCAACCAGCTCCGAAAAGAGAACGCAGAAGCCCTGAAGAACGCCCCTCCGAAGAAACCTCAGCAGCAGGGATGGATTTCCTGGGCATGGGGCACAAAGCCAGCTGAGTCGAGTGACGCGTCAGAGAACACCCAGATGACCGAGGAACAGCGTAAAGAGCTGTATGAGGCGATAGACTGGGACGAGAAGACGGCTATTGCCGAGGCCGTAGACACTCCACGCGACGCTGTCAAAATGGAAGTCAACGCGTCCCTCAGTACCGGCAGCTTCACACTCAGACAGAGCCCTCACGGAAGCAAGGCCGATCTTCTGAGCTTGCATTTCGACGTGTTCAAGGCGAAGGGCCTGACGCGTACCGATTCCGTGCTGGCTAATGTTAGCTTGGGCGGCTTCCGCGTAAACGATGGCACCACTCCAGAGAGCTTGTTTAAGGAGATTGTCAGGGTCAAAGACGCGCCCGACGCCCAAAGGAAGAAGCGTCTGTCAATTTCCGAGCTCGAAAACAACGAGCAAGAAACCTTTTTTGACCTACAGGTGGAACAGAACCCTCTTGATGGACAGGGCGATTACGCAGTGACGGCCAAACTGAAGCCTTTAGAGGTTGTTTGGAATCCTCACTTCGTCGTAGGCGTTGCCGACTTCTTCAAGCCACCTGACCGGCACATGGACTCCATATCTGCCTTGATGGAGACTGCAGGTGCAACGGTCGAGGGTTTCAGACAGCAGACCCGTGCTGGTCTCGAGTTCGCCCTGGAGGAACACAAGTCCATCAACGCCAAGCTAGACCTACAAGCACCACTCATCATCATCCCACAGTCCATCAAGACCGAGAAATCCACCTGTCTGATCTTGGATGCCGGTCACATCAGCGTCAACAGCGAATTGGTCGATAAAGGAACGCTCAAGCAGGTTCAGGAAAAGCAACGTCAGAAATATTCCGACGAGGATTTCAAGCAACTCGAGTCTCTCATGTACGACCGGTTCCTCGTCAAACTGACCTCGACCCAAGTTCTGATCGGGCCGTCTATTGATGAGACCAAATCTCAACTTGTCGAAAAGGACGAGGCCCGCAGGTTGCACGTTGTGGACAAGATCAATGTAGACTTCGTGGTCGCCCTATCCATATTGCCAAAGGCGCCGAACCTTACCAAAGTGAAGATTTCGGGCCACATGCCTGTCCTCCAAGCCATGGTGTCTGACACCAAGTATAAGAGCCTCATGAAGCTCATCGACGTTGCTATACCGAAGTTTGGTGATCAACAGCAGCAGGTGAATCCGCAGCAACAGCCTAAGAGACCGCGCCAGCTCAGCTCAGCTTCGAACCACTTGCGTAAGACGCACGCTCGCAAGCGTTCCTCTAATATCTTCATGAGTCAACAAACTGCCATCATACTGAATGACGATTCGGACGATGACTCGGACGAATTCGAGGATGCAGCAGACGGCAACACGAACCAGCAACTGGAGGTGCAGCAACGTAATTTTGAGTTCAAGTTCTCCGTGGGCAAGCTGCAGGGCTCTCTTTATCGGAGCGACCCTGACGGTCAGAGGCCCGAGTCCTTGCTTGTTGACCTGATTGCCGAAGACTTTGATCTCGAGTTCTACATGAGGCCCTTCGATATGGCTGCGGAGGTGTCACTGGGTTCGGTCACGGTCGATGACTTTGTCGACAATCCATCCGCCGAGTTCAAGTCTATTGTGTCATCTGGTGATGTCGAGGATCAAAAGCAACAGAGGGACCTGGTCCACGTCAAGTTCATCAAGGTGAAACGAGAGTCTCCAGAATTCATGCCAGTCTACGAAGGCATAGAAACTAATGTCAATGTCGCTGTCTCTACCATCAACCTCATAGTGACCAGAAAGACGCTTCTCACACTGCTGGACTTCATACTCGTCACGTTTACAAATAACAACAACTCGAACGCTGAGCCGCCGAAGGGGATATCGAACGGCGAGGATGAAGACGAGGGAGTCGAGATAGTCGAGCCGGAACCAGAGCCTTCGCAGAGCGAGGCGGGTTCGATTCGCGTCAAGGTCGACCTGAAAAGTATTCGCATGATTCTGAACAACGATGGCATACGTCTGGCGACGCTGTCATTCAACCATGCTGACATCGGAGTCTTCTTATTGGGTAACACCATGAGAGTTGCGGCTAAGCTTGGTGATCTGACTTTGGTTGACGACGTTAACATGGGAGCATCCGAAGACTCCAGCTTCCGCCAATTGGTCACAATCCAGGGTGATGAGCTCGCTGATTTCCGCTATGAAACGTATGACGCGAGCAACAAAGCCTACCCAGGATACGACTCCTCAATATATCTTCGTGCTGGGTCTATAAAGGTCAACTTTCTCGAGGAGCCATTCAGGAAGATCATAGACTTTCTCGTCAAATTTGGCAAGATGCAAGCCATCTACAACGCCGCACGTCAAGCTGCTGCGAACCAAGCGCAGCAGCTGCAACAGAGCACTAGCAAATTCAAGTTTGATGTCGTCGTCGATACTCCCATCATCGTCTTCCCCCGGCCGGTTTCTGCAGAACGACGGAAGCGCAACCTGATCACAGTCTACCTTGGAGAAATCTACGCGCAGAACAAGTTTGCGCCTTTAGACGACTCCGAGGGTGCCGAGATAGCCATGAAGCTCTCTGCGGGGATAAGACATATTCGGCTGACCTCGCTCTTCCACTATGCCGAGGAAACTTCTGAGGAGTTGGAGATGATTGACCACGTGGACCTCGGCTTCAATATCACCTACGCCGAACACAAGGAAGGATGGAAGAGACCAGATATGGAGATTGAGGGAAGCATGACCGATATAAACCTTCGAATAACCCAGTACCAACTCAAGAATCTGCTGGCAATCTCTCAGTCCGTCCCGGCTGCTTTTGCGACGGACACAGATGCTAGTGGCGAAGAAGCAGAACGCGACGTCGACGAGGGCACATTGCGACGAGCGAAGACCATGTCGTCTACCACGACTGGCGGCGATGACCAACTGATAGATCTCTCCCCAGAACTGGGATCCAGAGAGGAGGCCTGGACGAAACTAGATCTTGTGTTTGATGTGCACAAGATCGGTCTCGAGCTGATCGATGCCCACGAGGATAGGCCGGTTAATGATATGGATACCTCCAGCTTGTCGCGCTTCTCGCTGGACGATAGCAAGCTGAAAACTCGAATGTTGGCTGATGGCTCCCTCGAGGCGGAGTTTGTGATCCAATCTTTCACCATCCACGACAGCCGGACACGAGATGGCAACAAATTCAAGAGGATCATGACTTCTTCCAACACGAAAGTCCAGCAGTTCATGGCGAGCATATCGATGTCGGGTGGCAAGGAGCGTAGCGCGATCGCCGTGGTTGCCATCGATAGCCCAAGGATAATATTCGCTTTGGATTACCTCTTCGCCATCCAGAAATTTGTGATGGTTGGCCTGCAATCCGACGAATTCGCCCATGACGGCGAGGAGAGCCTCGAGGAGACCCCGGATGTCTCAGATGCCGAATCAATGCAAGTGCAATGGACCGGGAAGAACCCGCCTGAGAGTGCACAGACAGCCCAAGATCAACCTTCGAAGGACGGTGACTCGAAGATGAGCTTCGCTTTCCGCGTCAACATTGTTGACGCCCAGGTCATATTGATAGCCAATCCCCAGAGTTCAAGTTCTGAAGCGATTGTCTTAGGCACGAAGCAAGTGCTCCTATCGCAGCAGCATGCATTGACGTTCCAAGTCTCACAGGTTGGCATGTTCCTGTGTCGTATGGACAAGTTTGACGAGTCTCCACTCCGCGTCTTGGACGACTTTTGCATTTCGATGTCAATGGACAGCTCGCAGCCGAACCTGACGAATATTCATGTCGACATAGAGCCCTTGATCCTTCGCCTTTCGCTTCGAGATATCCTGCTGGTGCTTCAGATCATCAGCAAGGCATCCGAGCTTTCCGAGGATGAGGACAGCAGACCGACAGCTAGTGCTTCTGACAAGAAAGCAAAGCAGCTTCGCAAAGATGGGCTGAAGGAGCGTACGGCAAGCGGCCGGGGCGGGTCTACCATTGCCGCGAGGAAATCCAAAGCGGGCAAGACTGCTGGCACAATGACGACAACGAGATCGCACAGAGATCAACCGCATCAGCCTCATGATGTTAGCAAGGGGCCGAAATCTCACGAAGAGCTCACTGCTACTATCGAGGGTATTCGTGTCGTGCTCATTGGCGACCTTCATGAGTTGCCAATTCTAGATCTAAGCATCAAGAACTTCACGGCAACAGCGGCAGACTGGTCCAACGACCTCAAGGCCGAGACTGCCATTGACATGTACATCAATGTGTACAACTTTGCCAAGTCGGCCTGGGAACCACTCCTTGAGCCCTGGCAGGTTGGCTTGGGTGTTGCGAAAGAGCTGGAGAGTGGTCTTCTCTCCGTTGACGTAACTTCACGGAAGACATTTGATGTCACAGTTACGACAGCCACGATCGCATTGGCATCCAAGTCTTTTGATTTCCTCACCCAGGAGGAAGACATTCTCGGCAAGCCTCGTGGAGTGGAGGCTCCCTACAAGCTTCGAAACTACACTGGGTTTGACGTCGTGGTACAAGCTAAGAGCCAGAGCAACGAGAACATCTCCTTAAAGTTGGAAGATGGAGAGGAGGCCCCATGGAGTTTTGAGCATTGGGAAAAGATGCGCGAAAACATCATGTCGGAAAGCAATACGGCAAACAGTGTTGCTGTTCAGATCGAAGGTAGTGGTTTTGACACAGTCAAGAATATTCGTCTCAACCGCGAGGGAGAATTCCTCTACAGCCTGCGGCCGAAGACCGACGACACCCTCCACAGACTACTCGTCGAGGTGAACCTCGGCGCCGACAACATCAAGTATGTCACGCTGAGATCGCCTCTCGTGGTGGAAAACCAAACCCAGATCCCCGTGGAGCTCGGTGTCTACGACGCGCAGGAGGGCCACCTCCTGAAAATCGAAAAGATTGCGCCGGGAGAGAGCCGCCCTGCCCCAGTCGCTGCTGCCTATGTCAAGTCCCTGCTCGTTCGACCAGACTCGGGCTTCGGGTACGCGTGGTCATCAGAACACCTGTGGTGGAAAGACTTACTCAAGAGGCCTACACGCACCATGACCTGCAAAGGAGAGCATGGCGATCCTTTCTACTTCCAGCTCAACGCCAGCTTCGACCGTGGCCACTTCCTGACTGGGTACGTCTACTCCTGGAACATGCACAGTCTGCAGTACTAACAATCGGTAGGAAATATCCTTACATGAAGCTAAAGCTCTCGCCCCCAATAGTATTGGAGAACCTCTTGCCGTACGACTTCAAGTACCGCATCTATGACAAGAATACCAAGAAAGATTGGACCAATTTCCTGCGCAAAGGGGGCGTCAGCCCCGTTCACGTCGTGGAGCTTTCACACCTCTTGCTGCTCAGCATTGATATGCAAGATACTGTCTTCAAAGCAAGCGAGTTTGCTATTGTCAATCCTGGCACCCAGGAAGACTTCCGGAAAGAGCACAAACTGGTTTGCAAGGATGAGGAAGGCCTTGCTCTCAATCTTAGGCTTCACTACTTCAAGATTCCCGATGGCGGAGGCGCTTTCAAGGTTACGATATACAGCCCTTATGTTATCCTCAATAAGACCGGCTTGGACGTCAACATTCGTGGCAAGCAATTCCTTCAGCAAGCGAAGAGGGCTGCTGGTCAATCACTCACGGCCAACAGGTCAGACCATGAAAGAACCAAAGCCTTGCCGTACATGTTCTCTTTTGGCAACGAAGACCAGCGCAACCGAGCCCTTCTGAAGGTTGGTGACTCGGAGTCGAGCAAACCGCAGAGCTTCGACGCCATCGGCAGCACGACCGATGTTGTCCTGCCCTCAACCACCAAGAATGCCGAACTTCATGTCGGAATTACGGTTGAAGCTGGTGAGGGCAAATACAAGTTGACGAAAGTGGTGACTATTGCGCCCAGGTTTGTGGTCAAGAACAAGATCGGGGAGGAGATCAACATCAGAGAACCCGGGTCATCAAACACCATGACTCTACAGTCGGGCGATCTGCAACCTCTCTATTGGCTTCAGCGGTCTCAGGCGAAACAGATGGCGCTTTGCTATCCGGGGATGAACAATCAGTGGACGTCGCCAATCAACATCTCCGATCTGGGAACAGTGCATCTCAAGATTGCCAAGGCTGGACAGCGCCAGCGTCTCATTCGCGTTGAGGTACTGATGGAAGACGCGACCATCTTCCTCCATCTCAGTATGGAGACCAAGGCCTGGCCATTCTCGATGCGCAACGAGAGTGACACCGAGTTCACTTTCCACCAAGCCAACCCAAACATCGATGAAGATGGCGGCGAGGACCGCTCAGGATGGCGGCCAATAAGGTACCGCTTGCCACCACGGAGCATAATGCCGTACGCGTGGGACTTCCCTGCGGCCAAATTCAAGGAAGTGGTCATCAGCGCGTTTGGTAAAGAGCGACACGTGAAGCTGGCTGAGATTGGCAACCAAATCCCGATGAGGTTTGTCAGTGGCTCTGGCACCCAGAAGATCATCGACATCAACGTTGCAGCCGATGGTCCGACGCAAACCTTGATCTTGTCCAACTTCAAGGCCAGCAAGAGCTTGTACCGGCAAAAGACCCAGACCGGCTCCAGCACGAGCACCGCGGCCGGCTTCGAAGTCAAGGGTCAGGATACCGACACGACCTTCCGGGCGCAGCTGAAGCTTTCTGGCATCGGTATCTCGCTCATCAACCACCAGCTCAACGAATTGGCATACATCACATTTAGGGATATCAACCTCCGATATAGTGAATCGGCCCTCTACCAGACCGTCAGCACTTCCATCAAATGGATCCAGATCGACAACCAACTGTATGGCGGCCTGTTCCCCATGATTCTCTATCCTAGCGTAGTGCCCAAGCAGGCCCAGGAGACGGAGCTGCACCCATCGATACACGCCATGGTCACCAGAGTCAAAGACGACAGTTACGGTGTGCTCTATGTCAAATACGCCACCCTACTGCTTCAGCAGATGACGGTGGACCTTGACGAAGACTTCATCTACGCCGTGTTGGATTACTCCAAGGTGCCCGGCGCATCATGGTCCGAGACGCACGAGGGCAAGCTCTGCGACGAAGGAATTGACATTCCCGAACCGAAACAGGAGCAATCCGGTCAGGATATATACTTCGAGGTCCTCAATATTCAACCGATGCAATTGGATCTGTCATTCATGCGTACCGAGCGCGTCAATATCGAAGACAAGACCTCATCCCGCAACCCTATCATGTTCTTCGTTAACGTCATGACTATGGCAATAGGCAATGTCAACGATGCACCCATCCGCTTGAATGCCCTCCTTCTGGAGAATGCCCGGGTTTCCATCCCGGTGCTGACACAGAACATCTCGAACCACTACAGCCAGGAGGTGCTCTACCAAGTTCACAAGATCATCGGTAGCGCTGACTTCCTCGGCAATCCGGTCGGGTTGTTCAACAGTATCAGCAGTGGTATCACAGATGTCTTCTACGAACCATACCAGGGTCTGATCATGTCAGACAAGCCCGAAGATCTCGGCATAGGTATTGCCAAGGGCGCTGCCAGCTTCGTCAAGAAGTCGGTCTATGGCTTCTCGGACTCCTTCTCCAAGGTCACGGGCAGCTTCGGCAAGGGCCTGGCGGCAGCAACTCTCGATAAGCAGTTTCAAGACCGCCGACGCATCACACGTTCTCGCAACCGACCCAAGCATGCACTCTTTGGTGTTAGCGCTGGGGCGAACTCGTTCTTCACGTCTGTCGCGTCCGGTCTCGGGGGCGTCGCTCGGAAGCCTCTCGAAGGCGCCGAGCAAGAAGGCGCTGCCGGCTTCTTCAAGGGCGTGGGTAAAGGCTTTATCGGACTCGCCACCAAGCCTGCGGTTGGGGTATTCGATTTCGCGTCCAACGTATCGGAAGGCATTCGCAACACGACGACGGTGTTTGATGGATCCGAACTCGACCGGGTTCGCCTTACTCGCTTCACCCCTTCGGACGGGATTGTGCGGCCCTACAACCAACGTGAGGCGCTTGGTCAATCCTGGCTCAAGCAGGTGGACAATGGCAAGTACTTCAACGAGAACTACATCGCGCACATCGAACTCCCGCGGGAAGATATGGTGGTCATGGTGACATACAGCCGGATCCTCCTCATTAGGAGCAGGAGGTTAACAACGGAGTGGGATGTCCCGCTCAAAGACGTACAGACAATCGCAAAGGAACGTACCGGCCTCAGTGTCATCTTGCGCGGAGGCACCAACGGGCCATTCATTCCGGTCGGTGAGGAGAGCAGGCGTACGTTCTTGTATCGTATGATTGCTGTCGCGGTAGAAGAGTTCAACCGCCGGTTCAGGGGTCTGGACTGAGGAGTGATGGAGTGTTGGAGCGGAATGAGTGACGTCCGGAAATGAAAATTCGAGGCAGCAGAGCGGAGGAAGGGGATAAGGTCATAGTTCAAGGCATGCCACGACTTATGTACTTTCTTCTTCATACCTTATTCTTGGTAATATTTCTAGACGAGTTGATGATAAACAAAAGTTTCAACTCAAACAGGCCCGATATTTTCGTTAGTAGCGTCGTGGCGCATCAAGGCAACAGAAAGGCTCTCAAGCTGCCGTCCTTGCTGGTCCTAAGAACTAGCCAGTCGTCAATGTAGGCAGACGGCTCTGGTGGACCAAATTGAATCAATCCTAGACATGCGGGCCTTATAAGCAGACGTAATTCCCACGACACCAACACGGATACGACAGGCGATCATCGCTCACCTTTTTGCACGCTGGAAACCACCTAGACTAGGTGCTCATTCTAGATGCGAACTGCTGGAATTACTAAGTAGCTTCTTCCTTCGTCAAACCACTCGATACATGTCCATTCTTAATGGCCTGTGATGTTCGATCATAAGGTTCGGTGGAAAGTTCAACCAGGACCAGACTCCGGACTGACAGTGGTACTAGATAGGCCATGGAACTGAGTAGACACAATAGATCTCGATGCTGAGTACGCGGACGATCACGTCAAGTCCAGCTTGCGGTTTACCCTTCACGTTGTAGGAGCTACCACAAGACCATTGAATGAGTTTTCTTTCACGAATAGTGCGGAGGGAGTCGTGTGTCACAGCACACGAGAGACTAACCAGTAGCATGGTAGGTGAATACCGATCATGGTTCGTATCAAGCAGATAGACACACTCGCTGATGGACGGACGACTTACTTACTCCAGATTCCATCGTGGGTGCCTTGTTGTCTTCATAAGTGTCTGCGGGCAAAGGGCCTCGGCAGCAAGACGAGCTGGCCAAGGACAGAACAGTCCTTCGGTTTTACTGAGTTGTTCGGGCTGATCAATGCCTTCGCCATTCCAAATCGGCGCATATCTTCCACCTGTAGCTCTCGGATAGGCAGCCGAAGAACAGTCGACACCAACTTACCGCACCGTCGGCCTGACTCTGCTTCAGGTCTCTCCCATGATAGCTGTCTCACTTGAGCAACCCATGATCGACTGGAACGAGTGGCCGCTTGTGTCCAGGCAGTAATCGGATTTGCCAGACGCTGGGAACTCGCGGGCATCGTGTGTGCTTGCGGACAGTCGCTGCTATGTGTAAGGCTCATCCAAGTCGTCAAGGCGATGAGGCGGCGAGGCGGATGGGTCGTTACCTGATAATGACGAGATATGTGCCCCCTCCCCCCGCTCGGATCGTTGTGGCAACTTTGAGGCTGTACTGGCGAAGGATCTGATGGCGGAAGCTCTTGAAGGAGCGAGGGAGTGATCGCCGCTCACAGCCGAATATGCGGCTTGGCAGGCAAAGGGTACCTATAGAGTCGTGGTTCCACCATGACGACATCTAGATTCTGCGCCTTGATCGATTACACGTACCTAAGGTACCTGGTAAAAAGGATGCATGGACGGAGATGACCTTGATGACGCTTGTGAGTTGCCACATGACCCTTGACGGGCCTTGTTATCATGATGTTGTTGTGGCACAAGATCTAATCTTGGGGTCGCGTAGCCTCATCAGACCGAAGGCAAGTAGGCAGGTAGGCAGGTAGGCCGGCTTCGGGAGTCAGTTGACCTACCTACAGTAGGTCTGATTCGGCTTACGTGATTTTTGATCATGACCCATACATATACGCCAGAATGTGTCGTACATATCGATATCCCCCGACCGTATTGTACGGTGGCCGTGGGGCGGAGGGATTAGGCTCGCAGGGGTTGTGGGTAGAGACTGGACTGGCCCGGCGCCGTGTCATTCCAAAGCGTCGGGTGAAAGTAGATCTAGAGCTTCACCCGGTACCGCCTTTTCCAGGCAAACCTTATTAATCCACACGGACCACCTGTCCGCCAAGCCAGGCAATTCACACCCAAAATCCTTATCGTGTTGACGATAGATCTACCTTGCGTGCATACGACAAGGTTCCCCAGATTCCTGAAGCCAATGATGCTTAGGGATATGAGCATTGCCAGCAAGTGGTCCGTGTGGATTAATAAAGGTTTGCCTGGAAAAGGCGGTATCAACCTTCCACCTCTCCAGAAACCTTTCATCAAATACCTTAGCTCCGTTGAGAGGCGCCTGAGTCCTCATGTCCGCGAGGCTCGAGCTCAAGCATGTGCAACGATCGCCGCTCTGTGGGCTGAGAAGAACCTTGGAACCCCGCCAACTGCAGTTGCTACCTATTATTCAGGGTCCACCCACCACACCAGTCTCACCCCCCGCCGGGGATGCTTGGAAGTTGGAGGAGATGGACATGGGAATTCCCCACGAACCGAGAGATACAGATACGGGGTTGATATGGGCGAGAAACGAGCGAATCATGTTTGCGATGCTGCCGCTGTCGCGCTTGATATCGAGGATGGGATTTCCAGCTGCCCCTTTGATAACCACACGCGTAGTTCCCGCGATGCAGATGGAGGGACTTGTTGGAGTGTCGCCATTGCAGCCTAGCATTTCGGGATTTGCTCGGAGAAAGCATCAAGGGATCTGCTGATATCACCTCAGATACCAAGACAAGACAGGACAGTGAGTTCATGACCTTCAAACGGTCAGCTTCTACGAGGTAGGCTGTCTCGGGCCCTCAGCCCGCCGAATGTGAGACTGTCGGTGAAGATGACTGCCCATCGGGCTGCGGTCTTGCCTGCCTCTCGGCACCCAACCTTAGTGCAAGCCTTGCTGGATGCCGTGAAACAAGAGAGAGGTTTCCAATCATGGTTGCCTGTGTTCGGCCGCCGCGTCCCTTGGCAGCTGGACAGTGAATAATAAAAGGCCCGAGCGAGATGCTGGGCTCGGGTTTCTCGTTTGGGTATGTACTGCATGTAATCGTTGAGGCGATCTGACAGGCAGATACTGCGTCAAAGCGAGCCAATGCCGTCCTCTTGACTCTTGAGGGCTCTTCGCAAGTCGCATTCCTCAACTACCAAAAGCATATCGCATGGCCCAGTCAAGCCCGCGACCGGAGACTGTTGGTGACAGCTTTGTCCTCCCTGAATGCGATCTAACGCAGAGGCCGCCTCATCAACTGTCGTGTAAGGTAATAAGCAATAAGCCACTCCGCTGACATGAGTTTGGTAAAGTCACAGCGGCAGAAGTCGATGCAGTGATGAAGCCTTGTCCCGTTGACGCCTCGAAACCATGCTGCCCTGTATCGACCAGGCGCCATCAAGCTTCAGCAGGAGGAAGCGTTGGCTCGTTGATCATCAGGCCACAGTCAGCTCCATGGGGTTATGATCGACGAGGACCTCGGGAGGCTTCCAACGGCGACCCGTCAGCACGCATGCACCCTCAAAGAGACTCGAGGCTCTTTATGGTTCTTGTCCAGATCTCACAGTCGGTCAATCAGGCCACATTTTCGAGTAGAGTCGAGTCGAGTCCCTCCTCTGCCAAGTGGTTCTGAATCATGAACTCAGATTACGAGTCACTTCGCATTCCAAATATTGTTCGGACGAATCGCGGCGGGCCGAGTCTCTTTGATGATCGGCAGGGTCCCGGTTGGGTTTGGTGGAGCCTGGTCTCGTTATTGAAACGATCAGCACGATAGCAGATAATAATAATAAATCAGTTGCGAACACAGAGGCCTTGTCAGGACTCAGCCTGGGAGGCAAAAACTCATTATTAGGTCATAGGAAGTGTTGGTGACGATTTAGGTGAAGATCCAAGACTGGCCGTGACTCGATACCATACCCACCTAGGTATACACACAGGGACATTCCGCCTTGGATCAAGAAACTAGAGCGACGCCTATTTCCATATTTGTGATTTCTCTCCAGCGTGTTCGCCCGATACTCACTAGACGTCGGTGTCTCTCCAACGGTTCTCTTCTCCGAAACGCACACAGGGACAACCTGGTGTCGGTCACTTCTCCGGGTCTCTCACATCCGCTCGGGAAGAACGGCAGCTAAACAAAGAAGTCGGAAGATATTGTCCATGATTTGAGTAATGTAGGTTCGAACCTTCGCCTTCCAGCCTGGCTGTCTGCCTGCGCACCTACGACGGTGGGCCGCACATACCGTATTAATACGGACATATTACCGTTTCTCAGCTGAGACCTGGCAGACCTGGCTGACACCCCCAAAGCGATCTGACAGTCCAAATTACCTCTTCCGGAAGTCCCCACATTACCGTATTCGCTCTCATTTTTCTCAGCGGCGCAATCCAGGCCACCCGCCCAGCCAGCCACCCGCTAGTCCATTCGCGCCCTCGCCAATCACACTTGCCCATCCCGTCCACTCGTATATATTGTTGACTCTGCCTCCCTCGCCCTCTTCTCCCGCCTTTCAGCCTGCTGACCATTTGGAACCCCCCTTCACGACCGAGCTTTGTTGGAGGCGCAAGACGGAAACACACGGCGGAGCCTGGCGCATCTCTACGACAATATCCAGACTGCATATAACACGAGGGCGCAGACACGAACCAGGTTCTACGCGTACCACGGGACTTAGACGATCGACCCTATACCACTACAGATGACGCGACACAGTCAATGCGTGCAATCTGACGACAACAGAAGACCACGAAGCAGACCACCGTCTCAATCTAGCAACAACTCTAGCAACAAGACAACATCCTCGCCACATCGACCACCTTCTCTCAAGGCCGTGCATCGATCGACTCCTTCGTCGCATACCCACACCCACAACCCGTCGCCTCTCAAGATGGTCACTACTACAACTCCGTCGCATCGCGCGGCAGACGACTCACAGTACTACTTCCTGCCTGGCGTGGATGGACACGACGAAGAGCTGCGAAACCACAGTTGGATGGAACCCATTGTCATTGACGACGACGATTTGATGTTTGGCGGCAAGAGTTTGAGCGCCTGGTACGAGGAAGAAAGACAGCCGGTCAGCTATCCGGCCGAGGAGGAGCGGCGAGGGCGTCAAAGGGTATGTCCGCTACCGACGACCATTTAGTGCATCGAGCAGCAGATGCTAACAGCTCCTAGGTGCGCCAACATCACTCGCATTCTCACAAGCACCACCACCATCACCATCACCACGCGAAGCCGAGCGACACGACGAGCAGCGGCGAACAGAAGAAGCGTTAGAGGCTGTGACCTCGCCAACATCAAGACAAGCATCATAAGGCTGTTGAACAGCCATTTCCTTTGAGATACCCAATACGTTTTGCATGGGCCCCTGGCGAAAGAGACTCTCTAGTCACTCGCCGCGGCCCCGGGACTACCAAGTCTGGGTTTGTCTTTCCAGACCGACAGACTACCACATACGGCAGCATTAGATGTACAGGCGGATCGACCAAGTCCTTGCAGGCCGAGTCCCATCCTCATGAACAATACCCACGACGCGAGGTCGCTAGACCATCATTTTTAGACATCTTTCAGCATATTTGTATCATTTCAGCAGACCGGATCGGCCTTTTGCATTACGACGCGCGACGGTCGCTCACACTTGGTTCTGCTTTGTGTGGGAAGGTTGGATGGGTTGGTACGGGCTGGACTGGTGGAGTGGCCCTAATGATCAGTTGCATCAAGAATGCCTCGCTCTTCACGACCTGTAGGTCTCCAGCATAGTGATTGGCCTCTGGGAGCACGCAGGGCAACGCATGAGAGATAGATAGTCTATCCTTTTTGACCATGCGCGATACCACAGGATATCATGCTTATCCTGAGTTAAACGCATCGAATTGAACACAATCACATTGTACAATATGTGCCACAAAACGCCATGTGATCGGTCGTTATAGACTCGTGTACTCTTATACTCGGCTTCGCTCGCGACAACGACATCAAGTTGAGAAGACACAGCATCTGCCAACCTGAACATCTGCTGGGGAGTATTCCCATTCTTAGTATCAACCGCCGCGGCGATGTCATGAATCAGCCTCCTTTCTGCAAAGGCAAGACTCAAGGCTTCGACGCTTTGCACCATCGTTCATCCTCTGAGCCAAAAGGGGTATCTGGCTAAAATCGGCATCCCGATGGGAGTCTGCAACGTTGCTTCCGCAATGCGACCGGACCGCCGATAGCCGTTGACCGCACGACATGCAGGTGGTCTCGATTCATTTCAGTTGGATCAGTTTCCCAATCGCATAACCTTATCTTTCGCATGAAACTCCCTCCCCAGTAACTTGTAAGCCATCCCATGACTACCGCATGCGTCACTTCACGACATCTTACACACATCCCTCATGCCGACGTCATACTCACCCAGCACCCGAATGTACAACATCGAAAGGTATGAACCCAATTTCTGGACCGGCGGCCGCCTATCCCTCGCTCGACCTCCGCGAACGCCTGCAGCAGACGGGCTGGGTCATGGCCGATGCAGAGCCGGACGGGTCCGAGAAATTTCGGTGCTTGAACGTGTGGCCCAGGCTGTCGAGCAGCGAGCGGCTACCTTGCAACAGGGTGTTCGTCTTGATGCTCTTTGCCGTGCGCTTGAGATAGCGGATCCCGTTTACATCGTTGGCATGTGTGGGAAAGGGCTAACAGTCGTGCTGGCCCATGCTGACGTGGTACTGGTGCTCACTGCGTAGTGAGACCTGCGTGGAGATGCCGAGCAGCACCACAGCATCCCGATGGCTTCCCGCTGTGTAAATGGAGCGCCGAGTCTGATATACAGCACGTCCGTTAAACTGGGTGGACAAAAGTCTCCGCCCGACCCACCACAATCTCCTTCAGATCAAAACAACGCGTCAATCACCCTTCGACTTCACCACTCTCTCAACACCGCAATTGATAATGGATTTACGATCTTTTGGGGACGAATTAAGCGGTAATCGCGTCGCTAACGGCGAATTCACTTCAGAAGCTCGCTCAGCAATCGTGGCGGCGCGAATCGACGGCAGAACGCGTAGGGATGTTGCAACCGCGTTTAAAACGAAGCGCCTGAAAACCATCTCCGATATTACCACCAACTTTGAGGCCACTTTTACACCGAAATCTGCCCCAAGGAGAGGTCGCCCACCCGTTTTGAATACTCGCGAACGCGCTCATGTGATCGAAAAGGCGAGAGAGCTCCCCAGGGCGACGTGGCAGAAGATTCGAAACGAAGCCTGCGTTTCGTGCTCTCCCAAGACTATCAAGAGGATATGTCACGCACACGGCCTCCAGAAGTGGCGCGCAGCGAAGCGAATCAAGCTCACAGATGAGGACGCTCAGAAGAGGCTCGCTTTTACCAATTATTATAGCACACCAGAGCGCCTGGAGGAGTTGTTGCGAGCTATGTTCTCAGACGAATGTACGGTCCAAAATTCATCCGATAATCCAGGCGATTGGGCCATCCGATTCTCTTCAGAGCGGTACTGTTATGATCTCGTGAACGAGACGGATCACGGCAAATCTCGTATTTCGATAATGGTGTGGTCTATGATCTGGCTACGCGGCGGAGAAGGAGGACTAGGCAAATTGGTCTTCTGCCCACTCGATCCGGATGCTCCGCGCGGAGGAGTATCCGCAGAGTCATACAAATGGGTTCTTAAGGAAGGCCTGCTTCCGTTCTACGAGGCTGGAGATCCTTTTATTCAAGATAACGCGAAAATTCACCTCACTGGCGGTGTTCCAGAGTGGATGGAGGAGCACGGCATCCACTGTATCGACTGGCCTCCTCACAGCCCCGATATGAACCCAATCGAGCACGTTTGGCGACTTCTGAAGAAGAATATACATGAAATCGAGCCTGAATTTTCTGAATTGAAGGATAATATCCCCCATTATCGCTACGCACACGAGTTAATTGAGCAGGCGTGGTCAGAGATCGATCCGGAGCAGGTTCGGGCCTTGATGGAGTCACTGGAGGACCGAATAGCTGCAGTGAGGCGCGCCGGTGGTTGGTATACACACTATTGACTTAGTTATTAAATACAATTTATTTGAGAATTCTATCACCAGAATTGGATGCGTTATGGTTCAATTGAGTTGGAGGGTATAGTAGATGGAAGGGGTAAAATTGGGGATCGGGCGGAGACTTTTGTCCACGCATTGTAACAGCGCGGCGGACAGCACGGCGATGGCTGTTGTTACGAAGGCATGGTGCTGGTGGGCATTTCTAGGCAATGACCCCAGGTGGCTGGGCTTGGCTGGGTCTTGCTCTGAAGAGGCGCCGGTAATATATGGATCCTATCCATCAAAGACTCGTCTGGACATCATGGTCTCCTTCGATAAAGGGTTCTTCTATTGACCCAAAGCATCGTATGCGAGACTATTATAGAGTAGCGGTGGTCGCTGGGATGCCGAGGCTGGGTGAGCAAAAGGAAAAGGTCACCTTACCGTTTGTGTTGATACACCCCTAAACCAGTAAGCTCGACCGTCTTCTCTGTTGGTGTCAACTTACTATTTTTCCATCTGAAAGACTGTGCGCAATCTGTGCTTGTCTCGGAATCACAGCCGCTGAACGCCTCTTTTGCACTTTATGGGATTTGGAGACGCTCCGAAGAGTCATATGGGGAATGGTGGCCATTTCGATCCGAAAGGAAACCGTTTCCAGTAGTTCGACATCTGAACTATCAGGTAATGACGGGATCCTATTGGAGTCGCCTCCCCGAAATACCTCGATCGACATGATCATCTCTTCTATAGTTGTCCAGAGCACTGGCGTCGATGTGTGTATCGTAACTTTCTTTCTTTCCACCGAAGGTGATTTTAGAGCCCTAACTTGATTGACAGCATACAGATGCGTAAAGGGAGGCATGCCGGCGAGTAAGTACCCTCTTGGTTGTCCAGGTGATGCAATTGAGGACCAGTTTCCGGCCCTGATCGTTGGTATCCGGCTTACCTTTGTTGGCATGGCTTTCTTGGCTCGTAGGGCAGGTGCTGCAGTATTCCTATGCTATATCGGCTGATGCGGTCTGCTTGGTGGCCTTTCGATACATCCAGTGCGTGTGTTCTTCGACGACGGCATGGTGGCTGGAATTCTTGCCGTGACCTGTAGTAACACCTGAGAGGCTAGCGGGGGAGCACAAACTAGTTTCTGGGGAAGATAGGCTCCAGTATCCTGAGCCATTTTCACGGGCTTTACATTTGCGTATTATCTAATGAGAGTATTTTCATGCTTGAAGGCTCCGATGTTCAACGGCAACACGAACCAGCTGAGTTACACGTGTAAGTCTTCCGGCGATATAGAAGCTGTGATGGGTACGTTATGGCTGACGAGACGGTAATTGCAGGTAATCCGAGTCTCATGCGGGACTTTCACTGCGCAGCGATCTCGTCTATGCTAGACGACCAACAAATTGGGTTAACCGAGCTTTACCAGAGGAAAGCTCGAGCCTTCCCCTCGAGGGTGTTCTCGATGCTGGCAACGGTGCTGAAGATGGGTGACACTGGAGGGTATGTTGAGTCCGTGGAGACAAGGGTCGGGAAGACTAAAGACGGACCAAGCCGTGTGTCAGAGCTGTCTGGCCATCAGCGAGCTCCCGAGATTCAGTCTAGGTCTCACGATGATTGACAAGGGATAGGAGCTTTACTCTCCTCCGCCCGAACGGGTTTGCGAGCAGTGCTATGTGGCACCGGATCTCGGTGAGGAACCGAGGCAGTCAGCACAGCTAGTGGAGTATTACAGAAGCCGGCCTTCTTGGAGAGCAGGAATTCGGGTAGGACCACTTCGTGATCGACACAGACACGGAGGGGGAGGAATGCAGAAGAATATGTCCCAGTAAGGTGAACTAGAAGCTCAGACACTCGGTTGAGAACGCACTGAAGGATGTTCATTGAGGCTTCGGCAGCATTCAGATGGTAGATCTCGTTGATGAGATCCGGACCATTAGAACAAGGCCTCATTTGAATATCTGCCTTGTCCTAGGATTGGATTCGTCAAGTCCCAGGCACGATTAGTCTGTTAGGAAATATTAATCCCTCATGACTTCCCCCCTTTCAATGATAGCAAAGCAGAGTGTCAGAGCTGACATCAAATGGGCTGACTGTGTTTTGGCTGCGTACAGTCGTATTGTCACTGCCGGTCCTTTAGTCATGCCAGATCAACTCACCGGGAGCGACATCACCGGAGTAGCACGTGGTTGGCCAGACATGCTACGAGCGGCCGCACCCCATGTGCAAAGCCTACTCCACTTCTCGGCGGTCGAGAGGGGGGCCGGCCAGATCCGATTCTCAGGTCTGTATCAACCGCGGACGCCCACGAAGACCCCGAATGCAGGAGGTTATATAAGGCGTGGTGACAGCTCGACGACCCAGCTTCCACTCTGCGAACTGACGGAGCCTACCAACCTTCAACACATCCACCAAGATGGCACCCCACGATGAAAGGTACCTACCGGTCTCTCCGCGGCGAGTTCAGGACTTGCTGCTGATCGGTGTACAGGACGACATGCTCCATGGGGGCCCTACGAGAGATCGCAGGGAAGCTCAACTTTAGCATGGAGCCAAAGACGAGCAAAGCTATCTGGCGGCTACGCACGCTGCAGAAGAATCCGTGACATACGTCGAGAGCATGCTCGACTACGTTGATCCGACACTGATTCCAGACCTTCGAGCCAACGAGACTTCTCGAGCTTACAAGAAGCCGGCGCCTGCCGAAAACCCTTTGAATGCGTGGATTTACAGGGTAAGCATCACCTAAGCCCTCACTCGGTCGGGGCCCCGACTGACTGAGAGGATACAGACTCACCTCAAGGCTTCAGCTGCCATACCTGAGACTGGCTTGCTGGACGGTAAAACCGTCGCGATCAAAGACACCGTCTCTGTAGCCGGCGTTCCCATGACCTGCGGCACTCAGCCGTTCCACCTGTGCAAAGAGGCACCGTACCCGATCCCCAGCATCGACGCCCCGGTGGTCTCGCGTATCCTCGAAGCCGGCGCGATGATAACCGGCACGTCGACGTGCGAGAACTATTGCATGTCGGCAATGTCCTGCACGGCCGCCACTGGACCGGTTGATAACCCCTGGCTGGAGGGCTTCTCAGCTGGAGGTAGCAGCAGCGGTTCGGCGGCTCTCGTAGCTATCAACAGCATCAAAAGATGGCGCGAAGCCAGAGGCCTGCCGGTGAAAGACTTGGGACAAGGCGCCGATCTTGCCGTCGGTGGCGATCAAGGTGGCAGTATCCGCGTTGTCCGTCCCCCCATCCGCTGCATGCCCTCTCGTCTGAATAGAAGCCTCATTTTCCAAATCTAAGCACTTCGCTAATGCCGGGACTAGCCCGCGGCGTACTGCGGTATCTACGGGCTCAAGCCCACTCATGGGCTGGTGCCCTACATAGGTATCGCGTCTCTCTTGCCCATGCTTGACCATGCCGGTCCAATGGCATCTTCGGTGCGTGACACTGCTCTTCTCCTGGCAGCGATCGCCGGGTACGACGGGTTCGATCCTCGCATGACGCCGGAGACGCCCCTTCGCCACAACGTGCCTCAGTACTATGGCCTGCCGGACGGTGAGATCGACTCTCGCATCGCCGCTGGCACGTGGACCCCGAAAGCTGCCGCCACGGGTTTGCGCATCGGCATACTCAAAGAAGGCATCGAGATTCCCGGTATGGATGCCCAGGTGGCAGACGTGGTCCGACAAGCCGCGCTTCGGTTCGCGAAGCTCGGCGCGTCCGTCGAAGAGGTCTCGATTCCTCTACACGCCGCCGCTCCGCACATATTCACAGCGGCCATGCGCGCCTATATGGCTGACACTTTCCTGTTCCAAGCCGCTCCGACCTCGCTGTCTTTCCCATTCCCTGGCGGTGCGGCTCCGGAGACCAGTCAGGCGTGGTATGAGACCATGAACGAGTACAACCCGGTGGTCGTCGCTGCCCTCCTGAGTGGTGTGGCCCTCCGTGACAGGACGAGGTACCCCGAGAGTGTGCGAAGCAAGGCCATCAGACACGTGCACGAGCTGCGGGCCGCCTACGACCAAGCTCTGGGGCGGTTCGATGCGCTGGTCACGCCCGCGACGCCGACAGTGGGGACCCCGCACGCGCCCCGAGACATGGGCACGACAGAAAAGATCGGCTTCCTCCTGGGCAACACGGTGAGCACGATGGCGTTCAACGTGTCTGGTCATCCAGCCTTGGCCATGCCCGTTGGTTGGGGCTCGGTCGAGACAGGGGACGGTAGGTTGCCGGTCGCGATGCAGGTGGTGGGGAAGAGATGGGACGAGCAGACCGTGTTCCTCGCTGCGGCTGCGTGGGAGGTGGGAGGCATGGGCCTGGATGAGGAAGAGCAATGAATGAATAGGATGAAGCTGCCACGATGGTCCACCACAGTGGTGAGAGTGAGTCGCGTAAGAAGCTAAGAATAGTATGCCGACATGGGACGACGATGATGATTAAATTATTAATATAATAAGAGCAGAGCCAAGCACGTCGGATGTGAGTGCCGAGATGGGGATTGTCATCCCGTTATTTCTGCCAGGGCTTATCTGCGCCCTACGCCCCCTGTCTGACGCCGGCCATCTGCACTCTCTCATTGGCCATCTGCGCAGAAATGGGTAAATGGCAATATTTTATCAAATTTGGAACCTCTCCATCAAATCCGGGTTTTGGAACTTCTCAGCCCTGTATTCTGGGGCTTGGTGGCGGGTCGGTGCTGGCTCATAGCAGGTATTCACCGTCACCAGCTGGCACGGAAGTTTTCGACCGCGCCGCAGGGTAGAAGCCGGTAGCTGCGTGCGCAAGGAGACAGTCACACAGAGGTATGTCAAGCAAGCAAACATCGGTTCGTCTCCTGTTTCATTCCACCAACGTAAAGTATAAATGGCATCATTTATCAATATGACGAGACTCTCCCAAGGTTGTGAACTTGTGAGTGACTACAATTCCCCCCTGTTTTTTTGAACAGTGGAGCTGGTCAATGACAGGCCTCGAAACAAGCGCCAGAGGTCCCTTCAAGGGTTGATGTATGCCATTTCCTTCAGAAATCGATACCTTCATAGGTCTGTGTCCAGTACCAGTTCCACTGTTCAAAAAAACAGGGGGGAAACTGTACCAACCCAAGGTACTTGGTATTTACCTCTCACTAACAATAATAGTAATAACAAGAATCCATCGCGTGAATTTGCACCTATTGATAGATGTGCCGGTGGGACGCCGCTGCTGTACTATGTGAAACCGGTGCTTCGATGCTGTCCTGCAATTCGCTCAAGGGACGCATCCATGACGTGGCCTATCCGCTTCACGGCCATGATTCCCATCCAGCCAGCCCAGCCCATCCCAGTTTCCGATTCTTCCTGGATCTGGCTGTCAGGGTGTCTGGCTGTCTGGCTGGACTAGGTGGGGAGACGGGAGACTGCCCGCATACTAGAAGACCCACCTGAGATGGTGGCAGTGGTGGCAGTGGTGGCAGTGGTGGTCCTCCTTCGCTTTCGCTCACCAGTAGTAGTACTACAGGTATGCTGTTAGGCTGGCACGGCTGGATACATGGCCACGCCAGGACGGCTGGACGGCTGGACGGCCGGCCAATTCGACGAGATGCGTTGGTCCCTGGTCTAAGTGAATGTTTTGTCTTGTTATGCAAAGCGAGCTCCCGTCACCGGCTTTGCATCACTGAGACTTCACTTCACTTGGGCTTTTGCCGCGCAACACCTCGTGCGACAGCTCCCACGAAACCAGCAGTCCTTTGCTAGTACCACAACACCGACTGCTTGCTCTATGGGAGTCTGCGAATTCTTCCCCTCTACATAATTTGCTGGGGGGTCTACACGATGCGCTCAAGACAGGTCATTCAGTCGACGACGGTTCTGCTCGGCGTCGTCACCTTGACATGGCTGCTCTTCCGCGACGACGCCTTGCGCGGATCCTTCCACACCACGAAAGTCACCCTGACTGAAAAGCTGAAGTCCGAGAAACCTCCTCCGCAACCCAAATACAAGCCCACGCCAACATTCACACCGCCACCGATACAAGATCCTTTTCCATCCTTGGCAACCGCAACTCCGCCTCCGATACCAAAATACAATGTCCCGAAGAAGGGTATATGGAAGGAGTACGGGCTTGAGATTGCGCCGCCTCTGGTCATTGGCTTCACGCGGTCGTATCCCATGCTCCTTCAAGCGGTCGTGTCGTATATCACTGCGGGCTGGCCGCCAGAGCAGATTTATGTCATAGAGAACACCGGCATGCAGCAGGCCAACGCGCGTGGCCAGCTGAGCCTCCAACACCCATTCCATCTGAACCACACGAGTCTCAAGACTCTAGGCGTGAACGTCGTCCAGACGCCCGTTCTGCTGAGCTTTGCGCAGCTTCAGAACTTCTACCTCTCGCTCTCGTACGCCCACGAGTGGCCCTACTACTTCTGGAGTCACATGGATGTCCTTGCGCTGGGGCACGAGAACGGCTTCGAGAACCTGACGCCGCGTGGAGGGGATCCGGGTTACAAGAGTCTCTACACCTTGTGCCTTGAGGAGCTGAAGCGCACGCTTGATACGGACGACAGATGGGCCACGCGCTTCTTCGCGTATGATCACCTGACGCTGCAGAACCCCAAGGCGCTGGAGGATATCGGAGGTTGGGATACGTTGATCCCGTACTACATGACTGATTGCGATACCTATACTCGCTTTATCATGAAGAAATGGTCGCAATTAGATTCGAATTGTGGTGTGATCACGGATACTTCTGTCGCGCTCGATGACCTGCTGGCGCTTTACCGCGATGTCAACGTGACACCCAAATTTACCGACCCAAACCCACCTCCGCCTCCGCCACCGCCGGCGGAAGACGAGCCGACGAAGGGAGAGATCGTCGCGAGGGACGGGCCTGGCCCCGGCCTGACCGATCCCATCGAGTACTGGAAGTCCCTGCTCGGCACCGCCGACCAGATGTTCCACTACAAGCATGCGGATCGAGGTCGAAACACCTGGCAATCCGGCCAGCACGGAGGACAGGGGGAGCCGTTTTATTACGACAATGCCGGCTTCACAGAAGCTCTGGACGTGCTGACCGAGGCGGGCAAGGAGGTCTTCCGCCGCAAGTGGGGGCACGGGAACTGCGACTTAATTGGTGGTGGTGGACTGAAGTTTGAGGACCAGTGGCGAGTGCTGAAGGACTTTGAATGAATGAGTTGTCAAAAGGAAGGATATGCTTCGGACTTGGGACCCTTGGATATAACGGCTTCATCGGATGGGCGTTGGCGCTATTAAACCCCGATTAGGCACTTGGATATGCCTGCTTCGACTTGGATAAGTTCACTGCATAGGAGCCGATGCGTCATGAGAACCCGGGATATGGACGCACCGAGCAACATTGCTGGGAAGATATAATGTCATGATACCAATAAAGAAATGTATACGTTCACCTCAGACGTGTATCGGTCTGCTCCACAGTGATCGACTGCCAGGTTTGGGTGGTTCTTTGTTGCATGAGCATTGCTGGAGGCCTATCACACTGACTGAGGACGTGGGTGTTCAATCAGCTTCTGTCGCCAGCAGTCCAACGGTCGATCCAGGTAGGTTGGTGTGTTTTCTCCCATGTCGAAGCACGCAGGATCTATGCGTCTGGTCTGTCATGGCGGGTTTGAAGCTCTCTGCGAGCCCCTTACATTACCATGTACACCAGTAGGCTATTGAGCTTCGTTTCCGAGGGCTTGGAGCTGCCCACGCTGCAAACATGATCCGGTACACCGTTGAAATCGAGGCAGTCATACAGTGGATCTTTATGTAAGTCCAGGCTGTGTCCCCTGACGGGCCGGACCCCTGAATCGATCTGAGCGGGAACTCGGCCACAGTCCAATAACAGAACGTCACATGTAAAGTGAGACATATTCCTCTGTACTGTTCGAGGTTTGTATCAGGCCTCCACTTACCACAATGTGAGATACGACCGTACAAGAGCATCATTTCTCCGACTCAGGGCCCCGGTAGGCGGTTACACTCCTGACGAGTAACTTTAGCCGCCACATGGAAATTATTAAGTGCGGTGTCGCTCAAGAACGCACGTACACAGCAGTGAGGCATTGTAAGGAGTACCGAATACGTATCACTTGATATATCGCCTTCATTGGCACTGATGGATAGAGAGGACGGGCATCTGGATCTCAGAAGCCGCCGGAGGTCTGCTGAGGCTACACCAGGACGTCATCTTGGACTTGTCCACCGAGATAAAGATGGGTAATACTGCTCTGCTCTCCGCCATAATACCGCTATTGACTATGCTAACCCGTTTCATGAGAGGCTTGTCGCCTTCGAATGCTGTGTCTGTTGGGAAGGCTCGTATTGAGTTTGGATCTGGACGCCGACAAGGCCACTGACGATGTCGGACTGCTCATCCAAGTCTGGCACATGGTGTGAGATCCTACCCAAGCCTTGGAAACCCCCTCCCAACAATTCATCTTGATGTGACTCTTGACTCTTCGATTCATTATGCGCATTGATAATTATATTCTATCTGCGCTTCACATAACTGACCATCTATCTCCATATCAGGCGGATCTCGGGGTTTTCCAAACGGCTCTTTTACAACTCAAGAGTGGACACTTGAATGCTTGCGGGACTGCAATGCTGCAATACGTTGATGACAACCCGAAAATGAAAGACTTTTGGTAGTAGACAGCCTGGTCGACATACCCACTTGAGGGAGTAAGAAGATCGAGTTGTTCAATCAAGGTAAAGACCACTCTCTTCGCGAGATAAGCGGAAGGAATCGCCTATCACGGCAATAAAGAAGGCCTTAAGCATGCCATGCCTAGAAGATAGTGAATCGGGGGATGGTTCAAATTGCAGACTGATTTGTACCCACTGAGCACTGTCGTGATCTCAGTGGAGCGACCACACCATGAGCAAGTACCTATGGACAACGCGCCACAGCTATGGCATGACATTCCACACCGAATAATCAGCCCGGCAAACGCAATATGGCGGAGGGGGACAACCTCACCATATAGCTGGAGGTCTGGTCAACGAAGTCGCTCGATGACTTACGGAACGGTAAGGCGACCTCCGTCAACCACTCGGTTAATTAGCTAAGACCAGGCCCGTACCCCGTCTGTGCCTGTGCCTGTGCGGTCGGCGGTGGTGTCGAAAAAGGCAACATACGGCGATCAGGTAACGGCGGGGGTCCCCAAGTGGGACAGCACCCCAAGTGAGACAGTTTTCACACCAAAAGGCCACACTTGCACCCACGGACAACTCCATCCGAATTGAAGCTATTAATTATATAATAAATGCATTAGAACCGCATTTCCTTGGAGTTTTTAGCAATGCTAATTGTTCACCCGGTACCGTGCAGGCTGGCGGATTGCGCGGCGCGAAGATCGCACCATAATGGGCTCGTCGTCTTCATTATCCGGCTTATCAGACCCCTCCTCGTCCCCATTGTCAATAACCACCCCTTTGTCTAATTCTTCTGAATGGTTAAATTCAGAGGAGAGGGAGTCTTCAGAGAGTGATCTCTCTGATTCGTTAGTATGCAAGTTCTGTAATTCACACAAAACTCGTCATTTTTCTGCCCGTTATTCAATAGCAGTTCGTGCGGCTTCCGTATGCCTGATTTGCTCAGTAATAACATCTCCAACCTTCTATAGCCGTTGATTAGGCTCTTCCTGAGGGGCCTTATGGCGCTTCTTTGGCTGTAGACGCTCGATTTTGTCGTCTTTTGCCTCTATTTGCTGCTACAGAAGGGCTATCTCAATCACCATCTCATTGTACGCCTTCACAACTGTCAGATTTGAGCCAATTGTCAGAGTGAAGTGTGTGTGTGTCTTCCGTCTGTCTAGAGTGTCCTTGTGCGACCGTGGCAGTTTTGTGCTAGAAGGGGCTGGATCGGGACGGAATAACTAGGTTCCGTTGTCTACCTGTCAAGGTGCCTTCTAGGCGTACCTTTAATCTAACAACAACCGAGCGGACTCCTGCTCGCTGTTCAGGGGTCTCAGCCACTGTTAATAGCATTAGGGCTATGTCCTGCCCTGCTTTAGGGGCTTTTAGTGCTTTGGGAATGGTTTCTGGGTCTATTATAGCTGCTGCTGCTGCTTGTATCTCTCCTGCCTTCACGATATGCTCGTTTGCCAGCATTTTCCGCCAATTCATAGGCCAAAGGCCAGCAATATGCCATCCCGAACGCACAATAGCTGGCGTGACTTCATCGCGAGCTTTCGCTAGACAACTAAGGAACTTAATCTTGCCAATAGGGGCCGAATTATTGAGCTGACCGAGTTGGTTGATAAGGCGGCGATAGGCGGCCTTCACCACAAAGAAAACGGTCAAATCTAGCGACTGGAAGATGTGAGACTACCTCTATTAGCGGAATAATTACTAATTAACCAAATAACCTATTGTATGAGCAGGAAAAAAGCACATATACACGTTGTTTATGTAGCAGAGATACATAAACTCGTCCGAACAGTGGCTGCCATGGCCATCTAGTATTAGGAGGTAAAAATCATCGGGATCTTTAAGAGCTGTATTAGGTAGGTAGATCTAGGGCTTAATTAGCATATAGTTAACGTAATTCTAAAAAAAAAATACCTTCTCAAGCCATTGCAACGCAATCTCGTTCGAGGACCAGCCGTTAGCAGAGTACGTGATAAACCACTTTGCCATCGCATGATGCTTCTTAACAAGCTGTTCTTTAAACCACTGTGTTTGTATTGACTTCGCCTTAAAGATAACGAGCAGCTGGAGCTTCTTCCCAGTGACAGTGATCGATTCCACCACTGTAGTCCACATGCAGTCATTGTGGGACTTGACGTTGGCCCCCTTTGAGCCAGAACTGCCTATTACAAGGCCATCAGACCTATAATTTCCTAGTCAGCCGTCCAAAAACCACTTAGAATTGACAATTCATGTACTGCCGGCCCTGCATAATGCCGCACTTATCGACGTTTGCCTGGTTCTTGGGTTTGATGAAGGCAAACTCCTCATGGAGATTGTAGAACGAATTCACGTTCTCAGGCATGGCAGCGTTGATACGCTTGTAGTCAAGCTTTCGGCCCATCTTGGTCTTGATCTCCTGGTGCCAGCGGATAAAGTTTCATATGTAATGGCTCTCTAAATGTTCTGATTTTCCCTCAGATTTTATGATCTGGCGGATGATGAACTTGACGTTGCTGTGACGGCCTGCACGGACCTTCCCACATGACAAGCCGATACTTCCCAACAAGGGAAGGATCTGACCGGAGGATCCCCTTAAAGGGGCAACCTCCCGCTGTACCTATCTCTCTCTCTCTTCCTTTCCTCTCTAGTCTTGATATTCTCGTCAATAGAGTAATAGCTGCTTGCTGCAGGCCATGTCCCAGCCTCCCAGTACGCTCGCCGTGACAGTTGCGGTGAGTTGGCGTATGGCCGGCCTTTTCTTGATACAAAATCCACGAAACCACCTTCTTTTCTTGAGCAGGGCTTACCTTCTGAGCATGAGAATGCCCTTCTTGCACTGTGTTAGTTGGGCGCATCGTGGTGCCGTCTACCTTGCGAGAGAGAGTCGATTTGGGTACTCCCCAGCGATGATAGGCCTTGCGGAGGGATAGGCCATCATTTATAGCGGCTATTGCCTCTGTGAGGTCTTCTTTAGTGTACGAAGGAGGCATTTCGTTGTACCAAAGTCGCTATTATTTACATAAAAAGAGAAAAAAAAGAACAGCAAGACTTCTGCTGGATGGGAGGTAATAAGGGGCACGGGTCTTATTACCCCTCAGGTTAGGCCCGGAAGTGCTAACTTCCGACCCCCACCACGGGCCACCCCGCAGCGGCAGACCTAATAAAATCTACTTTGGAAGAAACACCAAGAAAAGACGATTCTATTGCTGTACTTACGGTATCTAGGGCTTTATTGCCGATAGAGATGTGTATAAGTGAACATTGTGATGTTGGGTGTGAAAAGTGCCCACTTGGGGGGCTGTCCCACTTGGGGGCCTCCGCCGTTAGCTAGCTGCCCAAGCAGTAATTGTGCACACGATGCGCCGCGAGCTCTTGGCTGCTTGCTTGACCTTGGCCCCTGGGATGGCAGCTCCGCCGCGAGCACATGAGCGCAGCGATCACTCGAGGCAAAAGACGCTAGAGAGCGATCAGCGCCGGCGCCGGCGCGGATGTGACGATATCCGCCCTCCGGAAGAGCAGTGCCCACGGGGAAATGTGGAGTCGATGGTCACTGTCTAGTATCTCCTACGCAGTAGGTTAGACATGTGCAAGTTTCTCAGTAGTGTGACGATCCCCAGAATGGAGGGCGCACGCAATTGATTGCTGTGAGTAGATCAACAGACAGGCCGGAGACCGGAAGGCTTTGCTTCCAGGTTGCGCGATGCAATGCAATGTAACAGCGAATGCATTGCGTCTTTTGGGGGAGGGAAGCGGCACTGTCGATCAATATGCACGCCAGTTCACCAACTGACCAACCCTCGCCGTCTCGTAGGCGAACCTCCGAACCTCTCAAGAACTCCGCTGGGCCATTTGACAGCCGGAAGCAGAACGATGCGAGGGAGCGATGGCAGCGCTAGACCGTGATGGGTAGCCCGTTGCCATCATCGCCGACTCGCGCCAACTCGAGATGTCTGGAAAGGGGATGACAGGATGAGTGGTGCCTTGCTTGCATGTATGCATGTCGGTACGTGGTGTTGTCAGGTATGGAGGGGGTGATGGGCAAGCTCACCTGACAGTGGATAATGGCTGGTTCGCGAGAGTCGCTGATCGTCGGACTTTCGATGGTGTTTTGCTTTCACATGGCTGCGGGGTGCTTATCTCACTCCATGCAGCTACAGTCTGCTGGTGTCTGGGGAAGATAAAGATACACAGTCATGAGGACCACACTCAACGAACGCGGTGTGTGGATGGCGGGGATGAGATGTCTTTGTGATCTCTCTTCAGGGGTTTGACGGAGGCTCGTGATGCCGAAGCTTGCTGTGTTGATGATAAGGAAGAGGGAGAACGACGATTCGCGTGCCGGACTGTCTCTCTCTTCTCACCGCATGTAGTGCGAAGGATGGTGGTATATCCCCAGTATCAGTCCCGCTGCTGTGCGTCCATGGCCGAAAAGTTCTTGCAGGAGCATCATCCGTCGTATGAGCTCTGGTCATAAATCTGATCATATGTGACGATGCTGCAAAGTTGCGGTATGGCATCACTGGACTACCGTCATCCCTGCCTCACATCCATCTTCCACCACTCCACCCCGCACCAAACCGCAAGGTCGTGACACGACTGCATATCTATGTGATATATCATGCTGGCCGGCCGCACGGGTACGATGACATCCATCTCACAGCAGCTACTAGTCCGTGGATACCCACCCACGAGAGTTGCCGCGGAAGTCATAATAGCGCAAGGGGCCACCCTAGTAAGGCCCCAAGTCTCCGAGATGAAGATGCAGGGCAAGAGGTCTGTCTGAAGTCTATTTGAGCAATTGCCCCTTTTTGCTTACGCAGTCGGTAAGGTATGTAAAACAGGCCCATTTGGAATAAGCGAAACTGTGAATAAGGTTCGCGTCGTGACAAATTCGTGGCCCCAAGCCTATAATAGTAAGAGCTAGGCGCAGGGACGTTTCATTTGCCGTCCCGTTGAAATTGTTGGGGTCCAACCTGTGAATAGGAAGAGGGCTGTGCTGCTGTACTATCGCCGCTGACATGATGACAGCTCGACTTCTGCTGCATGGGACACGCGCAGGTTTGCAGATGATGAGTCGATGCTGGACCTACTACGACGAGGTCTATCCAACTGGACCGATGACTATAGTACGTGGCGATAGGGGGTCGTCTGTTGTCCAGGCCCGATAGCGGGGGTTACGGGCTTTAATGGTGGTGCCGCTTGGGGAAGCGTCGGTAGTTGCGGTACTTGTTAGTTGGGTGATCTGCAACGCTGCAGCCCCAACCCTGAAGCCAAACCCTGCCGGGCATCTGAGCCCATCGACGCGTTTGTTAAACCCGGGAAAAGCTTGTTGTGCATCCATTGCATCGTCCATGTCCATACCATACTCACTCGCATACTCTGGTGATGGGAACCCGACGGGAGTCTGACAGTAACACGCCGCAGGCCCTGCCCATGCTGCCCAGGCCATGATCCATGGACACATCCTAACATCCTGACACCCCCCAGCCGCCGCCATGGCTGCTGCTGCGCCCTCTATTACTTACTAAATGCGTAGCCACGTAATACCACCACGCTGGTCAAGTCTGACAAAAGCAAGCCAAGCCAAGCGAAAGGCTGTTGCTTTCGACCATTAAGGTTCCCAACCAGACTTGGGCCCTTGCTGGAAATAGCCCGTTCCTGCTTTCCCACATTCATACAGTCAGACGCCGTTGGTCTATTGACTCAGCTTCGAGGAACCTGCCTACCTGCATGGAGAAGGGGTGTGTGTGGGTGCGGTACATACAGAACCGGGAGCCCTGATGGTCGACCACATATCCCAACCTAACCTACATATGATTGGGTGGACGTGCGGGTTTCATCATCACCTCATCACCTCATCACCTCATCGCCCTATGCAGACTGCTGGCTCTTGGTTATAGTATTGGGGGCATGTGCATATCGCTAGTTCGACTTCTGGGCATCTGATTGCGAGGTGAGATCTATATATTAGGATCGGCCCTGTCCGTTTCTCGCCATGCCCTTGCACTTTCTTTCGGAAACATAGCTCAGTTAATGCGAATTACTTCCTCGGCAATAACTTGTTCTTCGTTAGAAGCTCGCCACGTCCTCGAAACAAAGCATTGCTGGCGTTTGAAGCAACATTTCAATATCTGAAAGCTGCCCGTCCACCTCTACGAGCAAGCATCTCACCGCTTCTTGTATAAGCTCCGGAGAAGCAGTATCCCCACGCATAGCTCACGGGCCCTCGCATACGAGACGTATCATTCATACACCATGGCCAAGTCATCGAGACAGCCGAGTAGGTCAAGCATGGCCGACGACATCGACGCCATCACACCATGTCCTCCGCCAACCAAGAGCCAAGACATCATCTCGCCCATCCCTACCAGCGCAATCAATGATTACCGGACAAGGAGATCAGAGTCGCCGAGTTCCGTCTGTTCGTCCCTTGACGCAGGCGAATTCACCGTAAGGCGGCGGGCGTCCGTGAAGGCGCTAGAAGAGGGCACAAACGGCGATCCGGAGGCACTCTGGAGGCGCATGCTCAGACTTCAGCAAGAATTCGGGTGCTACAACTCGGCAAGGATGAGCGCTGCGCTCAGCTCCGGAGATGCAAGTCTATTACGTCGTAAGTGTGGCCCCAGGCCTACCAAGAGTTGAGTGACGTTGGCACAACGTGTATGCTGACTCGTAAATCTTCCAGCTTCGAAAGCATGCCTGGACTTGCTCAACGAAACTATGACCATTTTGCCTGACGAGGCCGAACCTGTCCATGGAGGATGGCGCCGGAATTCGGAGGGAGATGCATCGCCGACGAAGGGTCATCGATGATGAAACCGGTCCGACATATTCTTCATCGTATGATGGTGGGTCAAAGGAGGTCTGGGGCGATGGGGTGAATGTGTGTGCCACGAACGCGCAGACAGTAGCCCTCGACAATGAGGGGGTCTGCTTCAGCACTGGGCTTCGGCGGTAAAATGACTTGTGATACCCCCGCAACTGGAGTTCGGATATTAATACATTACTGTTTCTTCATATGTCCACTAATCGTGCCTTGAGCTTTGTTGATATTGAGCTGACGCTCAAATCCGCATGTGAAAAGAGGAAACACTCCATTACCGCCTTAGGAACGCTGTGCCGCAGAGGCGCGGTTTCTAATCAACTGCCCTTGGAATGATCGCCTAGCCCAGTGAGAGACCTTGCAGTCGGTCCGAGGAGGATCTGGTGGCCGAAAGGCTAAGCAGCGCATTCATCAGGACCTTTCTGCATTGCTCCCGATAGAGTAGTGCGAGCTCTTGATTGCGATTGACAGCCTCGTACTCTGGACCAAACTGCTCGAGCGCTTCGAGGTCTATGCTGAGCTTAGAACCAAGCGCATCGACGATCTGTTCAAGTAGAGCCTCTGGGATCTTGCCTCGCATGATATCCGTCAGGCTTGCATCTGCCCCGCCATCATCGCCCTTCGTGATGGATTCGTAGAGGGAAGCGATGAGCGTGTCTTGGATGTGGGAGAAGCACGGGAGACAATGCGTGAGATGGTCGGGGTCGATAAGCCTTGATCGTCCCACGACGGAGTTGGAATGGGCCAGTGGCCTCAATGACACGATGTGAGATGCTGCGAGGTCACCAGCTTCCGGGTTGGCCTTCGTCTTGATGTGGATGTAGTCGTTGTGGAACTCGGGCGCCTCTGGGAAGACAAAGCCATAGCCAAGTAACAGCTCAGCGTTGGTCTTCAGGCCGTAATTGTTGAACACCTGCTCTCCAGCTGAATAGGTCTTCCCCGACTGAAGCTTGCAGACTTGTGCGGCCCCATCGGTGGTCCAAGCAGTCCTTGTGAGCGGCGAGTGGTTCCCGATGTCGAACAGAGGAAGGAGGACTGAGAAGTCGTCAATCTCGCAGGGCAGAGATGCCGAGTCTGCCTCTGGTAGGATGAGCGAGGGACGAAAACTGCGGCTCGTGAAGATGCAATATGCCCAATAGTACAGTGGGCGGGCGTATTCGAGCTGGTACTTTGGGGGCAGAAGCTTCATAGCACGCTTGTGTTCCTTCTTCAGGGTCGACCGAATCTCTTCGACGGCCACAAAGGCGTTGGTGCCGCGGAGAAACTCGACATCGTCCGACGGCCACATCAGCGGTAGCATGCTACTCATGTGCTCGGGCTGGGGGAGAGTCCTGATATATGGCCACCACGTGGACTCTCGACCCAGAAGATACTCCTGCATGAGGCAGAATCGCCCTACAACATGAGGCGGTGCCTGTTTGAGGAAACCCGCTGGGAAGAAGCGCTTGTCCTCAGCGTGCGGGATGCTTGCATGCGCTACTGCTGCAAAATCAGGATGACCGCTGATTGCGTTCAGGTACGAGAGAGATCGTGAGAGCGGTAGCGTGACGATGGCGTCGTCTGGTCCGACGGAGCACGCGGCTTTGACGCGAAACGACGCCTTGGTCACGTCGTCGTGGTAGATCTCGACGGAGGGATGGAGACCGCCGCCGCCCTCCTCCGTCCATCGAACGAGGGCGTCGTAGCGTTCGGTCAAGGCTGCCATCTGGAGAAGCATGCCGTATTTGCAGGTGTATTGCAGGTGTACACAGCAGTCTTGTGTTGAAAAGTTTACAGCGCCCGCTCCACTGAAACGGCGTAAGTACTGTACTGTAAGCCAAAGTGTGGGGTTGACACTGTGCAACCAAAGGCTCGGCTTCAATGACAATATCCCAGGGGCTTGACCGCGGACAGACATGATATTGCAGTCGGATGAGCAACCGAATGGGTGGTGAGTCCAATCAATCACCTGTGGAACAATTCCCACCCCCTAGTGATTGAATATGCACCCTTGAGCACTCTTATGTCGCTCGCGAGCCATGTCACATGTCCACAGCCCGAGGTAGCCTACCGGCACCTACCGTCTCGAGGCTTCCCACCCTTGACTCTAGACTGTAGGTTGGTTGGAGGCTCCAAGCTCGTCACGTCTGGTCATAATTCCTCTCATTGATACGATGATCTACACCCACTCAACCAGGGGCTGCAGGGTTCCCGAGTCCCAAGTCCTGGCCAACTGCGTTGCTAGTGCTGACCGTGTCTGCAGTCGTCCACCATCCATCAACCAACAACCAACATATCATGCAAGGACGTTATACGAAAGGCATTGTGGGCCTATCTTTAGGCTTATTGACGGGCTCTCAAGTGGTCAGACAAGGAACTGCATTTGTACAAGATCAGGAGAATTCACCAAGAACTTGCAGATGCGTCCCATAGCTGCGTACGAAGTAGCCAGCGTCTACGTGGACCCTACTTACCTCATCGTACTATTGCTTGGTCATGATGGAGATCGCAACCTTTGTCGAGCAGCTCAAGACAGCCTCGCTGTCAAGCAAGACCACGATCTGGGCAGATCCTTCCAAGGCCGACTTCCAGGACTCGTTGGCACGACGGACAGACGTTGGGAAGAAGCAACCTGGAGCCATCATTATGCCGGCATCGGAGGATGATGCTGCCAAGATTGTAAGCCGCTCATGCTGAGTCTCCCTAAGGCTCCCAATACTGACAGAACACCAAGGTCAAACTCGCCGTCGAATCATCCGTTCCTTTCGTGGCCAAGGCCGGGGGCCACAGTGCTTGGTCGACCATTGGCTCCTCTGGTTTCGTGCTGGACTTCAGCTTGATGCGAGCTGTCGAGGTCGACACCGGGAGGCAGACCGCTACGGCTAGCGCAGGAACCTTGATAGGAGACATCGTCGATGCTGTTGCCGAGCAAGGCTATTGTGTTGGTGAGTCCCATATTTTTATCGGCAATGGCTCTGATTCTCATGACTTCCAGCGAGTGGCACCGTGAACAGCGTGGGCTACATACCGTCGACCATCGCGGTGGCATCACCGTCTTGGCTCCGCTCATCGGTTTTGGTTCCGATAACATAGTGTCTGCTCGCATGATTACCGCCAAAGGAGATCTGATCACGGTTTCGAAGGACGAGAACGCCGAGCTTCTGTATGCTATCAAGGCCGCAGGCCAGTTCTTCGGCGTCGTCACGTCTCTCACCGTTAAAATCCACCCGCTTTCGATACTGGGAAGCCCCGAAGGCTCCGTATGGAGCGCCAGTCTGCTCTTTGACGTTTCCAAGGCTGCGGACGTGGCGAGGGCTGCTATTGAAGTCAAGAAAACCACGACGAGGTCGTACTGCCTGACAGGCGTGATGCCCGCACCGCCAACGCTGGACCCTATCATCCTAGTCCTGGTCATTCATCTCGGAAGCAAGGCGGACGGCGAGGAAGCCTTCAAGCCTATCCTCGATCTTGGACCTCTGGCGGTTCCGGCTAGTAGCGAGGTCCCATTCGGCAAGGTGAACGAGGGTTTTCAAGCTTTCGAGAGCAAGGGCGGGTTCAAGAGATGGCTGGCGGTCGGCATGACAAGCCTGGACCAATTCCAGCCGGAGGACATGACGAGGCTTGTCGATCAAAGAGGAACGATAACGGAAAAATACCCTTCGGCGAAACCGACAGGTTCCGTCATCGAGTTCACGAGTGACGGGCCGTGGAACCAGGTGACCGCAGAGAATGAGACGGCTTGGTCGACTCGCGACGTCGCGACTTGGTGCCATCTGCTCTGCTGGGCCAGTGAGGAGGAAGCTGTCGACTACGCGCATGAGATCGCCGAAGAGTCCATGCGACATATTCGGCGAAACCAGCCGAAATACCAGTTCTCCATCTACGGTAACTTCTCGAGAATCGCTCCTCTAGAGCAACGCTACAAGGGAGCCGAGCGGCTGGAGAAGGTAAGGGGTCTAAAGCTGAAGTGGGATCCGAATGGCGTTTTCACCAACGAATTTCTGTAGACAGTGGTGACAAGTATGTCAGCACACGTTGCGACATCTCCAGCATGCGAGAGAAACTCGTAATCCCTAAGGTAGGTAGGTCTAGCCATAGACCACCGGCATAGAAGCGTCGCAGACGGAAGATGACAGGATCGGCCGCAGAATCAGCAGCATCTCGGTGAATATTCCAGTTGATCAAAGCTAAGGGCGAAAGCCTATGCCAGATGACGATGCGAGTTGATCTATCAAAGCTTATATAGGCATGCACCATTCGATATCTATAAATTTCTTAGCCCACAGTTGTCCTCTCACCCGCAAGAGCACCTTCTAAGTTTCTGCCTCATACTCAGACTGATGCTCGTCAGTCTGGACACGCTTCTGCATGGCCTTCTGTATCGTCGGGATACCGAATCCTGTCCACAACGTCAAGAGGACGACAAAAGCCAAGGCCGACGGCCAGCCATGGGTCGACTTGAAATGCGGCGCCTGGGAGCTAGGGAACTGAAGTTGTTGGAATGGAATTTGGACTGCCGGGCCGACGGAGGTCATCAGGCCGAGGATGAACGCACGCTTCTGCTGATCGCCGCCACAGGTTTCGTTACACCAACCCGCAAGCAGGGGCGTGAAGCAGCCGTATGTTCCACAAGCAATGAAGACGACCATCTTCAAGCCGTGGGGCACATCCCACGCTGACAGGATCGCGTAGCAGACTGTGAGGATCAAGCCGACAGCCAGGCACACCGGGCCTCTGTTGCCGATCTTGTCGGCGACGTAGCCGGTGATGATCATGGTGAAGAAGTTGACGGCGCCAATGGCTGTGGGTATGTTGTTGATCTGGGGGATCGTGAAGTAGCCTGTCTGTTTGAGGTAGAGCGTGAAGTACTGCAACACCAGTGAACCCACGGTCAGCGACCACAATGCGTATCCTATTACGAAGCAGTACAACTGCCAGCTGGTAGCAACACGCTTGAACACGGTCCAATCGAGCTTCCCAACGGGCTTGCGGCCTTCCTCTTCGATGCGTTCCTTAGCACGGTTGCGTTCCCATTCGTTGAGATACCAGGCGTTCGACTGATGCGGCGTATCTGGGTGGCACAGCTGATATACTTGTTAGTAATGCCGTAATAAAGGAGGCTGTATTTATGCACAACGGTTGACAAATTAACCCACAGAATCACAAGCACTGTTTTGGGGTGGGGGGGGGGTTGACTGGAGCAAGTGGCAAATTGCTGCTCATCCCAATGCGGATTGTTGTGACTTACCATACCGTAAATGGCGATCGGGACCGCGAGGATGAAATCGAAAATGAACAACCAACGCCAAGCCGAGAGACCACCCCTCCCGTTCATGCCTGAGTATAATGCTGATTGCAAGTAGCCCGAAAACATCTGTCCAAGCACTCCGGAAATGACGAAGAGGGCAGAGCGTCTGGCAATTTCTGACTTTCTATACCATGAACCGAGCGTATATTCGATACCAGGCCAAGCCGCAGACTCGAAAAGACCGATGCAAAAACGGAGGGCGTAAAACTGATGAGCTGTGTTGCACTTGTACAAGAACAGCACGAAGAGAGACCAGCACAATAGACAAGATGGCAGCCAGTATCTCGGACGGATCACCGTGATGATCAGGTTCGCGAATGGGGCGCCTATCAACTGACCGGCGTTGAAGAAGGTGTTCATCCAGGTCAGCTCGTTGCCAGGCCCGAAACCCAGCTCCTCCTTCATGCCCGACTGCTTGCATGTTAGCATGCTGTCCTCGAATCCGAAGAGTCCACCCATGAAGCCCTTCCGAGGAAACCAGGTTTGAGACATCAACACGGGTGTTGTCATACGTACCGCATACGCGTTCGTGACATTGTTTGAATCCAGCCATTTGACGAAGAAACAGAGGCAAGAGTAAGATAACAGGAACCAGTCCAGTTTGAAGATGAGTCGTTTCTCCTCTTTGGAGGTACCCGGCTCGTGCCAGTGAAAGAATCCAGTCAATCCAGGGTAGCTCGTTCTTACAGGCTGTGACAGCTTCTCGTCGACGGCGGAAGTCGAATTTCTGGAGCTCGACGTCTTCTCCACGACGTTTGGTGCGACCTCTGCCGTCTTGGCGAGTTGGATCTCTTCAATGGGTGCCGACATCTTCTCGTGACCGAATCACACAGGTCAAGCGACTGGTAGAACTTAACCCAATGGCATTCGCAAAGTTCTCCCCAAACCCCAATCTCGAAGGGTCTTCAACTCGATTATATGGATGGCAACGCCATATCAAGATGATTGCGATCTGGATTGGGGCGAGCACGTCACGCTGAAAGGTCCACTATCCGGGCGCGGTACTCCCTCCTCAGATTCCTAGCGAGATCTGGTGGAGATAATCTAGCGAGTAGCGCTGTAGAGTAGAGGCGATTCTTACTGCTTGTAGTAATTCTTGATCGGGGTCTCGCCGACTTATCGCCCGTGCCCACCAATTCGTACCAGCATTGATTCGAGACGGAGCTCTTGTCAGGGACAAGCTCGCATGCCTCCCTCATGATAACATGCACCCCGCAAATTGTAACGTGTAGTGGGAAACGAGCAGTCCGACGTTCGTCGGTGTGGCAGGTTGCGGCTACTGTGGATTGTCTCCTCCCACGTGTCTTTGCTGGACTTGACTCGATCGGTGTCGGTCCCCCGAAGCGCTGTAGGGACCCCAGTCACGGCCCAGTGTCGACACGCGTCGTCGTCGCGTCGAGGGCTTCGAGACCACGCCTGGTTATCCCAGGAGGCTGGCTCCTGTTATCTACTTGCAGCTAAGATAGGATATCAGCCCCCGTCGGAACATTTCAAGGGCATTCAAGATGGTCGAGTTCGTTGATATCAACGGCGCCAGGCTTGCCTATCAGATCCGTGGGCCCGATGATTCGCCCCTATTCATCACGTTGCACGGGGGGCGAGGGTTCGGTCGGTGTCCAGTCGATCCGGAAGGGTTGGACCAGCGCATTTGTTCTAACGATACGCAGGTGACTACCGATCGGATTTCAAGGCCTACGGACCATTGGGCGACAGGTACCGAGTGCTGTCGTTTGACTTCAGGGGCCACGGCGAGAGTTCACCCACCAAGCCGTACACCTTTGAGCAGATCGTGGACGATATCGAAGCCATCCGGAATCACTTTGCTGGTGAGGAGAAGGCGATCATCTGCGGAGGTAGCTTTGGAGGCTTTCTTGCGCAGCATTACGCCATCAAATACTCTCAGCATGTCTCTTATCTCATTCTTCGCGGCACCGCGCCTTCGTACCATCGTAGGTGGCTCCCATCTCGGTCACAGCGGACTCATACGCTGACATGATGTTAAGAGGAGGAGGATGCCATAAAGGTTCTCGAGCAGAGGATCGCCAAGGCACCCAGCTTCTCGGTTGAGATGCTCACGGACAAGGTGTTTGGGGCTTTCGAAAGTGACTTGGAGTTCCGACTCGTCCATCTGGCAATGTCGCCTCTCTACAGCGAGTCGTTCGACGCCAATGCGACGTTGAAGAGTGTTCTGGGCAACACATACAATGCAGAGTCGCACAGTAGGCATCGATACCGAGCCAGACCTCGGTAGCCCGCAGCTAACGACAGCAGATGATTTGTACTCGGAGCAAGAGAAATACTTCGACTACCGCGATAAGCTGCATCAGATCACAGCGAAGACCCTCGTCGTCGTTGGCGCCAAGGACTGGATATGTCCACCAGGTATGCGAAGCCCTGGTGTGGCAGCAGTCACTTGACCTTGCTGATGCTGCCAGAACACTCGGAATACATTGCCTCCAATATTCCCTCTGCGACACTGTACGTCGTGGAGAACGCCAACCACAGCGTTCATCTGGAGAAGAACGAGCAGGTGCTGAGTAAGATACGCGAGCACCTTTCGAGTTGAATTGCTATCGAGCAGGAGCATGGTTGGACGGTGGACGGGGAGACATGATATTATTTCACGCACCTGCCACCCAAGCTCCGTAGTAATAGGCCTATGTACATGTAGTTGCCAGGTGCCTACCTACCTACAGTAGGTACACTCAGCCCTCATAAGTGCTCCTGTCAACTCTGAAATATTCTGCTACATTCGTATTAATGGAATAAGCACAACAAGCTGGTCTAATCCAATTAGCCATATTTGATCTTATTCCAGACTGATTATCCCAGTTATAATGAATTCAGCCCGGGACTTTCGCTTGGTGAACGAGGGGTGTACGGAGATGACGGACGGACACTTATGAGGGGTGAGTGTAGCAGAACCTCGGAGCGAAGTCGCGTTGCAGGTAGGGGATTCCATCTCGCCATCTCACCAACTGGACCTTCCACGTCCTGCGGAACGTGTTACTGCAACCTGCCTCTACTGCAAAGTTGAAGCAGCGTCCAGATTCTTCCACCTTGCCATGGTAAACCTCCCGTGTCAACCATCCATACGTCAACCATACAAACTTTTGGAGTCAATAACGTTATAATGAACACGCAGCAACCCATCGGATGGGGATCTTTGCCATTCGAAGTGAAGGAGGCGATTCTCAAGCTACTGCTCGACTGCGGCAGTGCTTCCTACCTTGCTCCAGTATGCGCAGAGTAGAGGGCGGTGATCGAGCGGGTCTATTTCCGCAAGCTGACGTTGAAGCCGGTACGAGGCGACCTGGACCATCTGGCCGCGGCTCGCCACCCCATAACCCGAAGTGCTATCAAGCACATATGTCTGCGCATCATCCTGGAACGCTACTCGTTCCGACAATCCTTCCAAGAAGCGGACTTGATCGAATCCATTCGCAGCGACAGGTCTATCAAGACAGCAATCTGGAGGCTGTTTGCCATCCTCGGGACATGGGCAGCGGACCATTCGGAAAGTCTGACGCTTGAGATTGACGCCTACTCACCCAGTGACAGGATCCACTGGCACAAAAACCTGCTGTTTGGCGATGATTAGCATGACTCGCATCATCGGCTCGAAGAATCGCCTGGCTGGCTCGGTGGTAGCCAGATCAGAGAAACCGCTCAGGCCGTATGGCGCAATGGTCAAATGCGCCTGGTTGTGTTCTCGTTTGTGCGGTGGGCGACGAGAACAAGTGGGTTCGAATCCTGCTATGGCCCCCTTCTGACCCGGCTTGTGCGAGTCGACAACCAGCACACGACAGTGAAGAGGCCCCTTATCGCAGAGCCCGATAGCCAAACAGCTTGTCTCCACAATACCCACTCCTGCGAGGTTTCCCCCTTGTGGTTTCCCTCGCCAGCAGATAACAAACACCTACTTCACCCACCAATGCGACATATATCGAACGGCTACTGGAACGATGTGTATACCGGAGGACTGAGGTTCACTGGGTCGCTTAGTCACTGAACAGGAGGTTTTTCTGACAGAATCATGTTTGGGTATTGACTAAAACCATCTGGTCACTCCAGGTTGGTACCGCTACAGCGAGGATAGGCTCGTGCGCGGATCTGAATGTATCTAGACTGACACCTCTACAACCTTGCGATGCAATGGCTCTGGGAGGCGTGGTTTGCCCTATGGAGGGACTGCATCCACGATAAATACAATCAATCAATCAATCAGAGAAACCGCTCAGCGCTGCCGTCGCCAGGATATTCAGGCCTGTCTGGTAGGAATTCGAAACGGAAGGGGTCGAATTCGCCACAAATCAGGTCGTTACCCAATTGCTCATTCGCCGCCAGACTCGTTGGCGGTTGGAGCCGCGCACTTTTGCCAAACTCATCGGCTGATGTGCCAAGCTTGCACACATCCATTACGAGCACTGGAGGGAGGCGAGTAGAGGTTTGCAAAGAGCAAATGATCGACGTAAGTGACTACCTATGCCTCTATTCTTGTCCTTGCTAACGTGACCTATGTGACGATCAGGCCTGCAGTACAACTGGTCAGGACTGATGGATAGATAAAGCTAGATTCAACGATCTACGAAGAAGGAAGAAGGAAGAAGGCAGGCCGCTTCAGGTGAGAGGTGGGCCTCCCATATATATAGGTACATGTGGAGGTACAATGTACTTGTACCGTAACAACCTACCTAAACGTAGAGCTCAAGGATATGCTTCTCTCGCACGTACCGCCAACTCTGGAAACGTTAACCTTGTTCGAAGAATTCACCAAGACTACATTCACGCGCCTCAGAGTCCAAAAAAACGCAAGTCAAAGGCTAAAGTCAGTGCAGCTTTGGCACGAGTTTCTACAGCACTTACGCAGCTTTCCGCATCATTCAACGTTGAAGCCGAGTCATTCTTCCAGAAAGCAACGGCAAACACATTGAATTCATGGGCATGGAATAAGCTGGAGACCCTGATTTTGACCTCGCTCTTGCCATGATTCTCCGCAATGCAGAGGTTGCAGCTCCGAAGATGCCAAAACTCACGGTCTTGGAGATATGGAACGCCTCTCGGGGTAAGGCTTGCCTGTTCGGCTACCGCAGAGGTAACCTCTGTTGCTCGGTCACCCTCAAAGGCACATGGCTTCCAGTACTTGATTTGCGGGTAGAGTTGGCATGGAAAGAGGTTGCAAAGCAAACCAAAACACACCTCGAATTTAAGACCGAAATGCCGCTGGATGGCAGTTTGTTACACACTCACGGCACTGCTGCTCGTCTACTGGGAATGTCTGAGCTGGTGATACATCCAGAATCTGTAAGGCAGATCGAGGAGGAGACTGAAAGACTCAACTCAGCTGAATTGCGGTGAGTCTCGCAGGACTCGACGACGGGATGGCAGTGTGCCGGATGGAGGCCGGACAGGCACATATCAGATTTGAGAAATGCGTAAATGATACACTGAACCCCCATAAGTCTCCGTACACCACCCGTCCAGCAACTAACGGTATATTCATTAAATCGGAATAAGCACGGTGGAATAAGTGTTCGAAGTGACGTATCAAACTAGAGCTGTTTATTCCTGTCTGCCTATGTCAGTACTTCTAAATCTATACTTGTGATTTGAGAATCCTCTCAACATGGCGCGCACGGAGACTTAATGGAGCAGACGATAGGGCTTCACACTCAGGTTTTAACCATGGAATCTGTGGTTATTCGGCCATTGGTAATTGGATGTATCTCGTCAAATTGACAGCATCCTGCTTCTGTTGATTTTACGGTGTAGTGTACCTACGCCACTATCCCTTCCCAACCACCATCAAACATCATCAAGCACCATCAAACACCGTCAAGCACCGTCAAACACCGTCAAGCACCATATGTATGCACTTGTTATATCTGGATATCTTGCAGCATTAAGTTCCAAACGCTCTAAATCAGCTTGTCATCTGCCTCCATGGCTACCTTCCACGCATTGTAATCAAACCCCAGATCTTCAAGGCTCTTCACCTCATGTCGTTTCTCCCCCAAAGCTCTCGATGCGATCTTGATCAGCGGGAAATTCTCACGAACCCATGTCTTATCAGCTCCCCAATAGGGTGGTGTCTTACCCACTCCATTGTTCTCCAAGCCGTCGATCTTCTTCGCAGACAGGCTGGCATCGTGGAGCCGGTTGATATACTCGACGTCCTTTGGGAAGGCAAGGTTATGCAAGAACCTGCCTTCGCCTTTCTCTTCCAACATCCTCGCTTCCCATTCTACCATATGCGAGTGAGACGGCAACGGCAGCCTGTCTGCCCAGGTTCTCGCCACGAACCCAGCTTGCGCCTCGGACATGGGGAACGGCACGACTCGCTGGGGTATACCCAAGAATGCCAGCGTCGGATCATCGATGTAAAGGACGTGTTCGTACAGATGTCTCGCGTAGGAGCCGTCTGTGATGACAGGTGGGTTTAGAGATTTCAAATATGGGAACGAGTAGAAATAACCCGTGCAGAAGACCACAGCATCAATGTCCTTTTCGATGTCGCCTTCGTTGAACCTGACTGCGCGCTCGGATGGTAGGAACTCGGATATCTCTGGCACCATCTTGGCCCATGAGCGCTTCTCAACCGCAGTGACCGGCGCCGTCTTTTCCGACACGATGATAGGCTTTTGGCATACGCTGGCAATCTGCATACTCAGATCGATACCAGATGCCGAATTGCCCACGATCACCACTTTCTGAGAGCAGAGTCAGTCCGAACACTCTTCGATTCAGAGCATACCTCTGCTTACCTTGCCTCGGTACTGGTCTGGACGCCGGTAGAACTTCGAGTGAGATATGCACCCCGGATGTAATCGGTTGAATTCTGCCAGCCCCTTGATGTCGGGGATGAAAGGGTCGTTGTAATGACCGCTAGCAACGAGGACCGCATCAAACTCCGACGTCCTTTTCTGGTTGCTCTTCAGCTCCAAAACTTCGACTTCCCAGCACATCTGCGTCCCGCTCTGGACTTTCTGAATGCCTAGAACCTGCGTGCCAAGAGAAAGCATCGGCTTTACTTCGCGAGCGTAGTCTTCGAGGTATTGCTTGACCACCGCATGCTTCGGAAATAACGACGACCCCTCGGGGAATTTCTGATCACTGTAGTTCATCAAGTGCCAAGGGATGTTCGTCTCTAGGAAGTCGTAGACGGGCGAGACGAATTGTGCCTCAGGGTCATCATTGGTCCACACTGCCGTGTCTGGCAATTTTGTAGGCTGAGTCCGCGGGACTGTGAACTCATTGTCGACCACGTTCAGAGGCGTATAGTTCCATACACCTCCGACGGACGCTCGTTGTTCGAAGACGTCGATTTGTGAGAATTTATGCTCAGCAGCGAGATATCTAGCGAGCCATGTTAGCGACATATCTCCCTCAGGTCGGGTCATCTTACTTCGCCGCAGAGAGACCACAAGGGCCGGCCCCGATGACAGCCACGCGGTTGATATTCAGCTTCTCTTCGAGATATATGGGAGACATCGTATTGGGTAGTAATAAGCGAGCGACTTCAGATTCCTGGCAGCTACCAATCCTGAACACGGATGGTGCGAACGCCGTTGTATGTAATATAATACTCGATGAGTTCTACTATCTTGTCACGTTACCCTCTATTCTGAACGCTTTCATCCCGGTATTAGCATCAGTAGCAGTCCGACCACCTAATGGTACGATTGAGTAGCATCAGGGACAACACGATAGCTGGGCGGAAACCAAGTTACCGCATGGGGAAGTTCTTGGTCGCAGACTCTCCGACCACTGCCGGCGCCGCCTCTAGTGGGATTATGGAACTGCACTGGCCTACGCTTGCTGGGTCGACTCCTCACTGAAACGATCCAGAGCCCAAGCAAAGTTCGAATCTTAGGGTCCGGGCAGCCCAGGACCGCCTGTACTGTGTACTGACTAATGTGTAGGCGGTGCTTATTAGAGCCACTGCTAATGCACTTGAATGCGGGCGACACGCGAGCACGGTGCTCACTCGACTCATGAGTGCCTCACATGGCCTGATGAACCTGGTTCATGCTTCGTGCAGGTAAACGAGTGACAGTTGACTTCATAGCCCTACTGATGCTACACTGATGACACATTATTTTTTCGACGTGCTGGGCCTGCTGCCGATGAACCCAAGCTATTTAGTTCTGACACAGATCAGGTTGCTGTGGGCGCAGCAGATGCGACGAACAGCCCTGGAATAGTGATTGCGCGTCGGTTATCCGCTACTAGTAGCCACCTGGTAGCCATCGTGTCCCCAGCTAAAGACCGTCGGCTATGCTCCGACGACATCCTTCAACCGCTTTCCCCGGAAAACACCCTGACTTCGAGCCCGACCGTCGACTTGTAACCCGGTCCACAGTATGTCTTCAGATATGAAGTCGTCCATACACCGATTCCGCGTCGGTCGGGCGTCTCCGTCTGTAACGATGCCCCCAACAACCGCGCCGCCCACCCCGTCAGGATCCGCCTCCCTCGCGGCAGATAGCCGAGGTGAAAAGTCCCTGCAGCCGACAGCAAAGGCCAAGCCTGTTCCTGCATGCGACAGATGCCGCTCGTTCAAGAAGAAATGCAGCCGGACCTTTCCTGTGTGCTCCTTGTGTGCCAGTGCGGGCCAGGAGTGCTCGTTCTCGACGCCGGCATCGTCAACGGCCGCCCAGACGCACCACTTGCGCGCACGGGTCGAATGGCTATCTAATTACATCAACCAGACCTTGCCCGAAGGTCTCATCAACATCGAGGCAATAGAGACCGGCACAGACCTGACAGAGTTACTTCAGGACTCCTCCCCACTCACGCACGGGGACCAGAATGCCACGTCGCCAGCATCGGCGCTCTCAAGGGGCCAGGATGCTCCATCCCTCCTAAACAGCCAGTCAATGGCCGACCACACCAGTGCTGAGGCCAATGCCGACAACAGGTCTGTGTCGTCGCGGAGCCATCATTCCGCGCACGCTTCTGTCGTTGCGGCTGCCACCACCCCAACACCAGCAGAGCCGCCAGGCGAACGACCTGCGGATATACAGAGTGTAACGTTGGCCGCAGATGTCATAACGCCTGCGCGTTTACCGCCCGATGCAGCAGCTCGACGGTTCGTTGATGCCTACTTCCGGAACGTCAATAGAGCCTATCCGTTCGTTGACCGGAGCAAGGTCTTGGATGACCTCGAGGTATTCGGCGACTTTGCCAGACGTCGTCGGGATGCAGACTCGACCTTGTTATACCTGGTCATGGCTATTGGATGCACAACACTGCAGCGGGCCGGCCAGATCCCAAGCGGTACGACTTCCAAGTTCGAGGTTGGATACTCCGACATCATCCAAGAATGTCTATGCAGGGAGAGCATCGAATCCATCCAGATCCTGGTGTTGCTGGCCTTGTATTCGCTCTTTGACCCTGCCGGCGCATCGGCCTGGTCGATCGTTGGAATCGTGTCTCGCCAAGCCATGCTCTTGGGACTGTCGCGGCGGGCTTCTGATGACAAGACACTGTCAGCAACGGAGGTCGAGTTGCGGCATCGGTTGTTTTGGAGTATATACGTCTTGGATAGGATGATGGCTACCTCTTTAGGGCTACCCGTGGCTCTTACCGATGAGAACATGGATGTACCACTTCCAGGACTGACGATTGATGAGTTCGCATCGCCAGACAGGGCTCATTTTGCTATGATTTTGCAGACGAGTCGACACGTGATACAGCTGAGACAGATGGAAGGCCGGATACTACAGCAGGTTCTGTTCAGGAAACAGTCGGACGTCAGCTCCATCACTCACGCAGACCGGCGCCAGATTGTGCAAGATATTCGAGGCGAGGTCGAGAACTGGTACAGCAATGGGTGTCTCGTCTCACCCATGGAACCAGACAACGTGCCTATACATAACTCGATCACCTGGCTCAGCGCCAGATATTATTACCTGCTACTCCTGCTCTATTACCCTTCACATTTCAACTCCTTCGGCCCCGTCATTTCACGAGCCGAGCTCCTCCGCTTTGCCCAGAAGCACCTACAGTCTACGTCAGCTCTCTTCCAGCAACGTCAACTCCCTCTAAACCGCGTAACACTCTCTCGTCTGTTTCCAGTTGGGCTGGTGCTCATGCATGGCTTCATCACCAGCGCGGCGGACTGCTCCCCGTTCCCAGCTCGCGATGAGATGGCGGTATTAGTCAATATCCTCGAAGCATTCTCGGAAGGCTGGCGTCATGCCCACGAGGCAGCGCAGATATTCCGCCAGTTCCTAGCCGCCATCGGAGCTGTCTCGAACTACGGCCCGCTGCATTTCTCGCAGTCTTCATCCTATGGCCAGATGGGATCATCCAAGGATACGTACCAGACCGTCCTTCGTCCACACATGACCAGTCTTCTCAGTCTGATGCAGGATGTGCTGGGCAAGGCAAGCTGTTACAGGTTTCTGGAGATAGCAGATGAGCGAGATCTAGCAGGCTACGGGTTGCAGTCCTCCATGAGCCAACAACCATTATCCAGCCCCCTTGGGCCTAGCAGGAGCTCTATGCCGAACCCTGCTGGCGTTGCTGGCAACGAAGATACTGTGATGAGCTATGGCTGGGGTCCTTTAGAGTTAGACTTCCTATGAATAGACTACGGCATACACCTGTTAAGACGGAGGCAACGAAGTGATCTGTAGTATATCAGCTGTAGTTCTGGTGATACCTAGGTATTTATGTCTTTGGTGGCGCATCGGACGCTGCTGTGGGACTGTCAGGTTGATCTCTAGGGCCTGAAACCCCTGGAAATTTTACAACCTTCAGGGCATATCTCCAGCGCCTGGCGCCGACCAGCCGACGCTATCAGCGCAGGCAATTGCCGAAACTCCTCCCAAAACACGAACCCGCCTCAAATAAGGTAGAGGTAGGTATAGAAATCTCACCGATACCACCCATCTCTGATAACGAGCGTGAGGAGCGACGGATCTCAGACGCGATTAAGTGTCGGGTCAGTCTATCTAGTTCTTGTGTCCTTACGGAGACCATTGAATAGATGATTCAGCGCCCATCGGAAGACCCCCGACACGACCATGTTAGGGCATCCTTACCTTAGCCAGGTGGGCTCGATGTCGCAATCAGGTACAGTACCGGCCGTCGGCCGATACAGGACTGGCCTGTCGTGTTGACAGCCTCAGACTTACAAGGGGAACATTGAAGCTTCAAGGCTGGCATTTCATACTTCCTGGCAACATCGCATGACTGGTAGTGTTTGGACATGGCTGACATTCGAGTCTCAATCGATCGCGGGGGAACCTTCTGCGACGTGATCGCGCAGGTCGATGGCCGAGAGGATATCACGCTAAAGATATTGTCGGTTGACCCCTCCAACTACCGCGATGCACCGACAGAAGCAATTCGGCGCGTGCTTGAGATTGTCGAGGGCAGGACGATTCCAGTAGACGAGAAGTTGGACGGCACCAGAGTTGGTAAGAACAACATCATCGTGCAGTGCAAACGAGGGTAGCAATTTTCTCACCATACCAACAGCCGCATGTCGGGTAGGGACCACTGTTGCCACCAACGCCCTGCTGGAGCATAAGGGCGTCAAGTTTGCCTTTGTGACGACAAAAGGTATGGCTTTGTGCCGTTGTCATTCATTCGGTGACGCATTGTTGTCAAGCCACTGTGAACTGACACGACCCCAGGCTTCAAAGATATCTGTGTCATCGGTGACCAGTCTCGCCCGAGGCTATTCGATCTCAATGTCAGGAAGCCAAAGGCTCTGCATGACGCGGTCGTTGAGGTCGATGAAAGGGTCACTATCGAGGACTACGACCTGAATCCCCACAAAAGCAATCAGGGCACGGAGCTCTCTGATGACCCGGACCTCCTAAGCACCCCCAGCGGAGAGATAATCCGAATCCTGAAACGGGTAGACCAAGGTGTCGTTCGCCAGCAGCTTCAGGGCCTTCGGGATCAGGGGTACGACTCATTGGCAATATCCTTCATGCATGCGTACCTATATCCAGACCACGAACAAGCCGTCGCGGCCTTGGCTAGAGAGGTAGGGTTCAAATACATCACGACCTCCTCAGAGACAAGCCCAGTCGTCAAGCTGCTCAACCGTAGTAACTCTACATGTTCTGAGGCGTACCTTTACCCGGTTATTCGTCAATACGTGGAGAATTTCGAGTCAGGCTTCAAGGTCCTCCCGCAGAGGGTTGAGTTTATGTGCTCCGATGGTGGCTTGAAGCAGGCACAAAAATTCAAGGGCAACGAGGCGCTCCTGAGCGGGCCTGCAGGCGGTGTTGTTGGCATTGCGCGTTCGTGCTTTGATGAGGACGAGCGTACCCCTATTATTGGGTTTGACATGGTAAGCTATCTTTCCCATTCGACCCGAGATGAGTGATAAGCACAGAAATACTGAGACGCACAGGGCGGCACAAGCACCGACGTATCGAGATTCGACGGCAAATACGACCACCTAACCGAAACTACCATTGCCGGAAGAACAATAGCTGTTCCCATGCTTAATATCTCTACGTACGCATCATCTCCTCTCGTCTCTTACTTCGGATTAACATGAACCTAGAGTTGCTGCTGGTGGTGGCTCAATTCTCTTTGCGCGGAGTGGTAGGATCCACCCCCCTTTTTGACCGATTGCCGAGGCTTGGCTGACTCGGCGTAGGTCTCCTTGTGGTTGGACCTGAGAGCGCTGGCGCTCACCCCGGTCCGGCTTGCTACAGAAAGGGGTGAGTATTTCAGTCAGTGACGACAATTGGCAGTGCTGACGACAGTATCAGAGGCCCGCTCACTGTCACAGATGCCAATCTCTTCCTTGGGCGATTGGTCGTGGCGTCTTTTCCGTCCATCTTCGGCCAAAACGCAGACGAAGCCCTTGATCAAGAGATTGTCGTTGAAAGGTTCAAGGAAATCACAGCAGAGTTCAATAGGCAAACCTCGCAGAACCTCACCCCGGAGGATGTCGCTTCAGGTTTCTTGAATGTGGCCAACGAGGCGATGAGTCGACCTATACGTAACATCACAGGCAAGTGAACCGATTCCGTATCCCCCAAATGTGTTCTCGAGGTGGACTCTGACGCCCAGCTCAGAGGCTCGAGGCTTCGCCCCGGAGAAGCATGACCTGGTCAGCTTTGGTGGCGCGGGCGGTCGTAAGTCTTGCCACTTGTAGGCCTAGAATCTAGGTTGAGGGACTCACTGAGAATAGAACACGCCTGCTCGATTGCTGAGAAACTTGGCGTCAAGAGAATCCTCATACATAAGTGGTCTTCCCTGCTCTCAGCATACGGAATTTCCCAAGCAGAGTTACAGCATGAGACGTACGAGCCGTTCGCAGGCAAATTCACTATGGAAGCGCTTGGCCAGATCAGAAAACGCCTCGAGGTTTTAAAGCGGAAGGTCTCTGAGGAATTACTGTCTCAAGGGGCACAGGAAAGTACTCTGCACTATGATGAAGCCTTGACACTACGATACTTTGGTACCGACACTACCATTACAATCACGAAGCCTGCAGACGAAGACTATGGCGCGGCTTTCAAGGCACACCACCTACGCGAGTTCGCCTTCAACCTCAACCGAGATATTGTCATCGATTCTGTGAAAGTGAGGGGTACTGGAAGCGCTGGATCTTTAGCGAGAGATGAGTCTGCTTTGATGGAGTTGGCATCGCTAAAAGCGTGTGATACCGATGCGTTGAAGCCCAATAGCGACCAACGTGTCTTCGTTGAGGGTAAGTGGCACACAGTCGGTGTGTATCGGCTGGAGGAGATACCCAAAGGAACCGTTCTGGACGGCCCTGCCCTGGTCATCGACAAGACACAGACGATATTCGTCGAGCCCAAGTTCAGAGGCTACGTGTTGTCAAACCATGTGGTGCTGGAGAAGACCCAATCAGAGACGAAAACGACCGAGAAGTCAATGGCGGCGGACACGATAAATCCAATTCAGCTTTCAGTCTTTGCTCATCGCTTCATGTCGATAGCTGAGCAGATGGGCAACACCTTGCAACGGACCTCGATCTCAACAAGTATCAAGGAGCGACTGGATTTCTCGTGCGCCATCTTCTCTCCAGACGGTAAACTGGTTGCCAATGCCCCTCATATCCCGATTCATTTGGGATCTATGCAGTTTGCTATACAGTACCAGCACCGGCTGTGGGAAGGGAAGCTGAAACCTGGCGATGTCTTATTAACTAACCATCCGCAGTGCGGGGGTACGCATTTGCCTGACTTGACAGTCGTTACGCCCGTCTTCTTCGACGAAAAGATTGCGTTTTACGTTGCATCGCGGGGCCACCACACTGACATTGGAGGGAAAGGCATCACGTCGATGATGCCCGAGAGCAAGGAGCTCTGGGAGGAGGGTATCAACATCAAATCGATGAAGATCGTTAGTGGCGGAGATTTCCTCGAGGAAGACGTCAGGGCAGCCTTCGACAAAGCGGGTAGCTTCCCAGGCTGCAGTGCGACGAGAAGAATTGCCGATAATATCAGTGATCTAAAGGCCCAGATCTCTTCCAATCAACGAGGAAACATTCTGCTACGGAAGCTGTGTGACGAATTCACGGTACGTGCCACCCTGACTACCCCTTGCTGGTTTCTTCTTGAGGAAGAGGGTCTAACGTACACTTAGCTGCCCGTGGTCCACACTTATATGCATGGCATCCAAGCCAACGCTGAAGTGGCTGTTAGGGACTTCTTCAAGAAGATCGCTCTCGACCATCCGGAGCCTCTGACCGCGGTGGATTACTACGACGATGGCACCCCAGTCAAGTTGAAAATCACGATCAATCCAGAGACAGGGGGTGCTACGTACGACTTCTCTGGCACGGGTCCCCAATCCTGGGGTAACTACAACTGTCCGATCTCCATCACTCACTCAGCCATCATCTACACGATCCGGTGCTTGGTCAACGTCGATATTCCATTGAACGAAGGCTGCCTAACTCCAGTAGAGATCCGAGTACCAAAGGGCACGATCCTGAACCCATCGCCAGCTGTTGCTGTTTGCGGTTCTACCTTGGCTAGCCAGCGGGTCATCGACACCATTCTCCGGGCGTTCGGTCGCTGCGCCGCCAGCCAGGGATGTGCGAACAGCTTTGGTTGGGGCATGGGTGGGAAGGATCCGGCCACTGGAGAAGTGAAAGCAGGTTGGAACTATGGGGAGTCGCTGGGGGGTGGGGTTGGCGCCGGTCCGGGTTGGCACGGAGAGTCTGCAACCAACGTCCATTCGACGAACACGCGCAACACCGACCCCGAAGTTATCGAGAAGAGGACTGCAGTGCTTGTCCGGAAGTACGGAATCTGGTGGAACAGCGGGGGACGTGGCAAATGGAATGGCGGGGATGGTACGATACGTGAGATCGAGGCCAAAATCCCGCTGAAGTTCAGTATCCTCAGTGACCGAAGGGTATATCGCCCCTACGGCATGGCTGGTGGCCAGCCCGGTAAGTGTGGACGTAACTACGCGTTCAAATTCAATGAAGAAGGTGTACTCGAGAGAATCAACCTGGGCGGTAAGGCAGTCGTCAACTTGAACCCCGGGGAGATCATGCAAATCAACACACCTGGAGGTGGAGGCTGGGGTACGCCGGAGGGTGAGGCGAATGGGGTCCATCGGGAGGAAGAGGAGCAGCTGTCTATATAGACTTGGACACGCCTATAAAGGGCTCACGACTTATCGAGACTTATAGCTCTAGTTGAAGAGACTGGCATCAGAGCATCCTCAAGTCTCTTGCATGTTGCGCCGGTCCATAGTTCATGCCAGTTGATGTTAGCAACATACCCTTAGAAGCCTCCACGAACCTCGGATCTCAGGCCAGATTATATAAATGTCAATCGTGACTATGTTCCAGAATACTGCTGAGTCGATTGCACTGTCTCGAGTCTCGACATTCAGGGAACGGAGTGTGGGAACTGGAGCCGGGATCTGTTGCCGAAGATATGAGTATGAGGACGATCACGGATGCATTCGTAAACGTCGGCACCCCTGCTCCGAGCGATTACGGGTCGGGAGCCGGAGTCGTCATCGCATACAAATAGAGTCGTTAATGCTGCCATCGTCTAGGCCAGTCAATATAGGAACACATACGAAACACAAGAAGCTGATATGGCGGGCAGAAAGATTATCCTGATTACCGGTGGCAACACGGGCATTGGCTACGAGGCCGTCAAGGCGTTTCTCCGATCCGACACTGCGTATCTAGTCCTGATGGGCAGTGGGTCACTGGATAAAGCCAGAGATGCAATCGAGGCTCTGAAGAAAGAGGTCCCGCAGACTGCCAGCACAGTCGAGGCCGTCGAATTGGATGTGGCAAGCGACGAGTCCATCACAAAGGCATTCGAAAGCGTGAAGGCCAGCCACGAGCGCATCGATGCACTTATCAACAACGCAGGCAAGTCGTATCAGACCCTCTCGCCTCCAGAGCTAACGGACTGATACACGATAGGGGCCTCGTACGATTGGGAGGTCAAAGAGGGAACCATTACGGTGCGGGAATCCTCATCTTCATCACCAGCGGGCTATCCAGCCTCTCGAGGACCAGCGCCAAGTTCTATCCACGGCCCCAACCGCCACCGGCTAGGTGGCCGAAGGACCTGGGCGACGACAACACGGCGTATCGGTCGACGAAGGCCGCGCTCAACATGTTGATGGTCAACTTGGCGTTCCAGCTGCAGCTAGACGGCGTCAAAACGAGCGTCTCTAACAATTTGTCAGATTTGAGCCAATCGTCAGAGTGAAGTGTGTGTGTGTATTCTGTCTGTCTAGAGAGTTCTTGTGCGACCGTGGCAGTTTTATGCCAGAGGGGGCTGGATCGGGACGGAACAACTAGGTTCCGTTGTCTACCTGTCAAGGTGCCTTCTAGGCGTACCTTTAATCCCACACAATTCAACCATAACAATCATAACTTAATTTAACTTAATTATAACAATAGAAAAGCTATGTTAATTAGTTATTTTAATGAGATAAATAACATGTTGTAATTTTTTATTTTATATAATTGTAACCGTATTATTTTAAAGCTTAAACAAGTTAAAACGTATCAGTATAATTATTTTCAATAATTCGTAATAAAACGTGATTATTCCACGGTTAGTAACATAACAAGATATTATAAGCTGTTTAATAAGTAAAAAAAGCTGGTTAACAGAAGTTTAAATGCTACTTGAAATTAAACTTTTATAACTTTTTAAATACCGTATAAATACTTTATTTATTATTAAACTTACTACGAAATATAATCAAAATATAATATAATCAAAATAATTAAAATATAAAATCTGTCATAGTCTGGTACAGGTAGCCCATGTGGTGAGTCCTGGAGCCCGGACATGAGTATATGTACCACTATTGAATGTCAAGCCGCCACGCTTGATATTCGACATCCTTTTGGGAGGAACAGCCGTGGCATGGTGGTTATAGTGAGCGTTCCGTCACATTAATACCCCTTTTAATTAAATAGTTTATTCAAAATAGTTTAAATTAAATAGTTCTCAATATTAAAAAACGTAACAATGTAAACTTATATAACGTTCGCATTTAATATTAAATTATTACACCCGTGTGATGGTTCCATCATCCATTAGGTCTAGTGATGGTCCCCATGGTCCCCGGGTTACGTGACTGAGCACGTGACTGATCGGACGACAGGTTGATCCATGCCATGGTGGGACTGGTGGGGACAACTGCCCACATCTAGCTGCCCACCAATTCAGGTGCATCTCCAGATCTTTCTTTTCCTTCAACCAGAGTTCGTTATACGTTAATAGTTAATAAGGGTCCCTGTATCCTTGCAATATATTTACGGAATCGTGACAACCCGCTTAGCTTAATATCTCTTTCGATTAAACCGATCCTTTTTAAAAACCTTATTGATATACTCTTAAAACTATTACGATATACCCTTTTTAATACAAAACCGCTTTGAAAGATGTAACAATCGAGACTATTAATTAATTACACCTAGTTTAAAATCGTTATTTTTTTTACGTCAGTAGTAACTTCTTTATAATACATTCCGTTTTATTAATTATTTACTTATTTAAGCCACACTTATTAATACTGCGTTTAATAATAAGAATAAAATAATCTTAATTTATATAACGTTTATACTTAATGTTGAATTATCGCTACCGGTTAATTGAACGCTAAGAAAAAAAAACCTAATATCGTAAACTATAATAGTATAATCTCCTTTCAAACAATCTTTTTTATACCTATTATGACGGTCTACCCACCTGGTCCCTGGTCAAGTGATCCACCAGGTCCCTGGTAGATTAGATAAGGAAAGAACGGGACCACCACTTAAGGTGGGGGCTATGCACACCACCTTGCTGGCTTCCTTTTCCTTCCTCACCTTGTTATTTTTGTAATCAATCCCAGATTGCAACACACCGTCGCAGGCATCGTGACACCCATAAAAGTTTATTGAATAATTAGAATAACGAACGAAACTAGGTCGATATTCGAGTTAAAAAATAAGCGTTATTTTAAGTTATTTAAATATTACGAGGTCGTTCTATTTAAATAAGAAAAGATTTTATTGATATAAGGTTTTAAGGCTTTGAAACTAAGACCTAACTATATATAAAAGCTTTAAGCTTTAGCCTTTTCGTTTAAACTATATATAAGTACACTTAAATATATATATACTTAATTCACAATTATTTTTCTCTTATAATACTTTTATTTCTTTTATTAAATAAGGTATTTACCCGGTTAAAGGTCGTGTGAATAAGGGACTATCCTTAGTAAACAGCATTAATTTATTATTATAATAAACCTGTTAATATTATTATTATTAAATAATTTATAACTATATATCTTTGAACGTTAGCCTTTTACCCTTGATACTAGTTATTCAAACGTAATAAAAAATAAGCATTAAATTTAAAATTATTAGTTAATAATTACTTTTACCTGATAAATATCAGTATTATTACCGTTATAACGATTAAGAGATTCTTAAGTTCTATTATTATAAGTCAACGTAATTAATTAAATATTATCTTTTTTAAGTATTAAATAACTATTAAAATTATGAAATTTAATAATAAGCTTGTTATTAACGATATTTAAACGTTACATAATTTAAAACCTTTAATATTAAACCTTATTAATTTGTGAATAAAGAAATAACTTATGCGTAAAAATCGGTCTTTATGTTCGAATAATAATAACGAGTTAAAACTAGGTAGAAACTTATTAAGTCTTTATATTAACGCTTTTGAAATAAAATCTGTAACTTTATTTTTTAAACTAACACCTTTTTTATCCCGCAAAATGTCTTGCTTTTTAAAGGCTGTTGTATATTTTTAATAATTTATTTTAATAAATATACCGATGAAGTATTAATTAAAATTAGGAAAGTTTTTAAAGCAGATTTTTCTTTTGAGGAATAATCGTAAAAAGGTCATTTATTTTTATTGAAATCATTGGTTATTACTTAAATCTCAAGTATTAATATTACGCGTATATAATTAGGCTTAACAGATTATTAAAAACTAAACCGGTAAAAGTATAATAAAAATATAATAAAATATGTAGGTATTTTTACGTTACGAAAACAATGGTTTAAATAACTTCAAATAACGCTACTATTAACAATAGTATAATTAAGTTTATAATTAGTTAAAGATTAAAAATTTTATTTACCGTATAAAATATTTTTAGAAAAATACTCGATATATTAATCACGTTTTTAACTTTATAATAAAACCTTTTCTTACTAGTAAATACGATTAAAGGTTTTACGACCGGTAAACAACTAGTAAAAAGAACTTAAATAACGTTAATTTGCTTTTTTTAAATAGTTTCATTTATAAAGTTCATACTTTTCATAAATATATCAAAGCTAGCTTATATCGCTGATAAGATTTTAAGTGAGCATTTAAAAATGATTTAGCTAATAACCACATATATAGAGAAAAAAGTTAAAGTTATTGATAAAGTAAGCTTTAATTAAATGAAAATGAAAAATAACTTAATACTAACTATTATTAACAAAATAAAATAAAACTTAGTTTAATATATAATCGTAAAATATAAAAAGATTCAGTCCTTAATTAACTTATTATATAATGTTATAGTAACTATATGCTCATATATTAAAAGATTAAAATTCTTTTAAACGTTAAATATATATTAAAGCTATTATAAGTAATAATGTAAAAGTTAAAATATATAATTCACGTATCGATAATATAATACAGTATATATTTTTACTTAAAACCCACTTTAACAAGACCTTATTAGTGTGACGAAACGCTCACTATAACCACCATGCCACGGCTGTTCCTCCCAAAAGGATGTCTAATAGCAAGCATGGCAGCTTGACATTTAATGGTGGTACATCTAATCATGTCCGGGCTCCAGGACTCACCACATAGGCTACCTGTACCAGACCATGACAATTAGGATATAATAATAACGATGAAAATAAATTTCCTCGATTAAAATTATTAAAAAAAACATTAAAATAGATTAAAAATACGTAAAAGAGTTTAACAGATTAGTAACCTATTTACAAAATTAGTAAATTTAAAAATAAATACCTTATTATTAACGTATAATATTTAATCAATAGTCGACAATACTAATAATAACGAAAATATCTTCAAAATAAACGAAAAAATATTACGATCACTTATAAATCTATAAAAATAATAACTTATATTACTTTAAAACTTTTAAATATTCAAGTAGTTAATAAAAATTACTTTAATATATTAAACGGTTTAAATTTTAAACCTGATATTTGAAATATATTAAATTAAGCGGTATTAATTATCAAGAATTATATAGCGTATAAAGGAGTTTAAAAAACCAACCAGAAAATGAGAAGAAAATATTGAAAAAATAAAAAATACTCGTAACGCCTTTAATAATAATGTTAAGCTACTTAATAACACGTTTAGTTAATTTTTATACCCGGTAAATTTATACGAAACAGCAAGTAAGTCTAACAACGATAAAATCTCGCGTTACTTTAAAAAATAAATATAAGAATAATTAACCTTTTTATTAAAAAAGCTAAAGTATTATACATTCGCTTTTATTAAATAATGATTGACTTATAAATTATACCGTAATATTAACTAAATATAAGCGCGTTTTCTAATATATAAGTTTACCCTTTTATCGTAACGGCTCATAATAAGTTTAAAAACGCTTAAAACGATATAATAATTTAAACGCCAGTATAAAGTAATAGTTTTAGTAGGATTAAAAACATTCAAAAAACCAATTATATAATGTTTTGAATTAAAAAAACCCTACAGCGCGTTATAGCGCGATTAATATGCGGAAATTATATTGACAAAATTTAAATTAATATATAAAGCGAAAAAGTAGATTTCTTAAGTAAATAAAGGCTTTTTACTAATTCAAAAGCTTAGCGATGTTTTCCTGGTAATTAATCACGTATAATAAATAAATACCCTTGAATACACTTAAATTACTTAGTCAAAGTAATTTAATTCAACTAAGAGGGTATCATTTAATTTAATTGATTCGTTAGAGACGCTAGTCAAGACGTGGTGCGTGTCGCCTGGATTCCTGGCGACTGGGCTGGGTCGGAGGGCGGAGGAGATGAAGAGGCGTGGTGCAGGGCACCCCAGCGTTGGGGGTCAGTCCATTTGCCAGGTGGTAGAAGGGCATCGTGATGCTGATGTAGGGAAGGTTGTTCATAGGGACGGCAGTGTTCAGCCCTTCTGATCTACAGAACCTGGTCTATGCAACGGGGTTGCTAGTGCCAGACGCGATCTCCGACCAGCGTGAAGACCAACCTCATATACACAGGTACAGCTGTCCTACTCTGCCAGTTTCGATCTATGAGACTGTCTAGCGTAACTACATTGTCGGGTGAAATAGACATAACAACAGGTTCATCTCCGGATCGCGAGTGCGATGTTGGAAGCAAGCCCGAGGCCGAGCCCGAACCCGAGTCTGAAGTTCGGTCAATCCATAAGTTCGGCCATTCGAGAACAGACGGGTACATCAGCAGCGAAACCCCTCCACACGAGAAGTCATTTGTGAGATCTCGTACTGCCATCATTTCTCATTGCTAAATTGTTACCATGGAGGTTCTCGCTGTAAGCCATTCAACGCCAAAACATCACGACGTGAACGGTCTCAAGCTCTTCACCTCGATCATCCACGACCCCTTAACATCACCGTCCGACTACATCGAGCTGCACGAGACTGGCGTCCTAGGAAATAAGTTAGCGGCCCACGACGGCCCCGTTTACATATTCCTTGCCGAGAACTATGCGTACTGGCAGAAGCAGCTCGAGGTCGACCCATCATCCTGGGGTTTGTGTCATTGGGGAGAGAACATAACCGTGCGTCTCAAGGACAAGACGATACTGGAGGATGAAATTCGGCTCGGCGACGTTTGGAAAATCGGAGATACTGTGCGCCTGGAGGTTTGCGGTTCTCGGATTCCTTGCCAAAAAATTGCCTGGAGATGTGGACAAAAAGACTCCTGGCTTCAAAGCCTAGCAGCGTCCGGACGCGTTGGCTTCTATCTGAGAGTGCTCACCAGTGGCCGAGTGCACCCCGGAGACCAAGGGACTTTCGAAAGCTTCTCGCATGATGCCATAGATGTTGCCACGATCTCAAGGGTGTCTTACGACACTTCCTTGAAAACGAAAGATACTCTGAACATACTGGCGAACCACAAGCTCCTCTTGCGCATGAACAAGTATTTGCTCAGCCGAAAGCTCACGTCGATGGAGGATGAGCAGAGCCGCGGCAAGAACGTTTGGAAAGGCTGGCGAGACCTTCGTCCTTTCCGCATCGTGGACGAAGGAGGGGACATCAAGTCATTCCATCTCCGGCCTGTCGACGGCGAGCCATTGGCGAACTTCCTACCCGGCCAGTTCCTGACAATCCGCCTGCCTAACGGGAAGACTCGCAGTTGGACAATTTCGGACTGGCTGGAGCGTGACGGCCCGTCGTACTACCGAATTAGCATCAAGAAAGCCGGTGGCGCGTCGGCCTGGATGCACGACGAATGCACGCTCGACACGGTGCTCTCAGCTCGCTCCCCGGCTGGGCGCTTCTACTTCGACTGGACGTCTAAGCTGCCATTCCGAAAAGTGTATCTCTCGGCAGGTATCGGCATGACACCCATCCTGGCAATGATGAAAGCCCACGACAGCCATCCCAATTACCAAGCCGTGCCGGCTCTGTGGGTACACGTGGCCCGGAACGGCGCAAGCTTCCCATTCCAAGGAGAGATACCGCGCTTCGAGAACAGACCCTTTGAGAAAATGGTGTTCTTCACTGACCCGGGCCTACACGATGTACAGGGTGTACACTACGATCAACGCGGACGACCCGATATGGACACGTTGAAGAGCCTCATCGGCGCGCCGTTCACCTGGAACCCGCTAGGTGCTGGGGATTACACGTCAGATGGGAACTTCTCAGCCGCTCACATCTGCGGTCCGCCGGAATTCGAGAAGTCCATGAGAGAATGTCTGGAAAGCATCGATTTTCGGACGCCTCTCATCCACAGCGAGTCTTTCTCCGCGTCCGGAGCAGCACTCGGCGGCGTGAAACGAGCAAAAGTTCGCTTCACAAAGTCCAAGGTGTCTGCCACTTGGACGCAGGATGACCCAAAGTCCCTGCTGGAACTAGCGGAGTCCCTGGGACTCGCACCAGACTATGGATGTCGAGTTGGCGCGTGTGGGAGCTGTGCAGCGAAGCTCACTTGTGGATCTGTGACTGGGGGAGTGCAGGCTGATGGTACGGTCTTGACGTGTTCCGCGTCACCAGCCTCGGACGATATTGAGGTAGATTTGTAGACACGTCGATAATACCGTTCCCCACGTTGCAGGCTGAAGTTATACATCTTCCACATTCAACTCCGTTTATATTGGTCCAATGGCGACTCAGATAGTGCATGGCTCGTGGCCACTTCCACGCAGGCCTTGCGATCGATAACTGCCCTGGTGACACTTGCACCGTGACATCATCTTGTAGGCCACTGTCACCTAGAAACAGGCACGGTTGGAACCCATGAGATAGAAGGCACCTGCCCGTCGAGAGGCTCATGGGAAAGAGCATCGTCGCCCGGGCCCGTGCGACAACATTGTACTGATGGGCGCATGTCCAACCTACTTAGTCTACCTATATGTAAAACAACAATAAACCTTCAGGACTTCACTCTTCCACTGCAGAGTAGCCTACAACATCAATTAAACCTCCAGGACCGCACTCTTCCACTACAGAGTAGCCTACGCCATCAGTCATCCATTAAAGTATCCGCCTGCCGTGGCGACTACCCATCATGGACTCATCGATGGCCCCCGGGCGTCTAGGAACGTACAAGACGTACAAGCTCGACCAGGCGCAGTTTCAGAAGTGGCTCAAGCAAGCCTTCGACAAGCTTCCAATTGCAGCGAAGGGAAGTCGGTCCATCGGAAACAGCAGAAAGCTTTCCTGGAAGGATTGGGAGCACATGGGCGATGTCGTGACCAAACACATTCCCCGGTGGGCAATCAAGTTACTGCGCGGCGTTGTGCATCTCTGAACGAAGACTTTTCAGTCCTACACCGCCAAAGCAGATAGGATGCCTCCCAGCGAGGAGATGCAGCGGAAGAACGAGGCACACGAACATCCTATACGAATCCTGGAGGAGATACTGCGCAATTTTGAGGACAAGACCCGCGCGACGCCCGATACCAATTCCAGCCCAGATGCCCAGCTGCCTATGCATGAACCGAACAACATGTTCGAACATCTAAAACGCGAGGGATCACCTGATGCAAAATCAGACGGGGACGAGCAGGATACCGGCATTCCTGATGGAGTGGTGGCCCCCAAGCCAACCAAGAAGACTGGCACAGGGAAAAAGAAGAACAAGGTACAGAAAGATCAGTCTGCCGATAAGAAATTTCCGGATACCAACTGGGTCGATGACTTCAAATTTGTGGATGAAGACGACGCCACCGATGAGATCGACACCTATATATTCATATATTGTTTCTTCCAGGATTTCAACCTCATCCGGTCCTACGTCGGGGAACGGTGGCGCGATTGGTTCTACGAAAAGAGCGTCGAGATCGATACGCTGGCTGTAGTAACAAACGCCGCCTGCGAAATATTCCACGAAATGGAGCAGGAATTGAAAACCGCTTTCAAAAATGAACCCGATCTGGAGCTCGCGGACTACCCGGCCATGTTGAAGACCTTGCTCCTTGATGGTGATCGCGAGCACGTCGACAACAGCGAGTTTTCTGATTTGACGGACAAGGAGTTGGAGTACAAGATCTGGCATGGAGTGGACTGGCTGGGGTTCGATGTGTTCCTCATCGTGCATGGGATCCTGGCAAAGGTGCCCCCGGGGAAAATATATACGTCTCCGCCCTCGGCTAAAACATGTCCTACATACGGACTATTGGAGTCCAAGGGCATGTGGAGTTTCATGAAGAACGTGGTATACGAAGTCTTCCCCGACTGCTGCATCACCTAGGGAATGAAAGCACATAGCCATTTGCCAATGGTACCCAGCGCACAAGACGAGTTGACCCTGGGCTTCGAGAAACTATTTCAGGCTCAACGGATTCATTCTTCCATGATCTTTGGTCTGTCCTTGTACGTCGACGTCCGCTACATTGTCGAAGACCAAGTTTCACATGCTTTTGACCGCCTACAAGCCACCGCTGCCAGTACCAAGGAAATTCTCGATAAACACTTACAGCATGCAGGGGACCGTGGGATTTCAAGAATGAGTGTCAAAACTGGATAGCAGAGCTCCAGCGCAGCATGATTGAAGACTGTTCCTTGAAGTATAAGGAGAGATTACGCGCGTTGCATGGCGTCAGGGAGACTGTCGAGAGCCACGCTCTACTGAAACGAGACCTAATCTGGTCCGGTCTACTCGATCTCCGATGTAGACTCATTCTGAATGATCTGGGCTACCGGTTCTCCAAGAAGTCGCCTCTTGTCTTAGCAGCAGCGTTCGTGTACTCGGCAGCGGGACGGGTGCAAAGGCTTGTCCAAGCTGGCTTCAGATGAATCGTTTCCTGCGAATCCACGGAACCGATCAAGTGCTTCAGGGAGGCATTCAAACCGAAACCACTGCCATTGACCTCTTGAAAAGATATGTGGACCTTAACCTAGCTGTCACTGATGCTGGCTCTGCTGTGGGCTTTTCGAGTCCTCCGAAATCCCTCGAAGCTCTGTTCCAGCGATATGGGCAAAGGAAGTCACGCCGGTCGGTCACCTATCTTCACGAAATCGCACAAGACAAGCTCGGCACAAGAACGGGAAACCTTCTCTCCAGACGAAAGACGGTTTCGAATTCCGAGGACAGCACGGCCGATGGCTCACGGGGCGTCGTCTCCACGCGCAGGAGCCAGACTTCCTCCACAGATGAAGTAGCCCAGGGACAGGCTCCGGAGCTAGCCGGCGTCTCGCCCCTTCAACTGCTGGAGATTCTCGACGAGACCACAACAGATCTTCTAAAGAACCACCTCGCCGTCGAATACTTCCAGCTACACGACGAGAGCATACGACTCCTCGAGGGACTTCATGGGGAGTTCTCGTCAGAAGCAGCCGCTGCGTTTTCGTACGACAAGAACACCCCGGTCGACAGGCTTGCTCTGCTTTTGCCGGTTATATACCGATCCTCGACCGAGTCTCGCCCCAAAGACATCGTCAAAAGATTAGAGAGTGCGGTATAGAAACACTGCAGCTCTCTGGCGGAACCGGGCTGCGTATCGACCCCAGATGCTTCGTGACGGTCGCGTAGAGGAGCCCCGAAGGTGGAGCTGGCGTTCGGACGGAAATTATCATGAGTGAATACGGCTGCCAGTGTCTTCCACAACCACCAGCGACAGAGCGTTTCCCCATACAACTTGATAGTTTAGAAATCAGCTTCATCCCTCATAGATAAACAGCCGTCAAAATTCATGAAATTATTATTCACTCAAGAGAATCAACCGCTCTTTCTTTTGGTCTATTTGAAAATAGGTTTAGTGGCTTGTGGCTGCGAGTAATGTGAGCCAGAGGTATGGATGGTTTTCTCCGTGGACTGCGGTTGCGGGCTTGTTAGCTCGATCCATAACTCCACAAACAACCATGGAATCTTGTGTCTGGCTATGGCAGCTGGTGACCCATTAATATGTCACCTCTTGGGGTTGATTCCACATTCTGGTAGGCTTTGGTAACGAATAGACTTCCACCGAGGCCCGGTGATTCGATGGGTCGGCCCATCCGCCAGGCGCCGTCGCGTAACTTCGCAGCCTCGTCAATCCTTCCGACCAAAGCCAGCTTGGGCGGGTCAAATGGGACATTGTCATAGGCGAGGACCCTTGTTTCTTGTAGTGACCTCGAGTCGAGGATAGGCCACCGTTTGAGTTTGGTCAAGTGACCGTCGTTCATGCGGGTGTTGTTGATCTTCTACCCTGTTGGAATGATGATTGATACCCCTGCGAGGCCTGTGGCCAATCTTGATTTCTGAATGGATGATCATATAGATTGGGATCCGTTTCTACCTTGGCCAAGATTCTCCAGCGCGGTACCTGTAGACTCCCTCCTATTTCTCGTGGCCACGACTCATGCCCCGAATAGGTTCCTCTTCTAATAATATCATCCTTTTCATACCCGGGATCTCTGCGTCCCCATAGCGTCCATGCATTATGAAAGGCGTCGTATGGCGGTCGATCCTTCGGACAAGGTCCGATGCAGCCGTCGGAAAAGCCCGACCTGATTTATGCATAAAAGGCCCGTGCCGCGTAGGCACGGTAGGGTAATATCGAACAGAAATGCATCACCGTGTGCCTCTGCTTCATACTTCAAAGCTGGGAAGGCATCACGTATCATATGTGCGGTGCAGGCGTGGCAGGGCCAATGCCGAAGATGCTGTCGTTCATCACCCGCCAAGCATCCTACACCCATGAAAGGTCAGTCATGTCTTCCTTGAAGTTCCAGGTAACCATGCCAAGTATCTCCAGCCTCCTGGACATCGACATCCGCCAGTGGGGAATGGTGGCATGATCGACCGCCAATCCAGGGGCTGATGGCGTACCGAGCGGATGGATTCAGGCGACGCCGCGACGCCGCGACCCGAGACGACGTACCGGGTTCGCCATCATTGGCTAGACCGCTGTTTAACTTTCTTGGTTCCACTGGAAATCTCGTTGTTAGCATTTCGAATTGGGTTTCACTCAGGGATCATGACGGCAGTCTCAGGCGAACAATGGACCCTGGGAGATGAGCGGTTTGAATTTTGATAAGGGATGCGCTCACGTATTGCCAGCTTTGGAAGGTTATTTGTCTCCTTTTCAAAGTTCCGTGGCTTTGGTTCGGGCCGGATTGCCGCGTTGCGTCCTGGACCTGTAACCTAGCGCTTAAACCTTTCACGGTACTGTCTCGCTTGGATCGCGTCGGTCAGAATGCTCGGCCATCCCGGCCGTCGTGAGGATCCATAGTCTATTCGGAGATTAGTCCGAGGCAAGCGTATCCTTCACGATATTGTGAAGGTGAACCTCGGCCAATGGGGCGATCACGCCTCTGTCTTTTGGTTGGCAGGGACCTATAATCATGGATTATGAAGACGTTGCATCGAAGCCGTTCTGGTCTTCTGGAAAACTTGGCTGCAGACTGCATCTAATTTGGGGTACAATAGCGCCAGGGCCCCCTGGAGGGCTCACACCGAGTTGGAGGCCCAGACGATCCCACGTGTTTGGTAGAACCTTGCGGTCCCTGTAGTACATCACGGGTCCGGTATGGATAGGCCGGGATGTCGAGTGCTCTCGGGTCTGTACGAATATTGTGCGGGACGATGTCGCGCTGACGATGGTATCGTCTCGGCTGCCGATATTTCACGGCGGTTGCCATTGTGGATTGGCTCTTTGGCTACAGCAGAATATTCTTCCACACACTTGAGGGATGGAGAATGTACTACCTAGGCAATGCCGTGACGCTTGTGATGCAGGACGGGAACTTCTGCCCTATGTGGCAGTGTGGACAGAGAGCCAAAAATAAGGTAGTGCCTGTCGACAGTAGTGGACGGTAATGGGCCCGTCCGAGCGACCGGATCACGTACTACACCTAGTACCGGTAATAACTTAGTGAGTACCTAGGACCGTCATATAGGTGTTGTACAGTGCAGTATCCTGATGCCACTTCTCTGCTGCCACCTCCTACATGTATGTACGGTATGCAGGTTTCTGAGCTCGCAGCGCGCATGAGGTCTGGTATATGTCGGTTCCCAATAACATCTAAACCTGCACGTACATGAACGCATCCAAGGAGGCGGCCTGGCGCTGTACAGGTACATATGTACTTGTAGTATGACACTGTCTAATCCCGCCAAACAGGCCGGGGCGCGCCCTGCAGCGTCCTGCTCCTTCTCCGCATGTATTAGTACCTACCTAACCTACTTATGCAACAAAGAGTCCATCAGAAATGATAAATGGGGTGATGGGGGAAGCCAGGGTGTCATGGCGTACGAAGTCCTTGGCATCTCCTCATTGGAAGAATGGCACGCAGGTGTCTGCATGAACCCAGACGCACCAAGTCAAGGGTTCCCGGTGCATGTGTTGCCTGTTCAGGTTGTGTCGTAAAGAGGTAAGGTACTGTAGCTTGATACGACACCCAGTCCGCAGTCCATGCCCTCTTGACGACGCATGAAGCTCAGTAGCTATATACCACCCTTCTACCCTTCCACCCGCCTCTGCCACTGCCCCCTTGCCTGACGCACCTCAAGCTACCTTTACTCAACCATACGCTCCGGTTCCGCTCTACGACGCTGCTTTCTCCTCAGAGAGGATGTGTGACTATACTCAAGTAAGTCCCGGTGGTCTCTGTCTGCAGGCGAGGGACGTTAACACGACAACTTCCAGGTGGAATACTTCTGTCAACACTTTCGATTCGTAGTTCAAAAATGGTGTTCGACATATGAGAGGACGAATAAGCCATGCGCACCGAATGTGACCCATCTCGAGATCAGGTATGTAACCACCTACAGCGTCTCCAGGCCAGGGATAAACGGCTCGCATTCGGGTTCTCGGAAAAGCTAACCAGCCTTAGAAATGACGAATTGTGTTGTACGTTGGTTCCCATCTCTCGATGATAGTTCTTTGCCTATCAACCTCGTCGCGCTCTTTGCAGCTGAGCCGTCCTCGGCCGCATCGCAACAACAGCTCGATACCAACACCCGGTGGTGGATACCATGACTCAAGTCGATACTACACCAGAAGCCCAAGCATACAGTTGTCAGAGTCTATCTACACGGACTAACTATTACCCCTTCTACAGCTGATTGCCGGCCGCGGTCTCCACCGCCGTGGGAATACATGATTCGGCGGAGTACCAGACCGACCCCATACGTTTGAGGATGCGATGTCTAAAGACGGCTCTACCTGCGGGTCGCTCATACACTGGCGCTCGTTTCGTTAGGGAGAGGAAGCTGGTAGCGAGAGGTTTTTCCTTTCGGTCCACGATAAAGCCAGCATCGGGGTGATAAGATAAAAAGCACAGGACAAAACGCAAGTGACGGACGGGGTGCAAACCTCCTTCCTGTTGGGGTTGCCTTCTGTTTTTTTCCGCTTCCACGATTCATGCCCATAGCGACGGGATGACAAGGGCCAAGGGCGGGGAGTTTGGATTTGGCATTCAGGGTTTCATGTTCGGTGGTACCGGACAGTACAGGGTTCACACTGCACAGGTGACAGGACGGCGTGTCGGCGATATACGAAACACACCCCCCCCCCCCCACGGGGTGCCACGGGATGGGAAGATGGAAATGAATTCAGAGGAGGAAGAGTAGACCCAATGCCTCGAGTGTCTTGACTCTTCGGCATGCAAGACGAGAATCACCACTGATGTCAATGGACATTGTTTGTCCTCTTTTCTGTCGTGCACATGCCCAGCCAGAAAAGTGACCGGGCTATTGAAGGCCCTGTATCGCACCGACGCAACCTATCATTGCTAGCAATCATCGTCATCTTCTGCTGACCTTGCCGTTGGTTTCTGCGGTGTCACCACACCTTCCTTCAGATATCCTTGTCATGGAAGCCGATGTGACCCCCCACCCCTTCGAGAACACGCACGCATCCCTACAGAAGATATGGAAGAATATGCGATTCCACTTTACGATATGTGTTTTTCTATAGCTGCTAGCAACATCGAACCTGCCATGCCCGTCCAGCTGATTTATTCCGTCCACGGGCCACCAGCCTGTCTGCCTGTCCCATCCAGAAGGCTGTAGCTGGCTTTCTGGATGAGAAGCACCTTAAGGGCCGAAGTCAGCGTCTGACCCAGGCCCCGTTGGATGCGTCGGACACCTTGCGCAGTACATGGTCGACATGCGCGAGTGAGCCTTACCTTGTAATGACATATGTGCAAGATGGCGGCATTTGACACCGAATAGGCCATGAACAACATCATCACATTCCCGTTACGGCGCTTCCCCATCATTGGCAGGCCGGGATATTGTACGAGCTGACGACTGCAAGAGACATCACCAGCCGCGCAATTCGGACGACTTACTGGATCCCTATTGTTACACGAACCAGCGCGAGAGAAGGCCCAGATCAAATATTGCTCATGCCCCGGCCCGCCTTACGGGGTTTTTGGACCAATGGTCAGATGCCACCCGTTACCAGACAACATTGTGTCGTCCCTGTGTCGTCTCTTTGACGCCGTTGAGGATGGACCTTTGACCCGACTGGCACGGCGAGAGGTTCGAGTGGCAGCCAATGCGACGGGTGAGCCGAAGCCCAGGACTGGCTTCACTCACATTCTCTCATGGTGCAGATTATGACCAGCACCCGTCAGCGGTGCAACGTATCTTGCAGCCTCTATTGGTTTCGCAAGGAAGAACCCATGCAGTCTGGTGGTCAGCCAACCCACCCTCTTCTATCGGTTTTGATCACGGATTTATATCAAGGCCTACATGGAAGCAGCAATGGTCGACGATACCCGAGCCCACGGTTCCCCGGGGCCCGCTATCATCGGACTGGTATGCTCACGGTCAGGTGTTTCACCGTACGACTGCGCCAGCAGCATCGGAGATCATCCGCCCAGGCGACTCGTCTTGCGGCCAAGTGCTTGTGAGCGAGCGCCTCTCATAGCCGCGTGATCCTTAAACGAAAGCGGTTCCGACCAATGCTCAAGTCTAGCCAGCATCATGTTGATCTTCCCCTTCAATTGGGGCTTCTGTCGCGCAATTGCGGCGAGGACTACCTGGTCCACGGGACGCTGGCATGCCGACGCGATGCCAAGGCCTCGAGGCTACCGTACTTATCTTCAATCCTTCTACGATGGCTACCTGCAGATTGCTCACGAGCACAAGAGGTGACACTAAGCGAACCAATTGCTCGCCGTGATCGAAGCAAGCTCGCAGGTAGCAGCAAGCCTTGTCACATATCTCCCGGGGTTATCATCACCTATCTCTTAGATCTCACCGTCTCGCACATAATCCGGCTTTAAGCTTCATGCCGCTGGAGAGCACCAGCATAGGTGACGAGGACGCTTGTCAACCACTCATGCACTCCCATCCGCTGCTGACCACGAGTCCCTGCTTCTGACCGAACCAAAGTAGAGAAGACTCTGCCGCAGTCTTACATATACCCTTGGCGGCCACTTCGACCGGTCAAGATCGCACACTCACACAGCACCTTGGGTCCAGCGAACTTGCAGCCTTCGCCTTTATGATCCCTGTTGATATTTCGATCCCATCCAGAGACTGCATTAACGCCAACAGACACTGCGACCTGGTTGAGACGAACCATAGAGGTACGCATCGGTTCAAGGGTTAAACGTGATCCCGCACGTGGCTGCTCGCATCTAGCTTGGCACCGGCAGTAGACATTACGACAATACTCTCGGCAGGGTGGAAGCTAGGCGACTCCGATTTGACCACAGTTCGGTGCTTCGAATTGGGGGAAGTTTTGTGTCGCCCGCCGCTTATTGCAGTCTGTCATACTAGCCCACTCAACCATTTCCCGTGTCGACGGCAGCTGTTCTACGGTTACGCACCTCGACTGGGATGTGAACAGCCTAAATGTCCAAATGTCCCATGAGCAAGCATCGTCTCCTGACGTTCATGAAATCCCTTTTGGATGTCGTGATACCGCAGGAACCTGTATAGGTCTTCGACCTGCCGCTTTAGGAGATCAAAGTGACAGGTCGGTCTGCGATCGCTGCTTATCTGCACACTTGCGGTTACGGTCTTCGGTGTCGAGTCTCGGATATCTACCGAAAACGTGGTCGGCCAGCCCCGGCCATCTTGGATAGGTTGGTCCCGTCGTTGTCAAGACTCAAGGAATCTTACCTGTCAGGACTCGATGCGCAAGGTTGGAGTCTGCCTACGCTCTACGTATCACCTTCTTCTCATTGAAAGCGCCTCAACATCGTCTGACTGACTGACATTGGACATGGGAACGTAATTATCACGGCGTTTCGACTGCCCCTTGTCGGCCAACCCTGCATGTCCGAAAGCGGGAGCACCCCTCTCTCTTGGGAGGTACAGCAGCACGTGGTGCAGTGCCAGCCAGTATGCAACCCTGATAGGTAGCTTGCTGTGGTTCCCATAGCATCCTCGTCAGCCTTCCCCAGTTCGCAACTGCATCACCAACACGCATCTGAGCCAGGCCATCACTCTGTGGTCTATCTTCGAGGCAATGACAGTGGCTTACTACAGAATCCTATGCCATCTCCAGCGCTAGTGTGCCTCCAGTCGCACTGAACCGTAACCTATTTCCGGTTCTCTGTGATCAATGTGCCAAGTCCCAGACGGGCCTCGAATCCTTTCAATCCCAGCTCGGATGTTCCTCCAAGTGTTCGAGAAGTTCGCAGCCGGGCGATCTACAACCGGTCAAGGACAAGTTACAGCCCTAGGTGGTCAGTAAAGTATCCGGCAACACATGGTTCTCCTCACTCATGCAACGCGGCATAACGCGAACCTATCACGTCAAGCCTCAGGAAGCTTCCCGTCAGCATTGTCGTTCGGCCGACATCTCCACTCGGTGAGCTTCGAGAAATGCATCGCACCGACTGACCGAGCTGCCGTATGGGTAACTCTCGCTGCTTTGGGTTTGCCTCTCTGGAGTCTCGGTGAGACATTACCATTCCCGTTTCCCCATCCCGTCAAAATCCTACTCCTGGTTCGCAATATCGCCAAGGTCACACCGAATGTAGACGGTACCTTGCAGGAAGTAAGCCGTGTGCCTTGGGGATACTAGCACTGCTCTCATGCTGGGTTCCTTCCTATGTGCCCGAGGTCATTCATGTATTGAATATTCCATCCCGTTGTATGTTTGCTGCTTCGTGCGCCGTTGTATGCGCAATGGCCCAAATGCCCCCAGTCGAACGTAGCCAATCGAGGGATATCGCCAATGTCGCGTGCAGTTATCTCTCGGAACCGAAGCTTTATGGCTCACCGTCGGCACGGTTTCCGTCTTGGACCCGAGACCTTGCAAGATGACAGATCAGATATCAACTTCCACCCACTGTCAACCGCACGTACACAACGCTGCACTATGAGTATCGCCTCGTTCAAACATTTCGTCTGCTCGACTTCGCCTGCTGGTGGAGCAGCGCTCACTGTTCGTTTCTCGTATACTCATACTGCTACCATTGACGAATGGGTCGACGTCCGAAGGGCATCGTGATATATCGTTCCTGTGATACCCGGCGACCTCAAAATCACTGAGCGGGAGACATGAGGAGCCAAAATGGGGGCGAAGCACGTGTCCACCTCCACATGGACATCCCGGCTTGAGGCCACGCCACTGTCACCTCATCCGCATATGAGTTCACTCATGTAGTGTCAAGTGGTCCGGTCTGAGACAGTGGCTTGATGTTGCCTGAGACTCCAGGAACCTGGTTATCATTGCGCTAGAGGCGTCACAGAGGCTGGTGTCATCGCATTTCTATGTAAGTGACCAGTCAACGGCACGGTACTATGCCGTTGTTCCTAGTCCCTGGTCAACTTCGAGGAACTGATGGTGTGATAAACCTGATATGCTCAACACGCGAAAGGCCCCCTTATGCGGTTGGCCAGTCTTGTTGGCTCTCCCCATGCGTGGAAATGAACTACCCGTCGAGGTTGCTGGTCTGGATCAGACACGATACCCCCCCCCCCAGGGCTGTTCCAGGATACCTCATCACATTCTCGTAGCGAGAGCTCGACGACAGAATGAAACCCCGGGCGCTACTACGTCGCCCGGTATCCAAGTCACCGATGCAAAGTACGAGAACAAAAATTCACTCAGATCGAGCACGAAGACTCGCAAATCGGTTGGGCGCTTATCGTCAAATTGAATCGCCGTCCCGGGCAGCTGGGTTGCCCTTGCTCGGCTGATCCCAAAGCGTTGCTTTTTTTATGTACGTCGCTCAGAGCGGGAAGGGCCCCCTACCTCCTCTTCTCTCCCAAGCTGTTCTCGCTCTGATATGGCCCAGTGATCCTTACAGGCCTAGATTCTGGCCGCAAGTCAGCTCATCGAAACGAAGAAGTTGAAAGGCTGTTGCATATGGTGGCGCAGTCATACCACCTAGGCGCCCTTGGAACAATGTGTGCCAGAAGTCCAGCAGATGCCGCCAAGGTGGGGAGGCGCCCTCGGGCTTCTTCTGATGGGAAGTTCGTCCCGAGACCAGCCGATGCGTTCGGGAGACGATCTTGAGAGTATGGGACCGATGGGATCTTGTCTCGGCTGGCTCTAGATCAATGCTTGTTTTGTATTATGCCAGATTCGGCGGCATGCCTGACAACAAGCGGTCATGAACGTCGTCGTCTTCGAACCGCCGCCTATACGCGTACGGTGTTGTGAAATTGGGGGACCCTTGGCTGTTCATAAATCCTTCGTCTTGGTTTGAACGGTGTCTCCTCTCAGCAACCGCCCATCAGGAAGTTTCTTCTCTGTCTTCCGAACTTGCCAAAGCACCAGGCCATAGGAGATATCACATAGAAACGAGAACCCGCATATGAAGACACTCAGTGGTGAGACCCAGAAGCCGTGAGCTTCCGGCCAATGCCACCAAAGGAGTCCGTTGGCAACGCCCATCCCAAATATTGAGCCGGTGGTTCTGCAGAACCTGCGTCGTCGTCAGTAAACATCACGCCACCCGAGACAACCCGCCGGACCGATCGTCAAGAAGGTCGGCAAAAGAAATATCATTCAGGATCGGACTTCCGATAAATTGCCAAAGGTAGACCTGATATGATGCACCAGTTGAAGCGTGACGTGTCACTCTCCAACCATGTCTCCTTTCTGTGACCCTTCATCACGCCCCATGAAGTAGATTCGGCGGTGAGGGCATAGATTGGCGCCAGCGCAATGTAGTGATACGGAAATGGATTAATCACTAACCAGATCAAGAAGCCTGTTCCTCCCGAATGACCTCGCACGATGAGCATAGCAAGACCATCCGCACTGAGAACCAGCTGCGCGACGCCAGCCGACCAGAACGCCAACTCGGTGGTATCGTAGCCGTCCTTGCCTCGCCAAGGCTTGCCCGTCTTGTCGCCGCTCCCCATGCCGGGCTCCGAGAAGAACCAGGAAGCGAAGGCGTAATGCCCCCAGCACCCAACGACGATCATGAAGCCCAGGATCCACGCGACGTTGCGGCCGACGGCGCGGTTGGTCGAGGCCCAGTCCTCAGGCGCGAACCGCACCGTCGTGTAGATGAGGCCCAGGTCCAGCAGCAGCCACAGACTGAATCCGAGCCTCTCCAGCAGATTCTCGGCGACGTACAGGCCGTATACAATCTCCCAGGACACGTTGATGGCGAGGCCGACGAGCGGCATGCCGTACGAGCGCGTCTGCAGCGCGCGGCGCGTCATGAGGATGTAGGTCAGGTCCCAGAAGAAGACGCCGATGAAGAGACTGGCCGTCGAGGCTGGCACCAGCCATTCTGGCGCATGGGGAGGCGGGATATCGGAGAGGCCCATCTTTGATAAGGTTTGAGGTTGCTCGCTGGTGGTGCGCGCACTTTCGACGTGCTCTTCCGTGTTGCGATTGACTAAAACGAAGAAGAAGAAGTAGAAGAGGAAGAAGAGGCTATTTCTCGAGGTCTAGCGGAGAGACAGGGGGTGATGATGTGGGTATGCGGACGGTTGGGGCGTAGCATCTCAATCATAGATCCGTTAGCCCGTGTTCGTTGACACGAGACGATGGCAGGTCTGAATAGGCCCTCCTTCGTCTCGGCCCGTCTACTTTGCTCAATTGTATCGGATCAACAGTGCTTACCTTCGAAAAGGCCCTGCTTCCGTCCCATCCGTGACCACTTACCCTTGGGAGGCAAGATGCAAGGCAAAAGGCCGCTTTTGGTGCCGTCACATACATCGACATGAAGAGAATGCGATCAGTACAGGGACGGCCGGTTCACTGCGCGTGGTTCTCAATGGCTCATACTCGAAGATGGCCAGATATAACTGAATCCAGAACAACTGGAGAATGCTCACTGAAGGTCAGGCATTTCGGTACTGTAACGCTTTCAATTGCGGTGTAAGTTCGCTTGAATTATGTGCAAGTCCAAGTACCCTCAAAGGGGAATACTTGACTGACGCTTTGTACGTGACTCGTCGTAGATGATATATACAGGCAGAAGTGAAACCAAGCTCCAAACATCTTCTCAATATCCTACATCGAGAAGCCTTCCTGATATCCGGTAGGTCACGACCACCGCTCAAGCGTTCACACACTGCGAGTAGTAATCGTTGTAGCTCGTGCAGGTGCCCACGGCGCACGTCGTCGCGCCAGTCCAGGCTTTGCCACCACACTGACCGTAGAGCGACGCAGCGTCGACCGATCCGCTCTGGCTGGGCGACGCAGCGCTGGTGGTGGCCGCCTTTGTCGTCGACGTTGCCTTGGTCACAGTCGCCAGGGTAGTCGGCGAGGAGGTGACAACAGCAGTCGTTGAAGCAGCAGCTGATGATGTAGCCACAACCGAAGTGACTGCAGCCGATGTTGGCGCGGCAGATGTCGCCGCGGAAGTGGCCTTGATCGCTGAGGCACTGGCAGCTGCTTTGGTCGAAGCAACTGCTGATGTGGCTGATGTTGCCGCGCCCGAGCCCGAGCCCGAGCCTGAGGATCCGAATAGTTCTGGGCCGGGGATGGTGTATGAGGAGATGGTCGTGTAAGGATTGAACAAGATGCCAGCATCATCGGCCGCGTACAGGTCAGTGCCCAGAGTGCCTTCCGGCAGATCTGTGCCCGAGCCCGTGACAGCGATGTTCATCTTTAAAAATCAGCAGTTAGCAATTACTCTTTGCAGACCTTCTAACGAAAGGTAGGAAGTGGCCATAAACCAAACACAGGTAGGCGATTTGCTCCCATTACACGGCTAGAAGGGGGAGGTGACTGGCTCTAGGATCACATACACACTGAGGGTAGTTCTGCGCTCCGTTCTCGGTGGTCGCTCCATGGAGCGCGATGATCTCGTGACGGAACACGTAGTTTCCGGCAGCGAGTGTCTCGGGGACAGTAGTCGTCCAGGTACTGTTGTTGTCGATGAGAGTCTGCGCCGCCCACGTTGAGGTGGTCGTGTCGTAGCCGGACTCGTCGATCTTGACCCAGAGCAGGGTCGTCTTGTCGACGGCGGAGCAGTCCACATCGCCGCAGGAGGCGACGTAGGTGAGGACCGGGCCAATGCCGTGGGGCCAGGTCGTCCACTTGAAGTCAACGGTGCCTCCAGCCGCCACGGTAGATGTCAGGGCACCGGGCTCGGCGTTCTTGTGGCAGTTGATGTCGGAGGTGTTGTAAGCATCGGGGGATATGAACCCGATGTCGGTGTTCTCGGCGTACCAAGCGGCAATGTCGGGCAACTCACCGCCGTTCTGTTTCGTGTAGTAGTAGTCGAGTAGGAAGCCCTGGTTGAAGGTGCCGTCCGTCAGAAATCCGGAGACTGTGCCGTGGGCAAGGGCAGTGGTGGCGAAAGCGACGATGGTGGCGATGGCTGATCGGATAGACATGTTGTCGGATATAGATGAAGGTTCTTGAAAAGAGTGGTTCGGCTTTGGTCAAAGTAAAGATTGTATGTATAAGTGAGCGTCCCAGCTTCACACAGTGAAGTTAACGAGAGAAGTGGATGTGAAAATATGATAGCTAAAAGGCGATGAGAAGAGAGTGTACCTGCGACGATGAGTGGTGAAGAAGAGACTCCGACGCAGCAGGAGGAGCCCTCATCTCGTATATATACTGCCCTCTAGAGGCTTGTCTGATGTCTGACCATGCCAACTTGCGAGGTGCCACGACAGTGGTCGTGGACTCGTGGTGTAGGCAGTGGAGCATAGCCACGAATGGTCACGATGAAAGTCATCAATTCGCAACTCGAAGTCGTGATCCGGAGTGGTGGAATGGCCTGATGAGCAGCCGATTGGTGGAATGCAACCCCTTTCGGAAGCCAACCGAGCCACGATGCCGGGGTTCTTTGGTAGGTTTTGCGGCTCACGGCGGACATTAGCGCCGGCGTGAAACGAGACCCCTAGCAAATGCAACGCTGCATACCTTGTTGGCGATCTCTGCGCCCTGGCTGTCATCCACAACCTCAGATAAGAGGGCCATGAAACATGTTCGTACTAGATGCGCTCAGGACCATTTGCCTCAAAAGGGGTGTCGTGAGTTGGTATCTTCACCACCGAACCGCTTTGTGGTGTTGGGCCTACTGAGCAGGGGGAGATCTTGGCTCAGTCATGCCTGTTCATGGTGGTCCATATAATTTGTGGACAGGTAGAGATTGCCCCCAAGTCTCATAACATGGCTGGAAAGTCCTCCTTGCTTTGCGTAGTCGGCTTCTCATCAGCATGGCTGACAGTGGATGGTTGGAGAGCCCAGGTCATACGGGACGACGGTCATGGCCCACCTCAACTCACCTCGACATGTCACATGGCAATCCATCCTCTAAACGTCCATAATATTGGATGTCCGCATGACTCTGCCTGTGCTGCGTGTCTCGTACGAGGTGAATACTGACTCCGAAGGCATAGCGAGTATGGAACCCCAGTGTCGTCCTTAGAAGCCATAGCTTCAGTGAGCCAATCTGGCCAGATCCATGGAGGTCTATGCCCTCAGTACGGCCAGGAGGTTCTTTGAAAGATGGAGACTGATGCGTATTCGTGCCGATTGTTCTCGACAACGACCGTCTTGGAACAATGGACTCACAAAGGTGGCGTGAAAAGGTACCAAGTCCCCTCGAGCGACAGGGCTAGTTCTGACGGCGTGCTCTCACTTGAAACCTAGCGGAAGCGGTCAGCCAAATAAACCGTACATTTACTTTGTGGGATGAGTCCCATCATGGTCGTTAGCCACGACGGAACCAAGTCGTGGCAGACTGACGTAGGGGGCTTACTAACAAGGCGCTGGACAACAAGACAATGAGACACATTGTTCGAGTCCGACAACAATGCACTTGTTCCCTGGTGCAGGTATTGACAGTCCAAAGGGCGAGTTCAGAAACAACCTCTATCAGTCAGTGTCTCTGCGCAGTTTAGCGTATAAATTAATCATGCCCGTGGTGTCCAATGCTGATGGGAAGAAGGCGGCATCAGTATCACAACACAAAACACTCAAATCCAAACTTCATCCATCCAACCAAGTCACAACCATCGAATCCAAACTTCACCTATCAGACCAATCATTTACCATGGAGGCCGGTAGCTTCATGACGCTGACGATGAGTTTCACCTGTGGGCACCCTATCGAGTATGATATCGAATGTCACACTGACTTGGAAGGCTTGCTAGGAGACCTGAGCATCGACCGTGACCGACTGGCTGAGGGCACTCACCCATGCGCTAGCTGTGATGCCGAGAACGGAAAAGTCGCGCGCGTGGAGGTGCTTCTTGGTCGAGTTGTTGAGCAAGCGCTTAGCAGGCCAGAGTGCTATTCACACCTGCGCAAGAGACTTCAAAAGGCGGTCTTTGTTGAGCTTGTACAAGCAACCTATCAGCAGTACGACGATGAGCTGACAGCGATAACCAACAAGTATTGGATTACGGCATTCGAGATCTGGGCCGCTCTGTCTGTCGAGTCCCTCACAGACGATGAGCTCAAGGTGCTTGTTCAGGACGTCCAAGAATGCTTCGGCTACGGCGGTATCGATGGGATCAGCCCAGCGTATTTAGTCGTGTCCGACAAGCTGCTCAAGGCGTACCTGAAGGCGCATGGCCCATCTGTAGTGTCGTGGATGTAGAACATTTGTAGCTGTGAGTGGTGGTCCCCTTATTAGCTGTATAGAAGATCACGGTTGATAGAAGTAGCACGAGTGCCTACCTAGAGAATGTGAATTATCCCCGTACGCCCCGACTGAGGTGTTATCAAAATGATGGATTAGTACCTACCTAGATCAGCGCTTGTTCCTGGCGCTGCCACGTGCATGAACCCCTGCTGCCTCAGCCTGCGCCTGTTTGCCCTGTCTGCCTGTTCGGTTGCCGGTTGGCTGTCATTTCCCCGCAGCTAAGGTACCGGTTGTCTGGCTGTCTGGCTGTTGTTAGCGCGCCGCTAGAGTTCACTATTAGATCTTAAGGTACCTAATGAATCCACTGTCCAGCCCCCTATCTTACCTATCAGTCCTATTTCACTGACGTTACCCCAATCACCAACTCTCATTATTATTAATTGCCTCTATTTCCCGCTTTTCCCTGCTTCGGCTGCTTCGACTGCTTTGAACATCTGCCAGTCGCACTCATGGCCCTCCTTGAACTGCTTGCCCTCTTCCCTTCTTGCCTTTCCATTTGCCGAGTTGAACACAGTTGAAGGAAGAGAATGGTACGACACCAAACGAAACTGCATCATCACCACCGACATCACCATGGAAGACCACGACAACAGCGTCCGGCCTCCTCCGCCCGTTTACCAGCTCCCCGACTGGGAAACGCCTAGACCGAGAGCCGCCAAGAGACAGTCGTTTACGGACCGACTGCTACAGTCGAGTAGGAATTCCTTCGGAGCTACCTTTGCATCAACAAACTATGCAGGCGCAGCTGCAGGTGCAGGCGAGGGCCCTGCAGAAGCCGCATCGCGCAAAGAGATATCCGCCGAGTCGTCCATACTACCAACACACACACAGCAGGCCTCGAACGTCGACCAAGGCACAGCCAAGCCTTCCCTACTCGCCTCGGCACGCTCTCGCTTCGATACCGCCGTCCCACCGCACCGCACCTACTTCGGCCGCTCTCGGCGCTTCTTACTCCTCTTCATCATCCTCCCGCTAGCGATCCTCCTCTTCATAGTCTTGCCCCTAGCCGTTGGACTCGGAGTCGGCCTGTCAAGACGATCGAAACACTCGCAGGACCTACCGCTGCCTGGGAATGCGGATGTCCACACGGGGGATCTGACGTACTACGGTCCTGGCCTCGGGGCGTGCGGTGTCGTGTCCACCAGCAGCGACAACATCGTCTCCGTCTCACATTACACCTTCGACGCAGCGAGCACGGGTTCGAATCCGAACAACAACCCCTTGTGCGGGAAGAAGATACGAGTGCAGAGGGACTTTGTGGAGGATGGGAAAGGCAATCGGAGCGTGGATGTCACCGTCGTGGATCGCTGTGTGGGTTGTGCGCCTACCGATTTGGATTTGAGTATCGCTGTCTTCACCCAGCTGGCGCCCGAGGATAGCGGCAGGGTGGTCGGGAGCTGGGCATGGCTTGATTGAGCCGAGGATTGTGCATTTGGTCTGGGGAGGAAAGTCTCAGGGGCAACACAACGATTCTGGATTTCGATCTGGATCTAGATGTGATGATCGATTCTCGCGATGCGTGGAGTTAGGTTTAACCTTAGGCGGATTATACCCCTTCATGTTTTGTTTTTGATTAACTTTAGTGTACGAAAATACGTGCCACCCATCACCAACCCTTTCCTGCTCTGTTGGGTCTTCCAGGAAGAACACTGAACACAAGCTGATGGATTAGGGTCGGAAGGCGGAAGCAGTGTGGCCATCGCTCTGATGACCCGAACACCCTGAAGACCCCGAACGCCCGTCGGTTTCCCATCTCGAACGGAGTTGTGTACGCAACGGACATGATGGTGCGCTCAACCTGTCTCTGGCCCAGCTCGTGCCCCCCGACGCCCTTGCGTTCCATTCCAAGGTTGGCAACGGACAAACCAGGCCATGATTATCCGTTGCTGGTATATCTGCAAGGCTAATGTACTGGATCTAGAATGTCCCATCAGATGAACTGTCATGTTATCTTTCTCGCCTTCCAGCCCGGTAGCGGATCTAGGGAGAGGTCGTACGTTGGAGTCATTTCACGATGTTCCGGCCGCTTTGCACACGGTACCCGAACCACGTCGTGAGTCTTCTCAGCCTCGACCGATAAGATGATCTGATCATTTGTATGCTGTCACTCGTTGGTTCTGATAAGAAATCATGTTTGTGTGCAACTGCTTCCATCAACTTGTGGCGGCATGGCGACACCTCATGCTCACTGGCTTAGTACGCCTCAACGGGCAGCCCATGTGGCATCAAGGGGCTTCCGTCTGCAGGTTTACGTGTACCGTTGAATATGCGGCAACGTTTGGCTCGCGGTCGTAGCCATAGAGGTATGAATCTAGAATTGTAGGTTGTGTCGATGCTCTTGAGAGAGGACAAGTGGGAAACCTATCCTTACGGGCAGCGTTGCATCTAGCTGCTGAGTGCCTTTCTCGGACAATACGGACGGGGTTGGGAGTTTCGTCGTTAAGCGCCGTTGCATTACGTTCAATAAACCATTGCTGTCGTCAGCTTGGAAGCTCTAGCGCGCTCGACAAACACCATATACCACACGAAGCATCGGCTTCCCCCTATTGACCTGACAGTCTTCTTTATTAGCTATGTCTTTTATCGCTACTGTACCCCTTTTCCATGCGTCCTTCTCTTTAGCGTCGCATTCGAAAGGGGGAAACACGCAGTCCTGTGTTGCCGGCATATGCATATCTATTTTCAGCTGCAAGAAGCTGGCTTCGTGGGCACACATCGTGCGATGCCACCAAGTTGCCCAGAAATGGAGTACGACTGCTTGAGCGACCTACGGAGATTGTAATGGTGTACAAGGCTTCACGGTAGATGCGCTACGCTCGTGTTCAGTACCATCAGGAACTTCTGCACACAAACTTTCCGCTGTGCTTCTCTCAGTGTTTCCCGTAGCAAGCGTCGCCTCGCACGAAGAGGCCTGGTGACTGGGTAGCATCACACAAATTCTCTTCGTAGTACTTGACATTATGGCCGTCATTCGTGAAGACCAAGGCACTCGGGCACTTCTGAATATCAAGGAACCAACGTGGACATAAAATCATAAAGTCATGTATCTCCCTTAACACATGAACCACGAAGACCATTAGCGTCCACCAAGGTAATGAAACAAGTAGGGAAAATCCATAGCCCTTCTGACTATTCCTACGATAGCTGTTTGGAAGACCTGCTAGGGCCCACCGGCCTCGAGGCGAATTGTTGCGAAGGGGTTGGACTTCCCATGAGAGGCCGCGATAGCGCCGGAGGATATGTCCGGGGGATAATAGGGCTACCATGCCCAGCATGGGGTGATGGCGAATACCGAGCTTCAGGCGATGGCGAAGACCCAGCTTGTTGGGGCAAGGCACTGTATACAGCTTGATCATTGGGATGCGAATTGGGCGGGAAGGTGCTTGGTAGCTGTGAAACCGGTGTCGTAATTCCAGAGTCATTCCTTACCAGCATGGGCGAAGAGGCATGAGCTGCTGCGAGGTTTGGGTGTGACACAGACATGGTACTACCCCAAGAGGGTTGATGCTGCAAGCTGACTCTCGGTGGTGTGTTTGCAGAATGCATACCGGCGGCGCCGAAGTATTCCGTCGTATATTTCTCTTGGACCGGTGGTGGAGGGGAGAGTAAGTCGTAGTTCGAAGGGTCGAGGTACTGTATGATGGCATCCTGGGGAGGGCGTTCTTCGCCTGCGTGCTTGCGCTTCCAGTGCTCTGTGGCCTTCTCTGTTGAAACTGTAAGCATACGATGTGCAGAGCCGTGAGACGGAGCCTAGACTCACCACTAATCATCTGAGCAAAGCTGAATAGGATCAGCGCGCTGGAAAAGATGGGCACTAGCTGACCAAAGCTAGTGGCGTCGTTTTCAGGATTCCCGTTGTCCTCTATCATGATCCAGCCCGACTTGTCCACCCATCTTCGTAGATCGAAAATGTACATTGTTGACTTGATCGTGGTAGCACAGGTGATTCCTACGCCGGCAACGAGGTAGATGAGGAATATGTTCTGGACCACTTTTCGCCTGAACGTGCCGAGGCCACAGACACGGCCAAACTGCTTGCCAACCCTCCCTCTCCATCCTTGCTTGCTTTTGCCTCGCCGGAGGAACCTGATGGCCTCGGCAATGATCGCAGCCCCGTAGAACAGCAATGTCAAGACGTACCAATTCCAGCCCTCAATAAGATTACCGGGAGATGAGTCGTGAAGCGTCTTGTTAAAAAAGGAGTTGGCATCTTTGGTGCTTTCTTTGAATGTTTCGATGGCGCCGCCCGCGGAAGCCTGGAAACAAGCCGCGGGTAGGAATATTAGACTATCGACTTCGCTGGCGAGGGGGACCTCGGTGGGGAATGGTAATTGCACGTTGCCGTTTTGGTTCGTGAAAAGTAGGCCAGTGACGATAAAGACTCCAGAAATGCAGAGGATTCGTAGTTTTGCCAGCCATGGATACTTCCAGTAGTTTCGGACGATGGTGACCGACATCAGATGAGTAGCACAGGTGAGCAGCAACATGTTGGCAGCAATGTTGTAATGATATGCAGATACTTTGCAGCCTGCATAGTATCGCAGCGTAAGTGCATACGCCGCCCCTATGAAGACTTGTTGATCGCTGCAGGCCAGTACCAGAGTCTCTAGAATGTCAGATAGGCTCAGACGTTTCCGTCTCGCTCGCTTCTCCCTGGGACGTGTTAGCACTGGTTGCTACTGCTGCTGCCGATTTGCGCATTGGTGAGACCTACTCTTCGGTATAGGTTTTCTTCCACTTCCAGGTCTTTGCGAATTGCCAGAGGACATCACCGATACTGGCAGCTAGCGCAAACGAAGTGACTGCCACGAAGACGCCGAGGATCTATCCACATGAGTATGCGATAAGTAGGGAGCTGTAGGGCCAACTTACTCCTACACCGGCAATGTCGGCATCGCCCTCGAAACCACCCTTGTAAACTCCACCCAACGACACGTTAGCCGGCCATGTGCCGTTGAAGTGATCGATCGTGGAATTATTTGACTCGTCAAGTATCTGGCAGTTCAGCGTGATGTTGTAGTGCGCCTGGCAGTCAGGAACAGACGCGAAGGCACCCATCTTAATTGAAGGTGAAGTGATGTGGGAGTTTGGTAAGGAAGTCCACGTCGAATCTCAGAGAATTACAGCTCATCTGCGAGTTGTTCGAAAAGACGGGGTCTTGAAACTTATAAGAGCGTATTCTGGGATCTCGGTAGAAGCAGCAGGGGTCTCCATCATGAGCGGCCAACGCTGTGTGTCAGTATCTCCTGCATCGCAACCGGGTTCTAGACGGAGTAGATCACTTACATGATCCTTGTACCAGATGCGGTGTAATGTTCCCTGAAACAGGCACGGGCGAGCAAGGCTATGTACGACATCACAGAAGGGGGATGATCCTTCGTAGATTCGCTCAATTGAGCACCACTGGTACCCCGCAGAAGCAGGCTCAGGCTGAGGACACCATCAGATGATTATACTGCGAGACGCAGCTGTTTAATCCGGGGGTCTGAGGTGCAGGTGGCTGCAGGGGCTCAGTTGGACCTGCCACTTACGTCGAGCAGTGGTCAGCCTGGTGGTGAACCGTCGGCATATGTGCTCGACCTGACACGGGTTCACAAGGCCACAAGTAAGGTTGAACAACAGACCCCCGCTCTGTATGGTGAGTTTATCCTAGAATAGCAGAGTGAAGGAATACAGCAGTACGTCCCATACCAGTACCCGCGACGACAGCATGCTGTAGTGGCACGATCTCATATCGGACCCCAAGGGCACTGAAGTCAACGTCTCGCCAGGGCCGAAGAGGGGATTCGTTCGGCAAGGTGCGTGGCATGTCGTGAATGTGCGGCTAACATCAATGCCGTACCCAAGAGAGATAATTTCGGAACAAGGCTGCGTCAACCCCTTCCACTCCTGGCGAGAGTGGTAAACGTCTGGAACAGATCAGCTATCGCTGGAGCGTGACTCTGGCTGCAGGACGGGCCTCGCTTGTGCTGAGTAGGAAGTAACTGCGTTCTTTGAGACGGCTAAGGAATTCCAACATCATATGCTCAGAGGTGGTGAAGATGATGAAGGTGGTTCCACTGCAGGTGTTTTGAGCCGGGGTCGATTGCCTCTTTCGGACCAACATGCAGGATACCAACATGAAGCATACGTCGGATTGGGGGCGAGCTGATAGCCCTGGACTCTGCCGAATCAGAGAACGGCCCGCGAGACGAAGTCGCCTCCCGAGGTATGAATGTGAGGCTAGGAACATAGGGGGGGGGATGTCGGTCAGCTCGATTCGACGACACTGCGCTGCATGGCGAGCGCGTAACGGTGGTTGGGATGTCAGCTGAGTTTTTCTGATTATCCAACAGGACACCCAACAGGACATGCCGAGGTTCAGATTTGTTGATTGATCGCTGTTGGTGTCAAAGTTCGAGAAGGATGGAAGGCACGTCGTTGGGAAGTTATCTCTCGGCCGTGACTATAGGAGGTAGGTAAGGAAGGTTATCCTGTGCGGTGGGGAACTTCCCCGGGCCTTCCCCATGTCCACGGGTATTTTCCTCGGGACATTTCCAAATGCTGCAGAGATCACATCCAGGCCTGGTCACAGCATAGCGGCGCAGCATGAGGGCCAAAACTGTTTTGCCTCTATCTCTGAGTCTCATTGATGTCTTACATCTGGGTAGCGAGAAGACCTGGGCAACCCGCCTGCAGCTTCTAAGCCCTTCAATGACCACAACTTGACGAGACTACCTGGGTTATGAAACTCCCCACGACTGACACTGTAGTCGACGTGGAAGTGACCTAGAGCCTCGTCCATGGCATCAAGCTACAACACAAGTAGATTCATCTTCAGAATTCACAAGACAGATACGCAGCCGAGATATGACAGCGAGCAAGATGAGTTGGCAAGTGTGCTTATTCTCCGCACCTTAATTGCCGTCTGCCTGTCCATGGCAAACGACAACTCCCCGGGAATATGGAGGGAGTATCCAACGTCTAACAACCAAACATTACAGGTCATACATATCTCAATCCAAAAGTCCGCCCGGTGAACGACATGCGCCATGTTCATCCATGCCAGCGCAGTAGCCCCCATGCAATACACTCCCCTCTCTGTCTCGCTGTCTCTCCGTCTGGACCTTACCGGTAACTCCACGCTTCCCAATGACAAACCATCTACCACCCACAGTATTCTATACATCGACATGCCGATGGGGCATATCTAGGCGCCGTTTCGTGAAAGCAAGTAGGCCGACCTAACCCCGACAACACCAGGATGAGATGAAAGTCAAGGGAAAAATGCAGGGAACGCCGCGCAGAACCAACCGGGCACCGTGGCCGACATCCTGCGCGGCAAAAGACTCATTAGGTATGGTTGAGCAGTCGTGAAGACAATACCGTCTCGTGGGTGTCGTTTTGGTCACCCGGGCCATCAATCCGTCCAACCATCCATATGCTCGCTCGCTCGGGCGCGCCTGTCGTCATTATCAACGCCAATATTCCAAGTAAAACGTTGTGTTTGTACAGGCCAGCCCTGCTCCCCCCGCCGCAAAAACCCGATCCAATAGGTCAATTGGAGAGAGGGAGAGCAGGCGGCAATGATTAAGTGTAATGGCCAAAACGTATCCCCACGGATCCACCCGCCTAGTGGTGTGCTGAATAAGATGGAAAGCTGATGACGTGTTGAAACAGTTGCGAATGCTGTGCCCTTCGGGAGTAACACAGAAAATGCGGGAAATCGTGAGAGGCATGATAGCGACAGGCTGCCATATCGGAGGGCGACCGTAAAGCAAGAGACCTCTGGGCTTGAACTGAATCGAAGCGAAGCTGGCCTGGGGCCCGTGGGCGTAATGCAATAAACCATCTAACATCGTAAAAGATCATTAAGGCGCCACGAAACCAAGTGGGCTCGCGCCACGATTACTCCTGTGTTTTTTCTTCGTTTTGGTGATTTTGTTTTCGCGGAAAGAAATGTCTGTCGCATGATCGTGAGGATTGAAACAAGCGGATGGGACGGATGGGATCACTGGGGGTAGATCATCTCGAAGCCAAGATCCTCGATTTGTGTTCCGTCGTTGTAGGCCGTCATTGGTGTGACGGTCGCGGACGACGACACAGTCGAACCGAAATGGTTGACAAGCTCTTGCGGAGGGTAGGCGGCCATATCCGGGACGAAATGGGGCGACATGTTTGGCGAGCTGTTGAAGTCAAAGTCGGCCGATGAGATGGGCATGCCACAGAATCCAGCATTGGTGTTGATGACCAGGTTGTTGCGGAAGTTGTAGCCATCCGGCGTCATTCTTTGAGACATGTCAAAACCGGGCGAGAAGCTGTCGATGCCGTCGGCCTCCATCTCTATTTCCATCTCCATGCCGCCGCCGTTGGAGTGGTGTCTGACATCTTCGTCGCCTGCGTCATCTTCGTCGTCGGCCTGCTGTTCGGTCTTGTTCACCCAGATTTCCTTCATCCAGTTCTTCAGCTCGCACATGGGAGGCCAGTCGCCACCGCCCTTGCCTCCGCGCTTGTCCTCATCACTCCGGCCGTGGCCGGCACCCTTGTTCTTCTGGCGCGAAGGCTTCTCCTTGAAGTGCGTGCGGCGAAGGTGGGCAGCTGCGTTGTAGTACGCACCGTACCTCTTCTGGGTATTGCAAGACTTGCACTTGCCTAAGGGATTGACCGCAGCAACAGCAATGGGAATGCCATATGCGGCTGGGTCGACGCATATGTACTTCTTGACCATAACTTGGTGCTTGGCCTCCTTGTGACGGCGAAGCTCGTGCTCGCCTCGGAACCCGTCCTTATGCTCGTCACACTGATCGCAGAACACCTTTGGCTGCTTCGGCCGGACGTACTTGGACTTCGCGATGACAGCCTTGCCGTCCTTCTTGACCATGGCCGGCGACTCCGATGGGGCTGGCTCGGCAGCAAGCGGCTTGGGCTTCAGAGGGGCCTTCATGGCCCGCTGGTTCTGCTGCTTCAATGTATCCTTGGCTCGAGCCGTAAGCGACGAAGTTGACTTGTTGCTGGCCATACTCGTGCTCGAAAGTGATCGCTCCATATCCGAGGATTCAAAGTAACCGTCGCTCGGCGCTGAGGCCGAGTACTGCTGCGTGGACGGTGGCGCGAGACTTGAGCCCACGGCGAAGAGCGCATCGTCACTCATGTATGGGCGCTTCCCCAGAGGAGAGATGTCGCCGCTGTCGTAATTGAGCTGGGAGCCATCGCGGTAGTATGAGTCCGCTCCTTGTGACATTTGCGACCCGAGACTCATCATGCGCACGCCGCCCGCCATGGACTGGTTGTCGAGCAGGCTGTTCTGCCGCGTCATTGGTGCCGTGTCGTAGGTGGGCGCCGTTGTCATCGAGCCGCACACGGACACATTGGTGACATTGAATTGCGGCACATCGACATCATGGTGCTGCGAGAGCGCCGACGGCGCAAAAGACTCGCCCACTGGAGAGGAGAAACTGTCGGGGAAAGGGTGCGACGCAAGCCATACAGCAGGGTCCATCAGGTCACCCGACCCGGAGCCGGACCCGAACTCTGGGAGAGTAGGCATGTCGTGCTGGTGGCGGTGCGACTGCGATGGATGCATCGTCTGGGCGAACACGTAGGAGTTTACTGGCTCATCTTTGTTCATGTAATCCATCATACCACTACCACTACTTTGCTGGCTCCTGTTCTGGAGCCTCGGCGGCGGCGATATGGGAGCATTGCCGGTAAACGGACCGGCGGATGGACCTGCGGATCGGGTGGACAGGTTGGAGGCGGTACGGTCCATCCTCTGTGCTGCAGGAGTTTGTTGGGACATGGTTCTTGCTCGCTTCACGGCGTGACGGCTGTTGGCCTGTGGATTCTAGCATTGCTTGTCAGTACAGAACATAGGTCGTGGGCGCATGGCAGCAATGCTGTCGTGGGCAGAGGCTTACAGAGGGCCACGGAACGGCTTCATGACGGCCATGTGCACCGATGCCGGTGCTTCGAGGTGTCGTATCACTACTCCTCGACCAGCCACTTTGATTGACGGGGGTAGCAGACAGTTCGAACTCATTATGGACAGCAGAGACATCAGGAATGCTCGGGTTTGAGGGCTGAGATAATTGTGATTGATAGACAGAACTCTGTAGCTGCGATAGCTGCTGTTTCGTCCTCGCAAGATCCTCCTCTTTGGTTCTCATCAAGGCCTGTAGCTTCTGAATCTCCCAGTGGTCGGGGTTCTGCGGGTGACTCATGGTGTTGGATCACCTATGCAGAGGTGCCGGAACTGACAGAGTCAATGTCGGCAAGGCCACAAGACAGGCGGAGACGAGGGCGTTCACTATGTTCGCTTCACTCTCTCTCGCTCCTTCTCCCAGTCTCCAAGATAGACAGCCCTACTGCAACGACCCTCGACAGAAGAGCCTAGGATGAGGGGTGTTTGTAAATGGCGACAGGAAGAGGCGTCGAGGCGAGGAACAATATCTATTGACGAACGTCCTCGATCAGCGAATGATGGAGAATGGAGAATCGGGAATGGGAAATGAAAGGAACAATAAGGCGGCTTCGGCGTCGAAGACTGGGACGACGACGAAGGGAGTATTATGTACCACTCAGTCGAGATGAGGCTTTGGCGCATGCGTGGCAGCGGGTCAGGTTCTGCGGTCCTCGTCACCTCTTTGCTGATGTATGTAGGTACCTATTTAATTTACGAGAGCTCGGCGGGCACAGATCGATATCCTTGCAACGTTGATGCGATGGGCAGACAGGGGTTACCAAACAACCTAGTATCAAGGTCAAGGCCCTTGACTCAAGGGCCTTGTGTGACTCGACAGGCATCGTTCAAGGACACTAGTAGCAGCATTGCCACATCAGTCTCTCTGTTATCCATCCGTCCCTCTGTCTACGCGGGACGGCGAGTGTTTGCAACGGCAAATGCTCTACACCGGAGAGGGAGTGAAAGGTAGGACTTTGACAGGACGCCAGCAGGACTCTCTCGGTGTTGCAGGACCAGACCAGCACTCACCAGATGCTACAATGCAACCTGCACAGAGGCATATTGTATGCATGCACCATGAATCCAACCCTAGCTGTGCTGCCGCGGGATCTTACAGGTCGGTTTTTCCAGTTGTCCTTTGCAGGGGGCCCACGCCCGAGTGACGCGGAAAACCTGCCAGCCGACGCAGGATTGTCTAGGAAAGCCCAGGTGGTTTTCCCTTACATACATGTAAGAGTGGTGACAAGAAGACGACAGCTCATATTTGTTTTTCTCAGAACTTGACTCTGCAGAGATGCACCACCTTGAGATCTTGAGATAGCTTCCTGCCTCTCGTGTGTCTGTTGCACTAGCCTTCTTACAGCTGACCGTGCCTTGTAGATGAGCTGCTTTGGGAGTAGGTTTTTGCAACCTAACCTCCTCTGTCTAAAACGTTGATGCAGTAGTGAGGTATTGGGTTGCCATGTAGACCGTAGCGTGGAGGTCGTCAGATTACCGTTGGATCATAGTGTGTACCTAGCTGATCCACTCGGATCTTTGTATGTCTCCACAGAGAATCAATCGATCGAGGGGACAAGATCAACTTGCAAATCCTCATTCATTTCTGATCCTCGAGATATTGACCATGGTTACTGAATGGGTGAATGGCAAAAGCGTGAGACTCAAAAGCGTTGACGAGCATGTAATGCGTGATGCTGACGGGTTAATGGCGGCTCTTCCGAGTCTTTCTCGTCCCGTCGCGAGACTTCCTCGTTCATTCCCATCCTCATAATCCCTCTGCGGTTGAAATGATCCCCGGCAGAGTATTGGGTTGCATGCATACCACCTTGCACACAGACAACCGACAGGACGAATCTCGTCGACCGCATGCATCTGGTGTTTCGATACGATCACTGGGTCGTTGTCGACCTGGGGCCATGGGGTTCGGCCTATCAGGTCTGACTGCGGTTCTCACTTGAGCAATCGTCCCAGTCGTCATGCTTCGACCCACCCTTCTAAGTATGATCTAGAGGGATTGATGGATTGCGCCGGCACGGAAGGATGGAACAAGCGGAATTGAGCATGGTCCCAGACTCCCAGTGAGCACGCATTGCGCAATGGTTTGCAAGGGAGAACCTTGTGCGCATCATCCAAAAGACAGGTGCATGAGGTGGTCTGCCAATCCCGGTCGCTGTTGCGCCTCTGTTTGCCTTGTCTCGACGAATCCGCGCTGGCGCCGCGCTCGTCTACACCCATTGGGCCTCGATGTGTTGTCCAAGAGTGAGGCGGCCGCCCCGCGGACACCTTTGAGTGGTCGACGACCCTTGCGCGCACCATGATCCTGCTGGCGTCGGTGGGTCGCTAAGACCTTCGTTCACCTTGCAGATGCCATGTTGCTGCCTCTTTGCCCGACCGACGGTATACTAGTAGCGTCCAAATGGTGAAAGGGTGCTTCACAGTGGTTTGTGGCCGGAGAGACATTCGACTTCTGCGGGCTCCTACATACCTCGCGCCAGCTTGCCGATTCCGGGATTCCGGGGTGGCGCCTATCAAGTCTTTGCTGGCAACGAGTTGTAAAGGCTGTCTGCGCTGTCTGCGCTGTCTGCCACCTGCGTCGATCAGGTGGCATGCCACAGCCACCGCCTGTAGGGAAAGCTTTACCGGCGGCCGGCCAGCCGTAAACGACGTCGGTGAGTGCTGGCTGACGAGGAACTATTTGATGCTGCTGACGGTGGTGACGTTTCCTTCGGCGGCTTCCGTTTCACAAGCGCTTCTGCGCTTCGGTGGACTTCTAGACATGAACGTTCTGTACACATCGATGTGACCTATCGTATTGGAAAGACTGAACAGAGTGAAAATGATCCTGGGCGAGACATCACGTCACCGACCAGCATTATACGCATCCCCTTTTTTGCTTTTTCGTAACTACACTAGGTAGTCGACTGGCGGAGTCTGGGAGTTCGCATCATGATCTGCAGGAGTAACACCGTTGCAGTCACTCAGGATGCTCAGGGACGGATTTGGTATGCCAAGCCGGTGCGCGAGGTTGTAGTGGTACAGCGCATGTCGCGTACCAGATCATCCGCATCCCGCATACTACCTAGGCAGGCCGGAGAGCGAACCAGCCTGTCTGGAAGTATCGATAGGCATGAGTTCTGGTAACAGCATTTTAGGATGTGCGTCCGGTGAAATTGACGCCTGGATCTGATCGTGGTAAGCTTGCAGTCGCAGACGCTTCAAGCCGGTCAATAGACCGAGAACTGCATAGTCCATTCGGCAACTGCATGCAACGCGAGGGCCGATCTACTCGCGGTAAGGGGATCTACTGGGTATTCCGGCAGCAGTTCCGCAGGCATCCGGATACCCGGACGTTGTGGACCTTTGGTTCCCGGCGGTGTACGGTCTCTGCTCGGCGAAAGCCTCGGGACAACTTCCTCTCTCCTACGGGACGAGTGTTCGGTCAAGAACATGGAACAACGGGATCATCCAGGTTGTCCTGTTCAGTAGCATAATTGCAGGGAATTGCCAGTGCCTTCCTTTACTGTGGTAGTGCACCAGCACAACGATACCAAGGTAAAGATCCTCTGCACCTAAACAGCGCAAATTTGACCGAAACCCAACATCCACTCGGATCATGATGTCGTACAGCTTCCGTGAAACCGCTGAGTGATGCGGACTGCCGTCTGCAGTCAACAGGTCTGGTTGTCTGATGGTATCATCGAAGGATCCTGTCTGCCATGCTATCACGTCGTAGCTGGGACGAAAACAGAATGAGGCCGAGCCATCTCGTTGGTTGCCGACGCGTTCTTATTATTAATGTATGACCGTACCTGGACGTGTAAATGTTGCGGAATAGGCGACCCCGGGCTGCCCGGCAGCTGCCCGGTGGTATCTTTACCTAGCCTTAGCAGTTGCCAGTGACGGACCCCAGCTGGTTGCCATCTGCCCTCCTTCCACCCCATCGACCGGTAGATGTTGGGCTTCCGGCGGCTCCTACTAGGTAGTAGGTACCTAGAGGGACCCACCGACTTCTGCAACACCCCCTCATTTGCAAGGGTCCAGATAGCGGTTAACCATAACCACCGCACTACTTAAAATCCGCCGCAATTTAAAAACTTTATCAATTTATCCTATACTTAAAATAACGCCTTTTAAAAACCTGTAAATAGATGTTATAATCGTAGAAATAAAAACAAGCGAGTTATAAAAAACTATAACTTATTATTATAACGTTAATATACTAACTTTTTTATAATAAATTTGAACGTAACGACTATATTATAAAATACATTAAATAGATTGAAAATTATTTCCGGAGTTAAATTTTTTGGGGTAAATAAACTTTTTAATATAAAGTTAATAATTACTTTTTTACGCGTTTATAAGTTTGTTAATACGCTATATTTATATAAATAAAAAGGGGCAATCTAAGTATTTAATATAATGAATAAATAAAGAGTTTTATTAATGGTTTTTAAAAGTTTAAAATAAAACTATTTATAACTTTTAAAACCTTTAAAACTTTTAAAACTAATATAAGTAGTTCTGATAGTATTGTAATATTTAATAATAAAATATTTATAATATAAAGGAGTTCGATATATATAAAAGTAAAAATTAAAATAGTAAGGTTATTAATTTATTTTTTATAAAAGACAAAGTCCGTAAAATTTCAAAAACTTTTGATTAAATAAGTGTTATTGAATATATAACTATTAATGGTAAAATATATCTTTTAACTGTTATTTTTATTAAAAAATTCTTAACAAAGAATACTTTTGAACCAAATTTCCTTTTTTTTAAATCTTACCTTTTCAATGAATTAATAAATAATAAGATTGTTATATTTGCAAAACTTAAAAAGATTTATTACGTTTAAATAAATAAATAAGTTTCAAATAAAACCGATCATAATTATTAAGTGATTATAACATATATAGTATACTTAAATTCATATATTAATTTAAAATATATATTTTTATTTTATTAATCATCTTTTTGTATTTTTCAAAGTTATATAAATAACTGATTAAGGTTTTTATTTGCCATAAAAATATTATTATTAAAAAGCTATAAATTATTAATACTTACTTCTTATGGTAATTATAAATAAATAATAGTTTTTTAATCATTTATAATAAGATATTTATATTTAAGAATATTTAAACAAACTATTAAATTAATAGTATTTATTTATGAACTATTCAAAATACTTTTAAAATGAAAAGTTAATTACTTATATAAAAATATGTATAATAAAAACATAAACTACTATAAAACACGAAAAAATCTTTAACGCGCTTTGATATATATTTATAAAGTTGAAAAATATTTAAACCCAGATTTAATAGCTTAACAAAGAAAATCAGTCATATTATCGATTTTCGTAATTTTTAAGTAAAATAATAAAAGCTTTAAATTAAAAATTTGTTAAATTTACTTTAATTCAACGCAAAAATTAAATTTAAAACATTACGTCTTATTAGTTACAAACGAGTAAAGAATAATTAATTGACGTATTTTATAACGTAAAGGCTATTCATGATGTTTAAGTTGCGGTAAAAAAAAACCTACTAATCGTTATTAATATAAGTACAAAGCTAATTTCGTAAAAAAAGCTCCGAAATTTTAACAAACTAGTCTAAAAAATATAATATTTCAATAATAATTAACGAGATAAAAATATTCGCGATTATAATTGTTGTAAACCTCGTCTATAACTATGTTTTAGCCCTTGCAAAATGGGGGGTGTTGCAGAAGTCGGTGGGTCCCTCTAGAGATAATGCCACCTGGACCTTCACCTTCACCTTCACATACATTGAGTGAGTGCTCCGTCTGGCCACGATGCATCACCATTGACGTGGACATTCCCACATCCGACAGTCCTGTTTCCATGTGACATATCCCCAAGCAAAGCGGCATCAATGCGCTGTCATCAGCTATTCCTCCTGGGCTGGCTACAGCTCTGTCAAGCTCGCCAGCCAGGCTTTAGTGTCCACCATGATCTACTAACATACCCTCAGGTATTTCCACCACCCACTCTGCCACTATGGACTGGTTGCCCTGTGATACTGAAGTTACTGACGATGGTCTAGTTCGAGATAGTCTTCTCAGAGACCTACATTTCCGAACCCGAAGCGCAAGCCCTGGTCGAGAAGACAGACCCGGCCCACCCCAACTACGAAGCCGATTTCGCCGGTCAGATCGACCTCGCCTCCAAAATCCGTGCTGCCAAGGATGGAGAAGAAGGCCCCAGCAGTGGCGACCACAAGGTTGCCGAGTCGTACGAGATCATGAGCATGCCACCACAGCGTTACCTTTGTGCCATTCCAGTCATCGAAGCTCCTCCCGCCCCAAACAAGACTGCCACCGAGCTGGCCAAAGCGGAGGAGGCGCGGGAGCTAGCGAGGGCTTCGGCTCACGGTTGGGATCTGGTCAACGCCCTTGACGGTAGCTGCCTCTATTACATGTCAGGGTGGTGGAGCTATCGGTTCTGCTACGGCCGCGAAATCACGCAATTCCATGCATTACCTGCCAGCATGAAGACTGGCCCGCCTAAGAGGGATCCTACCACGGCAGAGTATGTGCTGGGCCGAATTTCCGATCCCAATCTAGCCTCACGCCGACGTGGCCAGAAACCACCCCCCAAGGGCCGAGAGCAGCAAGGTCAGCCGGCGGGAGCAGCCCCGTCAAACACGGAATTGCAAGTGAAAGGGGACCAGCGATACCTGGTCCAGAAGATGAGCGAAGGCACCGTCTGCGATCTGACAGGCCGCGATCGGACAATCGAGGTGCAGTTCCACTGCAGCCCCGGCAGCACACAGGACCGTATTGGTTGGATTAAGGAGGTAACCACGTGCGCGTACCTGATGGTGGTGAACACGCCCCGACTGTGTGAAGACGTAGCCTTCCAGCCGCCAAAGGAGGAACGAGCGGACGTCATAAGCTGCAGGGCTATTGTGCCGGAAGCTGAGCAAGCAGAATGGCATGCGCGTAAAACCCTAGAGGCAGAGGCCGCCATGCTGGGACAGACCAAGCAAACAGTAGCACCAGTCACCATCGGTGGAGTCATTGTTGGCGGACGACATATCCTCGGGAGAGGGGAAAATGGCAAAGAGGCACCCAAACTGGCACCCCCTCGGAACTTCCGCGGTGGGGACACAGAACCGGTCGTTGAGGTTGTCGCTCGGGGGTCTAGCAAGGAAGACGGCAGCAAGGTCCAGATGCTCACCGACGAGGAGCTTGCGCAGCTGAACCTCAGTCCTGAGATGATTGAGGAGCTGAGGGAAGAGCTGCAGAAGCTAGCAGGCGATAGAGGTTGGAAGCTTGAGGTCGTCGAGGTAGATCCCAGAGAGATCGTTGGAGTGCTTGACGAGGACGAAGAAGGTGATGAAGAAGGCAAAGGCGAGGGTGAGCAAACAGGCAGCGAGGAAAAGTTCTTCAGGGAGGACCTGTGATATACCGATACGATACGATACTGGCATGGCGAACGGCGTTCTCTAGGATTAGTTGCAACAAAACCTTATTCCCTCTCTCGATCCCCTCTCCGTGAAGAACCGTCTGCAATAGGTCACGTCACAGAGGCTGACCATCATCCCTCGTGCTGCAGGTCCACCACCATGGCGGCCTAGATCCTCTAGGGCGTGAGCCTCGTTGCGCCCCCAATTACTCGCTGACGCCGGTTTTGACTCGGCTCGCAAGCCACGACGTTACAAACGACTCTACCGGGTTCTTTACTCATCAGCTGTTCCAGCACAAGCCTGGCTACTGGCTTGACCGCCAGCTGTGTCCCCTCGTCCGGTCAACACACTAGCATCAGGTGTTTGACGCTGTGTAAGACCCTGCTGGTCCATCACGATGGATACGACGAAGATCAGAGAAAGCTAGGCCGAAGAGACGAGGCAAACAGGAATGAGGCGGGCGTGGTCCGCGCGAGGTTGCAAACCAGGGACCAGCTGATCGGATTGCAATCCGGGCGGTGTTTGCACCCGCAGACACACGATCACCCCAGTCCCAGGGTCGACGTGCACAGAGGCGAACATGTCATAGGCACTCAGGTCAGCAGCTCGTCGTCTCCCGCAATTGCTGTATTGCAGCTCTGCCGTGATTATCAGCTTCGTAGGTCAGATTCTGCTACGATTTATGCACACGACATACCCACAAGTTGGCCACGCGCAAATAGCTGCATTCCGAGGTCTGGCAGGTTCCAGCGTGCCGTGGCCTGTTTGTGTTCATAAGGTTTGCTCAGCTCAGATGGCGAGTGGTATTATCTTGACCCGCCGGATCATCAAGGCCTTGGTAAGGTATGCGCCGCCGTGTGGTTCTGAAGCGATCCGTGGCAGTGTGGTCTCATCCCCCTTGGCCATATTACTTGGTCCTGTAGCAACGTTCAGGCTTCCCTTGAGAGCTCTTCTGACATGGCTGATGTTGGGAGGATGATGGTACGTTCAGCCGTTGGCTCTTGAGACTTAGAGGCTACGTGCTGCTGCGTGAAAATACACGACTTAGGTAGCCGTGCTCCAGGCTTCACGATCTCCTACTCAATATACCCTCCAGTTGGACTGACATGATGACAAGCAGGTGGCCTGTCGGTGAACGTATGATGCACCCAGCGCGAGGCAGTACAACATCTATAATCCAGAACTATGTACCGCCACTACCAAAGCCACTGATTGCTGGATCGTGTATTAGTAGATATGTCACGTTGGTACCGCAATGAACTGGACAAGTGGCGCACATGCACTGCTAGTAGAAGCTCGCCATTCGCCAGCATGCTGTACTGAAACAGGATTGCGAGGTCGTACACTGACGGCAGGGGATGGAAGCTGGAGACGAAGCGTGTCTAGTCCCTGGATGCTTCAAGGTACCAAACATGCTGCGAGATCGAACCTGGTGATCCTCGCAATTCGGGAGACTGGGCCCCTTGATCTCAGAAGGGAATCGGCTCTCACCGTGAGTGGTTTGGGCTTCACCGGTAGCAAACATCAAGACCCCGTAACGTACCTAGGGAGGCCTTTGACGGCTGAGGTGGTCGATTAGTAACGGACCAAGATACTTCCCATGCATAGGACTTTTGATCATGCTTGGACGCCGCCATGAATAATGTAGTCGGAATTCAACATAACCCATCTCAGACTCCAAGTAAGGGGCAAATAGTAGTAGTATACCCGGGTACGGTAGCAACTACTACATCGATGAATGAGATGCCAGACCGACGGGATGAACCTGAAGAGCTCTCTTCCGAAGATTCGGGAACCATCAGGCAGGGCCACCTGCAGCTGCGTAGGTCTGGGTAGGCGAGAGACCGGTAACAAACCTCGCCATGGTCAGGAATGATTGGCTCCTCGCGGTCTCTCTCATGACACCGGAGGGCTGGCCTCCCGCCACTTAGACAAGCCTACGCGGTTCTGAAGTTTTCCCCGCATTCGCGAGAGGCTCTGGAGCGAGCTCTGTCTTAGTTCCGGGGAGAGAGGGGGGTGGGCGAAAAGGCATTTCAATATCCTCTGCTCGTCGCTGGAATTCTCGCCAGTTGCTTCGTGAGAGATGATCCCCTTAGCTCTGGTCTCTCCTCCCATTCCTGCTCATACCAGCTCATACTCTACCGCTATCGAGTCTGAAGGGTCCTGTGTCCTGGACAGCGTCCATGGCCTCTTAGCCATGCAGTGTAACGCCGATCGCGAACCGCCAGTCCGACCTGCTCTGCCTGCTAAGAGTGACAGCTTGGCTGGTAGCGGCAGCGGTGTCCCGAGGGTGAAGAGGGAGGACGGTGGTGGATCTGGGGTCGTCCAACATCCACTATCGTCGAAGCGGACCGTCTGCGATCACTGTCGTAGGAGGCGTACGTCGTCCTTCTCTTCTTAACCTTTCCGAGTTGCGTCCATGTCTTGTCTCACGGAGACTATCTTCTCTCTTGTCCTCCTTGGTCAACTACACTGGGTGGCTTCGTCTTCGTGTCATCGCGCCTACGTGCTACGGGGCGCTGTTGAACAAGGTCTAACTACCTATTACCCGCACTGCTAACGCTGACCACAGGCATCCGATGTGACGGCCAGTTCCCTTGCCAGCAATGCGCCAACGCGACACTTACATGCAAGCGAGAACACGTCCCCAAGAAGCGTGGTCCAAAGAGAGGTCATGGACGTGTCATCAACGAGCTTCGGGCTCGAGAGAAGGCACCGCGGGACCCCGACAGCGCAAGCAACTCAGACGCCGAGAACGATGGCTCTTTCTCTCCATCTAGGTCGGCGGCACCAACGGCATCATTGTCGCCCCGGGAGTCATTCGTCCCACGGCTCAGGACGTCGGTATCATCATCATCGGCATCGGACCACCGCTACGCGGCAGAACCCCAGTCGCCGTTCTCGTCAGACGCCTTCCGACCAAACAGCCGTTGCTACTTCCATCTGATCCCGCGATGCGTCGACCTGTACTACGAGCACATGTACCCCATCATGCCACTCCTGTATATGCCCAACTTGCGGGCGACCGTAGCGCGACCACTGACGCCGTCCGACAAGAACCTCGTCTACGCGCTCTGCGCTCTGACGTCCTTCCACATGTCGGGCAAATCGACCTCGCCGCCAGGACCGCCGAGCTGGGAGATGGTGGGACGTTTCTTCCTGGACGAGTGCATCTCGGTGCGGCAGAGCTACGACTTTGTCGAGGACCTGTCGCTGTCCTCGGTCATCTCGAGCTTCTGGCTCAGCACCAGCTTCTTCGAGATCAATCAGAACCGCAAGAGCTGGTATTACCTGCGCGAGGCTATGACCCTGGCATTGGACCTGGGCTTGCACGACGACGCGACGTACGTCGATATGACTTCCGAGGAGGTGCTGTGTCGACAGCGCGTTTTCTGGATCCTGTTTGTGACGGAGAGGAGCTTTGCCATCCTCAGGAACAAGCCCCTGACCCTTCGGAAGACGCCGAGGCTGCCGACGCGCGGCCATGACTACGAAGGGCCGGATATTCACTCGGGGTTTATGAAGCTGGTCAATAGCTACATCCCGCTGGACGAGAGCTTCGTCAATGCGTGGAATGATGGGAGTGACCCGAGGGTATCGGCCGCGACGTATCTCAGTCTGCAGCGGATATTTGCGCAGCCCCTGGACTTCCTGTCGCGACTAAGGAGAAAGAACCATCCGACCGGACTACTCAGCTCCTACAAGAATGAAGACGAAGAGGTCGAAATTTCTGAGCCCACGGCGATTCAGAAGGCAGACCTGCTCATGACCCAACAGTGGCTACGTCTAATCATCTGGCTATCAGCTTTTCGGCAAGGTCTGTTGTCGACGGCGTCACCTGAGGAGAGCATGAATTTCTCGTTTCCTCTCTCGATTGCCCGAGATACCGCTGCAGCTCTTCAGTCTCTGCCGAGTTCCGCCATCGAGGTGCATGGAATGGGCATATTTGAGAAGATCTTCGAGATCGGGACCTGGTGTGTGAAGTGAGTAAACCAGTCCCCGCAGTTGCTGTTCCTACGATCCCGAAGTTCTAATTATAGTTGGCAGCGTTTTGGGGGCGTACGACGCCGGTTCCAGCAGCTCCCGCGGGCCTTATGGGAGAGCCACGAATAACACTGCGGGAATGGATCTCGTGAGAGGCGACCTGGGGCTCTTGGGTCAAGGGGGGAGATTAGGCGCACATACGGACCCTCTGGAGTTCTTCGTCAAGACCCTGAGCTTGAGTCCCAACAGCCGCAAAATGTTTGCAGAGAAGCTGCTTATGTTCGCGGGTGATACTCCTGGCGGGCTACGGACATCTTTGAGTCCGGCTCCGTCCACACTCACAACATCGAGCTCCGGCACTGAAGGCAGCAGGCGGGGAGACGGAGTTCTTGTGGAGGAAGCCAGCGACGACGTCAACGCGTATGAAGTGGTCAGTCCTTCGCCCGTAAGAGCAAACCATTGGCAGACGATAGGGGGAGATGCGATGGAAGGCGTTATAGCAGGCACGATATATGGAAATACCCATCATGATTCAGGCGCCGGCATGGGGACAGGATTTACAGCCAGAGGCTCAGGGGTCCACCGTATCGTGCCGGATATTCCATTCCTGGCTGGACTATCACCTATGTCCGCCACCGGCGCAAATTGGACTGGCTACGAGTTCGGAAGCATTCATTCCCAGGCGCACACTGGCTACATGCGAGCCAGATTGGGACCGATACCGGCACCACTCGGAGCTTTCATGGGCGGCACCGGTGTGCCGCCAGCGGGCTACACGGATGGGCAAGGGGCAAACGGTCAATACGGACAGTCTAAGAGGTTCTCAAGTTCTAACGGCATTTTGGGAGTCTGGTAGATACCCACTGTGGTGTCATCTTTGACAGCGAATTCGCTCAGGCGTTGGTTCGGGCACGGATAGGGGTATGACTTACGGCTAACTGGGAACAAGGTATGGCTTCTGGGTTTGAATAAACATACGTCACATACTTCTTGTATTTACTGCCTTGATACTTGCAATGATGAAGATTTCGCGTTCGATCTTCCAGTTTCCGTCTCACTACGCGGTGCTGTTCCTCGCGACCGACCCTCATAATCCGCTGACAAGTCATGCTCAAAGGAGAGCTTTCGGCAGAGTGGCATACGAGCTGCTACGTCGCACAGGTCTCTATTCATCCATTACGGCCCTGTCCTTGTGCAAGTCATGAGGTCCGATCAACCAGCCCAGCCCAAGATCCGGTAGTCAGCAGGTCCGCATATGCGTGTAAGCCCAAGCGTTACTCCAAATCCGATGGGACGCGCCTTGCATGTTTCGATGCTGCGCGTGGCCACCAACTTGCTATAGCTTATTGGACTGGTTCCATTTCCGATGCTGCAGGGAGTATGTTCTGCATTGAGTGCGTACAGACTGGGCTGCCGCGACGAGCAAGCGTTTTCGTTCGCGGCTTCGTAGGACCATGTGTACAGCCTGACTCTCAGCGCTCTCTGTGTACATTGGTGGCCCAAGTGGTTAGAGAGGACGGTCGAGCTCGACTAGGAGCAGTGGGTTGTGGTGTCCTAATGATGCTCATGCAAGACATCTCGGGATAATCGTCAAACGATTGATTCCATCCCTGTTCGTCCCCCAGCGGCGCACCCATGATATAGCTCGTGGCCCGAACAGCGTCGCTCGGAGCAGGAACGTCACGCCTGAGTCGATGCCTACCTATATGAGATGGCTCGATCTGGGCATGGTGGCGCGGCGATAAGTAAGCCTTGTCCAGGCATGGAGCCCTGGAGAGACGCCTGTCTTTCCTCGAAACGATAAGCTCGTACTGCAGCTGTGTCGTCTGCACGACACTGACACTGCATGAGGTACATATGTACCTAGGTATATATCTGGCAACCTCTCAGGGGCTGCAAGACAGCCAGCACCTCTCACCTTACACAACGTGTCGGCAGCTGCTGTTGTCGACGAAAGGCTTGCTGTGTTCCCATTCGGAGGCCCGGTGCTGCTGCGCCGGGTTCGCGGAACATTGGCCAACACCGGCAACGGCAACAAGCTTGAATCCGTGTAGCATCGACTCGTGGGTCCCAAATGCACATTGATCCAGGTCCATGGTGCTCGGTGTGCTCACGACGGCTTCAATTAGGTCGGTTGGACTTTGCATGAGCGACTGATCCGGAGGCTGAGACTGCCCGCTTGTTGCCCGCTTTGCTATTCTTCTGCGACCTAGGACAAGACAGCGGCACAGAGGTACACGTACGTACACGAATGACGCCGGCGACCAGACAGCCTCACCGACACCAGCACTGTCGTACCTCGGAGCGGCATTGCACACGATTGAAGAAGGAAACCAGACGTAATCCCATCAAGACGGTTTGAAGAGCTAACCTTAGAGGTAAGACGGCTGAGGACTAGGAGCGACTGACGGGACCTTTCGTTATTATGGCTGAACCAGGGAATTGAGTTCATCGTCCCGCCTGCAGCTAGCTGAAGCCATTTGGCCTCTGAGACAACGGCGCGTCAGAACCGCAAGCTCTCTTCCAGCCAAGGTACAGTACACCGTGTAGGAGAGGCAAAGAGTCAACTCTACCATGGTAGACCAACCCAGTGGGACGCGAACCGCGCGATTTCTTGGTCGCTACCGCAGCGTAGTAGCATTATCAATTTATCCCCATGGAGATAGCAAGGCCATGTCTCATCCGAGCTACTGTGTAAAGAGGTTGCAATTGCGCTTTGACCCAACTTCCAAGCTCTCGACGATACAGACACGACAGAAGAACAGAAGCAGTCGGCAACAATCAGTCCTACTTTGGCCAGCTCGGCGCTGCATATGCGGAACCAGACCAACGACCATGGGCTGATCATAGGCGACTGCAGACACTGGCATACCATAGCAACATCAGCCAGCCCAATGGTGTTGCGGTGTTGCGGTGTTGCGGTGTTGCGGTGTTGCGGTGTTGGGCATCGCATGCGTGGAACTGGACACTGGACATGTCACAGGAGAGAGGTGAAAATGTGACGGCCCCTCTCCATTTCCGACTTCTCATCACACTGCCATGGATGATGGGACTGCGACCGTCACGAACGGATCACCGCCAGTCAGCCAATCACACGAGATCCCGACGTCGTGGAAAACCAGGCCCAGTGTGCCTGTGTGCCCAGCTGCCAGATTTTTTGTTTCCGGCTCACGCGGTGGGCCGTCTGGAAACGCGGCAAGGATTGGATCACTTCCGACCCCTGTACTCAGACCCTTGAAGAGCTTGGCTACGATGGCTGCTTAGGTCTCTGCTGTTAGAGGTTGTCCGGTGTGCCGGTGTTGCTTGTCGACGGTCGGCCAGACAAACAGCTACCTACAGTATTCCGTACTCTAGATATCCCCAGTATCGCACCAATCGGCTGGGAAATCATGTGAGGTAGGCAAAGTACATACATGTTCCTGTTCAAGTCCAGAACAAGAGTTCGGTTAAACTCTCTCTTCCAAGTCTGCCCAACTTGGAGCTTTCTCTTGGAGGCAGCCCCTTTGTCGGCGACGTTATCTACCCGCAGACTCGCAGCAGACTCAAGAGCTGCAAGACAGGACCATGTTCTGGTCTGGGATGGCTTTGGTGCCTCCATCTTCCGTGTCATCCACTCTATCTCGGGTATTTAACCAATCTGAAGCTTCTGGTCAAGGCTCTACATGTGCCTACATACAGTATATAGATGTCGGGGATGGTAATTGTTAGCGTCTCCATATACCAGGGCCTCTGGGTCCGTATTGGATGGTATTTCGTACGCCATAACATAATGGGAAGTGACCATCTCTACACCACTCTGAGATTTCGTCGATCACCATGTATATTCTGCGCATATCTAGCAGACGAAGTACGGACCCATCATATTGAGACGCTAAAAATTACCATCCCCGACATCTGTAAGTAAAAAGTAATTCAAGTGTATTATTTGACGGAATGACCACTAACAGAAGCGACTTGCTGCATTAACATCGTTCCCCGGTAGCTGGCAGGCTCAGCTGAGCGCTCTAACCCCCATCTAATAACCCACCCCGGTCTTACTAGCATGCCAGATCCCGACGGGAAGGGACCAACACCTGGACTCTCGTAGCGCGGCAATGCGCCAGCACTACGGGGATAGTACTGTGTACACGCCAGTGAACCCAGTCAATCACAGCGAACCAGCAGACTGACAGACTGGCAGACTGCAGGTGACAAGAGACGACCGCCGCGGGAAGAGGGAAGCAGGAGTCTCCCCGTCTCGGTCTCGTTTCCTTGCCTCTCCCAATCCAATGCTTTTCCACTTCGCTCTGTCACCTGTGAGGTGGAACTGTCTCTCGACTGGCAGTTGCTTCATGTCCCGTTCCTTTCCGCCGCTCTGCGTTGCCCTGCGAGTCTGTGAGATTCAGGCATCCCCTTCCAAAACTCGCGACACTTGCACTCTCTCCTATCATCCTATGGTCCATCGCTCTCTAAGAATACTTGCTATCACCACACCGTCCCTCTTGTTCTCCGGTGCTGCTGTCCCGGTGTGAATACCGTGCTGTTCGGTATCAGAGACTTCCCACCCGACACTGTGGTTTTGAAGCTTCAACCGTGGTGGCTTGCTCCGTCGCTTGCCGTCAGCCAATTATGGGTACTTCTCCCTGAGACACACCTTAGACAAGACATCCAGATACCTGGTGCAACGACGACACGTCAACTTGCTTTCTTGTTTCTATGACCGGCTCTTTCTCTCCTTTGACAAACACGCCAGTTCCATGCTCTTCGATTCGCAACCAGCGCGTGTTCGAAATTGAGTGTTGAGCTGACATCAAGAGTCTCGCGGGTCGAGGTCATGGTGTGTGAGTAGAAGCAGAAGCAAAAGCAAAAGGAACGAGAACACCTCCCCCAGCACACGACAGCGATCCTCGTTCCCGGCTACGTCTTGAACTCATGTGTCTGACGGTCACGGCGTCACGAACGAGCCGTCGATCGACCAAACGTTGTGCCAGCAGCCAACCTAGTCGCAAACCCCGTCTTAAGTCGCCCTACTAAGACGCTCGAGCCGCTGGTGCGCTTCACTACCGGTAGTAATTACAGCAACACAAAGCATCCCTCGAAGCTGTTCGTTCCGATATCGAGACCGTCCACTAGGTCGGTGGAGTTGCTTGGAAAACAAACATTGCCTCCAAGCTCCCAACAAGCACCATCCCGACAGTTGCGCTTGTCGCCGACGCACCACGTCACTGCTCCTAATTGCTAATACGGAGCCTAATACACCAGGTGGTTAGGTCCGGCCGTTCCAACGACTTTCGTAATATCTTCTACCCATCATACTCAGAACGGACACGCCGAGGCGCAGTCCACCTCGCTGTCGTCACGATGGATGGCAGTGGGGACCCGAAAGAGTCGCGAGAGCGTTCACAACCTCGCGCATCCCCACGAGCGAACACAGCAAGTATAGCCAATGCCCAGTCGACACCAAAGAGCATGAAAAGCACGACACCAAAAAGCATGAAAAGCACGAGCAGCACTCCTTCTCGCCTGCGCGAACCGACACACGCGACCGCACATCCAACACACAAATTTCATCACAGCCATTGCGGCGAGAGCCCAGCGAGTATGAGAACTTCGTCGCGCCTATCGAGGCAATCGAGCCAAGAGCCGAGGCAAAGCAAGCCGCCAGTCTCGAACTTTCTGCATGAAAAGTTGCAACGGGAAAGACAGGCAGAGAGCGAGAGACTGGCAAAGAAGTTGAGTGGGAGTCTGAGCTCTTCGGCCGGCGACGTCCGGGACAGAGAGGCGCAGAACTCACCCAGTAGGAGCAGTGCAGCTGGAACGGGACGGGGGCCCAGGTCGAATAGTGGTGATGAGGACTCAAGTCAGCATGGGATGGGGGCTAAGCAAATGGACAAGGTACTTCAACGAACTTTAATGATATGTGCTTGTATTGGTGGGGAGAAGCTTGGTGACTAACAGGAGAATGTCGTGCAGGCCTTTTCGAATCTACACAAGCAGAACTTCGATCTCAAACTGGAGTTGTACCATCGACGTGAGCGGCAGAGCGCCCTAGAACAGAGAGTCGAGAAGCTCGAGTCCGAACAGCGCGAGACCAACGAGATGAACGACAAACTGCTTGCCGAGCTGCAAAACAGAGACAAGGCCGTGGAGGAGGCTGTTAACATGATTGTCAAACTAGAGGCACGAGTCGATGCACTGGTTCGAGAGAAGGAGATGGTACGACAGGTCGAATTCGGAGGTCCATACCACCACCCACAAGTCGATGACGCCGAAGCCGCGATGGCGGAAACCCCCAGGTTGAACGACTTTGGACTTTGGCCATCGGTCGGGGAAACTAAGAACCTCGAACGAATGCCCAGCTTTCTTTCAGAACAGAGTGAACACACTGAAAACCTGAGAAATGTGGTGCTGCAGAGTCGAAGCAGCTTGATGCATCTGCGTAAGGTGTCGGAATCCAGCGCCGATCCTAGCGAGTCTCATCGCTTCGCCAGCCCAAGCCTCAGCATACTCAGTGAGAGCTCGTTCAAGAGTGTCTATGGATCCAAGGATGGGCAAGATACAACAGGCTTGCCGACGCTGGACGACCTGGGAGGCATGAATGGCATGGACGGCAGTCAGTTCGACCGGTCTCGTACGCCAACCAGGAAGACGAGCATGGGAAGTTGGGACAGCCGGAGCAACCTCACTCCGAATCACGGGATGAATGCGGCCGATAAGACAAGGAACAGTCGTTCGACGCAGCCGCGGTCGTCGAATGATATCTTCATCGCCGGTTCACCACTTCAACAACTCGACAGGCGCGAGACGAAGGCATCAGCCACAGATGTGTCGCCCGCATCATCTGGCTCCAACCAAGGTAGAAGAGTGACTACGCCCACTCGGGCTCGAGCAGTGAAGCCACAAACGCAAGCCAGGACTAAGCAGGACAAGAGAGCAGCTTTACATAAGGTGCTGACCAACTACCCTACCAACAACGATTTCAACAGTTCACTCACGTTGCCTCCAACTCCTGATACCGTCTCGTCGTCGTTTTTGCGAACACATAAGCATCATACCAGCTCGCAAGACAGTCTCATGAAGCAGGTAGAGATCATCTCGGCTGACAGCTCGTTCGGGCCGCAATCGGATAGATCTGGGCATTCCGTGTCGTCAATCGGCAGGTATCAAGCCTCGCCACATTTGGACTCGCAGCTCGCTTCCACGACTGCCTTCTCCAGCCGCAGGCATGTGCCAGCGCCTGTTGTCAATTCAGATTTGTTTTCCGGGTTCGGGCACTTGGCTCAGGCCCTTCCACGACGTCCTCACTCGGCAGCCGAGACAGCTAGCTCTCGGGCCCGAGCTGATAGCTTTGTCTCGGATTCGGACTCGGACGGCGGAGTAGATGCACGTTCCGAGGGCGAGAGTGTTGACTATTTCATGCGGGAAAGCTTGAAAGAAGATGGACGTAATGTTCATTCGCAGAGAGAGCGTGGCAAGCGGCGATCTCCCTCCCCAGATCTGTTTCACTTCCCTGCAGACGCCGGCGGATGGGAAACGGACGTCATTTTTGGCGCATTGAAAGGCAGCGGGTTTCTTGGCTCGCCCGTGTCGACATTGAAGCGCGATCCTATTGACGACATGACCTCTTCATTCGAGGCACGACAAACAGAGACGTTGGAGCCGCCCATAACGGGACCAGCACCCCCGTGTCCCTCTCGCAGATCGAGCTTGCAAGCTCGTACCGGGAGCTCTAACGCGGAACCTCTATTGGGCGGGAAACTTAGGAAGAGTCCTGTCCGGGGTATAAGCGTGGCTAGAATAGACACCAGGGGAAGAAGCAACAGCATCGACTCTGCGGCGCGAAACCCACCGCATAAGATGCCTTCGCAGCAGTCAGAGGCCGGAGCAGGGGGCAAGCGAAGCCAATACCCACCCATATCGGGGTTACAGTCAAGAGGACGAAGTCTCGGGCTGAATACCCTCTTCAGACGATCTGGGTCTGAAAGTTATAGTGTTCCCACCAGTGCCACTGAACCAATAATCCCACCCATGGCTACACCTCACTTGCCGCCGCCGCAACAGCAAGCACCATCACATCCGTTTGTACCACCAAAGGGTACAAGGCCCACCGGTAGGAGTAGTGTTCCGCCGCCGTTGACCATGCCATGGGCTATGCGGCCGCCGAGAACGTTCGAGGATGATTTCAGCAGTGCCACGCCTCCTCCGATCATGCGCAACCGTGGACCGCAGCCGGCGGCCTCAGGAGATAGCAAGGATCCTATGAGCCCTGGGATACCTCAGACACAGGTCGATATGATGACCGGACCGAGTACGCCGACAACGGTGGTATTTCCTGCCGGTGGGAGCACCGTCACGACAGTAACGGGACCTCCGAGCGCAACGAAGAAACGGTGGTTTGGCCTGGGAAGAAGAGGTAGCCTGAAGGGCTGATGAGTTTGGCTTGTGTTTGTGAGATCATGGTGTAGTACTACTATTGGACTTGCCAAGGCAATACTTGGTTAATAGTAGACTCTTGCGGGACAGCGCAAGCTGGGGTTTCCAACTCGGGACTTGGCATGGCACCGGACATACTGCGGCTTGGTCGGGATCCAGGTTCAGTATTGTAATTGTGGGAGTTCAGATAACGAGCGGCCTGGAATGGCTGTACGTCTCGTCGTCGCCTCACTCACGGCACGGCACGGCAGGGCCATGAGGGTTGGCATATCAGATTGTACCTTCGGCTCAAAAGGCTGAAAATGATGCCATTTTTCATCCCTGTGAGCCGGAACCGAGATGCCAATCAAGTACATCGACACGGTGCCTGTTACAGTCGCGCTTTCCTCGTAGATAGGGGAAGGAGACAGCGTGTTCGTGCTTGCCATGATTGACTTGGTGACGTTTGAGTCTAGTAGGAAGGTCAAACCCAACGATTGCGGTAGGCTCTTGCATTCCTCGTTCGCTTCCACAGTGAACTACCTAGAGTTTGTCTCGCCTCTCAGACGAGAGACCCCATCTCTTCCTACTCACATCCATCCAGGTAGCTAGCAAGCACTTGTCGGCCTGTTACATCGCAGCACCCGCTCAGCACACCAGTCTTCCAAAGGCAACGAAGTCACCATGGCGTCCATTCCACCCATTCCGGGCATGCCTCCCGTGCCACTCATCCTCTGCGACGTGGCCAAAATTATCGCGGCAGTTTCCGAAGCCCATCCACTCCCCCACGACAGTCCACGCCGTGCGCAACTTCTTCGCCCTTGTTTTCGCGGACTGGCTATGATCTCGATTGCATCGAAGATGATGCCATCCGCCAGGTTCTCCGGGATATACGGGCGGCACACAGGCGGACTTCGTTGTTGAAGAGGTTTGGTTTTACGTCCGCGTAAGTCGACATCGCGTTCCTCGGTGAAAGGTGTTCTTGGTCTAACCGGGATACTGTAGATAGCCCGACTCCTCGAGGACCCCGAGGTATGTCAAGCATTAGTGGCACATCGAGGGGTATTCCAGTTGGGTATTCTCAGCACAGGCTTACGTCGGATGAAGGCTCTGCGGCCCCTGGAGGTGCCGAGTTCGCTCAAGATCATGATGTCGAACCCCAGACGGATAATTGAACAGTTAGTGTGGCTTACAATAATCTTTCTCTCGGCGCTGTTCCTCGGTTTGTCCTATCGCTGAGACAGCAGGGCCGAACACACGAAGTAGTCACGTCTCTCATAATCGCGGCGGGCTTGCACACATTCACTGGGCGTTGAGGCGGATGGAAGACGAATAGAAGCATCAGCAGGTTCACTGCACCGTGCCCGGAAGATCGATCGCGGGTCTCATGGTGGATCAATGTACGTTGGTGCTATCAAGCTATTCCCACATCTGCGATTATTCAGGCCTGCACTAGCTCACTCGTACCTTTTCCACCTGTCCTCATAGACCTGTCGACATGGCATGGGCTGATACATCGTGTACCGCGAAGCTTCACGTACGCGGACTATAGGTAGACCTCGCAATGACTGTCCATTCCATCAGCATCTCATACCTCCCGGGCACTCAACTCGCAATGACCGAACCGATCCATGCGACCGTTTTGGCCTGCTCTCTGTTCCTAATGAGCTGTCTCATGCTGCATTGTCTCCAACACGTACCTTGCCCTACGCAACAAGATGACGCGGCGAAAGGTAGGCATATTCCAACACATCATGTCGAGCCGCTTGACCGATAGGTGGGACTCTTCTTCTTCTTTTTCTTCTTCTTCTTCCTCTGGTGGCGCGATCTCACAAGAGCGGTCACGAGGATACCAGAAGGTCCATGCGCTGCGCAACTGTTCGCTGTAGTAGCGCCAAGCTGAAGCTTCCTCATCGCTGATAGCTGCAGTGACGAAGCGCTCCAGTTCATCGACATGAATCGAAGTATGCCCTTGTACCAAATTCGTCATTAGACTCTCGATGCCGGCAGTGTCGTCCAAGTGGAGAATACGTGGGTGTACGCGGCCGGGCCCGAATAGTCGAGTCTCGAGCACGTGATCGCTTCTCTCCGGAAGATCATACTTCGATGTTACAAAATCGACCGACTTGAGGAATGGAAAGTTCCGTGGGTCGAACAGGTGTTTGCAAAGTAGAGCTGGGCATATGTACTGGTACTTCATCACCCGTGTGCCGACTATGACGCTTTGGGCACATTCGAAGAACCCAGATAGGGGATGGCGAACGACTCCCCTGCCATGATCTGGTGTTGGACTGAAAGAGTCGTCAAACGATAGGCTCAACGTATCTCGCGTTGGATCAAACCAGGCCCATCGAGTACGGAAGCGCGGGTTCATGCCCAGATCACGGTACTCGGCGACGGGCATTCTGGGGTTTCTGATGGGTACAAGCTTGCCGCTGCGGCAGGCGACGGCCCTTGATTCTTGGTTGACTTGGGCTGTCGTGGGAGGATCATGGTGCGATACGAAGTCGTATACATTTTTGCCGAGGACCTGCCCTCGAACTGTAACTTCGATGAACCGGGCCATGGTGGCAATATCCCAGATCATGCATCGAATTTCGGGTGGAAGACTACCGAACTTAGGCCATTGGGCTGGATTGTCGATGCATTGCCGCAATATACGAATTTCTCCTCGGAGACTTTGGATGGTACCACCCACGTCAAAGTCTACGAGTGCGCGTGAGATCGATTTCGAGACTCCTTCGCAATATCAAGCACGTGGTGGCGGAAGTCGTCTTGCTGATCTTGTAGATTGCTGATAAAGCGGTCGAGGCTGTCGAATCTTGACATCACCAAGCTCGACTCTTCTCTGATAGCCTGGACAGACTCATGAGCTTCATCGGCGTAGGTTCGCATAGTTTCGACGTCCGGTTCATGCTCGTGGAGAGCTCGGGCCAAACCCTTCATGTCATCCCGGATTGCGGTGGAGTCTCGTCTCAGTTCATCGCACCGGTCCTCAATCAGTTGTTTGATCGGGTTAAAGTCACTCTTGGGGGAAGCCTCTGAAGACATGGTGTTGTCGCAACGACCCGCACGCGGGTTTGGCGCTGTGGTGTCTGGTGATCTGCGATATCGTTGATCTGTTCCGGATCACAAGAGGGTCCAGGTTCCATATCAACTGGGAAGACTAGGACATCAACTTGGGATGTTGGGATGAAGAGAGGTTGCTCATGTAAGTTCTTGATCCATTGCCCGAACTCAGGACGTGCGAGGAGACAAAGGATGGTGCCTCATATTACAAACCAGGCCGGAGCTCGTCAGCTGCAATCGCCCAGTGTTGCCTGGGGCAAACGATAAAGATCCTAGGCAGTGGACGTTGCTATGGGTGTCAAGGTGCCTGCGCCATTCCAATAGCTCTGGCAGCCTGCAGACATTGGACTCTGCCTGAGACTAAGTTAGGTAGATATCTGCGGATACATAGGCCTCCTCGCTCAAACCATAAGGTCAAACATAACTCAAGAAAGCTATAGCCATCATAAGTATAAGTATAGCTGTATCTACGTTCCCCAGACGAATGGGTCTCGGTGATGCTCACCGAAGCGATGACAGGGACACGATCACTTGGCTGAGCGGCGCACTTGTCCATGTCTGCTCGTCACCCTGACGTTGGATACTCGGTGGAAGAAACCTCATGCCCACCTGGTGACTTCGTGCCTATGGTTCTGGCTGTGTCAACTAAATCGTCAGTCTTCCCAAAGTTAATGATTGAGGGCACGACGATTTCACCCCCTTATCGACGGAGGGACTGCAGTATACCTACGAGGGCCAAGGCCAGCGCTATACCGGCTCGTATGAAATCTTCGAGGGTGCTAGACACTGTTACTTTATTATGTAATAGATTGGAGGCGGTGATGCTGGTGTGTACCGGTTTGACAATGGTGCTTGGCCTCCAGTGCCGTCTGTCAACACTGTCAGAACAGAGTAGTGCTTTTGCCCATTGTTGCGCACTGGGGCCATTTTTGGCAGAGAATCACCATTGTTCCACCCCCTGTTGCGATTTTTCACCGATTTTATAAATGCTTCTCGATTTCAGCCGTCGATTTGATGAAAGGTAAGGATCTCCGAACGACTTCTGACCTAACTGCAACTTTCATCTCGCCAACATTTCTCTCGGATTCAAACCAACTCATAACCAACCATGCGTATGACCTCACCTGCCCATTCTAAGACTGGGAGAACCGGAATCAGTGAGCCAGACTTGGATTGTGAGGTACGTACTCCATCTCCCTTGTGTCGCACATAAACTGACCAAAAGTCAGCTCCAGAAACTTCGTCAGAATCTCGAGAGCGTCATCGACAAGTACAGCTTTGTGGAACTCTTGGAGATTACTTGCAACTGTAAGCACCCATGCTTGCCATCTCAAGACAGCGCTAATATGAGAGACCAGTCAAGAGAACAGTCCGGATCAAGCTACGCGACCAGGAACAGAAGAAAGCTCACAACGACGCCGCAGCACTATCTAACCTCAGAGGAAACTTTGCCTGGTCGTGATACCTGCAGAAGCCTGCCGAAGAAAGATGCGAGAGGCGAAGGAATCCACCCCTTTCGACTCATTATGGGAGGTATGTTTGACCTGGGAACCGTAACTCATGTTTGAAGCTGATTTAGAGTTACAGCTGCTGGGTCTGCGCATTTTAAGTCAGGTTTCTGCCGTGACAGCATTCACACCATGCAGAAGTATACCATTGGATTATGGTCATTCTGTTATTGGGAAGAAGCAACATACGTGGAGGTTTTTCCTCACCACAAGTCATCTGGAGATGTTGAGCCCGGGGGCGGTGTCAGGGGTCTTTGAGCCAATCGGCAATATTCGCCCGAAAAGAGGGGTATACGGTATCTATGAGGGCACCTATAGGGTTTACGAGATGCCTATATCAAAAGGAAGGCCAGGTTTTATTTGTATTTTATTTTAATTTTTACTGTATGATATTTAATTGATTGCTTTTTATTTTTTATAACGTTATATTTTAATAGTTTAAAAGCTGTTTATATAATATTAAACCGTTGAAAGTATTTAAAATAGTTGTGATTTTTGAGTTTATTATTAGCTTGTTTATTGGTTTGTTTACGTTTTTTTTTACTTAGTGATAATAATTTAAAGCTAAATATAAATTTAAGCGATATTTAAAATATGATTAAAGACTAAATCGACGTTTATGTTATCAAATTTAAAGCTATATAAGTTTAATACGAGATTATTTTTAATAAGCGACGACGTTTTATTATACTTGAAGTCGACGTCAAACGTCATAAATTTAAAATTTATAAATTTAACATAGTACGATTTATTATCGGTATTAATCTAGGTTTAGTTATCGTATCAAATTTAACTTTAATAAATTAAGATTTGTTTCAGTTGTTACTTATTTATTTTTTATTATTAGCGAGATAATTGCGATATTTATTAGTATTTATTACGAGAGTTATTAATATTTTTATTTACTTTGTATTTTATTTAACGTGCGGTAGAAAGGAGTAAAATTTTATAGCTTTATTAATTTTATTATTTAAATTAAAGCTGTATTTAATACGTAAGAAGACGTACGCTTAATTTAGTACGTTTTATATCCGTTATTTTATTTCGATTTAAAAAACGAGGGAGAAAGGAGTTGTTTTTATAAAAAGCCGTTAAACGAATTTAAAATCCGATTTATAACCGGAATACTTTCTTCTAAACTAAAAATTAAAAAGCGTTTCATACTTTATTAACATAAAAAACCAAAAATTTAAGTTAGTTAATAGTTTTATAAACGATACTGTTGGATCCATGTGATTCCACAGTCAAACCATCCATACAGAACCCACATGTATGATTAGATAAGAGATTAGATACCGGATTGTAAGGTCACTTAGCCAGACCTGCAGGTCTAGCTAGACTTCTCAATCCAACCATCAGCAACATCATGACCTTGACCCAATACTTGAGTATTATGATTGATCGTTCAAGCCTGTTCCCACAGATACGGTATAAAAGTTAAACGAAACCGTGAAAACTTGGTCTAATTTATATATAAAGGTATATATTTATGTTGTGTTTATTAGTAGTTTCATATTGGTTATAATGAAGTTTTAAAACGAGTTCTAGTTTAAAATCTTTTTATATGTAAAGTTTATTTAAGTTAAGGTCAGATCGCTTTATAAAGTATTTTAAGCAATATTTAACATAAAACGCTTAATATTTACTTCTTTATACCTTTTTATTATGATTTAAAGACTTATAAGTAGGTATTAAGGTATTTTTTTAAAATTATTATAGTTTTTTTTAATATTAAAAAGTTAAAGTAACCTTACGCTTCTTAATACGCTGTAAATATTTAAGACTTTTACGGTGTAATACGAACTCTTTGTTATATTATAAAGTGTTTACGATTATTAATCGCAGCTATTTTTTAGATGTTATAATTATAGCGAGATAAACTATATTATTTATTTTTATTTTTATTTTACGAGGTTAAGAAGTTATAGCTATAAGAATTATATGGTAATAAGTCATAAGTTATAGCGAGATTGTAAAGCTGAATGTTATAATTTATTAAAACAAGTTATTATTTATTAATTTGTTTTAAGGGAAAAAATACATCTGACGTTAATATAAAAATTATTTATTAACGTAATAATTAATTGTTTATATAAGTACATAGTAAAATAAACGGAGCAGATATATAAACTTAAGCACTGATTGTGTTGGATCCATGCGATTCCAGACTGCAAACCATCTATACCAGGACCCACATGTATGATTAGATAAGATAAGATAGTGGATTGAGAGGGCACTTGGCCAGACCTTCGAGTCCAGCTAGATTCCTCTCAATCCAACTATCAGCAACATCATGACCTTGACCCCATACTCGAGTATTATGATTGATCGTTCAAGCCTGTTCCAACAGATTGGAATATAATTTATCGTAATAAAGTTGAAATCAATAGTTAGTTTTATTTATTTAAGCCTGAATTAAGCTTTAAGAATGTTAATTATAATATAATTGTTTTTTAGTTATTATTTTAAACTAATACGAATAATCCATATAAACAGTGTTAAAAAACACGTTTAGAACGATTTATTATTATAAACGTACCTGGATTAACTATAATATTAAAAATTAACTAGTTTAAAAAGGTCGAAATGCATATTAATTAAGTTATAAAGTAGTAACAGTTTTCTATATTTTTAAAATATATCCGTTTTAGTTGCTTTGTTAAAAAAGTAGGCCATTATTATCTAGTTATAATTATAACGCATAGTATATTTATTAATTTTATAATTAAACAAGATTTTACTTTAATCTATTAAAAAAATTTCTAAACGTATAAAGCGGCATATAACCAATTGTGTAGATGTTCTTTTAATAAAAAAACAAGTAAGTTATTAAACATTTTAGTATATAATTACGTTATGGAGTTTTAAAATAGTAAAAAGCTTTTTTGAAATATTATGCGAGTATTTAAATATTATTAAGCGGAAAGGCTAGATCTATTAAAGTTTTAACTTTATTAAAATATTTATTTTATTCGTTAAAACGGTACGTTACGTTTACATATTAATTATAAAGGATTAAATACGATTATAGGAAAGAACCGCGGCTTGCTATTATTAATTTAAGAGATTCTAAATTGCTTATCGACCGTAGTTATGGTTTTTAAAATCGACTTAAGAAACGTATATTATAAGATAAAATAAAACAAAATAAAAGACTGTATTTTATATACAGTACGACTATCTTAAATATATAATGATATTATTTAACTTAATTAACCTATTAATAACCCTTTAATTCCATATTAATTGCGCTTTAACCGGCTTTATCCATATTATTTACATTATTTATTTTAACAATATTTTTATTTATAGTTTAGATTTCGACTAATATGAAGAATATATTCGAGCTATATTTAAGTAATTATGAAAATAAAAGCTGTACGTTAATTCTATCAAGTATAAGTCTTATATGAAAAAAGAATATTATTCTTAAACTTTATTATAATTAATAATAATAATAGAATTGTTATAAAGTAAAGCCGTATTAAAGCTTTTAAGATTAGCTAGTTATTTAAAACGTATATAATATTTAAGTATTTTCTTAGCTTTTCTTAGCTTTTACTGATAGTTTATCGTTAAATATTTGAAAATTACATCTTTAGTAATAAATATATTACGATTAAATATAAAAGCGTAGTATAAATTGTTTTTTAATATAAGAAATATATTTTGAATATTAATAATAGCTTTGATAAAGGCGGACATATCACGTTATTTTAATATCAAGTTATTTATTAATATTGAGATAAATATATTTATAGAAGTAATTAAAGCCGTTTTTTATAACTTTATAAAGACGATAAATAATATTTAATAGCTTCTAAGTTTTATGAGACAAGCTTTGAAAAGATACGATATAATATAGAAAATAAAAAGCTTTTTTAATTGGTAACGCTTTATAAATATAACGGTAGTATATCAATCTACGTAGCGTAATTAGTTTAAGTTATTACTGATTATTTTAATCTTAAAATTTTCGATACGAAGTAAAAGTTTAACTTAAAACAGATATAATAATTCAACAATTTTACTTTAGTAAACTTTACGGTTGAATTTCAAATAAAAGTATAAATTTTTAATAACGACTTTTTTTAACGATTAAACTATTTACACGTAGCTTTATAAGACGACGATATAAAGACGTTATAAGATAGATTTAAGTTTTTTTTAAATCGTATAATAAGCGTAAGAATTTTACTTTCAACCTTTTTTCAAATTGTTTTATAAAAATAGCTGTAAAGTATAATGTTATACGCGGCCTGAGAGTTATTTATACGCGTTACAAAAGCGTATTAATAATATGTTGAAATTTCGTTCAAACTGAAAGCGTAAACTTTTTACGTGAAAATTTTACAATTAAGATTATAAGTTATAAACCGTTTATCTTTTGGCTGTTTTATATGTGTAAAGCGACTGAAACGGCATCGTTTGACGAGATAAAATTTTCATTTTTATATATAATAAAGAGACAAGTTTGTATATAGTAATGATTAAGATAAAAAGCGAACTCAAAGTAAATAGATTATAATTTTGATTTAGTTATAAGACGAAGTCGACAGGTTATTTAAATATAAGGGTGTTATATATATTTTAAATAACCGTAAAATAAAGAAAATTTTCATTTATTAATATTATAACTTGCTTATAATAGGATATTAAGGCTAGATCAAGACGTGTAAGCTTTGTATACGTAATTATTTTTTAAAAAGTTAAAAACGAGACGTAAAAGTTTAAATTAAGAATTGCCTATGATATTAACAAAGTAAATTAATTTATTATTTATTATATAAGAATTATAAGCCGTTATCAATATTTAACCGACCTAGATAAGAATTAAGTATTTAGCTGTATTACAAGATTATTACTTTTTATACGATTTAATTTTAATAAATAAGCCGATTTTATATCAATTGTTTTAATTAGTTTATGAAATATAGTTGTTATATTTCATATATATTTATTCTTATAGTAGCCGGCTTTGTAAATATTATATTTTGTCAGATGTTGGATCTCAGGATATGGTGCCCTTAGGTGAAGTACCCACTAGGGGGCTGTTAAGAGAACAGTGGATCCCTCCTAGTATGGTGCAGTATGGTATTTAGCTGTAGATTAGCCTTGCCAAGCATACTTGAGAATGACAACAACATTTGCAGCGACCGCTCACACCCCCAAGGCTTGTGACCCTTCTAGAATCTCACATATTTTATTATATCTTTAGCTTATATAATATTTTAAAGGTATTGTTTTGAACTAAGGATTTTTATTCATAAGTGGTTTTTAATAATCGTTATATTATTAATTTTAAATCTAGCGTAAACTTAATACTGTATATTATTGTTACGAATCAACGAACGGTGCGGCCTGATAGCAGACCTAGAAGGGACTATTGGAAACAGATTGACCAGAGAGTGGGGTGCTGATCATTGGAGAGATTGGAGCAACGGAGCAACGGTACACAGATCACGCGACCAGCAGAGCCTGGGTCACGTGACTAAGAATTTGGATCACTGGATCACCATGGTGATCCAGTGAGCAGGAGCACCTTGGATCACCGGTGATCCAGGGTGAACCACCTAATCAGTGAGGGAGAGATTGGATATATAAAGACAGACATTTCCCAACCAGATAGATAGACAGTCTCTACCTCAGTGATCAATCTAAGCATCTTAGCCAACCCTAAGGTGAGAGAAATCTCCTGACGACTTGACTACACAGTGAACCCAGTTAAGACCAAGCCCCAGCATCTGAGTGTCTTCTAGTTGACAGAAGCCTCTATCGTCCTTTGTGTTGACTTACCTCAGAACATAAACCCTATAGAACCCTTTAGCCTTATAAGTTAGACGGCTCGTCACATTACAGTATTGAATTATATTTATTACCTATATATTATAGTAACGATGTCTTTATTTATTTAACGTTTATATACTTTTATTTTTACGCTTAAAAGTTTACGAAGTTAATACGAAAAAGTATAAAAAAAGGCTGATACGTATTTATATTGTATTTATAAACCGTTTTATAGTTACTAGCGATTTTTATTGTACATAAAAAATACAGTTTATTTTATTTTTAATTATTAACAGTTACCGGATCGGGCCCAAAGCGGACCCGGGTTGGATATATTTATATAATAACCGTTTCTTACTGTTTTAAAAACCGTCTTTTACATTAAAAAGGTTATAACGGTCACGATTTATATATAAAACAAAGTTTATCGTTATAAATTTAATAAAAAGGTTTCATTAGCCATTATATTTATTAAAATATAAGATTTTTACGGAAAGGGTTGAAAATAAGTATAAAATAAGTAATAAATAAGGAAGTATAATATATAAAAAGCTGCAGTATATAATAAAATACGAAGTAATAAAATGCGAAGTATTAAAAAGTACGATATATAACGGAGTACGATATAAAAAACCGAACTTTATTATTACATAAAAAAAGAAAGGAAGTTTTATAAGATTTTTATAAGATTTTTTTAATATATAAAATAAGTAAGCTTTTGATTAAATTTTTTTATTACCGCTTATTAATTTATATATAAACTACTTACTTGCTACGTATAAACTATTTATAACCATATTATTATTATTATTATTACTATTTTATTGCTATTATTTATACTTTATAATAGCTTTTTAAAAAGCTAACAATAACCTTTATTAAAAAGGATAACTTTATCAAAGAGTTTTAAGCTACTCGGCGATATTTGCTTAAAAAGGGGTATACGGTATTTATAAAGGCATATATAAGGTTTATAAAATGTTTACAATAAAGAAAGGCCAGGTTCTAACTGTATTTTACTTTACTTTTTATTATACAATACTTAATTAACTGCTTTTTTCACTTTATAACACCACGCCTTAACACGGTGCTTAGTTGCGACAAATGCAAAGATTTTAGCTCAAGTAGCAGAACAGCGCAACTTATCAATAAATTATAAGTATATGTGGAAGTGTTCATTGTGCTATTTGATATTTCAAGTGATTGTGCTACTGCTGATTTCCCACTCGTGTGTGTCGAGACCCATGAGACATCTGGACCACTGTGCCCCGGCAATCCTCGCACGATGGCAATCTACTGAGGACTTTCTACTTCCCTCAGTACTGCTATGCTAGGTATTCAGTCGCGGAGGCCCACTGTCTTATATTATAGCTTCCCGCAGTTCGAGGTGCTCGCCTCAGTACCCCCTTCATTGACCCCCTATTGTCCTCAATATGATAGACACTCCCCCCTTTCTATTGATGTAATTATACGAGTGACAATGAACATCATTCAATCCGGAAAGCAGGAAAGCGAATTCCAGGATCAATGGATAGGGCCGTGCTCTGGCTCCGCCATTGTCGCCACGGCCACTGTTTGCTTGATGCTGAGATGGATTCATCTCATCGACCATTGCCCCTCTGCCTCGGATACTTACTTAGAAGAGCTTATAATATTCTTCTTAACCCTTTCCATCCCGGTGCTCACACATGTTTCCATCAACTTTCAATCCGAACCCAAGAGTTACCAAAGCCTACCTCTTAACTTGGCCCATCAATCCCAACCCAAGAGCTACCACAGCCTAACACTTACCTTGACCCATCTGGCGCTCGAGATATCCAAGATGGACTCCCAAACGAACCCCACGTATTCTGAAGAGGATTACCGCATATCTGTGGACGACGTGGTAAGCATACATCTCTTGTTGATGTAGGCGACCTTTACTGATAACCTGGCAGATGTACATGGTGCGCATCAACGCTGCCATCATGGATGCCAGGCATAACTCCAAGGGGGATATCCCTCGTTGCGTTACGAAGGTATGTTCCGTAGGGACGTCATGCGGTGTTCCTAATGGCTGACAATCTACGACGACTAGCTCTCTCCCTCGCCTGATCCGACGCAGAAGATGAGCAAGAGGAGTACCGAGCCATGTCAGCCCGACTTGAAGGGCGGCTGGCGTTGCTGAGGGAAGAGAAATTGATGAAGAGAGCACGAAAACACTCCATGGTTCACCCCTTGGCGGTGACTTTGGGAGGTACATGGCATCATCATCATCTATGGTGTCGGTGTTTCTGAACGGTGTGCTCATCAGACTGCAGTCAAGACTTTCAAGCGGCTTGTTGTTAACTACCAAGACGACCGCATTGCGGCACAGGGTATATATACCTCGTCGTATGGCTACGAGTTCGCAGGGAGGAACCGAAAATGACGCATATGTTGGAGGATGATGGGATGGACGATCTCCCTGTGGGATAGGGTACGGGACGATGACCTGGATAGAGCCTATGGTTCAGCATTCTTATTATCAACAAACAGCAATGATGCTATCGGCTGCTCACGAGCATACACGTTCTGCTTTAGTAGAGTCAGATAATTCCGATCCAGACCGCCCGAATTCCCTTAGAGCTGGATATCGCGCTCTCATTACTTTGGATACAGAGTGAGTCGTCGGGTACGCACTCGCCTCACCATACCAACGTTGGGCTGACGACTTTTCATGACAGCAAGGATGATGCAGAATGACCCAGCGACTCAATTCATTAGATCATCAAGAGCCGTATCTTAGAAGAACAGTAGCTGTCCAGAATCTGGTCCAAGTGAAGGAGGAGGAATTGGGTGCGTCTGCCTGACTGAAGTTGATGGCGGATCTTGATGAGGAATTGGGAATAACTCTCAGCCAATCGAAACAGATCCATGACCAGCACTGCGCGGACTGTGGGGCTTCGTTGTATCCCTCGAACACACCTCGTCGTCTGAACTGAGTATTTCGACGTTCCGGGCGCTGGAGGAGTTGAGCAATGCTGTTTGGAACTCTCTCTTCATATTTCACATCATAGATCTCACAGAGGTTGAGTTGTTTGGTGGTCAATCTTGAAGTTGGGATCTCTGTCAGAGAGGTACTTCGACACATAAGTGACCAGGATGCATTTGACCCGGCCCATACTGCATGATGCATCCGTCATGGGCGGGAGCTTGGACTTGTCGTGCCCCGCGGTCCGTCTTCGCTCTACAGAACTACAAAAATAAAAAAGAGTCAGCGTGTCGGAACCCCTCGGTGACTCAGGAACAACATTCCAACTGCCCATAAAAAGCGACCTTCATCCGTGAAAGTGTAGCAGTTCGCATCCAATTCCTTACCATTCAATTGACCCAATTGAACGCAGTTGGACATCATGGAGGCTCTCAAACAGACTTTCAAGCGCTGCAAGGCCGAGAAACGGGTATGCATTCCACCGCCGGTTGGCCGTTACTCTGCAACAACACTCACTCCGAGGTCGGCCACGATACTTCCTTGCGCCGAGAACGTCGCTGACCATGGCTACTGCTATAGGCTGCCTTGGTGACCTATGTCACTGCTGGCTACCCTAAGCCCGAGTTCATGCCAGATATCATGATGGGAATGCAGAACGGTGGCGCTGGTACGTGCTAACTAAACACCTTGCTCGTTCGGCGCTGTTCAGCACTCGATAAAAAACCGGCTGACTGACTGATGAGACTAGATGTCATCGAGCTTGGAATCCCCTTCACAGACCCCATCGCAGACGGCCCGACAATCCAGACTGCGAACACAGTCGCGCTCGGCCATGGCGTTACCATCAAGTCCACACTACAAATGGTCAAAGACGCACGATCGAAAGGTCTGAACGTACCGGTCCTGTTGATGGGATACTATAACCCCCTGCTCAGCTATGGTGAGGAGGCCCTGCTACGGGATTGCAAGGATGCCGGCGTCAACGGCTTCATTGTCTGCGACCTACCCCCCGAGGAGGCCGTGTCGTTCCGAAAACTCTGCAGCAAGGGCGCATTATCCTACGTGCCCCTTATCGCCCCCGCCACATCAGAGAAGCGCATGAAGCTCCTGTGTGCCCTCGCCGACTCCTTCATATATGTCGTTTCGCGGCAGGGCGTGACGGGTGCCCAGGGGACTATGAACGCCAACCTACCAAGCCTGCTCGAGCGAGTCAAGAAGTACAGCGGCAATAAACCAGCCGCTGTCGGTTTTGGTGTGTCCACGCGCGAACACTTCCAGTCCGTTGCCTCCATCGCCGACGGTGTGGTTATTGGTTCGCAGATCATCACCACACTGCAGAAGGCCGAAGAGGGCAAGCTCCCTCAGACGGTTCAAGAGTATTGCGCCTACGTGTGCGGACGATCAGGTGCTCCCGAGACCACGAGGGAAGTCGGCGTCGTTGAAGCGATTAATGGTGCCAAAGAGCCCAGCGGCGAGGACGTTACGGTGAACGGAGTCATCACCGAAAACGACGAAATCGTTGTCGAACACGACGATGCCTCGCTGGTTGCCCAACTCGCTGCCATGCACGGCAAGATTCCCGAGCGATTCGGCGAGTTTGGCGGACAATACGTACCCGAAGCGCTCATGGATTGTCTGTCGGAGCTGGAGGAGGGGTTCAACACGATGAACGAAGACCCCAAGTTCTGGGAGGAGTACAGGACACACTACCCCTGGATGGGGCGACCCGGGCAGCTGCATATGGCTGAGCGTCTGACCGAGTACGCCGGTGGTGCCAACATCTGGTTGAAGAGAGAAGATCTGAACCACACTGGTTCTCACAAGATCAACAATGCGCTGGGACAACTCTTGCTGGCCAAGAGACTGGGTAAGAAGAAGATCATTGCCGAGACGGGCGCTGGACAACACGGTGTAGCTACCGCCACTGTCTGCGCCAAGTTTGGCATGGAATGCACAGTCTTCATGGGTGCTGTAAGTTGACCTTCTTCCCTTTGCCATCGAATACAGCCACTCACAATGGTTACAGGAAGATGTCCGCCGTCAGGCGCTGAACGTGTTCCGAATGCGCCTCTTGGGCGCCAAGGTTATTGCAGTGGAAGCTGGCAGCAAGACGCTGCGTGATGCCGTCAACGAGGCGCTCCGCTACTGGGTCGTCCATCTTGAAGACACACATTACATCATTGGTTCTGCTATTGGTCCGCACCCGTTCCCTACCATCGTCAGAACCTTCCAGTCCGTTATTGGAACCGAGACGAAGGCTCAGATGCTGGAGAAGCGAGGCAAGCTACCCGATGCGGTCGTAGCCTGTGTCGGTGGTGGTAGCAATGCCGTAGGCATGTTCTACCCCTTCGCCAATGACCCCAGCGTGAAGATGTTGGGTGTGGAGGCGGGTGGTGACGGCATCAACACCCTTCGCCATTCGGCCACGTTGGCTGCTGGTACCAAGGGCGTACTGCACGGTGTACGAACATACATCTTGCAAAACGAGCACGGCCAGATCTCGGACACGCATTCGGTCTCGGCTGGACTGGACTACCCAGGTGTCGGCCCCGAACTGGCCAACTGGAAGGACAGCGAGCGCGCCAAGTACGTCGCTGCTACGGATGCCGAGGCCTTCCTGGGCTTCAAGCTGATGAGCCAGCTCGAGGGCATCATCCCAGCGCTGGAGTCAGCGCACGGTATATTTGGTGCCCTTGAGCTAGCCAAGACGATGAAGAAAGACGAGGATGTGGTCATCTGCCTGAGCGGTAGAGGTGACAAGGATGTACAAAGCGTTGCTGACGAGCTGCCCAAGCTGGGACCTAAGATCGGATGGGACTTGCGGTTTTAGATTTTACCCTCAGGGGTGTTCAAGAATATACCGATGATATTGCGGAGTTGGTGTGAAGAGAAAGTGTTCTGATGGTGCGATATGATACATGGGAGGCATCTAGATCTGCCCTGCATCATCATGATACATTTTGTACAAGCCGACATGATATAATACAACAATGTCTTGCCTCGTTTTGCCACGGCTTTCAAGCAGGTGCAAGATATGACCACTCGATGCTTCCGTGATCACAGGGTCTTCCTCTCCACGTAGTCGACATCCTCTGTAGCCTGACGTGCCTCTTCTATTGCCTCGCGATCCTCGTGAGCGACCATGTCCTCTCCCTCCTTGACCTCCCCAATGACAAACTCGTCGCCGCGTTCCAGCATACCGTCGATCTCGCTCATGGCCTCCTCGGCCGTCTCCCCCTCAGCTAGTAAACCAACCGGCATTGTCACCGCCTCGCCGTCCCCCTTCGGCGGCAAGCCCATAGCCGCCCTCTCGCGCGCAAAGCGCTCCTGCACGGCGGGCGTCTGCATGATCTTCCAGCGCAGCCTCCATCCGGCGGGCCCCAGCTCCCGTATGCGCTTCGTCTTGCCGCCGAGCAGGTACTCGTCGATGCCGCCGAGCTTGTCGATGGTCTTGAGCACCGAGGCGGTCATGCGCGTGCGCACAAAGCCCTGCAGCGCCGGCGACCACAGGCGCTTGGTCTGGCGGTTCGGCAGCCAGGACGTGCGCGACTTGTTGCCGTACTTGGAGGCCACCACGTTGCCGAACCGGATTTTTGTGCGGCCGAAGAGGCCCTCGTTGCGCTGCTTGTAGGTTGTGAAGCGCCCGAAGGGGTAATCGGGGACTTGCTCGAGGGGCACGGTTAGGTGCGAGGGGGTTTGGCGTGGGAGGGGGGCGGTGGTGGTGAGGGTGCGGGTGCGGGCGGGTGTGAGGTTGTTGAATATGGTTGAGGTTGGGGGGGAGGTGAGTGTCCGCAGGCACCGCGGTGCTGCCAGTGCCCGTAGGGGAGGCATCGTGGATGGTTGTTGTGCCAGATGCACACTTTTGGTGTTGCGTGTTCGTCCGTCGGCAGTCTATAAGTGTGGCATTGATGTCGGAGGGATGCGGTAGCTTCAATTGAGCTTCGTGGTAGGTATCGACGCCGGTGTCGTTTGGAGCTGCTGAGCTGGATTGAAGATTTCGATGGATCCCAGACTGACGAGACCCAAGGAGGTGATGTCGTCTGCTGGCAGCTGGTCGCCTTGAGTTGGATGCAGGCCGGGGTGGCCCGAGCGCATTCCAGGCGGTTCCGCTCTCCTGAACACTGAACAGTGAACTCGCGTCCCCGCCAAGCCATCGCGGGGCACATCCTGGTCGGTACCTAGGTCGGGTACCTTACCTCTCAAGCTGTCGGTCCGGAGTAAACACCAAACACCCTCTTCGTCAAGTCGACCTCGGAATGCCGAATACCAACTGGACATTGCCAATGCAGACACGACATACAGAATGCTGCCTCCAGTAGACCTAGCTGTCTTCACCAACAATCCCGGCTTTTCGAAACTCTACAAGACCGTCACTGGTGCCCTTCTGAACTCAGATGGATCAACCAAGGTAGACGAAGCCGCGAAGAAGCGCGATGCAGTCCGCGATGTAAGTGGACCAGCCCGCAACGGCTTGTCGTGCAAGTACACCTACACAACGTCAATTGACTGACTGTTGTGTCTACCAGGAGCTCAAAGCCCACCGCCTCAAGGCCACGAGGATACACCTCCTGCGCCAGGCCATCTCGACCGCAGTACCTGACACAACACCATCTCAGCCCTCCAAGCAGCAGCAGCAGCAACAACACCGACGAACGAAGTCGAAACCCCAGCCACAAACCCAGCAGAGTCCACCACTACCACCCGAGATCATGGATATCCTCCTCCTGATACCACCGTTCCTATCCCACGCCTCGACCATGACGCCCGCCGCCCTTACGCTCCTCCTCTCCAGACCGCCTTTCTCCGACCTAGCGACACACTTCCCACAGCTAATCGAAGTCATATCCGGCCGCCTGACACGGCAAGCGAACTCCCTGGCGCGGGCACTTCGTCCAACAACCAACGCCTCATACATCCACCGTTCGATCCCCCTACTACCCTCCACGACAATAACCCTCCTCGACACCCTCGCAACCTCCAAGCAGACCCTCACGGCCGCCCGCCTAGCCGCCACCACGTCCCTGACATCCTACCTCCGCCAGCACACGCAAGCCCTGACGCTCCTCCTGCGCGCCCTCGAAGTCAAACACGGCGCAGCGGCGCGGTCATCCGAACTCCGCGCCGAAAACGCATGCCTCGAGGCGCAGACCTGTGCCCTCGCCGTCGAGGCCCTGCTGTGGGATGCGCGCAGCACCGTCTACCCGCCCGAAGCCCGCGTCGCGCTGGCGAACTACAGACGGCACCTGCGGGTCGCGCGCATGCGGCTGGCCGACGGGTCGCGGGTGCGGGAGGCGGAACTGGCGGACTATGGGGTGCCTGTGCGCAGCGACGAGAAGGATGCTAGGCCGGGCAGGGGTAGGGGAGGAAAGGGGGACGAGGGCAAGGAGCGGACGATGCGCGAGATGGCGAGGGTGTGGAGGGAGATGGAGACGAGGCTGGGGGAGGTCAGGGGTGATTTGAACCGGCTGGGTTGAAGGTAGTCAATTCCTGGAGCACTCCCTTCATGCCAGGTCGACGTACGCTGGTGGGCAGCAAGATGCCACAGAAATCGATGTGGCCCAGGCCTGTGGTTACGAGCTACTCAATATTATGGGATCAAGTGCGAGCTTGAGACGGGACTCGAGATGGAGCATCGTACACGAGGTGGCAGTGATGTTTTGAGACGAAAGCTGGTAACAGTGTACCAAACTACCGCTCTCAAGGTCAGGGATGGACATGTCACTGGCACAACCTTGGGAGCATGATCGGGACTGTGTGGTATGTGGTTTACTCAATTGGTGTATATTTAGCAGGAGGGAGGTATCACAGGCACCGCCATCTATCTATCTACCGTCTAATTGAGGGAAGAAGAATCCAAGCACATGCGAAAGAAAGGACGGAACGACAGTAGCAGATGACCCATCAGCTACCAGATCGGATCAGCTTTCGGCTGACATGGTGATTCTCTCCAAGGTCGTAAAAGCCAATCAATCCGACCAGGCAGCCTGTCGCATGCAACATCCACGTTTGGACCTCGGGATGGCCCACATCAACGCCCCTAGTGCTTCTATTTTATTACACGAAAGCGACTCGGCCTGATGCATCACTTAACCCTTGACCTTGTAGATGGCCTCGGCCAGACGACCGACGTTCTCGGTCGTGATACCAGCGACGCTGATACGTCCGTCCTTGGTGGCGTAGACGCTGTGTTCCTGGGCCAGCTGGTCCATCTGGGAAGCGTCGAGACCGGTGTAGGCGAACATGCCGATCTGCGACGTGATGTGGCTCCAGTCGTGCTTGCTGCCCAGCTTCTCGAGATTGTCCTTGAGCAGGGCGCGCATGGTGATGATGCGGTCGGCCATCTCCTTGACCTCGGCCAGCCACTGCTCGTACAGGGCCGGGTTGTTCAGGATCTCGGAGGCGATGCGGGCACCGTGGATGGGCGGGTTCGAGTACAGGGGTCGCACGAGGATCTTGATCTGGGAGTCGATGCGCTTCTTCTCCTCGGCCGAGGCGGCAACGATGGAGAAGGCACCTACACGCTCACCGTAGAGACCCTACAGTGTGTCAGTCAATAGCCAGACATGAACCGAGCCCAAGACGCAGAATAGAAGACTGGGTTGTCAAATGAGGCAATTCTGAGACAAGCATACCATGTTCTTGGCGAAACTCTGAGCCAGGCAGATGTTGTGACCCTGCTGGACAAAGTAGCGCACAGCAAAGGCGTCCTTGTCAGTGTTACCACTGGCGAAGCCCTGGTAGGCCATATCGAAGAAGGCGTAGTGGTCCTGAGCCTTGACGGCCTCGCTGATCTCCTTCCACTGCTCTTCTGTCGGGTCGACACCGGTAGGGTTGTGGGCGCAGGCGTGGAACAGGAAGATGCTGCCCTTGGGGGCGGCCTTGATGTCGGACAGCATGCCGTCAAAGTCCAGGCCGATGGTCTTCTTGTCGTAGTAGCTGTACTGCTTGACCTTCAGCCCGGCGTCGTTGAAGACGGCCTTGTGGTTGGCCCATGATGGCGTAGGGATGTAGATGGTCTTGTCGCCGGGGTAGAAGCGCTCGAGGAAGGCGGCGCCAATGCGCAGGGCACCGGTGCCGGAGATGGACTGGGTGATGGTGAGGCGGTCGAGGGCGGACGAGTCCTTGCCGTAGGCGAGCTGGGCAGCGGCCTTGGTGAAGTCGGGAACACCAGTGATGCCGGCGTACTCCTTGTTCAGGCCTGCCGACACGACCTTCTGCTCGGCGGTCTTGACGGAGGGGAGGACGTAGGGCTTGCCTTTGTCGTCACGGTAGGCACCGACACCTGCATGTACGATGTTTAGCCTGATTCCATCGCATGCAGCCCCTACCGAGGACTCGGGACGGGCACATGGAGAAGGTGGTATCGCTTACCCAGGTTGATCTTCTTGTCAAACGAGTCGGCCTTGAAAGCTTCGGTGATACCTGAATGGGCTTGTTAGGACCGTCTCGTGTACCAATTGTTGGTATGACTGGACAATGCATACCTAGAATGGCCTGGCAACAGCAAGAAATGGCGCGTCAATTCATGAAGCTCACCAACACTTCCGGTAAAGAACTTACATCCTACACAAGCTGTCAGTGCACTGCACACGGACTCTCAAGCAAGCTTCCATCTGCATAAAGAGCAACAGGACAATGCGGGATCATCACGTACAGGCGGACCTTGGGGAACATTGGCCCAGGTGGAGCCGGCTCTCGCAGCTTGGAAGCTGAATGCCGAAGCTCGACGAAGCGCAGCTTGGCGGGTAGCGATGCGTACAGAAGACAGCATCGTGGTGAAGGGTCAATCAGTGGTATGGGAGGTGCAAGAGAGAGAGTGTGAATAAAGAGTCAACGTTGGGTGAGGAAAACACGGCGGAGAGGACGAAGGAGGGTCGTGAGTCGTGAAAGTCGTGAAGATGAAGATTCAAGAAGTGTTGCGCGCAATTCCGAGTTTGGGTAGCGCGTGGAATACTACCTTACTAGCTCCACTGCTCCAGGCAGTCAGTCCACTGTCACCTCAGCTGATGGTTCAACCCGAGCCGGAGCGACGCTAAAAAAACATTCCCCAGCTTTTTCCCTCCAGGGGGCCGTCTGGTCTAATAATCCTGTCAACTCGAACCAGACCTCAGCTAAAGCCTAAAAGGTACGCTTGTGATGGCTGAAGCACGCGTCTGCTGGAGGAAGGAGTGCCCCCAGCATCCATTGATCGATTCTCATCAATGCGGCTCCTTCATCGAAGCTCTAAAAATACGAGGCCTGCCTCTCCGAATCCTCTTCCTGCAGAGTGTGCATGGGAAACAGGGAGGGAGCTTACTCTCTGTAAGGCGCAAGCCGAAGGCAACTTCAACTTCCTCTGCCGGTACACTCTTGCCACGCGGTTCACCATGGTACCTCATGTTCTGTAGAGGGGGCAGTTAACTCATTGTTTCCGCCTCTTGTTACACAACCCCTGCCGAAGAACGTCCCACCAGCAGCTTTCCGCTATCTTACAGTCAGCCTCTGCCTTTGACTGGCTCCGTCTCCCTCCGTTCAGGCTCCGGTATGCTGCTTCATGGCGTGCCTGCCGAGCGCAAATACTAATACACTTGAAGGTTCTCCAGTCTCGACTCTCCAATTGCTACTAAGTGGGAAATCCAATCTATGGCGTGACAGTCCCTCGGCGCTGGACGTTGTGGTACTACATCGAGCATGTTCAGTGCTGCACACCATTAGTGTGCCCTGCCACCCCAGGAAGCCCCCAGATGCTCTCATTTCCACTGGTAGCCGTTTCGGCTGCACTACCGCTCCCGTCATGACTGGTCACACTCCACCCACCAGCCTCTGTCGTCGTGGAACCGGTTCCTGTCATCGTACTCGTCCCTGTATGGTACGTGTACCGGCTGCCCGGGTGTCCCGGAGGCATGGGCCATAGTTGTGTGGTCCACGCCTGCGCTTCAAGCGGAGAGCGGTCAATGATAACGCGAACTTCGCCGCCCAGTGAGCTGTGATTCTTTGTGGCGACAGAGTGGGTAGTCTTCCGGCTAGCAGCTGCGGCCGCCATCGACGGGAGGGCCGCATCAGGCGGTAGATTCCCCATGCTTCGCTGCTGTCGTTGGCGTGCGAGTCTCTGACGACGTCGGATCACGAAGAGGCGGAAGAGAATACCGAGGACGGCCAGGATGAATACTACCGAGATCACCGAGGCGATGACCGCTGTGACCTGCTTCGGACTCAGGCCACTGCTGTTATTTGGTGAGCTGGGAAGAGCTGGAGGGACCTGGGTCGTATTGAACTCTGGGACGTCTGAGGAGAAGGACGAGGAAGAGGGTGAGGTAGACGGTATCGATGTAGTCGATATCGAGGTCGGCGCTTGTGTGGTGGGTATCAGTGTCGAATTTGTTGGCGCAGTGTTGTTCAGCGGGAGCGGAAAGTTACCATTGGGAACTGAGACAGCTATGGCAGAAGAGTTGGAGGTGACTGCGTCATTCAAGGCCGTTGTGGAAGGTATCCCGGGCGGTGTGATTGACGGTGGTGCAAGCGACCCCGAGTTGGTCCTGGAAGCCGAAGACGGTGGTAGCGCAGTTCGGTCAACGGTCGTCGTCATGGTCATCATGACAAACGACGTCCATGTGGATGTTGGTTCAGCCCGCCGCTGCACCATCTTCAAATTGTTGGAACGCCATCCCTGGTCCTCAGAAGAGTCATCTTCTTCGGACGACCGACTATCTGCGGGGAAGGCTTGGACAATATGATGCCACATGGCAGGCATTATCGTCTCCGGAATTCACGATCATAATACCCGGCAGTCGACTTGGTGGATACTACTTTGCATCGAAAATGTGGAACGACATCACTTCCCGTCAAGGCTCAGGGATCCTGGCATGATATACTCCAAGGGGTGGCAAGCATACCTCATAATAGCATACACGATGCAACGATGGCAGGAAAGGCTGCAGGTGACGAAGATGGAGAGCCGATTTCCCTTGGATAAGCCCTTTATGGGAGAGGGGCGGGTATCATCAGATCATACCTGGTCAAGATCTGCTCGCGACGGCTACGGTATCTATGCGCGGTTCCTCCGGAAGAACCAACTCTGGATCAGGGACGCCTCGGCTTTCTCGCAAAGCCTGACCAAGACTGCCGATCAGGGTCCAAAGTGTAAGTTGGGTTGCATTTCCACGTGGGCTGGCCCCCGAGCGTGCAGTGGTACACTCCCCGGCCATAAGTCTCCGAGCATCCCTGTTTTACACCAAAACACCCCAACTTTACGCGATCGTGATAAATCGAGTAAAATAGATACAACTTAAGTACTTATAGTACATATAGTTAAATTTACTGGAATATTAAAATGGTTTATTTAAAACCTTTGGTATCTTAAAGATAAAGGTCGTAAATGTTACTTTATTAAAGGTTAAATTTTTGATAAAAATAACTTTCTAACATATCTATTTTTTTAAAAATCTATCACATAAGGTTTTTCGTCTTATACGTGTATTACATGTCATTTAATATTATATAACTTTATTACGACTTATACGATTTTTTAAACATTTCTTATAGCTTTATTAAGATTTAAGATTTAAGATTTTAAACTTTACTTTTATATATCTATTTCTTAATATTTTAGTCGCTAAGAAAATAAATATTTAGAAATTAGGTACGAAAACTTCAGCATTTTCAAATATTAGTTTTTTATAATATCTCATTTTAAAAAGCTTTAAGTCTTTAGTTATAAAAGCTTAAAGGTAGGGCATTTTGGTGTAAATGCGGGGATGCTCGGAGACTTATGGCGGGTCAGTGTATCGAATCCCACAGCCTTATTTTGTCAGTTCATGTGTCCAGCACCACTGGGGAATGCAAGGAACCGAGCATGCTCAATCGAGGTTCTTGGATGAGTCTTCCTCGAATAACCATCCAGATGCGCCGAACAACTTACGCCAGCGAGTAGGACGAGACGACATCGCCGAGCTCCAAGATGACGACCTGTTTCGGATCAAGTGATCTGTCTCGAAACTATGTCGACGAAGTGAGGTTACTGGGCAGCTCACAATCGGTTCACCCTCGATACATTGGGGGTCGAGGTGTATCACAGGAAGCATATTCCTACTTGTACCACCACCCTTACTACCGCTTACTGTAGTGATAGTCGCCACGCGATATGAACATGCATGAAGACAGACAGACGGGATGATGAAGAAGGCGTTTCTCCGACGTCGAGGTTGATATGTTTCGTGCGGGGGACTCTGCAAGAGACCTGGTGTGTGTCACGACCATGGGCTGTGATTGGGTACTTGACGATGACAGCTGGTCGAGAGACGTAGAAGCGGATTCTGATGCAACCGCATCGTGTGCGCCAACGGTCACATTTCGAGATCCTACCAAGCGCCTCGTTGGTACGTTGGGGGTCGTGTGGCAGCTGTTTTTGTGAGTGACTGGGAGCGCGAGTTGGGATCATCGGTCAATGATGCTATGACTGAATTGGAGGACTCGCCCATCTCGTGAGCATGCTCGCCGAGGTTGAGTACCTTCAATGGTCTCAGGTGGGCTCTGACCGACCATCGTCGTCGGACTTCTGACAACGAATGCAAAGCTGTTTCTCGGACAGCAAGGTGGTCTTTTCCCTGCGTGTTGTTCAATGCTGTTCAGTATATAAGCCCATCGCCCGGGCTGCTCTGGTGGCTGGCATTTCCTCCGCGAGCACATGACTTTCCAGGTTGGTATGGGTTCTGTTCAACCAGTCTCAGCGTCTCGAATACCCCTGGGTATCGGGCGACTTCACAGTACCATCAACTGAGTATCCTCTCGTGTCACCTTGTACCGACCGCAATCTCATTCATTTCGACCTCACGGATGTGAATGGCCAAGTTTCAACCATATACCGCGCCAGTTCGAATGCTCACAGCAGTCCACAAGTTTCTGTCTTTGTTCCTCATGCCACCCTGAGCGACTAGTCCTCTATTCTCTGTTCGTGGCAAGTGCCATGTGTCCTCATTCCACCCACAAGGTTCTCTCTGATCGTCCTGCGCGAGGCAATTGAAAGTTGAGTCATTCAGTGGCTGCTTGGCCGATTTGATGCCACGCCAAGGAGAGCTGTGCTTCTTTCCGTGGTATCTCTCTTTGAAAACCAGGATGACTAGAGCTGAGCCACGATTTTCCCTTTAAAGACAGTCAGCAGCAGCAGGCATCAGACGGAGATAGATCCCGGTCTGCTGTGCACATCCTGATGGATCATCGATGCCTGGTTCTCGCAGGGCCAGCCTATCAGATGTCGCTCTCCAGGTCACTGACCTGCTTCCGAGCCGGCCGAGAATCACCCAGGAACAAATTGCATGAAACATCGAGCCGGTTTGGAATCGAAGAATGAATCCCCATGGGGTCAATGCCGAGCATGGCTGATTGGTCCATGCATGTCAGTCTGGTCCCTCGGGTTCATGGATGCATTCGGCACGGGTCGTTCGTATTGCGGTTGCCCCAGACGTTGACAGCTTCTCTCGAGACCCATTACATGGTAGGACATCTGTTAACATCGTGAAATCAACCTGTGGGGCTCGACTCCCGTTTGTCGCCCACAAGCTGATGCGCTGAGCGAATGTGCCACAATAGCGGTAAGGCGACAGCAGGGTTGGCAGATGGCGGAAGACTTGGCAAAATGTGACGGGCTTCCAATCTTGTGGGTAGGACTTCGGCGACCTGACAGCCTGATCACGTTGGTGAAGGGCTGAGATGTCCTCAACCCCGAACTGCCCGATCTATCAAGACTGCCTAGGTGAGCATGAACAGGCAGCGATATAGGTACGCCCACTGCATCGGCCAGGGCATACCGCACACGTACCGATGCCGATATGGAATGTTTCATGTGCCACGAGCTTGGGATCCTGCGATTCCCACATGGCCTGCGATGCCTGCCTGGCGGTGCGTGGGTAGCACAGCCATCAACAGATCTCACTCCATCACGTCTGCCAAGCTTCCAGCGCGCTGCCTTTCGCACCTTGATGTTCCCAATTTCTTAAAATATCTGCGCGGCGTAGGGCTTGTGGTCCATGGTCATCCACGCTTTAAGCCACGATGTACCCTTGTGCCCTGGGAAGCCCCAGAAAGCATTGAGACCATGTCAGATATGCTGACATCAGCCTCAGAAGTCCTTAAGGCCCACGTCTGACAAGGACAACGGTGCAAAATTTCGCCAACAGCTTGGGACACGATACCTCTACTAATATCTAGGATAGGCGCAGACAGGCCTTCATCAAACAGTTGTACAATAGAACGCCAGTGGCTATTGTTCACCCTGTTTTCGACTTTCAAAAGGAAGAGCCCACTCAGAGGTTCATCGACTCCTGGTGTGCGACGTTGAAACTGCGCCGCCTGTCATATCGCGCTCACAGCCTCCGAATGCGTCATTGGTTGCAAAGGCTTACACGTCGCTCTTGAACAGCAGTCTGGGAGGGTTGATTCTTTAAATGCCCTCGACGTGCCATCGTGCGTAGTTGGTACCGTTCTAGAACTCGACAAAACCCGAACTCGTTTCACATCTCAGACATCGTCTACACGGCAATAGTATAAAAATGTACACCCATCTGCTTGCGTCCGCAGTGACGCTCTGTCTGGCGCGATCCGCTCTCAGTGCCTCCATCACCGATGACCAGTCTCCAAAAATCAACCCGTCAAAATGGAATGCGGCTATCTCAGCTCCAAACGCAACGGGAGCTTATCCGATCCGGGGTTTCAACATTTCTGGTCCATATTCTGAAGAAGAGCTACCGGGCTGGACGATGGTTGTCAGGGTGGCCGTAGATCGCGAAACCGGCGCAGCGGAGGACGATGAAGACCACCGCACGTACTTCGCGGGGACCAGCATCTCTATCAAAGCACCTGACACCCTGCTTGAGACGGATGGAAGCGTGGCCACGGTGGAAGTATCCCAAGATCCGGAGTGGAATGTCCAAGTATTCCCCACAGTCACGTTATCGGGCGACATCTTGGACGATGCGCAGAACGACGACGGATCCTGCTTGAGTTTCCTGTCGGAGCAGTGCGTCAAGGACTGGCAAGACGCCTATGTCTCCTCAGACGTCGGCTGGGCCAGTCCCCCTTCAAGTTGCAATAAGACGCTCCAGGGCACCGGTCCATTGAGGAACAACAGTATGTCAAGATGTGAACCGCCCTTGACACATTGACGTGCATGTCGTACTGACTGGTCTCTAGACAACAACACTGTTCCTCTTTCCATGTTCAATGGCACCAAGTTGATCAGCTACTCTACTACATACAGTGACCTAGGTCATGGACCACTCCAACTCCAAAATGCTGTACGCCAGATCGTGCCAGTCATGATGGTCTATCGACAGTCCGGCCAGAACGGAACCGCATCAGAGGCGGCGAGGCTCTCGTGCGTCAGGGCGAGGGATCTCGCAGGAGGCAGCAAGTTAGCAACAGGTGTCGCTAATACGTCTACTGCTTTATCACGATGGGCGCTTGCACCATTCATCCTGGCAGCTTTGTTGTTATTGTAGGTGGCGGTATGGGTTTGGGTGAAAAGCATGAGGTGTACATAGCATTGGGACGGCGTCTGTTGCTTTCGATATATCCAGGGAGCGAAGGGCCTTTGAAATTACTTTACCGGAATGAATACCATTTTCTACCTAGGTATTGTGTCAACCCAGCCTGCACTTTGACCACGTCAGGATCAAGGGACGGCCCGAGATCCGGGACGGCTGTTTCGTCTTGGGTTCGTGGGTCCCCGAGGGCTATCCGGTCTACAAACGCCCGATGAGACGTGTGATGGCAAGGTGAGATGCCTGATATGGGACTGTTCTTGTGAGAGCCCTTCAGACGAATTATCGAAGTGTACACCAGCATATGGTGACCAGCCCTGGCTCGCATCGCAGCAGATCGTTCACCGCTTCGTCTGAATGGCTTCCCGTCCAGTTCAAACGGCCTGTCGGATGCTGGAATCCTGCTGGGCCGTCCCGTCACCGATTGGGGGTCATTCCGAGGGTCAAGCATTTTAGGGTCCGGGTTAATGTCTCTAACCGCGTGGTCATGCTGCCGCCCTCGTGACCTTCGCCCGGTTATTGTAAGAGGAGCACAGACCAGTCATGCACCCAACCCAAAATGGCCCGCCTTTCCGGTTTGTCACTTAGCAAACAACAGAGGCCCAGCGAACTGGCATGCAGACATGCGGCAACCTGCAAGGCTTGAGATGCTGTACGTCTGGAAGACCAATCAGCTTACACTTTGTTACCCCGTGAGGTGCAGACGATGCCGTTTGCTCCTACTCCTACAGGCGTGAAGTCTACACGGTCATGTTGCCTGCTTGAGACTACCAACGAATGACCTAGGGAAGACACAACGGCGCGTCTAGGAAGTGTACGTGTCCTAAAGCGATAGCTCTAGTCATGATCTACCTTGACAGAGGGTATGGAAGACACCATCAAGCTCCCGAGGACGTAGGCATCCTGACCCATCGAATGGCCAGACCCAGACCCAGAGCCACTCCAGCTCCGGCGACTCTCGCAAACCAAATCATTCCCAAAGGCGGCAGCTTCTGCGAGAAATGCAACCTCGTTAACACGTGCGGTGTCTGATGCGGCATGTCCGAATGAACTATAATGTGCGGACAGCCGCAGGGTGCCAGTCAGGAAGCCTTGCATAGCCAGTCAATGACAACCACAGCCTCCGTTTGCTCCCTCTGCCAGCGAGCCTCTCACAGTCGAGTGCGCTCAGCGTTTCCCATACACTCCAACTGAATGGCAGGTGAATCGACTGATCAGCTGCATCTTCACGCCGGATTGCAACCGGCGGCCGAGATTTCCTGCTGCGAGATACCGCGCGTTTGCTGCAGTCGTCGACGAGAAGGGGTTGGTGTAGGCGCTGGTCGTCTCAGGCATGCCAGCGTCGGATAGAGCGTCGAATACGATTGAGTTCTAGAGATATTCGTCGGAAGCGACACCATGTCTTGACTTGACTATTGAACCGTTTGATCTCGAACTTCGTCGGACTTGAGACCAGATGGAGTGATGGTCCCGGCCAATGGACGGCGGACGAGGTCTCTGGCACTCAGCCCATCAGTATAAGTGGCACGACATGGTCAGATTCTACTCGATATCAATCAACTCGTTCAGTTTGAGAGACTATTCCAATAGATAGACAAGAACACGACATACTCAGACACACAACACCCAAGTCATCATGTCTCACCACTTGGTGAGCAACGTCCCAGAGGCCTATGAGCAAAGACTGACTCTTCTTCAGAACCACAACGCCATCCGAAGAGGTCGAAGGCGTCGGGCACGCAGACAGTCGTCTCATCCATACAATGAGCGGCGTCCCAGGACGAACGGCGTGGACGCAGACGCCACCAACACTCGGCCTGGAGTCGATTATCAGTCCAATTCATCGTCAGCTCCAGAATTGACAGGTCCAACATCAAACCTGAGCCTACCCTGGTCCAGTGAGGTCGATGTGAACCACAACTACATGCCCTTTGAGCACATGTTCATCAACGGACACCTCGACGTCGGAGGGGCAACCCGCCACCATGAACTCATCAACCATGGCCAAGTCGACGCTCCGCTTCAGCCTCTACCCGAAACCCTTGGCCCGTTCGACGAACCGCAAACCCCATTCCACGAACACCTCACCCCATCCGACGAACACCTAACCCCATTGGAACAGGCCCTCTGGAGCTTCAACCACAAGGCCATGAACGTCGAGCCCACCCAAGGAGCCTACACAGCCCCCGCTGACGACTGGATCCAGCACGTGGTCCAGCAGCAGCCAGAGCAACATCACGGTCTCGGTGTGTGGAGCGCACAGCCGAGATCCGCTTCGCCCTTCCGTCTCGTTGGCGAGCCGGTTGCGCAGGATCAACAGGAGTTTGAGTTTGAGCTTGAATTTGACTTCGAGCATGCAGTTGAGATTGAGGTCAAGCTTGAGGCTGAGGGCGGTGCGGTTGAGCCTGGTCAAAGCCACGCGGGCCCAGGGCTAACTGCGATCGAAAGGGGTAATGGCAATCTGCATGAATAGATCCAAGGCCTGGACAGCTATGGCTCATTTGGGGAATCCGGATTGCTGGCATGGTACCACGGGAGGTAACGGGATGACCTGGGAGATCGCAAGGAAGTCACTCGACGAACCAGGACGGGCAGAACGAACAATGTGCTTGATGTTTTTTTACTGATATTACTGTATACTATCCATGATACTGGCTAAATCTTCCTCTACTCTTATTCATACACCTATCACTGCACTGCCAGCTCCGATTATGCTTCGGAGTGGTCCTCCGTCAGCGACCCATTCGCGACACCTTCGGGGGCCTTGCTGCCGTCCCACTTGCTCGAGTGGATCGGGTTGACGCCGAGCATGTACATGGTGTCGATCTCCTCCAAGGACCTGTCCTTGGTCTCCATCATGCCGAAGTAGACAATGAAGATGAGGCAGAGACAGCACCCAGCGAAGACCAGACCGTACCAGTAGTGGATGGAATCGGTGATGAATCGAGTGCTAGACGGCTAGTTAGCGAGGCTTCCTTTTTTTCCCACTCGTCTAAGACGAGGCAAGGGGAATTTCTTACAAGAACGAGATGAGAAAGTTCCAGAACCAGTTGGTTGCGGTCGCCAAAGCCATACAGGGGCCACGGTAGCGAGCAGGATAGAGCTCGGCGACGACGGCCCACACAAGAGGTCCCCAGGTGGTGGCAAAGGCGGCGATGGCGAGACAGGAGAAGACGATAAGCACCGATCCCGCCGCGGGGGTTCTCGACGGGTCGACAGGGTCGAGCACGTATTCACCGACAAACGCGTAGACCATGAAGCACATGAAGATCCAGGCGGCGCCAGCCATGAGGGCCTTGCGTCGACCGACTTTCTGGACGACGACGAGTCCGCCAAAGGTACATACGACGTTGACAGTTCCCAAGATGATCTGTGTAACGTAGGAATCCGACAGACCAGTAGCCGCAAAAACGGTAGTACCGTAATAGAAGACTATTGGCAAACTAAAGTTAGCGATTACTCCTTATAACCATACGGGTAATAAAGACTCCAAAATGCACTGACAAAAGTTGGCTCCTGTAAGCTGCTGGCCGGCCTGGAGAAGGATACCGAGCATGGTTCGCTGCATCATCTTGGGTCCAGTGAAGATCTCCCATATCTTAGCCTTGGCCATGTGCTTTTCCTCGTCGACCTTGACACGAATCTGCGTGATTTGGTCATTAACGATGCGGTCGTGGGGGTCGACTCCGGCCAGCTTGGCGATGGTGTTGCGCGCCTCCTCTTCTCGGCCCTTGTAGAAAGCATATCGGGGGCTCTCGGGGAGCAAGAGGATACCGGCGCCAAGGATGAGAGACCACAGGAAACCGAGGCCGTTGGGAATGCGCCACGCAGCGTCGTCGGTGTAGCTCTTGTGGGTGCCCCAGTCGACCATGTAGGAGGTCCAGATGCCAAAGGTGATGAACAGCTGGTAGGTTGAGACTAGAATACCTCGGATGATAGCCGGGCTGGATTCGGACTGGTACATGGGAACCACGACGGACAGGGCACCGATGGAGATACCCGTCACCAGGCGACCGATGGCAAACTGGTACCAGGCCTGATCAGATGATATTTCGATGATGGTTCCGACACAGGCCCAGAGAGCCGAGGCCGAGATGGCCAGGCGTCGGCCGATGGAGTCGGCAAGCTTTCCAGCGATCAAGGCGCCGAAAAGACATCCAACAGGGAGAAGACCGGTGATTGTTCCTTGCCTCGCGGCGTCAAAGCTGTATCCGCCGTTTCCATCGGCCTGACCGAAACGCCGAGCGAAGTCGTCCATCTGGAAGTAACCAGAGATTTGACCGCTGTATGTCAACGGCAAGTCAGCACAATGTCGACATGACAGGTAGCGAGTTGGTTGATGGAACGCACCTGACATATCCGAACATGAAACCTCCAATACTGGCTACAAGTCCTAAGAAGCATGCCAGGAAGGTAATCTTCTGCCCCTTGGCCGCTGACGCCGCGGAGCTCTGCTCCTTGGCGGCGCCGCTCGCGGAGGATTCGCCATTGGGCGGAGCGGTAGACTCGACCTGGTCGGCATTTTTCTTGAGGAAGGGCATCTTGTCGACGGACGGGATCAGTCGATCCAACACTGCGCTGCACTGACTGGACTGGACTGGACAGGACTGGACTGGACAGGTCAACTGGGACACAACGCATAGTTTTGCGGAGGCGGCAGCCCCCTTATAAAGGAAAACATTGAGCTGGGGCTACTCCAGCTCGTGTGCGGGTACGTCATCTACTTTCCGGAGGAGGGCCGGGGCCTCCAGAGTATTCTCCCTTCTCGCGAGACGAGTGAGTTGCGACACCCCGACACCCCGTTGTCTCGCCCCGACTGAAATTGCCGCTACTGGCGAGTCGGAAGACTGGGGGTCTTCTGGAACACCATGTCATCCACATCGTGGGGCCATCATGTTGAAAATATGATGCAGTTGCCATGTTGCCATGGTGCCTGGCACCACGCTGACTGGTACTGGTGGGCAATGGTGGTGAGTTGGCCACGTCGGACGTTCCGGCGCTGGAGGACTTTTCGAGACCTACTACGATATGGTACGTACCCAAGACCTTTATTAAGCACCGGATACTCCCTGACCCACTGGATCGCGGACGCTAGAGCCGTGACAAGGTGACAACAGAGCCGCACGAGTCTGCACTTCTCTCTTCTCCCGGTACATCCAAGTCTCGTCCCAAGTCTCGACCAGCTGTTGACAACTTCACGCCGAAGCCCTGTGACTAACGACTTCGAAACAAAGTCTGGCCATGATCACAAGTCCCATCAGAGGCTTCGAAAGTTCGAAGACCGTGTGTCTCGCGACTATCGACGGCGCAACATGCGAGGGCCATGCCCGCTATTAGACTGGCCGAGCAAGTACCGAGTTCGGTCCGGTTGTGGGCCAAAAGCGGCTCTGTCAACTCTGTGGTCTGCGCAGATAAGCCTTGTAAGAAGATCGGAAATCGACATCCTCTCATGTCTTTGCTGCTGTTGGTACGGTCCGAGTGAAACGCCGGCCGAATACCGTCATTGAAAATTTGAAGCCCCCGACATCTAGCTGCGACGAAGAGGGCCGAGGGGCCTGATGCATTTCACCGCATCCCCATCATCTCCATCATCTCCATCTCCTCCATTCCATCCAATCCATCCGTTCTATCCTTGGACGTTGGGGGCCCATGATCTCTCCGACATCTCCCTTTCGTCTTCTCTTCTCCTCCGTTGCCCGCGTTGCCCGCGTTGGCCCCCATCGTATCACTCCAATACTCCATTACTCCAGCGTTGTTCTTTTTCTCCCGCATGACTCGCTCCGGGGGGAAGGGGGGAAGGGGGGGGTCTTCGGGCCTTTCGCGTCCATGTGATCCTCTGGACAAGTGGCCATCTGGGCGCACGGGGCATTGCTTTGTTGACACGGGTAAAGTCGCCCACGGAGTCACGGAGCCATCGCAGGTCGTGGATGGAGCAATGCCACTGCCGTCCTACGCATCCGACGAAATATGGACTACGCGGCGCTCTTCAGTTTTTTAACATATATGGCCACACTCTCACACGATCGATCGATTGACTATCTGCTGCACCTAGACCCAGGTACTGCTTACATTCTGCTCTCCACCTCGTGGCTCGTCAAGTGATGGGGTCACTGGAACTACAGAGCTCGCAAAGACTTGAGAGCACCAGTCACGACCTTGTCCAGGCTGTGTTTGGGAAGTCCGAGTTTCTCGTTCATGATCTCAACCTCTTCCGCCTCGAAGTGGCTGCCGAACCTTCCAGTCACGAACCCTGTTTCGATGAGCGCATACGTCGCCGCGTGGTTGCCCTGCCGGACGGCTTCTTGCTTTTCTCTGACCAGCTTCTCGCTGTCCAGTGCCTCCACCTGATACTTGACCCTCTGGATCCTCTCGATGGCGTCGAGCAACTGCCTCTGCGTGATGGCAAAGTCGCTCAGGAAGACGTTGGTGTTTTTGGTCTGCACTGGGCTTTTCAGCGCGTTGATGAGACCGGCAGCGGTATTCTCCTCCGTAGTACACGAGAAATAGCCTTCTCCATCGTCCCACAGGACGAATTTCCTCTCGGGTACATGCATGCCCAGGAAGTCTGACTATGCGCCATCGACCATTTCAGCTACATGCCGCATGAGATGCTCATCCACTCAATCAGACCCTCTCCCGCCTTTGCTCGGAGATACTCCTGGACTTTGGCCTTGTCGTGAAAGACGGAGTTGAGGGCCTGCGCTTCCGGCTTCAGGCTGTCCAGTCCCTACTCGCTTGGGACGTAGTGTTTGACTCCAGCAATGATGCCGGCGTCCACCATGCGAAACTGGTCTGCGACAGACAGCGATGTCATGCAGTTGACGATGACGTCCTGGTCTTTGAACGCGGCGACCAGTGCATCTGTAGGATATGAGTCTGGGACCGTGACGACGTTCAGGTGGGCTGGCAGTTGAGACTTGGATGAGGCGCGTTGCAGCACAGTCAGGGTGAAGATGGACTCTTTCTCGAGCGCATCTAGCACGACGCTGCCAATCGATCCCGTGGCGTCAATGAGCAGGATGTTCTTGAAGACGGTCATGCTGAGCAGCCTATGTGAGTCTCCAGCTAGGTGGCGTGGATGCTGCGGTTGGAAAAGATGACGATGTTATGAACTCGTCTTGGGAAGGTCGAGAAACGATGCCCCGGTTTCAGCTGTGGGCAATCAGATACGACGTGGGAATCGTGAATGAGGTCGATGGATGTGTGGCAAATTTGGGTTATTCTTCCACGTTGACCTCTTCGATCTTATATAGTCGCTGAAGCTCGCGAGTAGCCATCACCACCTTTTCATCACCCGGCCTCGAATGTTCGATGCAATCAATGCTGTGCTCCCCGTGGAGGCCGCGACACATTCCTGCTATAACCCGACGCATGGTCCATTATTCAGCGCCCGTTACCAGAGTAGCATAACGCAGAAAGTGATAGTGGGTTGACGAGTCTTGCTTGTTCACGCCCTCTTGGTGGCGGCTTGGATGTAATCTTGATTACTGAACTCGAATTCTTGCATTCAGGGAGCCGAGTCTTCGCAACGTTGCATTCTGGTATTTTCCCATAACAAATCTTTCGGTCTTGGATTATCAGACATCTACGCCCAATAAAAAGCATTACGACTGAACAAACCTCGCATAGCCTTCGGCTCAATCTTCGCGGGCAGTGGTCGTGGTTTCGAACTGGGGATGCAGAATGCGGGCTCCTTGGGGGTTCAGTAGATCCGGGCCCAACCAACGGATGGCCTGTATCCCATCTCGTCAAGCCGAAAGAGGAAGATGTTCTCAAAGCAGACAAGCGCCCACGATACATACGATAAGAGCATCATCGTACACAGAGTCAACAGCTCTTCGTACGCGCCAGCGTTTCGAGACATTGACGCGGCTGTTTGCAACCGGTGCGACTGTCTGGCTGCATGTCAAGAGTCAAGACTCACACTGGTGCCGGACGGTACCCGTGCCCCGCACCACTTTCCACCTCGCTAGGGCTCACCACATAAAGTGGTGCTCACCACAGTAGCACACCAACCACAATAACACACCAGTCTTCCAAAATAACCACCCTCCAGCCAAAACCACACTAAAGTCATTGTCTCTTTGGACAGACGACTTTTTCACGATAGAATCCCGTATTCATGAAGCCGTAGAATATGCCGACGAGCATCCGGATGCCTCCGAACATGGTATCTGCCGCCAATTTGGGGTTCCAAGGAAGCGCTTCCACAACCGCCTGCAGGGCATCCCTTCCAAAAAAGAACCACAAGAACCACCCACCAAACTGAATGTGATACAAGAAAAGGCCGTCTGTGCTTATATTGACCGCCTAGATGCCATTAATCTCTCTGTGAGGCCAGAATTCATCACAGAGGCTGCCAACTTGCTACTCAAGGAGTCAGCGAGTGCCGCGGTCACGGAACTACCCACAGTTGGCAAGAATTGAGCCTCCGCTTTATCAAGCGCCACGGATACTTTAAGCAGCCTCAGAAGGTCCTTTCACAATATCAATAAGCGGCTAAAGACTCCAAACGCACTGAAAAGTACTTTTAGAAACTGGGAAGGGTCATCAGAAAAAATGGTATCCCCTCTAACGACCTGTGGAACATAGACAAGACTGGCTTCCAATTAGGGATTGAAAAGGACCAGATGGTCGTCATCAAGCAAAAAAGAGCCCATTATTTCGGAATACCAGAAAATAAGGAGTCTGTTACTGGCATAGAAGCTATCTCTGTTGCAGACGAGGTTGTCCCAGGCTTCCTTATCCTCTTTGGCACCCTTCATATGTCTTCATAGTACAAGGTACCCGAATTAGACCCCAGGATGACGATTACAACCGCAAAGAGTGGTTATTTGAACAATAAGATCAGCCTAAAATAGATTAAGCACTTCAACAAGCACTTTAATACCTCTCAAATTGGTATAAAGAGGCTCATAATTATCGACGGTCACAGTAGCCACCACACGATACAGTTCATTAGATATTGTGACGACTATGGCATTATCCCTTTTAGTCTCCCTCTAAATATGACGCATTTATTACAGCCGCTTGATGTAGTGGTTTTCCAGCCCTTGAAGCACTACCATGTTAAAGCCCTGTATATTATGGTGCGTGATGGTCTCACACATATTGGAAAGATCGAGTTCCTGTCATGTATTGAAAGGGTTTGCCAGCAAGCTTTTAAAAAGATCACTATCCTCTCTGCCTTCAAGAAAACAGGCATCTACCCTTAAACCCGTCAGTTGTGGTTAATCAGCTGAAAGAGCGTGAAGCTCGCGCGAGGACCCCGTCACCCCCCCTTAACCAGCCTAGTTTCTCTCCAGTTGCCACCCCAGCTACAATGCGGCAGATTCACAAGGTCGCTTATCAAATAGACAAGGCCTTAAATAACCTGGACGATAACGGGGATCTTACTCCTGAAGATATTGAGAGGATCAGGCTCCTATCTAAGGGAGCGCGCTTCCACGCCTCTAAGCTAGTCCAGACCAAAAGGGACCTTGGAAGGACCAAATTAGCTTCTTGAGTTAACAAACAGCACAAGTCTACAAAGAACACTCCTCTCCAATCAGGAGGAGTACTTATAGTTGAAATTGGGCATCAAATAGCAAGAAAAAAGGAGCAGGAGACTACAACAGGTCTCTAAAAAAGGCAGATACCCTGGCAAAGAAGGAGCTCTAATCACAAAAAAATCTCACTAAGGAGGCAGCAAAGTTGGCCAGACATTGGAGGACTACTAAGAGACTGCCTACTGCTGATATCTACGAATCTGGCAAGAAGATGCGGTCGCTACATAAAATTTAATACTGAATAACCTCATATTGGTGTGTTATTATGGTTGGTGTGCTACTGTGGTGAGCACCACTTTATGTGGTGAGCCCTAGCGAGGTGGAAAGTGGTGCGGGGCACGGGTAGGTACCTGAAGGCTGGTGGTCACCTCTAGCGCTCTAGTCTACCTAGGTAGGTAGCCCTACAGCAGGTGGACTTGTACCTGGCGATCAAGTGGAAGCTAGACGTCCGCTAGAAGCCCGCTTGACCCTTCTATTGTCATGCTTCCAGATTGCCAATGCCGGCTTGGCTTTGAAACGGGGTCTTCTTTACCCCTGGGCTGGGCTGCGACTGACGTCGCACACTTGAGTCTCGAACTGATCTCCTGTCCAGCACGTCGCGTCTCCCGACCAAGACGTTGTGGGTGCTCGCGTGCTGGGAGACCATGGATCCTCGGTGACGGGCCACGCGAGTGCCAGCGCCAGTGACGCGATCGCAGCATGATCGAACCGTGTACGACTTCTTTCACTACCGCAAAGCGGTCCAACTGAAGAGGCGCAATGGAGTTCGACACGTAGTTACGAACCAAATGCATCGAATCCGGGGCATCAAATTGCCTCCTCGACTCCGTGGCGCGACGGTGACGAAGCCACAGTCGAACGCAGCACGACAGCACCCGAGGCCGCAAGCGCATATTCGAGTTCGGGAAGCACATCGCAGGCAGCGTGTACTCCAGTCGACGATGCTGCGAGCACAGAATACAAGAGCGACGCGGCCAGTCTGGCAGGAGCACGTCGTAGTGGCGACCGCATGTGGAATTCCATATGGCTGCACACAGAGGTCCTCGTCAGCTTCGCCCTGCTGTTCGTCGCGATGATTCTGGTGACCATTCTTCCATTTCACTTCCTGGAGGAGGGCCAGGGGTTAAGCGTCGAATACTCCACGCGGCAGTATGGGTGGAAATACAGACCTACATCACTCCTCACCGTCCATGCCACGGGACCATCTTTGAACTGCAGTGTTGTTCCCCGAGGCTCCATGAAACCCGGTTGGGATGAGCTATTTGCTGATTCGGGTCCTGAATGCAAGGTTTGGACACGACGGTCTCCTGGACGTGTGAACATTTAATGACAAATATCACAAACCTTCGATGGACTGAGAGGTTTGCAATACCAGAAGATGACAGTCCCGCATACTTCGGAAACGCCAGTGTCCTCTCTTGGAGTCACGGTGCTCTTGGTGTAGTGACGGCATTGACACCGATGTGAATCACCTCATGGCAAATAGCTGGACATCGGCAGCCGTCGCCAAGTGGGGTGGTGGCTATGGCTGTCCATAATTCTCTTTTACGTTGGGAAGGGGAAGTGCGGCTGCAGATACTTTGAAGGGTTATGACACCTCGTACGACTTCAATGTCGACGTAGCGACGATCATGTGCGTGCTTTCAACATCTCGAGACTGTGGATACCAGCGCTGCTCAGGGGCTTTGACAAGGTCGTACCACATGATCCATGCAGCATCGCTGGGACGGCAACCTTGCTTGCTGAGGACGAGGTTTGCACTCGCAAAGTCATATCCTTCGGAGCGGAGTGGAGAAAGGAGGACCAACTGAAGGCTGCTGGTGTCTTCGAGGGGCGGCTCTTCAGCCTGGGCTGGTGGGAGAGTTCGGAGCTGTACAGTACAAGTACGGCGTCGATATTGGGTGGATTGCTCCAAATGAGCGGCGATGGATGAGTTGTTTGTGATAATTGTTTGTGGTAAGCTAGCATCATCTTCTGATCAGGGTAGCTGCAGAACGAAGCTTGGATGTGTCATCCTCCTTGAAAGTTCACCCCGGAAGGAGCTACCGTCATGTGTGGACGTACTTGATGAAACGAGCTTTTCGAGAGCGGCCTACCTACATGTACTCATGAACCTCCTTGGTGGTGTCTATTCCTCGACAGCCCAGTTCATCATTCCTCGAACTTCTTGACAGTCACTTGCCTGGACTCTCCTCTCTCCTTCCTACTCCCAGCTCCCATCTTCACACAGGACCATCTACACAGGACCTCATTTTCGCACAACCCCATCCTCACCCAAGCACAGTCACCAATCACCCCAACTCCACAATGGCGCCGCCTCTCATCCACATCATCTCCCTCATCAGCCTCGACCTCGCCCTCCTCCCCTCCCCCCCTACCACCGGCTTTAAAGACTCTTGCGACGACACCTGGGTCGCTTGGTACAATACGTACATCACCGTCAAGTGCGATATTAAGACCGACAAGGGCAGCCAGCGAGCGTGGACCACCATCGACATGAGCGGCTGCTACACCAACTACGACGGCAGCCTGATCTTCACCATCGAAGGCAACGCGGGCGGATCCTGCGAGTCGTGTGCGCGCTGCGGCGGTGACGAGGGCTGTTGGACCTGCCAGTGTCATCGGGATGATACTACGATGAAGAATTCGACTCTGCAGCTGGGTAAGTTCCAAGACTCGAAGGAGTTTTCGGGGTGGGAGGGAGCTCTGGGGTAATTTGGCTGCCTGTTTGGGTGTTCGTGGCGGTAGAGTACATCCTTGATCAGGTTGGGGATGGGAACAAGCTTTGCTGTGAGTTGCCCCCCATCTTCCTTCCTCTCGACATTACCTCGTTCGTCGCCTGCACTTGCTGTATCCAACCCCATCCTTGACTGTCTCTTGCTTGCAATGGATCAGACCGGCCGTCTTCGCTACGGTAGTCAGCGCCACATTCGGACATTTCACTGACTTGCTCTGCTATAGGCTCCGGCTTGGGTGGTGACTACTGGTAAGTCCGTCCGAGGCAACGTCCTCTCACAACGTGTTGATGTTTTTTGAGTGGTGAATGCCTACGTCGTGAACCCTTCACCCAGATCACATCTATTGTTTGCTGTTGAAGGTTGGATTTAGGTGCTGACGATTCCACGACAGTGGAGGACCAGGCTTCCCTCCTGGAGTCACCGGTCCGCCTACCAGAGTCTAGACTCCTGGCGCACCACACGCGAGACGAGACAACTGGGGACAGTGAGGATCGTGAAGGGGTTGCAAGGATTGACGTGGTATTGCGATTGTCTTCAAAATCTGCCATTGTGGCATGCGGTGATTTGGCCTTTACAGATAGGTTGCAATGAATGGGCTAGAGTCAGTCTATGGACACATGATCTATAAACACTTGCAACGCCAGAAATTCCAGTGATTAATCTGATCGTTGGAAATGTTGTCTTTGTCTTTGTCGTTGCCATGAATCATTGCAGCTGCTTGTCTTCAGTAATGCAGCTCGAGTCGCCCTGAGCTCAACGGCCGCTCAGACATGCGCGTTCTGCCCCTTCATTGCCGTAAAAGCCTAGCTGCATCATTTGATCTTGGGATATAGGATCACCCAATCAAGCCCCCACCGCGTGCACTCCCGCCGTGGTCGCAGGAACCTTATCGTCCTCCAAATCGAGCTCAGGATAGTACCGGTAGATGCCCATCGAGTAGTCCTGTCTCCGATCACTGGCGAGGTACTCCTGGATCTTGGGCCTCTCCTTGACGGCATCGTACAGCTGAAAGACGTGGACGTACTTGCCCGAATACTCGGCAGCAGCCATGGCCTTTCGGAACGCGAACTTGGTTCCATCAATGCACTGTGCTGTGTCAGTACCTCTTTACTCCCACTGAAACCCCGTCAAGTGCACAGCGGTGTGTAGGCTCTCCTTACCTGGAACAACACCAAGTCCGCATACGTCAACTGTCCCCCGTAGAGCCACGGACCGTCACCACTCGCCCTGCTCTGCAACACGCGCTCGAAGTATCCCAGAAACTTGGGCAGCCGGTTCTGCACGAAGTCCTTGCTCTTCTTGACAGCCTCCTCCTTCTGGTCCTCGTAGTACAGGCTCGTCGCAACGGGGTGGTGGCAGTCGTGGACCTCGTTACTCAGCCCGTCCAGCGCCGTCAGCGCCAGCGCATTGACCCTGTATACACCATCCGAGTCGTCTTCGCTCGAGGGGACGAGGCCCAGGCATGAGCCAAGGTAGAGCAGGATATTGGGCGTCTGGCTAATGACGAGGTCGCCGTGGCGAAGGATGGGCGGGGCGAGGGGCGGCGGGTTGTTGAAGTCGCCTGTGTTCTCCTCGCTGATCTGCGCGAGGACTTGGTCGATGCCCTTTTCCATGTGTGCTGTGTCGGTGTACTCGGCGCCGGCCTCTTCCAGAGCAAGACGGACGAATTCGCCGCGGCCGGGGATCGACGGCCAGTAGAGGAGCTCGTACGGCACGTCTTTGGAGGACTTCTGGCGCTTGGGGGGGGGACATGGTCAAGAAACGTCGTCGATTGCAAATAAAAAGATAGGAGCGCAACAGAGAGGCCTTGCTGACGGCAATTGACCTGGTAGAGGGTGTAGGTGGTATGCGGTGGGCAAGAGGGAGAGCTCTACAAGTGAACATGGAATTGGAAGTGAAGTGGGATGGACGACAACTTGAGCTGTGTGCCTCAGCTGAACAAGAGGGGCTGGAGAAGCTGGGCGACGCTAGCCTGGGACGGGAGCTTCACCCTTGTACCCGGCGTGCCCGGCTATGATGGTATGATCCGCTGAGATACACGACACAGCTGTGATCATTGCTCCGATTGAAGAAGGTAGGTAGTAGTCAGAGTACCTCATGAGGGGCTACGGGGCATTGCCAGGGGGGAGATCTATCGTATGACGTTTCCGATGCATCATGCATGCTCTAGTAGCTGGAGTCCGCAAGGGTGCATGCTATTGAGATAATATCATAGTACTGAAAGACTGCCCATGTTGTATGCTTTCTACACAAAGATGTAACAGGACACCAACCACATCGTGACGAGTCGTCGGCAAGTGCCATGAATATGAGAAAAGGGGGTATCGAAATATATATCAGATGGGTGGGGAAAAGGGGCACCGTAGCCCGTTGCTGCCAATAGCCAATAGCCAATAGCCAATAGCCAATAGCCAATAGCCAATAGCCAATAGCCAATAGCCAATAGCCAATAGCCAATAGCCAATAGCCAATAGCCAATAGCCAATAGCCAATAGCCAATAGCCAATAGCCAATAGCCAATAGCCAATAGCCAATAGCCAATAGCCAATAGCCAATAGCCAATAGCCAATAGCCAATAGCTAGCCAAAGAAGCCCATATCACTATTACCTCAGACATGCGAAACAACCATGGCCTTGCCTGACTTCTGAAAGCCGAACCCGACTTACTACTTCGCGACAGCCTGCTGAATGATCTGGTTGCATTCTGCTGGGTTCGTGAATACGTGCCACACATCGCGAGGCACACCCTTGAATGCTTTCTCGAAGCGCTCAGGCTCGTTCTTTGCCTCGATCCCAATGGCCGCAATATCCTCGACTTTGCGAATGAGGATGACTTTGACCCAATTGGGATACTTTCGATAACTGGAAAAGCCAAGTTAGCAATCAGCAATTTCACGCTGGCCTCAGGTGAACCTGTGGAATGCTTAGACAGCTTACACTTCGCCATATGCTTCAGGATCCGACTGCGTCGAGTCACCGATACAGATCATCTTCCTCTTAGGCAGCCAGGAATTGATCTTCTCCATCCGATCGACTTTGTAGTCCTCTGTTCCGAGCGTAAGTGTCGTCAAGAGCCCCGGGATACTCATCAAGCTCGAGTCGCGCAAGACGATGGTGCCATGAGGGTAGTTCCGTTGTCTAAAGTCGCGTAGGAATGGGTACAGGTTGTATGGCGACGCGGAAAGGTAAAACCATGGCGAAGTGTCCTTGATCAGCGACTGGATATATCGGTACAATTCTGGCATTCCAGCGATTACTTGAGGGGTGTCGAAGAAGGTTGTTCGTAGGATACCGATGGGATCACTGGTCTGCGTGACCTTGATCGTATCATCGATGTCTGCCACATCTTGGGTCAGTCGTTACTGCCAACAGACGACAAACATGGGTCAGAGCATACCAGATATGACGCTCCAGCCCTCGGGCTTGGCGTAGAAGGTTTTCATCTCGAGAAGGCCATTGGCGCCCTTGGGAACTTCGGCGTATGAAGGCACAAGAAGCGCGCCATCTTTGCTGTCCGGCAACTTCTGGATGTCACTGCTGATGCCGTTTCTGCCTCCAGGCCCGAGTTTCATTGCTTTCTCCCCCGCGTAGAGCGCCTTGACCTGCGTCCCGGGCTTGATGTCTTGGACGAAAGGTCGGAGTCTCTCTTCAATCGTGGAATAAGCTGGGTCGCTCTCTTCCAGCTCGATCTTCTTTGCGATGGCACTAACAGCGTCGATGACGGCACATGATGAGTGCTGCGAGAATGCGGCTGCGACATACTCGGCCTCCCACTTCCCGGTCTTCTCGTTGCGATACGCGGTATTGTCGAGCAGCCATACAGTGTCTTCGGACGTGACCGGGCGCGGAAGGGGGTTCTTCTGGCCCAGGTAGGAGAGGACGTCGTAGATCTTGTCCTTGGTGCTCAACACCGAAGTAATTGGCGATATAGTGCCCGAGAAGTCGGGTAGATCGTGTTCGGTCTCGTCGAATCGACGTTCTTTTCGCGTTCGGTGTTGCATCTCGAGTGCGCCGGTATATCTGTAGTCTGACGCCATTTTGACTTGGGGCTCAAGGTTTGTCGGCTTATATGAAGACTTCGAGGCGTCAGGCGCTGTTGGTCGCGATGTTCGCGTTGGCTGTTGGCCGTGCTGCTGGGCTGTGATGTAGCCGCGTGATCTATGACAAAGAGGCGTGTGGCGGATTGGATGTCCACGGGTTTGAAGAGCTCAGAGAAGGGAAAGACACGTCGGGGCACAGCAGAGAACAGGCTTCTATTCTTGTCTGATGTCTTCACTGTCTTATGAGGTCAGGTGCGACTGTTCCTGACCAGCCCTGTCCTGACCGTCTGCACCATCTGCGCCATCTGTCATCTGTCATCTGCAGGGCATCGCCAAGCGAGCGCTCGTACTACACACCATAGGTAAGTAGTGTAGGTCTTTTCAGCCCGTCAGCAGGGAGAGTGGCGGTGAATTGCGCTTGCATTGCCGTAGCCTCTGGGGCTAACGTACTGCTGCAGACTACTAGACACAAGGTCTTGGTTTCATCGGCAACAGGTCTCTCACATCTTGGCGATGGACGTCAGACATGATGTGAGAAGAATGGAAGCTCGGGATGCAGCGGAGTCCTCAGATGGCAGCGGGAAAAGTGGAAAGTCACTGGAGCCCAGAGCCGATCCATCGATGCCGCCGAGTCCCGAACTGCCCCGCTACAGGGGGCCACCATCCAGGGGCTCAGGGCCAGGGCTGCTGATACCAATCATGTTCCCACGAGCCCAACCACGGATTCACCCAGAACTGCGAATAGTAACCCCGAGTGGAAGAAACTATTTTCTTCACGTTCTCCCGATGCTTCAGAGTGGATACTTCTTGTTCCCACTTTCGCCTGAAAGGTACTTTCGACTTGAACTCCGAAGGCTGTAGGTGGTATTCTGGCACTGCTAGTTCTCACCAGTCGACTCAGTCTCCATGATGACCTCAGATGTCCTCAGGTCAGACTCATCTATGCTATCTTACACCCTGAGAGTGAAGAGAGCAACGAGACCTTTGCAGTTGAGGGGCCCAATCGCCCAATCGCCCAATCGCCCGTCGCTTAGTAAAGTCCTGGCGTCATCAGCACTCGCCGTAATTAACCACACAGACCACAGTTGGAGATCTGGCTCATAGAGGCACCGATACATGCTCGGCAGATGGTTGCGATCCCCAGTTGCCTCTCTTAATGTGTGTGAACAGGTATATACTCGCACTGTTCGCGATCGCTTCGTGCGGAGAAGTACCGAAGCGGAGAAGACGCCATCGCTGAGTACGGAGGAGGGCGGGCCGCCCAGCTTCACACCCATCTCGAGCGAGTGAAAGAGGGCACCCGTGCCACAAAGAAGACTTGATCTCATTGAAGGCCATATTAAACACTCCTGGCTCAGTCGATATGCTTCAAATCAGATGCTCAGGCACTCCTCACGAGGTACGTGCCAATACCTCCCCCTTTGAGGTTGGAGGGGTTCTACTAACCCCGGGATAGATAGGTGTAACGCATGGAGTCCTGGCAAAGGAAAAGATAGATGGCTCCATCCACTTCTACGGGGACCTATTCCAGAAGTCATGTTCTATGATCTGGCCCGACGTGGTGCAGGAAGCCTCGAAATGTGTCGAGCCTCTGGAGAAGTTGTCGCCACGATATCTAGACGAAATACGCGGAATCGCTGAAGGGGCAAATCTGCCTTTCTTGGATATTCTTGCGCTCAACGTTCGGACTGAGATCGTGTTCGGCCTCTTCTCGGATGCGTCGAAGAACGTCGACATACCTAGTGACGGATGCACCAGTCTGGGCTGGCTGACAGCGGACAAGTCGTTCCTCTGCCAGAGTTGGGACTGGATGGTCGAGCAGGGCCTGAACCTCATCATCTGCCATATATCGCAACCGGGTAGTGACATCCCTGACTTTTCGATGGTCACCGAGGCTGGGATCATAGGCAAGATTGGCTTCAACTCGAAAGGGATAGGGTGTTGCCTGAATGCGATCAAGTGTCGGGGCGTGGACCCATCCAAGCTACCCATACACTTCGCTCTACGAAAGGTGCTGGAGTCGCCTTCGCGAGAGGCTGCCGTGGAGGCCATCAAGTCTGCGGGCGTCGCTGGCAGTGGACACATCTTGATTGGTGATGCCACTGGGTCAACAGGTCTTGAATGCACAAGCAAGTGGGTAAAGGAGGTCGTGATGGACGAGACGCAACGCGTATGCCACACGAACCACCTGATCCTGGACAAGTCCGATGTCGATGAACCCCCTTGGCTGGATGATTCACCTGGGCGACTTGCGCGCATTCGAGAGTTGACGGCGAAACTGCCCGATCCGACCTCGAACGCCATATTCGACATCTTCAAGGACACAGACGGTTATCCAGGGTCGATCAACCGGAAGCAGGAGGGCAAATCGAACGCTGAGACTCTTTTCAATATCGTGATGGATTTGACGAGCAAGTCCGCCCAGGTCACCTTTGGGAGACCTACGGACTTTAGGGAGCAGGTTATTTTAGCATTTTGAGATCACCGCACTGCGAGGTGTCGCGACAGGCTGCCGGGTATTATGGTGCCTGGTATTGTGGAACATCCTTTTTGTATCACCGGACGTGCTTTTGTATGGGCTGGACAAACATGTGCCTATATGTAAGGGGTCCCTAACAGCACATGATTACTGACTTAATGTTGCCCTTACCAGACGGCTGGCGTGCCGCCATGACCGTGTCTTGGAAAGGCTCTTTGCACAAATTCCTCTTGGTTCGTCGGAGCGGCTTGCAGAGCTGTGTGTCCTCTAGAGGTCAATGCGGCGAGGGCGTACCGTCTCCGAAATACGTAGGACACTGTGATTCGACATCACGACCGAGGCCCGGCCTGATCATTGCCTCTTCCTGCACATTGCATGCATCCACGGCCACCCTACCGTTGGCCAATTCAAATCATAGAAGCACCTAGCTATGAGCTAGGTATCAGGCATGTAACCATTTGCCACTTGCTGGGCTCTATGCATACCGCGTGAGAGGGAATAGCTTCCAGTAGGTGCTGCGGAGAGGGGTAGGAGAACGGTCTTGGTATTGGCGGTCAGGGGAGCTCGTGGGCTCGGAGAATCAAATAATGTTGGACAACTTGGTACGCTCACAATAACCGACCATATCTTCACCAAGGCTATTAAACCCGCTCTTGAGATTTCCCAATTGAATTGCTGCTCAAAGGCTTATAGTTATAGTTAGGGCGAATCTTGCCCACTGCCACGACCATCGAGCCACACAGTATGACGAAGCGGGCGTTGGTATGCTACTGCGTGGACGTTGACGGATGTGCCATCTGGTGAGAGCGATCTGTGCCAATTCATCTTCATCCGAAATACTGACGATAGGTAGGATCAATACGCAGGATGGCTCAAAAGCCAATGCTTCCAACATATCACGCGGTATCTTTGGCGCAAATGTCGGGCTAGAGCGGCTGCTCAAGTTCTTCGGACAGCATGATGTCAAGGCCACGTTCTTCACGAAAAAGTCACTCGATAGTGTCCTTCCCCGACCAGTTGGCCAAGGTGCGGGATGCCGGGCATGAGATGTACGTGTTCCGCCCACAGTGCCCATGCTACCTGCCCCTATTGCTTACAGTTTCCCAGCGGCCTCCACGGCTACACCCACGAGCGTGCCTCCCTCCTGACGGAAGACCAACAGAGAAAGGTCATGGCCAAGTCGATCGAGGTGTACAAGGACTTCACGGGCAAACATCCCAGGGGCTGGGCGGCTCCGTATTGGGATGTCTCGCCCGTGAGCATGCAGATAATGGAGGACTTCGGCATCGAGTACGACCACTCGCTGATGCACCACGACTGCCAGCCCTACTACGCCTCGGACGTGGGCGAGTCGGTTGTCCATACGGACTACAGCGAGGACCCGGACACGTGGATGGTGCCCATGAAGCAGCACAGGGTGACCAAGGTGGTCAAGATACCGGCGAATTGGGATGTTGATGACTGGCGTAAGCCGTCCTTCTGTGTGGTCTACCGATCATCGTTGACTGGATGTGTTCTAGCACCCCTTAATCCCGCCCCGGGCCGGGCAGGGTCTCACGGGTTCGTCAACCCACGCGACGTACAACAGGTCTGGGAGGACCAGTTCTCATATCTGTATGAGGAGTACGACACGTTCGTCTACTGCATCAGCATCCATCCCCAGGTCAGTGGGAAGTCCAAGGTGATGCCTATGCATCAGCGCTTCATGGAGTTTCTCAAGAAGCACGATGGCGTAGAGTTCGTCCCGGCTGAGTTTGTGTGTGATGAGTAGGTTAGCGCTGCCCTGTTGTTGATACCGGGCTTGCTGACGAGTCGCAGGTTCAAAGCCGGACGGATCTCAGGAGCAACGTTCCAAATGGGCGTTTAGGTAGGGGGTCCGGGTTGTGACCAGTCTGAAAGGAGGGACCTGTCGAGATGTGCTGGTGAGCTGGAAGCACTATGAGGGGTCGACACCTTTGGTCGCTTGAGGGTCTGGCCTTGCCGCCAAAGACATCCGTATCTTTTGGACTTGAGATCGACCATGTGAATTCTATGTCAAAGTTGCAACAGCCGTAAAGGTGTGGATCCAGTGCATGGACCCATATGGAGTATTCTGCTAACCCCACCAGATATGTTGGAGGTTACCTGATGAAGGCTGCCTGGCAACCCTTTGTTGCCCCAGTTACCTCATCACTGTAATTTAGGTATTTAGATACATCTCGGATGGAATCCTTTCCATCCGACCTGTTAATCAAGCACCACCCAGACCACTGATAGATTACAACAAGACTTGTGATTTGTCAGCATCTGGGAAAGCTACCAAAAGGCACAAAGGTGGTCTCGATGTATGCAAGTAGCGGGTATATTGAAACGTCCCATTAGATCCCGTCTATCGGGGCAGCCCTAACCGCGCTGCAGGCTGCAGCTGGGGAAGGGCCCCTAGCACGCCAAGCCGCCCGCTATCAGCTGCCATGCTCTCGTGGTCCACCTTTCCAGATTCCAGATAAGCCCCCGTGCTCCCTTATCGAAGACAACCTCGAACCTCGAACCTCGAACCGACACGACCATGACCTCCCGACATCCTCCTAAATAGCAGACAGCAGACAGTGCTTGACACCGCCAGCCATGAGCCGCTCCCCGGCATCCTCAGCCCTGCTCCCGATGCCCGGCTCGCCATCGTCATCCTGGGCTCTCTACAGGGCCCGCCTGTCGTCCATCTTTCGACGCTCCGACACGGCCGTCTTCGTCGCATTCTGGCTCTTTGGTACGCACATCCCCCGTCCAAGACCTCTCCGTTGAATCGCTGGACTCGCACGTATTCTCGACTGACTGACTAACCGACGATCCCCAGGCCTCATCAACAACGTACTCTACGTCATCATCCTCTCAGCCGCCCAAGACCTCGTCGGCTCCCACGTGCCCAAGGGCGTCGTCCTCCTCGCCGACGTGCTGCCCTCCTTCTTCACCAAGCTGATCGCGCCCTACTTCATCCACAAGGTGCCCTACTCGCTGCGCATCCTCGTCTTCGCCGCCTTCTCCTCGGCCGGCATGTTCATGCTCGCGCTCACCCCGGTCGACCGCTCCGTCGGCGTCAAGATGGCGGGCGTCATATTCGCGAGTCTGAGCAGCGGGGCCGGCGAGCTGAGTTTCCTCGGCCTGACGCACTATTACGGCCAGCTGAGCCTGGCCGCCTGGGGCAGCGGCACGGGCGCGGCTGGTCTGGTTGGCGCCGGGTTGTACGTGTTGCTGACGGATTGGATTGGCTTCACAGTCAAGAGTAGTCTCTTCGCGTCTGCATTTCTACCCGTGATCATGCTCGTCAGCTTCTTTGTTGTGCTACCTAGAGGACCTCTCCGCGACGGTCATCACGCCAAGGACTACCAGCCAGTAGCAAGTCCGGACGAGTTGGACGACGAAGACGTGGAGGGCGTGTCAGCTCAGACCGCTGCCAGCAGTCTACTAACCCCGGCGCCAGACTCTGGCAGAGAGGACCTCTGGTTCAAGGTCGGGGCGAATCTGCGTCGCGCGAAGTCGCTATTCTTTCCGTACATGCTTCCATTGATGCTGGTCTACGTAGCAGAATACACCATCAACCAAGGTGTCTCACCAACACTCCTCTTCCCCCTGGAATCCTCCCCGTTCGGCGAGTTCCGCGATTTCTACCCCATGTACGGCTTCCTCTATCAGCTCGGCGCCTTCGTCTCGCGGTCATCCATCGCCTTCATACGTATCCGGCACCTCTACATCCCATCTTTCCTCCAGCTCGGCAACCTCGTTTTGCTGACGTTTCACGCTCTGCTAAACTTCATCCCATCCGTGTACCTCGTCTTCATAATCATCTTCTGGGAGGGCCTCCTTGGTGGTGCCGTCTACATCAACACGTTCGCCGAGATATTAGAGCATGTTCCCACATCAGAGCGAGAGTTTAGTCTTGGTGCCACGAGCGTCAGCGACAGCGGTGGTATCTGTATCGCTGGCTTTATTGGTATGGCCATGGAGGTCCGTCTTTGTGACTGGCAAGTCCAGCACGGGAGAGATTACTGTACGAGAATAGGGGTCAGCTGAGAAGCCAACTATTTGATACTACTGACAGTGCGTACATCGCGCCACACCCCAAATCCATTTTCTATGGCATATGTGTATCTCCATTGCTCTCGCGATGATTGTTCTCGCTTACAAATAGAAGCATCTAACACCAGCACAGACAGCATTACCACAGCGCAGCACAGACAGCATTACCACAGCACAGATGTAGCCCTGACGCATCCTAAGGCCCTTCGTAAGTTCCTTCCTACTGACCTGCGGCGGCGCCTTGGTACTGGGTTGGGCCTTGCCAGATCCAATCCATATCCATGTTTAGACCGGCGTCATTCCACTGGGAAGGGGGTAGAACCCTGCCAGTCGTTGTTAGCATTCCCCGTAGAGTCCCGCATATCTTGCTAGCCTCATGGTGCTGAAGGGGAGCAACTTGACCAAGACCTGACCCAAGAAAGCAGTGGATCCAAAGGGGTATTGTGGAGCATCGTCAAACTTTGGGGGTTCACTCACATATCCCACTGTATGTCATCGCCTACCCCCAGGTTCATGCTATTGTCAAGCATCTGCTCCAAATCAGACCCGGCCTGCGACGGGAAAAGGTTGATTCCAGATACGAAATGAGGCCCTCCACTAGCATCTGCTTGATATTGGTAGCCATGACCAGCATGAGGTGGGTGGGCTTGATTTCCTTGGTTTCCCTGGTGTCCCTGGTGTCCCTGGACATCCCGGGTGTCGCTACCGCCACTGGAACGATTTTCGTCGTTGGGATCGACATCCAGAACCATTCTGGATGGATCGGGGAGAGATGAGCGCTCAGTAGTCAGCCTCTCTCCGCTCAGAATCCCACCAGCTTTTGCGATCCCAATGGCCATGTTTGCGAATCGCGCCGACGTCCCGCACATCTCGATAGACGACATGACCTGACACAGCCTTTTCACTCTGCTTTCCATTTCTTCCCTGCTGTATTCCTGGATCAACTCGGGGCTAGGTAGTGTTGGTCGAATTTGACCGACGCCTCCATCTTGCGTAAGGGAGTCCGGATACAGCAAAGCGAGGGAGATGATGATGCACGCCACATACGCAAAACTTACGTCGACCCAAGTTATGCCGTTCAGGAAACCTACTTCCGCCAATTCCAACACCGACTCGCTACAGCGCATCGCAGAAGTCACGCAGACCCTACTCAAGGTAGTGATCGTTGAGGCTTCAGATCCAAGTCGGTCCGCGCCATTGGCAGATTGAACAGCTCTGAGCAAGAAAGGCCGCGTCAAGAAGCTAAATGTGTCTTGATGCCGGATGCGAAGCAGGTGAACGTTTCGCCACGGGCTGTGATTGCCATCCAGGCCATCCGCGGCCGAAACAGCTTTCAGTCGTTTGGGCAGAATCTCTTCCCACGCCGCAAGGGGAACCAGAAATTCGAGCGCGCGACCATACGTCTTGGACGCAACGGAGGATGGATCGTAGATTTGACGTCTGATGGCTGCGTGCAGCATTTCCAGCTGGTAGGAATGTTTTAGGTAGTCGGCCGGCAGCAGGTTGCCTTCGAGGAAGTGGTCCTCGGGTAAGCCAACGTCCATCTCGTGGTCGTCGATGGCACTGGGGCGACCCAGGGAGCAGCACAGGAACTGTTCCCAACTGTACATGGTCCACCAGATTCGTTTCCGAAGATATCGGTTGAGCGGATCGTACGAGTTGGATACCTTCTCACGATGCAACCCCAGGGCGATGGCGAGGCGGCATCCCGCCCCTTGAAAGGTCCAGGAGCTGGTTCTGTCGTTGGCGTTGTGATAGTACAATGACAGAAGCATATAAGCACACACATTTGGGAGACTCGAGGTGCTGAGAAATGGCGGCAGCCTGTCCACTTCGGCGAACCACTTGCGTTGGAACCCGAGCGAGCTGCCGTTCTGCGAGGTGCACCGAGACCCAAATATAAAGATCATGTACAAGCAACACAGCCAGCCGATCGAAACGGATACGTCGCCCAACCTCTCGCCCTTGGCCCCGCCTCGGCTGCTTTCTCGTGAACGCCACAGAGTCTCGTATGCGTGTTGAAAGGTCCCTCGATGGAAAATGATGAAGTCTGGATGTACCGTGCGGAAATACGCATCGACACATTTGTCTGCTTGTTCTCTGGATGGCAGATCTATCGCCGATGCCAACCTGCGGTACCTCCAGTAGTCAGGGTTGTTGGGATAGTCCGGTGACGACTCGGGGATCTCCTCGAACGCCCACGGCGGAGAGTCGCCTTCTAGATGGTCTATAGCCGACGCAAGATGTCGCACTCGCATTGAGGACGACTTAGCTGGTCGATCCTCGCCGGCTCCGCTCTGCGAAGGTCGCAGCGTGTGGCCTATCAACCCCCGAGACCCGCCTATATCGACGATATCCCCACGATTCTCCGGAGATTGCTGGTGCTCGCTTGTCTCTAGTCGTCGTGCGATCAGCTCGCGAACGGCAACGAAGAAGGTCAGACTTCCGCACGGCCCTATGTAATGTGGCCGACCGCTGGCATCGAGGATCAGCCCCGTGCTTCCATCTTCGTGCGCCAGAAGCTCGCCCTTCCGTCCGTGGGACGGTGGGGCCGCGCCCATCGATGAACCGCCTTGCCGCGTGTATGCCTGAGGCAGCATCGTTTTCTCGTGCGCCGCGCTGGCCTGGAATAGGGTGGGAGTTTGAGGTCGATCCGAAGGGGGCGTAGGCAATGCCAGGCCTCCCTGCACGGCAGAAGGCGCCGAAGAAGCCTGACCTGCTGTTTCGGCCAAGTCGGGGATCGTGAGCCCCATTCCTCGTCCGAATGCTACCAGTTCGTCGGCGCTGGAAGCAGGATCCAGGTTGGGAAATAGCGCCGAAACCAAGGCTTCCAGGGCTCTATATCGCCGATCGAGGTTCTCGACGCTTCCATACACGCGATGCTTCCGTGGCACGGTGGTGACGCACGGGATACCGGACTCGGTACATAGCTTGCAAGGCGGGAGGTCTTCCAGCCTCGCAGCCTCGTCGTCAGAGACCGGTCTCACGCGAACGCACTTGCATCTTCGAACCTTGCATGCATCACAGCTGACCTGGGCGCGCTTCCGCTGCGAGTTAGGCACGCGGCGCTTCGCTCTCTGCTGCTCTCTCTGCTGCTGGTGTGCGGTCGGATTGGGGGCAGCGCCAGGTGTGGCATCGGCGCTGCTCAAGAAGGCCGAGGGCGCCGGGGTGATGGGGGCAGGAGCGTGCAGCGGGTGGAAGGGGCCGGCATTGGTGGCGACGGTAGCAAGGTCATTCAGTCTCCCTAGTGCCTCTGGCTGTTGTTGGTCTTTATTCAGTCCGAATAGACGGGTGGTAGGCTGGGTCCCCGATACTTACCAGTGGGGTTGGCCTGTTGTTGTTGTTGTTGTTGCTTACCGGCGCCCGGCTGGTGGTAAGCAGCCATCCGATCGTTGTGCTGAGAACCAGACATGCCTGCTATATGTCAGACTGTCAGACGGAGCCGGGAGTGCGCGGGTACTTCTGGGGAATCCGGGGGTGATGTCTCGATGCCAGTGGGCACGTGGAGATGTGGAGGATTGACCAGAGCGACTGGCTCTGCAGAGACGTCGGTGTGGGTGAATATGAACGAAAGAGAGGATGCTCTTGTGTCTAGGCATACCGAGTACCCGACCTAGACAAGTATGGACAGCGTCTTACCCACCTCGGGTGCGTAGGCCACAATGTTGACGGATCGGGAACTCTCCCTCAGAGGGCTCAGAGGGCTCAGAGGGCTCAGGAGTCGGGAGGATGGGATTTCGAGATGGGATGGGGTTTGGGAGAATTGCAGAAATGAGGAATGGAAGATTTCGATCACGTTGAAAATTCGAGATTCGGTCGGGCCCACCGGCTCATCAGGGCAGCCTGCAGATTGGATACCTATCTGGTCACTGGTATAGGTAGGTACCCAACCGCCCTGGCGCCCCTGACGTTATGATGCGAGTGATGCAAGTCATGCGAATACCTGCTACCTTACCAGAAGGGAGGACAGAAAACGGATCTAGACAGCGCACGCCGGAGGTACCTCCGGCGGCCAATGTGGCTGTGGGGATGGCCCACCCACGGATGGCGGGTGAGGTGGGGCCCGGTCATGATGAGGTCAGCACTAGACAGGGCCTCCTTGACTACCTGACCCTACCTATGTGGGGTACCTAAGCCGGGGATCTATCTACACTCCACCCACCTCCTTTAATACATGTATGTACCCGCCTGCCTGCCCCCCCTTTCCATCCAACATGTTTTACTCTCGGCATGCGGCGAGAGTGACGTTAGCTTCAATGTTCAATGCTGAATGTTCGATTTCCTAATCTGCGACCGAACGTTTCTGGTGAACACCTAATGGGCTATACATCAGGTAGTTGCCAAGATGCGCTACCTAGCCATCCCCGGTGTAGGCTCTCGGCTGAACCACGTGGCTGGAAGCCCGATCCAGCGCCGTCACGTCTCCGGCGGGTGCAACCTTTGCTATTGTTATGACCAGCTTCATCGCAACGCGCTCTCAACCAAATGACCAAATGCCAACCCCATTTGCGCAAGTCGAACCGCTGAACCGGGACTATCAAAGCGAGCATGGAGGACCTCAGGTGCCAGCAACTATGCTGTCGCTGAGGGTATCAAGAAGCAGTGACCAGGCGCATCAGGTACCGCACCCCTGTAGAGACATTTAACATGACTTTTTTAGGTGTGTTACATTTTATTTTGTTTATCAGACCTTGTCCTTTGTACAGTCGATGCTTCCGTATGTACGTAATGCATAGGTAGCTAGGTACCTGGTGATTACGGACCTTCAGCCAGGCCTCTCCATTGGGTTTCAGTTGAAGACTGCTATCTACCCCCTATTTAGTGCCCGGGGTGAACACCGGTCGTCACCCTGACAGCGCGGAAATATGCTATCCGCATGTTTTGCAATGCTTCATACCCGGCGAAGTCTCCCTCTGATCCAGGATGAACCATGAAAAAGATCTACCACCGGTACCACACCCGGACGATATGATTTGCCGCTAACATCTTTGATCAAAAGCAGGCCCTCTCCTTTGACCAAGAGATAGGCAGCAGCACTTTGCAACTCTCTCCTGGACAACACGAAAGCAGCCAATCGCAACGACAGGATTCTGTTCCTCTCTGCGGTTCGGCCCGCCTCAAGGAGTGCCACTTGACCAGTCTGACCACCTCCAAGCGCAACGGACTTGTCTTGGATGGCCGAGAAACACGAGCTTGCATGTTGGCACCAAAAGGACGTCGGATCAAAAGGACTTCGGCATCGCTCATCATCCATCCTGTAGGCCCTGTGTACTCTTGCCTGATAAGGTACTTCTGTGTTGCTGGCCTGCCCTCTCCGGGTGATCGGGAGGCTGTCCGAGGTACCCATACTTCACTTCGCGGGATATCACCCAGCGTCTGAGGAGACAAGTTCACCAAGTTCACATGTAGCCATATCCGCGTGCCATGTTAGCCTTCGTCGGTGGTCCTCCTCTCAGGACCGTTCTTGACCGCCAAATCAAGCCGCAGTAATCGTATCTGGATGCAGCACAATCCTTCAAGGACGGGAGATCATCATGGCGCACGGTATCGGTGTATCGAAGCACCTCCATGCTAAGTCGGACACCACAAGTGTCGCACCGTGATGACGTGTAACCACGCCATTGAACCTTATGTACCTCTTACCGATCGGTCCAGGCCGGATGCAGACTGGGAGAAGAAAGGGGAAGTCCTACAGCACGGACTGCATACGATACTGATCAAATGACAAGATTACGGTCGCAAGGCTGAGGATGAGACACTTGTAAAGCAGAAACTGATCTGGTTGCACCAGGGTCTGGTATGGTTACCGCAGAGTGCACTACGATGAGGTGAACATCAATAGCCAGTCGTGGTCAAGGACCTTCGCTTGAGGGATCGCACGCTTCCTCTTCATGCCTAACGGGCGAGGAAGACAGAAAATATAGTTCACGGCTTCTCAATGGAAACCAATGATACGTCTTCATGCGTCACTGATATCGGTTTACGTAGCTCTAGCCTGGCGAGACCCGGAAGCCTGTCCAAAGCCGGAGGTTTTCACCGCTTTGTTCCTACCACATTGAGAACCCCGTATGTTGTATGTTAATCATATCGCTTGAGATACAAGTCATCAGGTGTAGCAGCATCGACGTAGGTGCCACTGAAGACAGGTGGTCCTCATATGAGATCGCTGATTGATGGTGCACGAGCCTGACCTCGTCCCCCTTTCAACGTATCACTGACGCTCAAACGAAAGGTCAAGGTCTTGAACATGCAGGCTCTTCGCTGTACTTGGTTGAGAAGCAGTCCGACAGACATAAGATCATTTGCAAATAAAGAAAGGTATGCTGCCATAAACATGTCACAGCCAGGATCCCAACCGTCAACTATTATGCGCGAGTCCATCCACGCAGCAAAGCTGACTGGAAATCATCACTTCACCGAACTGCGTCTGCTCTGCTGCTTTCCGCGATGAACATTCTTCTCACAACTATGGTCATAACGGTCGGAGCAGCAATGACGCTCCCCGTAGGTGGAATGTCTGCCGGCTTCGTAGTCAGCGACTTCGTAGCCGAAGCCGTACCTCACTCCACACTAGCCAGGTGCGTTCCCACCCGTCCCTACCATGACACCGCCGCCCACGAGGTAGGTGGCCCTCACGCCAACCGACTAACAATCCAACAAGCTACACCTTCAAGGCCGGCATCGAGCCCAACGTCATCCCCACGACCTGCGCCGCCCAGCCCAACACCTTCAGCAGGCTCGTGAGCGTCGGCCGCACCGCGTGCCAGGATGACACGAAGTACACGTGGTCGTGGACCTTCGACGACGACGGCAGCTCGCAGCTGGAGCTGTGGTTCGAGTTCCCGAGCGGCGACGACAGGGTCCTGCATGGCGTGCGCAATATACCCGCCGAGCAGATCGTGTGGACCAACCAGCAGAGTCCCACTGGTACTGTGCAGGCTTACGATGGCCCGGATAATTTCACTGTTTCCTATCTCCCAGATTGAACGTTGGCAAGGGCTGCTGCTGTTGGTTGAAGTAAAGTATTGGTTTGGACGGATCTTGAAAGTGGGTTCTCCCCCTATATGGTTGTCAGTCAGATTGATAGAGCCAGAGGATCATGTATTTCAGGATTAGTTCTACTCGTCTCGATATCAATCTTCGTATCGTATCATTAAGGTTCTTTCAGCTCCGGCCTCGCTTATATTACATGATAAAATATGTACAGGAAGCGAATAATGACACGCAAGCAAACTGTACCCTACGAGGCCTGCTCGACAGCATGACCAATAGCATCCGCACCCGTCTCAACATCCGGCTCCTCCTTCTTCATACCTTCGACCTCCTCCTCCTTGACCTCCTCTCCAGCTTCACCTTCAACCTTGCCACGTCTAAACGCCTTCCTAAGCTCACACTTGCCCAAATTCTTCCCGCCCGCCTTGCACTCATCACAGCTCTTCCCGTGCTTGATTATGAGGATATGCAGGCTGTACTTGTCCTCGTCCGGTATCCGAGCATCAAGATGCGCATGCGTCTGATCCCGCGAGCAGTCCCTGGGCCTCCACTCCAGCAAGCCCGTAATACGATGCACGTGCGTATCGACGGCGAAGCTCTCGCGCCGCAGGCAGAACAGCAGCACGCAGCTCGCCGTCTTGGGTCCCACGCCCTGAAACGCCAGCATCTCCCTCATGGCGTCGTCGTCGGAGGCCTGGAACAGGTGGTCGAGCGAGTAGGCGCCGTACTTGTCGCGCGCCTGCTGCAGGATGCTGATGATGACGCGGCTCTTGACGACGCTGAGCCCACCGCTCGCAATCGTCTCCTGCAGCTTCGCCTGCCCGCCCGCGACGATGGCGTCCCATTTGTCGCTGCCGCCGTCTAGTGTATGAAAACGTCCCTGGTTAGTTACCGTACCCTATGTCTCTGGAATCGCCTAGCAGAATTACTTACTGCCGAGAAGTTAGCAGAAGGTTCAAGTGTATTCCAGGACCGGGGACTTGGGGTCTAGAATAGGGATGTTTTTATACATGCCAGGCTTTGTCCATGCTGAGCTTGGCGCGCGTGCTGTTGCGGTCGCTGGTGTTCTGCGACAGGATCGTCCGCACCAGCGCGTCCAGCACCGAGGGCGAGTTGCCGCACCCGGCGCGCTGCGTCGGCGCCGCTGTGAGCTTCTCGGGCCGCTGGCGCGCGCCGTGGAGGGAGGCCAGGATCTTGTGCGCCAGTTTGCACTCCTCGGGCGTCGGGTGCGCAAAGTCTGGGAACGGCGACTGATTGGCGAACTGTGAATATGACTTCAGTTTCTTCGCCTGGAGATCGGCAGCCTTGTCCTCCTTGGTCTTGCTGGGCTTCCGAGGACTGCCAGTCTCTGATTTTGCGGGCGTTGAAGCCGGGGAAGGCTTCACTTTGGTAGGTGAATGTGGTGGCGCATTGTCGTCTTCATCTGGGCTCTCGACCTTGACCTTCTTCCTCCGACGGTCAGGAGTAGCCGAGGGAGCTTCCCGTTTGGCGACCCTCTGCTTCTTCTGTGGTTGTGTTCTCACGGGTGATTCCTCCTGTTTGACCGGGGTTTCTTCATTGGCTGGCTTGACGTGTCTCGCACTGCGCCGGCGTTCTACACTCTCGGGCCCTGGGGTGGCGCTGCTTTTCGCCCGAGCCATGTCGAAAGCCCGTTGGTAGACTCGAATGCGTTTAGGCGGTGACCAGAGGTGGCGTATCATGAAAATTAAGCTTCAAGGGGGCAGTATGTTGGGGGATTATAGACTTTGCAATCTCGACATGTTGTGACGCATGCGCACGATGGATGGGTCAGCTGGAATGTGGTGATGTCAGTGACCCCCCCGGCCCCCGCCGGACTCCTGGAAATGGTGCCTGCGCTAGCGTCGATCGTGCCCCATGGCCGGGCCCTTGCCCCTGAAATTGAATTGGCAGCGCCCCCTGAACCCCTGAACCCCTGAACCCCTTGCGGTTTCCCGTCTACACATCAGGTACATGAAGTACCGTATTGTATATGGCTGGCATGGCACTTGCAAAGTTGGCAAACTGTAAGTAGGCGCCAGCATTTTACCCCATAGCCAGGCTGCATTTGAGGATGTTCCCATACTCCCATACTATTATCCCGGCTCGGCATGGAAGCGGGCATGGATCACCATTGGCATGTGGTGTATACCTGAAAAGGTGTTGAAATCGATACGCAATGTGGATATTTTGAGCGAGGCAATATCCAAGAAGGTTTATTTGCACCCTCTCAGAGAGTAAACAAAGGAAGAAGACCCTACGGCGTGAGACAATTCATGACCTGTTCCCCAGTGATTGTCTAGCCCCTGCCAAAGCGAGGATCAACCCGTACAGCGCCATAATGCTTCAGGAACCGGCCCCAGACAGTATAGCAGCCCTCATGGCCCGACTTCCCAAGCTCTCCCATGGCTATTGGCCAAAGCACTCTGCCCGCGCCATCTTCCTACCCAAGAGGCCGCTCTCCCCCGTGGCTGTCCTCAGACTCGGGCGATGCACTCATGTAACCTGGATCGACCGTATTCATGGCAACGCGGTGGGCATTCCAAGTCGACGAAGCCTCTGTCTCCGTGATCATGTTCAGTGCAGCCTTCGACATATTGGTATGTACGTGCTTTCCATTCTTCGCCGGGCTTTTGTTTGAGCGTTCAAATATTCCTTCGCGGGAAGAGACGTTGATGATGTAGCCGTCGGCGTTTGCCGACTGAGATTCGCTAGATGACCTTCTGTACATCAATGGCAGTAACTCGCGCACTAGGATCAATGGGACGAAGGTATTGACCGAGTGAGCCGAAATCACATCCTCATACGGTATCTCGGTCAAAGACTGCACCCAGGATGAGCCTGCGGGATGTGATGAAGGCGCCAGGGTGGTGTCGTTAGCAGGGGATGATGACTCTCCGGACCTAAGTGGTTAGGGTGACAGGCATTCGATGGCTGGAGTGATCCCTGCCCTCACACGTGGCTGATAGGAGGTTGGCGGGAGGAGTGAAGAGACACCAGTCGAGTGACTTCTCAGAAGGAATTCTCTTTCGACAGTTGACTTCTCTTTCTCGATACTGTCCGTCAGCGTCTGAGCAGCATTATTGATCAAGATGTGTAGCCGTCCGCCCCATCCTTCCACAACTACGCGAACCTGCCTCGCGAGGTCGAAAGCGTCCCTCGCAGCCCGAAAATCAGCCCCAATGATTCTCAGTTTGTCACACCATGTGTTTGAGTCTCGCTCAGCCTGGTATCGAGCCAAGGCATCATGAGGGTATCGCGTTGAGACAATTACACTGGCACCGCAGCGTACGAGACGAAGAGCAACGTGATAGCCGAGATTGATCCTTCCTCCGGTCACGAGAGCAACCTTTCCTGTGAGGTTAAACTTTGATGGAAGAGATAATCTAGAGCCTGCGAGGTTAAAGTCGCCGCAAGGCACGCACATTGCAGGGAAGACCTCGTGAGGTGTAATGATCATCAACAGACATATATAACAAGTCCGAGCCTTGTCCTTACCCTGCCGGGTGTGCGTATAATCGTTGGCCGACTGTTTCCACGATGGAGACTGAGCCGCATCCTTCGGAGTGCCATCTTCCAGTTTCGCGATTTTATCAACCACTTGGATGAGCGCGTCGGTGGCCGTCATCTCGTGTGGCTGTAGAGATGCTTGCCCCAAAAGCCGGTGCAAGGTTCTCGCTGTTGTGACGAGATCGTTTTGGGTCAACCCGCTTGCTACCTCAGTATTTTTGGATTGGCTTGCCGTCCCAGCATCCCCAGCATCGAGGCTTTGGGGGTCAGTCTCAAAGACTAGTCGCTGAGTATCCTCTGGGTCATCGACTTCCGGGGCCTTCTGCAAGCACCGACGGATTTTCTTGAGTACAGTCTCGTAAACAAGCTGTTGGACACCCACATCAATGTCCAGAGAAGGTGTAAGGGACTTGGCGATTTGTCTAGCAAGTGGCGTAGGTTAGGGAGGCATGTAGAGTGCAAGAAGACTCGGTAGACGTGTCCGAGACCCTTTGTCACAAAGCTCCGAGTCACGACGGATCTGCTCGGCTATCACCTGAGGTGTTTCGTGCTCTATGAACATCTGGTAGTCCGAATCGCCAATGAGGGGTTTCCAGTGCTTGACTGGCGGCGCAGTATGATCCACCGCAGAGAGAACGTCGGGGTATTCCTTCTCCATCCACGATACCACAGCAATGAACGCGCCGAGCCACTCGACCTCAGCGTGTGGTTTCGGTAAAGCCCCGTTACTTTCCGAGTACGGCTCAAATGATGCAAGGTTTGGTTGGCCGTTTGTGATACGCCGCAAGCCGGCGGTACCTCCGTGTGCATGAATGAACCCCAGACCCTTGATGGCCAGGTGAAGGTCTGCATTCATCCCAGGAGGACACCTCTGAGAGATGATGTTTGATGGATACTTTGCAAGGACAAGCTGAAAGAGTCGCAGGCACCATTGGTACGGAACCAACATAGTATATGGATATCGGAAACGAAAATAGGGACGAGGGATTCCCCAAGTCATGTGGGCGACTCGCCGAGGCCGCTTTATCCTGCCCGGTCTGACTATCGGTCTAGACAAGATCCCATACGCGTCGTGACGCAGAGCGTGCAGGATGTGCGCTTTATTTGGACCGGGGGACCCGGGTGCTTGCGCTACCTTGAGGTGCGTGGGAAAGCGCTCGTACAGGTCAGTCAAACACTCCAGCTCTGCAGACCACGCTGCATTTAGGCGTTGGTAAGCTCGAGTGATGTACGGGAAGAAATGTCGGGCGTCCTGTGTGCTCCAGTGATGGTTGATTAACTTGTCTACCAATAAGTCCAATGTAGCCTTGTCAAATCAGGTCATGTCGTACGTAAGTAGCTGAGTGTACTGGGACAACTCACCTCATCCATGGTGTTTCGCAAGTAGTCTTCGTAATTATCCGATTCGAAACTTGGGCTATGGTTATGGTCCCGCAACGTGGACAAGATCTTGCCCCTCGAGCGCACAACCTCAGAGGGCATGAAGAGGCATATTGCTTGCAGCTGGGGCTTGCTGAGGCCATTGAAGATTTCCGCTGATTCGCATCCCAGGAACGACTTGAAGGATTCGAGATAGAGGTGATCAAGCTCCAAGAGGACGGAGGCACCTATATCGGCAACCCGAGATAGCTGTTGGAGTCGGCCGCTGGACTCAAGCAAGATGTCAGGGCAGGTCGACGAACACGGGTTCATGACCTCCATCCAAGGCTTGCGGGTCCACAGCCAGGAGAGGCTGTTGAGGGACTGCCAGATCCTCTCGAAAGAAGACATGCGTTTCTCGAACATGACTCCCCATGTAAGACTATTTTGGACGGCGGATCGTAGTCTCGGATCAGCCGACGAGAAGAAGGTCAAGTCCAAGACGGAGTGCAACGTCAGGTCGGCGAGGACATGCTCGATCAGCTCGAAGGGCAAGGGCTCGAGATGGGCCGCAATGCGCACAAGTTTGCGGCTGGGCGGCGCTCGATCCATCGTGTGCTAACGACCCGACGAGTTGTCAAAGTTCGAAAGGGTAACACTTGAGAAAGCCACATCAAAGTGAAGTCGTGTCGTCGAGCATGTATGCACAGAAATGGTTGGTTGCCTGGCCCGGGGCAGTAATAGCCCCAAGCTTGAGCTCATCCTCAGTGGAGTCACCTCCAGCTTCAATGTCAAGTTGAGTCACACCAGGTTAGGTATTGACACTGATACCTACTAAGCCATAGATAAGCCACACCTTCACCTCAGCCACAACGAACGTAAGCACCATGGAGTGCCTATTGGCTTCAAAGTTCCTGGAAGGACTCGATGTATCCAAATGGATTGGAAGCTGCTGGTCGCCGACGTCCCGTCAGTAGTAGGTTGGGGAGAACGGCAGACGCGTGTTGTGAATTGGTGGGTTTGGGGGCTGGGACAACGTCATCGACGACAGACGGCTCGTACTGTACTTTCGTGATAACTAATAAACATGGGAGTCGCCATGGAAGGGTTCGTCTGCCGTTGTCAGTTGAACTTGAGACATGGCATTATCAGATAGGGCTGGGATGCCCCCGATGCGGTGGTGTGGCACGGGCCCGCCGCCGATCCAGGGCTGCCCCGTCGGTGCTGTCGGTGCCGGGTAGAGCTTGGAAGTTGAGAGGATCGGACGGGTAGCCGAGTGTTTCTCGTAGCGTAGCGTAGCACGGGTCTGAGACTGGCGAGACACTGAGACTGAGGACTGTCTTGGAGTGCCGTTTGTTCATTTGTTCATCTGGATGGAATGATCCCACTTGACACCTCCCTATTGTAGGCTGGCTAGGATAGGCGTAGCATGAATAAGTACAAGACGTACCAAGTCGCACCGGCAGGCAGGTAAATTAGGTAGACAGAAGAATCGGCATCCAATAAGCGGAACAAGGACGGGCGCTTTTAATGATGACGATGATCATCGATGAGTGGGTCAACCATCATCCATCAATCAGCTTCCAGCCGCCCAATGGCTGGCCCGAGTCGAAAGAACACGTCGTCGCGCTGCCGCCTGTCATGCCTGTCATGCGACTCATGCCTGTGCTTGCAGTGTTCGCTCTGGTGATTCGCGTCCGGGATAAACCCCCCCTTTCCCCTCTGAGGCCCGAACCCATTGGCAATGCCAGACAGGGGTCCCTAGGTCCATACATATGCGCGCTGTTCATAGTGCATGGCTAGATCCCTGCATGACAGTCTGTCGACTTGTCACCAACAGCACTGCAGCAGAGACGAACGGAGTCCGGGTGTGTCCAATAAGCAGGTCTTGCGCCTGACTAAGGCGTTTGCGATTTGGCAAACGGCGTGGAGAGCCGTCATCACTCTCGCTTGCCGGTGTTGGGTATGGTTGAGTGGCAGTAAGAGGAACGACCCAACGAGATGCCGTCCACTTCCCGAGGGACAATACGAGGGGGTCGAGGGTGTTTAGATGTGAATGCCAAAACTGAAAGAAGTTGGACCATCGGCTTGGGTGGCTTGGGTGGCTTGCCTGAGCGGTCTGTGGCGTTCAAACGGTTCCAAACTACCGATGTTCCTGGCTCCTCGTCTAGATTCATATCTACCAACCTCTGTCATCATCATGGCAACCCATATCCATCGCCCAACGGCGCTTTCTTTTCGTTCGGCCACTTGATCGACCGGTGAATCAGCAGAAAGTTTGCTGCAGTGGCTTGTTCGCCTTGTCTCTCGGCAACCACTTGTGATTCAGCCAACTCCGATTTTTACACTGTCGTCTGACCGCTGATGTCGGTATCAGTCGGCGCCTCTTTGCATGATCTCCGAGGCTCTGCATGTCAGGTACGGTATGCAATCCCGCTGTTTGGTCGTACATTGCTTGCCTGCTTTTGACGCACCTGACATGGCGGCGGCAATGCAGCAGGCCAGGAACAGATACAGCACATCACTACTCTGCAGCGTAACACGGGGCGCAATGCAGTGGTCGATTCATCCGTCCACCCATCCGTCCATCCATCCCATGCGCTGGTTGCCTGCTTGCTGAGTGTATCCAGCATTCCAATGAGAACCGTCTGTCCTCTTCTGATTCACTCTGGCTTCGTGGTTGGACATCCGGTCAGGTCAGTAACCCTAGTTGCCCAATGTCACCCAGTCAGAGCAGTCCTGATTCATCGCACGGCTTTCCCGTCACAGATCTCCCACTACAGGACGACTGTTTAGGATGGACAAACAGAGGCCGAGCAGGACAAGCTTATTATAGTAATCGGATGGGATGGGTCAGGCGAGGCGTGCGTGACACAGAGCATACCAGCTGTCAGCACACAATGCAGGCAAACAAACATCGATCCTACCAGCCCTACGAAGGCAATGATGTTTTGGGCTGTGCATCGATCCATGAATCATTCCTACACACCCATCCGATCCCAGCCCATCCTGTTGAAACACCTCGCAGACAAAGGTTGGGCAACACACAGTCGACTCGGCAGCACAGCTCTGTTCAACGGGGTGTAAGTGATAAAGGCAGCTCAGCACGCATCCATCCATGCAGGTAAGTGCCTACACCAACCTACCTGAGTCGTCGCCCGACGTAAAGAGCCCAAAGAAAAGAAGCAACGTGGTGATACGGATACAAGACAGACACACCCAAGGTATGGATGTCTCACTCCTCGCTGTTCTAGGTAGGTAGGTACTCTTTGCCCGGCCCCCTGTCGTCATTCAAATCCTTGCCGATACCCCCCCGTCAGCACTCAACTCCTGCATCCCCTGTACCGAGGCAGGCTCAATGTACACAGTACTTACCCTGACCCCCTGTTTGAAAACGCTTATCCCTGCAGGTGGCTCGCGCTGTTCTGAGACTTGGCCCTGCCAGAGCCCGCTTAGAAGGCTAGCTGGCTACGCTGGCGTCCCTAGCAGATGCAACAGGCCCGGGCCCCCAGCTGACTAGTGGGAGTATCTAGGTACCTTGCCCGCGTCTTGGACTCTTGGAGGTCAGCGCCAAGACCCGACCAACCCGCCAAGGGGCCATAGAACTGGTACCAAGCCCAGGTCACGGCCGCGGTGGATCTGCCGGCGTCCCCTTTGGCCCTTGGGCCTTCTTGTTTTTTCCCATCTCATCACCTGCATCCCATCATCATGCCGGGCGTCACGAGCTGACTCGACGGCTAATGTTTGCAATCCAGCCTTTCTCCCTCCCCGACCACAGCCATCACGACCGCGACGACTACAGCGACGACAAACGATAACCACCATAACCGAGATACCCATCCACCTCGTTTGGACCCTTGCCCGAGCCGAGTCTGACCCCGTGGTCCCGTCAACGAGCAGGCATTGTTTTCGTTCGCAGCATTTGCCGGTTCGCGCACCAAATCTTCACCGAGTCATTGTATCACCATTGTTCCCCATCAGACGCCAGCTGGTCTACCGTTCTGTCCTTCTGCCACTTCATGACGAAAGGCGATAGACCCGAGCCAGCGCCGGAATCAATATCCAAAATCGATCGCCCGACGCCGACTTGAGCTGGGTGTCACCGATATCGAGAACTGTTGTTGTTGTGTTGGGTGTCAGGCGCAATCATCATGGATTCGAGACAGCCGCCGCAGATGCCCTTTGCTAGGAACAATGCCTCGTCGCCACCCTACGCCCGCTCATCTTTCCCGTCTGCGCCTCCCAATACCGCGTCGACCTCCTCACCGTATCCTCCACATCCTGCTGCCGTCGGTGGTGCAGCCTCTACAAGTCCTGCCGCAGCCGCAGCTGCAGCTGCATACAGCGAAAACCAGCGTCGAATGTCCGACGCGAACTCCTTCTACCCCCAGCAGAGACCGCCCTACGCGAACGAGCCCACGTCGCACCCTGCGCAGACACATTCGCGCCATCAGAGCTCTTCGTCTGTGAACAATGGCCCCATGCATCGCAACATGGCTCCGCCTTCACCGCCCCAACATCCAGCCCAGCAGCCTCCTCCACCGCATCCGATGGGCCACTACAGCGGGCCACATGCTTCGAGAGCTCCACCCGTGAACCTTGGGCCGCCACCCAACGCATTCCGCGAGCTGCCCGCCCTCAACTCGATAGCTCGGACAGGGAGTAGTACGAACCACAGTATGTCAATATCCTCCATGCTTGGTGGTCCTCCGTCGGCGCATCGTGAGCCGACCCCGGGGCACGCAGGCTCCTACGCACCTCCCGTTACCACCTCGGCTGTGTCGGGTCCCGCATATGCTGGCACTGTACACGCGTCCCCACGAATGCAGGCTACAAACGAGTTCAATTCCTATAACAGACGGCCACAGACACCCGACCAGGGACGACCGTTTGAAACGAGAGATCTCAGGGGTAGTGCTGCTGGGTCGCCACCCCGTGGCGCATACGGTACCCCTGAAGTAGCGAGGTACAGCACTCCACAGGCTTACCCGCCGAGAGGTCCTCCAATGCCACCGGGTGAAGACGGCAGAAGGGAGCCACCTGGACGTATGGCGGCCGCCAGTGTGCCTCCTAGGCCAAGCAGTCAACCGAGGTTGTACCACGGCATGGCCCCAAGATCCATGGATATGGGCAGAGGTCCCACCCCTGGGGAGCCGGTCTATGGTAGGCGAGAGGATGGGCGCCCTGGACCCCCAGTCGAGTACAATCCGGAGCGGGGGCCGCCACGGAACATGCCCCCGTACGAAGAGCAGCACCGCTTCATATCCGAACGGGATATGAGGGATGCAGAGTTTCGGGAGATGGAACGGAGAGAGCGAGAGAGAATGCATTACGAGGATCCCAGGTTTCAGGCCGAGAGAGAACGTATCGATAGAGAAAGGGAGCGCGAGGTGGAACGCGAGATGATGGAAATGCGGGAGAGGGCACGAAGAGAGAGGACGACATCCGATCCAAACCGACCCCCTGCTGGCCACCACCCAGCTGATTTCGGTCCCCAAGGTCCGCCGAGACACCCGCCTCCCTACAACAACAGGCCGCCTGATCCTCGGGATCCAGTGGCCTGGCAGCAGCGGCCCGGCTTTGATCAGCCCCCGAGGGATGCGTACGGTCAACCTTATCCTGCCCAGCGACCAGGTGAGTTTCCCGTTACGAGCGGCGCGCCGTACGGAGCACACCCTGCCTCTGCGCATCAGCCACCGGACCGTTTTCCCACCTCAGGGCCCCCTCCCCATGTGATCCCCGCGAGCCAGGGTGGACCGCCACCTGGCCATCCCTTCGAGTCACCCGACCGGCTTAGGTTTACGCCAGTTCACCCCCAGCATCCACATGGAGGACCCCATCGAGGTCGGCCTGGAGAAGAAGGGCCGCCTCCCCCATCGGTCGCGTATAACGGGGGTCCGGGCGCCGCCGCTTTCGAAGTTGGTCGGCCCCGACATATGGACGAAGGACCGATTCATGGTGGAGCACCGAGGGGATTACTGGGCGTGCAGGAGATCAATCGCAAAGGGCGGGTGTCTCCCCTGCCACAAGCTGTTCAGGGCGCCCAGCCACTGTTGCAGGGCCCCGCTGGTGAGCCTGGGATCAAGAGCGAATTTGGCCGTATGTTCTCCGGCATAGGAAGCGGTGTACGCGGTATCGGTGTCTCTAGCCCAGTGCCCTCCGGCGCGCAGATCCCATTCTCCAACGCGAGCCTCGTGCGGCGCGATGATGTTGAGCCTCCGGCACCAGAGCCTGTGGTCGAGGCTCCCGTCAAGGCCCAGAGGAAACGAAGAAAACCCAAGGATGATGACGGCAAGGGTGATGACGATAGCACTGGCAGGAATACCCCGGTAGGCCGAGCCAAGCGCACCAAGACTCTCGCCCATCATCACCACCATCAGTAAGTGCTAGCCCTCATCACCCCTCAGATTGCGCCCAAGTATTTATATGATGCTGCTAGCCACCACCATCATCACCATCATGGCTCCGAGAGAACGGCTTCACCTCTTCAAACAGGCGTTGGTCCACTCAAAAACCTCAAATCTACTACTCCGATACCCTCTCCCATCATTGGCAAAGACTTTGCTTTTACTCACCACCATCAACCTCCTAGATCCACCGCAGCTTCATCCTCCAAGCCCGCACCCCGAGGTCCCACCATCATTCCCAAGCCGAAACAGACCATCGCGTCGCAGGCGGTTCTCGACAGCGTCGCGGACCGCCCGCGGAAGCACCTCGGTGATGTCCTGTATCAAGTGACGTTGAAACCCTCCAAGATGGAATCCTCCCAATCCAAGTTCGGCTACTCGTCCAATCCGAACCCGTTGCCGATGAAGACCATCAAAGGGAATGAGAACTCGACCTTGACGGTTAAGGTGCCGCGCGTTCACCTCACACCATCTGCTCGCGAGGAGATCACTTCACGACGAGCCATCTGGGGTACGGATATATACTCGGACGATTCGGATGTCGTTGCGGCTTGTATTCACGCAGGATGGATCCGAGGTGAATGGAGCGACGACGTGGATGTAGACCTACTCGAGCTGCAGAAACCGATACCTTCGAGGCCCAAGCAACGCGTGGTACCGCCCGAGCAACACCTCGAGGTGCTCAACTCGGTCCCGGCGGCAGGCCCGGTTCATGTGCCCGCGGACCGGGATCTTCACGTAACCCTGCTCATTCTCCCGGCACTCGAAAAGTACTGTAGCACCACCCGCTTTGGCATACAGAGCCGCGAGTTTGGCGGCACGTACAATGGACGGAAGGCGGTTCACGACGGCATCAGCTTTATGATTCAGAGCGTCCGCTGGGTAGACGGCGCGGCACCGCAGAGTAGGCTTCGCGGTAGAGACCGTAGGGAACGTATTAGGCAAGCCATGTCAGAGGTACATCGAAGCCAGGTCCTGGACATCGGGGAGAAAGAAGTCCTGACTAAAGTGACGCCTAGAGACCAGGTCAAGGGCAGGGGCGTAAAAACGGAATCAGGTAATGGGGAGGGGAATAAGGAAAACCAACCCATCGATGCGCCAACTGCGAAACCGACGGGAGGTGAAGCATACAAGTCCGCCAAGGAAGAGGAGAAGGAGAAGAGCCGACAGGAGAGCTGCCCGGTCGGAAGTAGTGGCGAGAAGCCGGCCGATGGATCTGCCGAAGAAACTAGCAAGCGCGAACCTGGCGCGACGGACCGGCCTTCATAGGGGGGAGGTGGGGGTGGGTTCTTTGGTATGGAAAATGGAAAGGGTATACCAACAGCTGCATACCTGGAGTATGGCCGTGCCGGAGCCGGAGTCGAGGCTGTTATACCTAGATGGGGAGACTGCGCTGCCATTTTGCCTTTCATTTCGCTTCGAGATACCTGGCTGTCTTGCATAGCACGGAGTTTGAGTCCATGACAGTTTTGCCTTGAAGTTCTGTACCCATGTGATATTCGCATGTATGATTCCTTGCCAATTCTCTTGCATGTGACTCAAGGCAATGTGACAAACCGGCGCACTGCATGGAGTCTATGACCATAGACGACGCTGGTCTCCGTACGAGGGACTGTTGCCAGTTATTGAATGCATGATAGTCTACGTGGAGATCGTAACAGGGGACTGAGGAGCCTATTTATAATTGCCTGTCTGAAAGTTCGACGTGGTCTGCATTGTCTGTTCCAATCGCGTTTATTACCCCTGAATGCTACGTCGCCGTCACGACTCTGTTGGCCAACGAGACGGCAATCGACACATACACGACCCAGTTCGGAATCCGCTCCGTGATGTACGATGACACCAAGGGTGTGCTCATCAACGACCAGGCGGTGCGAGTCCAGGGGAGCAACAACCACCATGAGCACGGCTCCATCGGAACTGCTTTCAACGTGCGGGCTCCTGAAAGCCAGTTGCGAGTGCTCCAGGAGATGTGTCGAACGGGCTCCAGACATCACACAAACCCCCTGAGCCGGGGTTCCTGGACCTAGCTGACAAGATAGGGTTCATGGTTATAAACGAGATTTTCGGCTGTTGGAACAGCCAGAAGACGACGGACGACTATCACCTGCTCTTCACCAACTGGCGAGAGCCTGACCTCCGTGCGTTTGTCCGTGGCGATCGCAACCACCCCTCGGTCATCGCCTGGAGTTTCGGCAACGAGGTCGTTGAGCAGTATGGCTCATCTGCCGAGACTCAGATACTTGATGAACGTATGGAATTGGAGCAGTGTGAGTAGAGTTGGACATGAACGCCCTAACGAGCCTCCGCTCATCTGGCGGCCATCGCCAGGTCTGTCTGGGCCTGCCGACTTCAAACGCCCGGACCGCGGCCTTCGAAACCAAGCCTCTTGATTACTCGAAGTGTCCTTCCACACAGAAGTCTATACTTCTTCCCCGAGAAAACACCATCAAGCGACGCACCCAATGGGTGTTGACCTCTATGCACCGATTCGTACCCTGACATGCTATCGGTGCATAACATTCCAGGCATGCTGCTCGACTTCTCGAGGAGCCACCACTGACTAACCACGCCAGGTCTCGCAAGATAGGAGCTCTGCCTCGCGTCAATGAGGTCGGGCTGGGTCGGCTGTCGTGATCTGGATGCCCCCGGGGGGCATGCTTCAATCAAATGGCATCCCGCACCTATAAGGACGTCCATTTACGGCTGTGCTGCAGGTAAGCTGCATGCCCCAATGCTACATTGTGGCGATGCAAGAGGACTCGCATGACCCGCAGGAGGCGCATTCAGAACTGAACGGCCCCCACCGCCTTGAAGCCCCTTCTATCGGTTATAAATACAGCGACGCTACCGGCTGCATGACGGGGCTGAACGAATCTCCATGATCAGAAAGGGACTCGGTCTGTGTTCTGAGCTCCGCGATGAATCCGCAGAACACCCCCAATGGACCCCTTATCAAATATTGCTACCGTCATCTCACTATTTCAAGCAGTAGGGCAGCTGAAGAGTTTATGGGATGCTTACAGCGACGCAACCAAAGCGGTGGCGGAAACGATACGAGAGTGCAAAGAGACCGAGGCCCAGCTCGTCATTATCAAAGGGAGCCTGAAGGCCAGCTGGCAGATCATCAAGCAGTCTGACAGCCGCGAGGCCATCCTATTCTGTCTCGCGGCGCCGATCGAGGAGGTCACGGAGATCTTAACAGAAATCTCGCAAGAGCTGCCATAAATCAACAAGAGGAAAAGGAACAAGCTCGTGCTCTGGGAAAAGACCAAGTGGGTATGGAAGGGGAAGTTCTTCTCCTCGTCGCTAGCGAAGATACGGCTGTAGCAGAGTAAGATCAGCAATGTCATGACGATGATAGCAGTGTAGGTTTGGATCTCTCAGAGGCCTTGGGTATTCTGATATTGATGTTTTACTAGTCAAGGAGTGAGTTTGATAAACAAGAAGGTCTCTAAGCACGACTCAATCAGCGATGAAACGTCCAAGGCAAACAAGGCCGGACAGACGCTAGGGGTACCAGAGAAGAGCGCCAGACCTCGCTCGAAATCCGACTCGAGCCTACAACCAATGAAGACCGAGAAGGATCGGGCTGACAGCCTTCGCACTGCGGTGGAGAAGAACAAGCCAGAAGAGGTCGAGGAAGCACTGAAACAAGGGGCGTCGGTCGAGAGCATCATGAACAAGCGGCAAGGTCGCCCCCTGCATGTAGCTGCCAGTAAAGGCTTTGTGGGAATCCTCGACAAACTCTTGCTTCGTGGCGCGAAGGTCAATGCGTTGAATGCAGACGGAGCAACGCCTTTGATCGCCGCGTTGGACTTCGGTCAGGTAACCACGTCCCTGATCCTGATCGGAAGCGGAGCAAAGATTTCGCCCAGGGCCAAGGGTGGTGAATCGGCTGTTCAGTTTGCTGCGAGGCGCAATCTTCTGCTGCCTCTGCAATGCCTACTCAAGTCCGGCGCTGACGCCAATGAAGCAGACGACGAGGGCTTGACACCACTCATCAAGGCTGCAGGTGGGAGGGATGCGGATGGACAAAGCCTTGAGGTCAACATGGAGATATTGCGCACCCTGCTCGATGCAGGGGCTGATCCTACGATAGGGAGCGTCGAGGCTGGGAGGACGCCCGGCAGCCGGTTGGTGGCGAGTCCCTTACACATCCTTGCTCGAGCGGACCACTCCACAGCCCTTGACCTGCTTGCGGAGAAGGCCGGTACGCTGGACGTGCATGCCGGTCTCGAGTACTACCACGTCGGAGCCACTCCGTTGTATGTGGCAGCTTTCTACGGAAAACGAAAATTTGTCAGTGTGCTGCTGAAGCGCGGCGCAAAGGTCGACGAGCGATGCCTCCCAGCAGCCGACCTGCCCAATGCACTCTGGGCAGCGTTGCATACCGGGCATTTCGACACAGCGGCCGAACTGCTCGAAAATGGAGCGGATCCGAACAGCCAAGGCAGCGAAGACGTCCGGAATGTGTACCTGCATACGGCGGCCGAAGCTGGCTCAGAGACGGCTATCAAGCTGCTGCTTGAGCACGGGGCGAATGTCGACGCAAAGGACGCCAAAGGTCAGACCCCTTTCTCACGCGCCATGTGGAAGGTACAGTACGCAGCTGCCCAGCTTCTCCTCGACAAAGGCGCCGATATGGACGCCATAGATAACCGAAAGCGAACTGCTCTCATGTATGCGGCGGCTTACGGCGAACTACGCGCCATCCACTACCTCTGCAGTAAGGGGGCCAAACCCCAAAGAACCGACGACCGGGGCGAAAGCGCGTTTATGCTGGCAGTTGCGTTCGGCCATGCGGACTGCGCTGCCTACCTGCTTGCTCTTGGAGCCGACGTCGAGAAGAAAGCAGTCGGTGGGTATCGTGCTCTACATAACGCGGCAGGGCAAGGAAGTTTGGCGGGCGTCTGATGGCTGATATCCCTTGGTGCTAATCGCGATGCCAGAGCCACGGAGCTCAGAGAACCTTTCAAAGCTGTTGGCACCGCTGAGAAAGTGGCGAAGACTCACGGGAATGACGAGATCGCCGATTGCTGGCTTCAGTGACAAAGACAAGCTGGGGCAGGTGGGCTTTGATGTAAGGGATGTTGGCTAGCCGCACGTGGCTGCCTCGATAGTGAATCTGACTGCCAATCCTTCTGCATGCCCCTTCGAACGAAATCTCCTCAAGATCAGTGATCACGGGGGAAGCAGTGCTGTAGAGTTGAGCGTTCGGCGCAGGCGCCAGATGAATGCCCGATCGGCTTGCCCGGATGATCGCCAGACGTAGGCGTGGCACAACGAGGCACATACACATGCATGGCCTACTTGATTCCCGAATCCCGATACGTCTCGAACATCGGCCAGGTGCTCGGCGTCCTACCCTTTCTTGCAGTTGCTAGTGAAGAGGGCGTGGGGACGACCTCATAGGAGATGGTTGAACAGCTGGGGCAGTCGAAGACCAGCTAGCAAAAGAAATGGATACGACAAATCGTAGCATTATGCTACTCCGCCAGGGCTTGCACGAGTAGTCAGGTGAAAGATGTGAAAGCAGTTGGTTGATCTGGGACCTGCAAGGAAAAAGAAGGGAGCCCCTGAGAAGTGGATCAGAGCCGAGGTTGATCCGCCACCCGGCTTAACGCCGAACCCGCCCGGCCTTTCAACCTTCCGAGTCTCCCGTCGTCATCAACGACGTCTCGCCACCCCATCTTGCTAGCACATTCCCAGCGCGAAAGCCTACCTAGCAGCATAACCTGGACATCACCTTCTCTTCGTGTTACCTGATAATACCTTTCCACCCGTACTTGCAGTTCCATAGAGCCAACGGCAAGAATGACAACGGCAATATCATCTCGCCTCCTCCGGCTCGCGCGGCCAGCCCTCTCACACTACAAGTCCTCAGCTGTGCTCCTCGCGACACGGCAGCCACCGATGTCCCAGAACCAGCAGAACCAACACGTCCGCTACGCCTCGTCCTTCGAGAGCGGCCCCGCGCCGCCACGCCTCCCTCCGAAAGAACAGGCCGAGTTTGAACGCCTCCAGCGTACAGCGAACACACAAGAGGGTTTCAACCCCACGTCAACGCCGGACTTCTCGTCTCCCAGCAACGGACAGACTATGCACGAAGCGGTGCCCAATATAGAAGTTGGCGAGCCGAATGCCATGAATACACCACTACGGAAGGGCGCGCCGCCCGAGTTTGAGGGGGAGACGAATCCCCAGACGGGCGAGGTTGGTGGACCCAAGAACGAGCCGCTGCGGTGGGGTGCTGGAGGTGACTATAGCTACAATGGACGGGTTACGGACTTTTAATCGTATCCACTCCGATCTTGTCCAGGATCTGCCGGACAATAAACCAATTCCAGACGATGCAAGAGCAAGGCGAAACCACTGTCCCTGCAGGTGCGGAATGGTGCTGGAAGGGTTGCTGCACCTGCACCGTGGCATGCTGCCGCGACGAGAAATGGCCGTCACGGCAAGCATATGCGAAGTCTAGTTTCGCGGCGACGTCGCGCTATACTCAAGCGAAGACTTGGTCCTAGGATCTCGAAGTGGGACATAGCGGGTCTCCCACAGGGCCAGAAAAAAAACCGCGGCTTTCAGTGAAGGTCTCAGCTGGCGTGTGGCGACGCACCTTTAGCAAGACCGAATGGGCCTTTTACACTGTTGCGCTCCATTGGCACGCTGGCTGATACGTGTGGTGTGCTATGAAAACAAAAACCACCGGACAGTAGTTGGAGTAACTATATCTAATCAAAACCGGTAGATCATCCATTAAGTATGTCCTATGGGACTTGAGCCAATGCCCCAAGCCACGTGAAACCCTTGTGTTCCCCTTGCCACAGCCAGGACTACGCTCGTTCTCAAGGGACCTACGATAATGCAGTAGTAGACGCCGAATGGGCGCCACAGTCAGGTCCGATGAAGGGGTGGCAACTCTCGGCATGGCCAGATGAAGTGCCTGTCGCCACTGGTCTGCGGGGCAACGCCCACGGAACGTTCATCGCGCTCGAGATGAGCGCGGGCCGTGGGAGATGGATGGGTAATGACGGGATGGATCGCGGGGGTGGATTGCATGATCTGGTCATCATGTCTAGGTAGGTAATCAATAATCATCAGTATCATGATATATTCATGCTGCTCAGCCCACCCCACCTGCTCACTGAATTGCAAACCGGAAAGCCTGTTTCTTCGATGACGCTCCGTTGACAGGGCGGCAAGGTGAAATCCCCGCCGCTCGTGCGCGCGGGGGCCTCAAGACGTCTGAAACGATGTCTCGCCAACCACCGCGGACATTAGACGGAAGGGGAGAATCGCAGGCGTGATTGGCGCCGGATCGATAGTGGGGTCCGGCCCCGGCGCAGACCTCACCACTCCCGCCGCCGCGGAGTCCAAGCGCGACCTGAAGGGGATTCTGTAGACCCTTAAAATGCTAGCATTAAGTCCTCATGACCATCAGGTGTTACGAAGTGCGCTGCCGCCTGCAAGCGGCATCGATGGTTAGCGCGGCGGTGTGGCCTAGGTACGATAAAACTGCGGGTTACTCTCCGCAGATGGCTCCTAGCAGTATGCCTGTACTGTTTCTATAAAGACTCGAATGGTGGGCCTGTATAGTCGGAGCGCTGTATTATTACACCGGCCTTGAACATCTAGGCCTTACCATGCGATGCGTGGGTGGTCGTCATTGGGGTCCAGTACCGTCATAGCAAGCGGGTGATGCAGCCAGGCGAGCACGATTTGTACCATGCATATGTGTGGCGTGCTTAACTCGCGAAGGCAGCAAATCGGGGTACTTTGCTGTTTTTTTGGCAGCTGAGTAGACACGTAGAGTAGATTTGCCGCTGGCGTAATCACCGTAGTCCTGAGCGCGGGCAATGCTTCTCGCATGCAAGCATATTGTGTTTTCCTTCATCACAATGAAACGGATCCGCCGTTGCTGTGACTGCCAATGCGGAGCCTTCACGCTCACGCGTTAGTCCTCAGCGGTACTCCTACACCCCAATTCCCCTTTACCTTACCAACCTTAGACTCCTCGACTTTCGCTGCGTCATCCTCTTCCACAACACATTCAACCAACGCCTCGTGACAGGGAGTTATCATAATTAAATCTGCCTGGAACTACAACGACACGTTCCCTGGTCAGTTTATCAATCCCTCCATCTCAGACCAGGTCTGATATTTGAACGTGGCCGCGGAGAACAGTGACTTCAATCCCCTAACACCCTCAGCAGAACCACAAGTACCTTCCTCGGAAGCACCTTCACCTTCAGTCCCCACACCCACAGCCCATGCACCCAAGTCTTTTCTACCTTAACACGATTCAACGAACCAATCTCCGCCGACACTCGCTCTGTCCGGCCGCCAAGACTCGGTGTCTAGCTGGTCGGTACATGACTCCGGGCCCACACGTGGCTAGCAGTCTCGCGGTGCCCACAGCAGGCCGCGCTGCTCTCAAGCTATAGCTGGCATTTTCGTTGCCGCTACATTTTATAAAGACAATAAAATTGTAAAAAGTTCAATAGATTTCGCCTGGTTTACTAAAAGAAAATTGAAGAGAAAAGGCGCAAAGGAATCTAAAGCTATTTATCAAACTCCCGCCGATCAACGTCGCGACGACGCCGCTACTATATGTGGCTCCGCGTGGCCGCCCCCGGGAGATTTTCCTATCATTGTAGGTACATGCAGCTCGGTATTTGAGCGCCTGTGATACGCCACGCCCCATATCCACTCGCGTGGAACCCCGCGCCAGGTGGTAGGCCGGTTTGCCCACTCAAGCGAGCCGCTACCTAGGTACCATCCCCCATAGAAGTCGGACACCCCTACTAGTCGGACAGCCAGACCCCACGATCACCACCAAAACACCCCTTTATTTACTTACACGCTTTCAGCCCGATGTTAAGTTTACTTGAAATGTAATTACTGCTTTGAATAGCCCTGATTTTAAGGTTTATTTTAATGTAAAATTTACCCCGCTTAGCTTACGTAATTAGTTATTTATCAACTTGCGTTTTTTTACTTTAAATAGTAAATTTACAGCCTTATTGTTGAATACACGGATGGTGATTGATTCTATTGATTGTTCTGCTCTGCGTGCAGAGATTGATCATCTGTCTTCTTAGTGGGTATGATGCCCTGTGCGTCTCTACCCCACTGGAGATCTTCCGGTATCTATCTCCGGCTCCCACTCAACACGTTTGTGCTAGTATCTAACACTTATAAAGCTCCTTTAAAGCTTTGTTTTACATGCAACGTAGCATTATATAGCCGCTTAAAATGCCTTTTTATTCTTATATAAAAGATTAAATAGCAAATATTATTTTAAATATTACGAATAAGGGGTTATTATTATAATAAGAAAAGCGCTTAAAAATACGGTATTTTATTTTAAATACTATTTAATCGACTTAATGTCACGAAGCCTGCGGCGGTGTGCTAGATACTGGTGTTGTATTCCAAAAATAACAAGGTGATAGAGAAAAGAAACAGTTGTGCGTATAGCCAAGGCTGATGGTCCAAATCTCTTTATCTAATCTACACGTGACCTGATGACTCAACATCCAAGCAGGTGAATACAGCTGTACACCGTCACACTTAATAGCAAGCTTATAAGAGTTAAAGCTTATACGTAGTAACAAAGACTTTTTTAATACTTAAAAAAACTATTATAATCGAATAAACTTTATATTAAAAAAAGCTAAGACTAGCTTTTTTACACTTTTTATCTTATCAGATTATTACGGAGTTATGAAAAAAATGAAATAAACGACTTCTAAGAAACATTTCTATAGCGAGCTTTAAGCGTTATAACCTTTATATAAAGATTAAAATTAATAAAAATTTAAAATTAGCGCGCTTTAAAACGTTTACGCTTAAAGTAATTAATTAGTTCTTGTTGCTTTTTAAACGGTTAAATAAAGCTTATAAAAAACACGTATAATATCGATAAAAGCGGCATTATAACATCTTATAATAGCTCTTTTTACTCTTTTAATTTCGTAAAATCTTAATTATATTCATAAGTACTAACTTTTTTGGTGTAAGTAGTTTTGTTACTAAGAAATCCTTTTTAAAAAGCTTTTAAACTTATAGTTAAGCCTTTTTTATTAAAGTTATTTTAACTACATAAAAAATCTTTAAACTAAGCATTATCTTTAAAGGTAAAGACCTCAAAATTTAATAGTTTATCAAAAAGTTTTAAAAGACTGCCGATTAGCATTTTATATTCTTAAAAAGCAGTTAAACCTTTAATGACATTGCTTATTAGTAGCTAGAAAACGTATTTGTTTTAAAAGTAAGCGAAATACGAAAAAAAAAGATTAGCTTATAATTGTTTTTTAAATATTAAATAGCTATAGTTATTATACTCTTATACGTATATAATTTTTCTTTATTTTATTTAAACTTCATTAAAAGTTTTAAAATTAATTTAACTTAACGCGTATTAATAAGACGAATTTATAACTATATGTTAGTTTGTTAACATTTTAGTTTATTTTTTTCCTACTTATATTAGTTATAACATGCAGCCTTTAAATAATGGGCCTTAAAACGCTCTAAAAGCTTACTATTAGAACTTTCTCTTGCAGTTAAAATTTTTAATAGATGTTTTACTTATTAATAAAATTATTTCTATTTAATTGTCAGATTATCAAAGGTTGACAAGCCGGTGGTGTTGAGCGGTAGCTGCAATCGTTGTTCTCATATTCAGGTCTGCCACGTTGTGTGGTAGCTACAGCTATTTGAACACATCTGGTCATGCTGGAGTAGATGCTCCGGACCATCCTTTTCTGAGTCAGCGTACGAGTCAAGGTGCTAGTCATGGCAACCACCACGTGTCATGTGACTAGTTAGCAGCACCCTGCAGTGCAGCCCCCTAAATACGACATAATGTTATAATTAAGTAAAAACTTCTGTTTTTATAAGGTAAATATCTTTTTAATTTTAAAAATATTAAATGTTGTCTAACTAGCTGTAAAAAGTGCTTAAATATTTTAGTTTTTTAAAAGATAAATGAACCACTTTTAAGCTTGAAACATTTAAAAGCTTTAGATTTAAAACCTAATAAGTCTTTATTACAAGCTAAAAGATTATAAATTTTAATAAAAATAAATCTCTTAGTACTTACTTGAATCATAAAAATCTAGTTAATGCGTTTAAAATTATAGATATAAAAGTTGTTATTTAAACCTGGAAAATTAAAGCTTTAAAGGCTAGATTAAAGCAATTACGGCTTAAAAAGCGGTAAAAAATCCTTAATTTTCAAAAAAAGTTTAAAATAATAACGGAAATTTTATTTAAAGGATGTATTATTA